TTAAGAATAACTGATCAACAATAAAATCCGCATAAAAGATTATAATACCTTGTCTGGAACTGTTTAACCTAGTAGCAATAAGAAAAACAAACTTGGGAGTCGGGACCACAATTGATTGAGAAAATGTTCCAAATAGTTTACCCCAAGATATAGGTCAGGGGGTTGCGTATCAGACAGAACTCAATTTGAAAATCAATCTTCAAAAATGTTTTTCACATTTCATTGCTTTTAAGTTAAGTCCAACATACACCAAAGGACTAAGTTCCATGTGCCCAAAATAGTCCCAGGATGTCCCATGCAATATTAGTCTGTTGAACTCCCACCATTCCTCATTGGTAAACACTGGGTATACAAGTCCCATTATGCCTAATCAGCCAACTATCCCCATTGGTAAACATTGGATATACAAGTCCCATTTGCTTACTCAGCCAACTAACCCCATTGGTAAACATTGGATATACAAGTCCCATTTGCTTACTCAGCCAACTAACCCCATTGGTAAATGCTGGGTATAGCAAGTCCCATTTTGCTAATACTCAGCCAGTCCCTAAACATATTAATTAAACCACCACTAAGCAAGTCTTGCCTTCGATATCAAAATAACAGATTTTTCAGATGATATAAAGATTGAGACAAAAGATTCCTGTGTGCTACTGATGAAAAGTAAACCTACTTACCAGTATCTTACTTCGGGTGTCTTCTATGAATGACACTCGCAATCTAAAATGTCTTGAAGTGATTGTTCAGCTCAGCTATTGTTTACATAATCATGTAAAATATCTTTATCGATTAGAACTGAACTTTTTGCTACAGTGAATCATGAATCTGAAGAGTACGGTAAAACTTGTCTTGTTGAACAGTGTAAATGAAAGAATAAAACACCTTCATTCAGAACCGTTCATAAATTAGGAAAATAAGTTGTTCACGGCTGGTTTCGCTGTAGTGCATATAGATGCCTATCTTTAGAACCAACTACTTTCATAGACAGTATAAAATAAAGGTTTCAATGACATATTGAACATTTTTCATAAGAATCAAAGCTTTTTAACATTCATGTTTCTCTAAATTGAGGCAGGGGCCCAGAAAAAAAATTGGGCCCAAAAATTGGGCCTCTTTGATCATTACTGGGCATTTTAAGGCCTTATTTTTTAATTTTAGGCCAAATCTTGAAGAAAATGGGCCTCAAATTTTTTATTAAACCTGAAATGTGAGCCCCCCCCCCCCCCCCCCCCCTTGTTGGTTCCCAGATCCACCCCTGTACCGCCCCGTTCTAATTGAATATGCTTCTCCACAACAGTTAACAATTGGACGTCATTCATTACATACAATTCTGGCTGGTTGTTCATTGACTAGAGAGTACTTTACACGAGTGCTTACTGTCGTCTTACTCTATCTACACTTATCTGACATTGTCAACTCTGGTAGAGCAATTGTGTTGGCATATTGATTAGGTGTAAGATCTCTATAAGGCTCTTTGTTGACCTTCCTGTATAAAATGATATGATCGACATTAACTTACATATAGATAACATTTACAGAGTGAGCAAAAATAGACTTTAAATTTTGATTTGCTGTTTTTCATAGTTTATATTTTCAGTACATAAGGATGAGCATGAAAGAAGCGATTGTGTGTGTTGGAAAATTTGTCCTATTTGAACGAGTCTTGACTTTGCTTGTTGGACCGGAAGAAATGGTTTGGTTAAAACATAGCTGGCCAGTAACAAAGTACCCCTTCCCCAGACCTCTTCACCCTTTCTTTACATATTTGGAAACAATCTGTTCCAACTATATTTAGACAATATTTGAAGCAGTTGCAAAGATGGTTCATTTGACAGTTTTCTATTCCAGACAGTTTTCTATATGACAAATCATGACAAAAATAAAAATGAAGAAAAATGGCCACCATCTGCGGTTAGACAACTGCACATACATCATTGCTCCTCCAGTTACAAAACATGCAACCGTAACCTTAAATACAAGCAAATTATTCCAAAACAATACGTCTTATATTTGAGAATCCTGTATGATCAAACAGAAACACAGAAGAGGACAGCGAAATTCACCGTGGAACATTTGAGGATAATGCCACAAAAGCAGCTGAATCTACAAACGATCACACAAACGATATACTGTACACAATCTACTTGCCATTATATAGTATACTATATGACTATATATCACAATGTCCTGCACAAAGGCATACAGACAAAGAAGCCAAGAGTGAAGAATAAACCAAGGCAAAAGTGAAGTTTAATTGTTTTCTTAGTACTTTTTCACTTTGTCTCAGAAAATAAAATCTTTATTTGTAAAACTATTCAATCTGAAAGCTATTTGTCAAGGGCAAATATATAAACCGATTTTTTGATTCAAGTTCAACTTACACCTTGCACCTTCTGCAATAAAAACAAAGATTAGTGAACCAAAGAAGTCTCATTTCAAAAATATATATAACGGTCCTTTTAAAGTGTTGATCCATGGTTGATTAAACTTTGAGACAATGAAATGACATACAGCAACCCTTCGCAAGATTGGTGTCTATTTACTCTTACTTAAAGATAGAGATTTTTCAGGATTGAAGCTATTGGCTGCTGCTTCACCTTGAGAAAAATACAAACATCTCTACAAAACTACAAAGAGTATTGAAAAACTTATTCAACAAGTTGACAATTTGAAAAAGTAGAGAACTAATCCTGAGAGAGAAACCAATGAAGAGCGTCTTTCTTTTACTCTTCAAGTCTTGGATCAGGGTATAATGGTACAATGGTACAAGCTAGCTATGAAAAACAGAAAAAATATCACCATTTCAAAATATCTCAAACAAGGCTATATCACCAACCATAATGATATTTGACCATATTCAGTAACTAATAAGTTCCACAGAATTACTGATTAATTCATCAAGCTTTTGATTTATCTCAAAATACAATCCAATCTACCTAATTTTGAATATCTTTGCAGTCCAACATCCCCACCAATGAAAGGCTCAAAGGACTACCCAAACAAGGTCATAGCACTTAAAATAACAATCAAATAAGAGAAAGTTTCAAGTATTTTTAAAGTATCTAAAGATTCTGAAGGTCATTTGCCTTGCAAAAGTGTGAACAATATTGAAATCCTTTCCTGGTCAACATTCGTTGAAATCGATAATCTTAACGAAACACTTATCAGAGTTGGACGTAGATGCCCCTGTATAAAATACCCAAATGGTAAAATTTCAATACATCAAAGATAAGAAGAGAGGATCCAACGAAGAATGCAATAAACAGACAATATACCCATAGCCCAAATTATCCAAAGGTGGAGAAAGCACACAAGCTTGAGATCAACACATAAGAGTACAAACTTACTATAATCATAAATGACGTTAGCCTATTGTTTGGGAGAAAGCGTTATAGCCTTATGTATGGCATTGTAAGTTCTACTACTACAAGAGCACTCAAGGTGTAGGTAAATATCAATAGTGAGCATACAAACCAGGACCAAACTGAAGTTAATACAATTCAATCAAATTCAATAATATTCTACAGGATAAAGGCAAACAGGTCTATGGACTTTATGAATTACACTCCTGACAATGAATGAGTGAACATGGAGTTAGGATCTGAACTTGGAATGGGCATTGATCTTTCTTTGTTTTAGGACTCAATTAGCTTTTCATTCATTGATTCCTATGTTGATTATTCAGTAAGTTCAAAGCCCTGCAAGAAACTGCTTATTTTAAACGTTCATCAAAGAAGGTGTATTTGAGGGCAATATCTACATGATATTCTTTTGAAAACTTGAAATAAAAATATAAGACCGGGCACATTTCTGGTGTTTCTTAAATCCATATTCAGATCCAATTTGGCTTTCTAAGTTTCTAACAGTAAATTATCCTTGAAAAATTCTTGGAACTTTACCAACTTAGCAGTATTGTGCAATAATGGCTTACAACCAAAATTCCCTAAAACGTTGAAATTTATGTGTGTGATTCATTATGAACAATTCAATTTCTAATACCTATCTTTAAATGGATTATCTCGATTGAGGTTTTCCACATTGAATCTTATAAGCTTTCTTCTCAAACCCTTTCACAAGAAATTATTACTATAAAGACACAATGGAAAGCCAGATTTACTACGATATCACAATTCAAATTCATAAAATCTCTTGTATTTGCTTTACATACTAACTGATCATGCAGGTCAAATATTCAGATCAAATTCAAACTTTCAATTTGTTTAAATTCAGTCTTACCTTGTATGGAAATCAAGAACTTAAATAAATAGGACCATATTCCAAGAATAGCACAATCTATTTGTTGGTACACTGACTTGACCGTACGATTTCTAGTGATCGGTAAACTTGAATTTGAATATGTAACATAGACGAGGGTGGAAATCTTATGAACAAATACTAGAAATCTGTAGAGATCAAGAATGATCCTTTCTGTCTATTGGAAGAGCCTTATTTATATTTAAATATTCTGATAACATTGACATAATCTAAGCTTTTCAGCTAAATCTTCAAGACCAGGACCTTTAAATATAATTAACGCTTGCTAACCTTCACGTAAATTAAGAGAAAACAATTACTCATTGATGCCTTTTTCTAACTAAATTCGGATTTATAAATAGCAAAATTCATATGTTCATATCTTGATCAATTTTGAACATTTTTCTCGACTGAATACTTTTTTGCTCAATATTATATTTTTTATTGTAGTTGCTATAACTCATACTTTCACTGAAGAATAAAGTCCATGTAACTCAAACTTTGGTAGTACAAAATGGGTATTGCTCAATTTGTATATAATGTACAATTTTCCAAACAAACCTCGCAAAACCTGTCTAATCTGAACACAACTGGTAAGTATTTGGATTAGCACTTAGCAGGTGTTCATGTGTCATGGTTGATATACGAATCAATGAGAGCTCATGAATTGGAATCAAGAAAACTTGGTTGGCGTTTCAATTTTATATGCAAGCTTAAACTCCCTATTATACCAAAATGCCTCTTACCTGTTTGGTGTGAAGACCATATATTAATCAGGTTCTGCTGGGAATTCTTATATGGATAGATGGTGTCTATTTAATCATCTTCACAACCCTGAAAATATTAATTCCACACATTATTTGATGTAAGAAAAACATTTGGTGATATATTATTATAAACCTAAAGAATATAAAAAAGTCTTAACCAAAAATTTTCTTCAAAAAAAGTTTTTATAAAATCCATCTTCACTTGAACTGTATGAATTTCATCAAATACTCACTTTACTTTTAAATTATATTAAATGCATGCAAACTTTGGAAATCGAAACTAGTTGGTTCTTTCAAGTTCTGTTCACCGGATATGACTTTCACATTTCAAGTTCTGCAAATGTTATTGAAATCACTATCATATAAGTGACTTCAAGTCTTATGCGAGATAAGATATAACAGAGGTGAGTGCAAGAACAATAATGAATGTACAACCCTTGACAAGAGTGTAACCCTCAGGAACCCTCTTAGAATTATATACAATTCTTTGATTAAGCCTCTATCCAATCAGATATTATGGTCAGAGAACCATATCACAACATCTTTCGCATCCCCTACAAGACCTTAGAAGCTGCATTTGAGAGCATAACGATTTTGCCAGCATCAAAACTATAAATTTATCCGAAGTAGTTAGAGTGTAGTTTTACAAGTTGAAGCTATTTTGGGTATCCATTCAATATTCAATGAGTGCAAAAATGCTATCTGGAATACTGTTATATTTCTTTTGTGTATAATAGTAGTGAAAGAGCTATTCGAATGAAGAATGAATAAGAGAATTAGAATCAGCAAAGACTAAAAAATATTTAGTTTAATTATCCTTGTTCAAATTACAACTAAATTGTAGTTTACAATTGGTGGAGAAATGAATATACATATAACAAATCATGATAAATATAGTAATCCAGTATGTAGATGCCTCACAAAAAATGTATACTTGATTCTATTTCTATTAGAAAACATTTAATAAAGTTGAAAACAGAACACTATAATATGTTGACTTGACTAACAAGGGAATAGAATCCAATCTTAATGAGATCTGATTTCTCAGAGACTGTTATTGAGAACATTCTCTAAATTTACAAATTAGAAAATTGAAACTCATGGTAAGTCTGACACGTTTAATTGATACATTAGTCAAGCTTATTAACTACCTATTGTTTTTCACATATGGGGTGGTTGTCCTAGGAATGAGATGTTGTGGCAGTTTGTCTTAAAGAAATAATGAGTAAAAGAAGGGGGGGGGGGCTGTTTATCAAAAAGGATTGTGCGGTCATCGGGATTTCTGAATACCCCCCCCCCCCTAATACCCCAAAGACTTGAATCTTAGATAGCTAATAAGGAGTGTGACAATCAAGGATTATGACAACAGTTAATACGTGGGAACAAACCTAAATAAATCTAGAGATTAAGATTAAATCTTGCGATAGACTTTCAATAATATAAAACATTTTCAATTAAGACTATTCTTAATTGCCACAAAATTTCCATTCAATATATTCCTGTCTGCAGTATTTTCAAATTGGTAGGGTTAATTAAGGGGGATTTACTATTATATAATTTCTAAAGAGACAAAAGAATTAAATGGATATGTATTAGTTTACACCATGGAGTTTTAAAGCCTTTAAGCATGTCTTTCACTTATAATTACATTATAGAACAGTGTGTGAAGATCTTAGAAATATAATAAAGAATCCTGTAGCTTTTATCAAATAATTCTTTCTGGGCTTATTGGCCTGGTAATAATGCTAATTAATTAGTTCACTGATAAGGAATAAATACACTTCCCCCTTAGAGCGGAATGCACTCCAGGGGAAATTAATTAGAGGTTTTGCTTAACTAAGATGTAATAATGACGATGTAAGAATGTCATATGGGAGTACAGAACTGAGTTCTTTATTCAACAATTCATGATGTGAATATTAATTTCCTTAAATATATAAAAATCTAGACATATTCTTTTAACCCCTTCCCTTCTCTGTCCTGCTATAAAGTCAATCCTTCAGGACTGGTATTAATTCGCTGTCAATATCTAAATATGTTCATCAAAACACATCTTTAGCATATAGATGTATGCTTATCAGTTTATATATACATTGTACAATGAAATGTTTATATCTATGAGCCATTTCATCTGAATAGCGTTCACTGTAAAAATCTAACCTGAAACCTTGTATCCTTCTTATTTTAATGCTGTCACTAAAGCAAGATAACTGGTTTTGAAACAAGAAGATATGGTATAATACCAAAATGATTTTGGGAATCCTACTCCAATGACCAATATTGACACTGACAGATATCAAAATCAAAAAATGTTCATACATGATGAAAAATTAGAGTGAGTGGTAATGTAACCATATTGTCCCACATATATAGCATAGATAAGCCGAAGGCAATGCAACGAGCGGCGCCCTTGGATGATGAACAGAGAACAGGCAGGCTATGTTACCCTGCCATGCACTTCCAAAAGTTGAAAAAATTAACCTCTTGAACTAATTTGCATTTTTCAATCTCAAATTCAAGACAGCACACATTTAGCCAGAGAGTGGTAAAACAATGGAATTGTATACCAGAATGGGTAGTAAATGCCCAAAGTGTAAATCAGTTCAAAAACAGATTGGACTCCCACTGGTACAATCACCCAATGAAATATGATCATACAGTGGACTATCATTTTATACATCGTTACTAACTTTAAGTATTGATCGGTTAGACAGGCAAATTATGCCTATAAACCGTAATCATCTTATAATCAAATGTGATAATTCCAAAAATAAATGTCGGCAAAATGTGAACAAATGTAAACAAGGATGACAGTTCTTTTCTGTAAAATATCCTCTAGTTATCAAACCAACCTCACTCTTAAGGGAGATGCGCTGAACTTCGACATATGGGGTTACTTCATCATGGGGCTATTTCGAAACAATGAGCATGGCGGACTGCATTAATTGAAAATATAGCTAATGTTGAAATACCCCCATGACAAAGTAACCCTTATCCCTAGGGTTACTTTATCCCGTGCCAGGACTATAGTCCTGGGAACGTCTCAATATTTTGCCTGTATGGTTACAACATGAGACAATTTGCTACGCCTCTTACACTTAAAAGATACCTACTTCAATAGATTCCTTGGTATTTTAGCATTCTTTTCGTGTAGTTGAATCCACAATTATCTGGGTTTACTGGCAGAATGAGAAAATTTTTCATAACAGAATGCTAAAATACCAAGGAATCTATTGAAGTAGGTATCTTGAGTGTAAGAGGCGTAATTCTCCCATGTTGTAATCATACAGGCAAAAGATTGAGACAATCTCAGGACTATAATCCTGGCACAGGATAAAGTACCCCATACGGTGAAGTTTGATGCATCTCCGCGCGCTAAATCTACATGTATTCCCGAATCCCGCTGAAGACTCTGAAGAGCCTGAGACTGAATCATACAAATCTAGATCTATTCATGACGTTGGGTGATTTAAAGTTTTAAAAGTTTGCGTTGACTTATTCCGATCAGAAATAATGATCAATTATCATCATAGACCTAAAATCTAAAACTTTCACTTAGCCAAAAAAGGTGTTTCACTTTCACTTTTGTAGCAATGTCAGTCAGTTTCTGACTTCTGAGTTTGACTTTTAGAAAATAAGTACCTTTACCTTCGGCGCTAATTTCCTGGCGTTGGACACTGGGAGTAGAAAAATAGATAGCTCGAATTTATCCTTCTATATGTTGTTTATCTGCTTTGCTTTCTTATAGAATACGATATCTTCACTTTATCATTAAATTTTACAATAATCCAGGGAGAAATATAGTTTACGTTGTCGCGAAGGTCACCATCTTTGCAGAATAGAATAACCAATCAGAATACGGCTTACAAAGAAGTTCCCAACCAATCAAAGCAATTGAAAGAACGTGATTCCAGTGACATCTATACATCATATTCGAACCAGTGCAGTTTTTCATCATTCTGTCGAGGCTGCCCAATCGGTTTCTAGACAACTCATCCCAAGACAACTCATCCCAAGACAAGTCATCCCTAAGACAACTCATCCCAAGACAAGTCATCCCCAAGACAACTCATCCCAAGACATCTCATCCCAAGACATCTCATCCCAAGACATCTCATCCCAAGACAACTCATCCCACTTGTAGATTCTATAAGTGATAAATTATTTTGTCCTCTATATTATAGATATCCCTTTTCATTTTTATGATTATAAAGTGACTTCTGATAACACACTCAATTTTTAATACTGATTTTTAGCATTTTGAAATGGCACTTGAAAGTTATTGTTTTACTTGTAAGTACTGTACTGCCGCTATTTTGATTAATTCTGGGTTATTCTAAATAGATTTGAGAATATAGAATTGAACATAAAAGTCATAGACATTATTTTCAAATTTAATCATCATAAATCTGAAAGTTTGAAATTGGCAATCTTATTTAGGATTAAAATATTTTAAAACAAAGACTGAATTAATCGGAGAGAATTATTCTGATAGCACCTTGGATAATACATTCTAACTGAGTTAATCCTGCACCTTTGATGATCTTGATTTGATAATCAAAGTATTAATTTGAACATGTTTATCTTTATCCCACAGGGGCAACAAGGCCTGTAGGGAGAAAATAGGAAAATCAAAAAAAATTCTGAGCTATCAAGGCAACATTTGGCTTAACATCTTCTTTGACATACCTATTTTCTTAAAATGTATGGATAAACTATCAATTTCAGCCTTAAGAAGTGTAAATTCAGTTCAAAGCTTGAAAAAGGGGAAATCCACTTTTATATTTTTAAGATCCACCATGTTTCAAGAGGAATATCAGCTGAAATAATGTTTATCTAGGGGGTTTCTTTGTAGATAATAAAAATAGATGTTAGTCTTGATGAAATATCCAAACTTAAATATATTTTGGCACTGGTCCATGATCGTTGAATGGCCCCTCTGCACTAATTGTTGCACCTCTACAAAACACAAAAATATTAAGCAAATATACAGCATGACAAAATATCAAATGTGTCAGTTTAGAATACAGCATGAAAAATAAATAGAGGATATCCTATGATTTATGAGTGATATGATTTTTATCCACGAATGGATATGATATCTGCACGAGCGAGCGTAGCGAGAGAGTGCAGATATCAATATCCATGAGTGGATTAAAATCATATCACGAGTAAATCATAGGATGTTCTTTTTATTCCATAGTTAAAGTCATCGTCAGAATCGTCGGAAATTAAGTGATTTAATTAGAATTTTCCAAACGATCCGGCGATTTTGACACTTAGCCTCGTTTTGAGTCTGAAGTAGCAAAAATCCATAAACCATCGCATACGACGTCGTATGTCATGGCTAAAAAACCGTATGCTATGGTTAAGTGAAAATTTGTCAAAAATATCATATTTTACCACTGATTACAAAAATACCGTTTTTATTTTCACATGTTATCCTATGAATATCATGCTAACTATGGAATAAACAAAGATATTCCATGACCAGTGTGCTAACTGCTAAAATCTCTAAATATTTTTCATTCTTTCAAAAGTGAAAATTAGTTGTATAAAATTATGTTATACATCAAGTTGGAAAGAATTGTCTTGGGGATGAGTTGTCTTGGGATGAGATGTCTTGGGATGAGTTGTCTTGGGATGAGATGTCTTGGGATGAGATGTCTTGGGATGAGTTGTCTTGGGATGAGATGTCTTGGGGATGAGTTGTCTTGGGATGAGTTGTCTTAGGGATGAGTTGTCCTGTTACCGCCCAATCAATGGCGATCTGACTGCTGCTCTACGTAGGTTTATGTGGTTTTTCTTCTTACAGCCAGAGTGCTAGGCTACATGTATATATTATATTAACTGCGTATCTACTTACCAGTATGTTTAGTTCTCTGTCCTTGGGCTTCCTAGGTTACATGGTGAAAGAATTACAAACCAGGTTGCTTAGTACAGGGTGGTCAAAAGAATGGAGACCCTGAATTTTCCTTATATCTTTGTCACTTTAAAAAACTACTCCCTGATATTTCAGACATTTGTACATCATTCAATTTCCTACCATTTGGCCATCATCGTGCTTTAGAACAGCACAGTTGTCAATGACCCGAATGCATTCCTCAGCATGTATGGCCTGAATGACACAGATGATCTCACTTTTGAGGTTTGCAATTGTCCTGAGGTCATTCTCATATACTCTATCTCTGCTATATCCCCACAGATAAAGATAAAGATAGTAAAGATTTCCCCACAACTCTATAGTGGCCACTGGGCATGTTCTTTAAAGTACTGTAACATTGTGACTATCAATCTGATGGTCATGAAATTAGGTAGGCTGGTAGCAAATTGAATGATGTGTAAAATATCAGGGATTATTTTTTAAAATGACAAAGATATGAGGAAAATGGTATTAGGGTTTCCATTTTTTACCACCCTGTAGTTAAAACCCCATTGCTGGTGAACTACACTATTTCACACTCTGTATTTTCAGAAGATGGCTTCTGGTGTAGACAACTCATTATTTATTTGGAGCCCAAAGCATTGCTGTGAGGATGGCCCCTGCAATGCATGTCTTATCAAGATAATTGATGATGATGATGGATATAATCTGCGATCGCAATCCACAACTGCATTGAATCATGTAAAAGCAATGTATGGTTGGGTGAAAAAGAATTGTGACGTTGACACGCAATCAATATGTTTGGAAAGAATTCTGATGACAGCTTCTTACAAACATAAACCTGATATAGTAAAGTATATCATTCGAGAGGAGGGGGCACCAGTCGATTTCATCCCTGAGAAGCGATACTTTTACAGAATTGATGAGGGTTGGAAAGAACATGAAGCGTTCCTTGATGAACTAGAAAAAGTACAATATTCACCTCAAGGAATAATGACACCAGCTATGCATGCCATCTATCATGATGACATTGAACTCCTTACATGGCTAATTGAGCAAGCAGGGGCAGATATAGATTTCAGAATGGATACCAATGGTACTGCTATGTCAGTCGCAATTGAAAACAACAAGCCAACCATTCTGAAGTTCTTGTTAGACAAAGGTGCAGATCCAAATAAAAGGATGTTTTGTCAAGGAGCGGCACTTCACATAGCAATTGAGGAAGAGAGTATAGAGATGGTCCAAATACTCTTGGATTGTAAAAGAACAGATGTGAATATTATGAATGACCCCAAGAGTGAGAAAGAGATTGATAACCAGGATGATATCCCATTCTCGCCCCTTATGGATGCCTGTAGTCCAAACAGAAGTGGAGTTAAAGTGAAACCTGAAATAGTAGAGCTCTTATTAAACCACGGAGCTGATGTTAATGCAGTAAGTGGGTACTCAATCGATGATGGACCTCAAAATGCACTATCAAATGCTTTGTATCAAACAAATTTCCCTTGTGTTGAACTGTTGTTGAAACATGGTGCCGACCCTGCCATACTTGGTACTGAATACTGCAGTGGAGAAAGAAGTACATTCTTAGAAAGAGCCGCATCAACTCATAACATTGACATTTTCAAGCTCGCTTTGACTTACCCCGAAGATATCACTGCTGAACAGAGAGGCCAGGTATTAGTTAATGCTGCAGGCACAGGAAACCTGGATATTTTTAAACTTGCTATGAATCTACAAGATAAAAATGGTCTCAATACTGAGCATGCATCAAATGCATTATTCAATACTTCATCATTTGAAATCATGAGTGAACTATTAGAACTAGGTGCTGATCCTAATAAACTCGCTAATAAATATAGACTTGATGAAACACATGACACTGGTAATCTCATTCGTGTATTCGAAATGTACCAACCACTTGAGGATGAGGACTCCAAAGTTAAAAAAGTTAAAAAACTTGAACTGCTTATTCAAAATGGAGCAATACCAGGTCTGTTTCTAGATTGTTTGAATAAAAGAATTGAAGAAGATATTGAGGATTATGACAATAACTCAAATTATAGTAATTTGTCAGATGATATGTACCACGTTTTAAAAATGACAATAAAGGACCCTGCTCCTTATGAATACCTAGCCAAATGTATGTCACAGGCAGATATTCCTAGGTTCAAAGAGCTGGTGGAAGAATATGTGAAAGGACTAAGCAATGAGGATAAGATATTAACTATATGTGACAATATGGCAGATGTTTGTAGCCTGCAACATCAGTGCAGGAGCACTATCAGGGAACAAATAATGCAAGTCCCACAGAATTTCAAACAATGTTTGGGTGAACTAGGACTTCCAACACCTCTCCAGGACTACCTGATGTTCAAAGAGTGACATTGATCATTAGCAACAATGAAAATACTTATGATTGGTGATATGTTGCAGTTGAAATTCATTGTTATCTCACTGTGTTATCACACTTACTAGGAGGCCCCCTTGATTTTGTTGACCTTCAATCCGTCAAAAATGCCTATGGGGCCTCCGTAAGATTGCTTGCAATCTTAAACCTCTAGTTACTATGCATATCATATTTTTGAAGCAGGGAAACAGCATGCACATTTTCTATAAATACCGTGTTCATGTAAATGAGAGTAAAGGCGCTTATATCCAATATGTGTTCCCAAGTAATAATGCCCATGGGGATTATTTTGAAAAATACACTGAATAAAATGTCCATTTAACATATATTTAAAAAGTGTTATTAATTTGTGTTAATTAAAGTGTTGTTAAATGCATTTTAAAACTTTAGTTCTCATAGAAACCAATGGTACAATAATATTCAAACATAATATATGCTTTTTTCAACCTAGTTAAACAATTAACATTGGTTTATTTTGAAAGTCTTAATATTTTGATTTTTTTCAAAATATTTTTGAACCCTAAATTACATCACGATGGTGTCACTTAGGGTGCAAAATCTTTTTGATATGCTTAAATATTTAAGTGGCACATTATATAATGGCATTTATTATTGAAATAGTATGTCCTGTAGAGGTGCTAAATAGTTAATATGTTTTGCACTGTATTATGGAATATTAAATGATTAAAAAACGTCCACTTTTATTTGAAAAATGACAGGAAATTTGAATATTTGAGAAATAAAAAACTGACAACTTTTTTCCCAAAAGTTCTTTTTTTAAATCTCTAAAATAACTTTTAAAGTCATGAATGATAAAAACTATTTTCAAACTTCACGTGGGACCTTTAAAGTACAAAATAGATTAGTGTCAATAAACACAAATAAATTATTACAGACGCCAAAGACCAACACCATGACACAAATATGACACCCATATTAATCAATTGTTACAGATGCCGAAATCCAACACCATGCCACAAATATGACACCCATATTAATCAATTGTTACAGATGCCGAAATCCAACACCTGAACACCATGCCACAAATCTGACTCCAATATTACAGCCACCGAAGACCAGCACCATGACACCCATTTTAACCAAGTGTTATAGATGCCAAAGACCAACACCATGCCACAAATCTGACACCCATATTAATCAATTGTTACAGACGCCGAAGACCAGCACCATGACACCCATTTTAACCAAGTGTTATAGATGCCAAAGACCAATACCATGACACAAAAATGACACACCCATATTAACCAATTGTTACAGACGCGGAAGACCAATACCATGACACAAATATGACACCCATATTAACCAATTGTTACAGACACCAAAGACCAACACCATGACACAAATATGACGCCCATATTAACCAATTGTTACAGACGCCGAAGACCAATACCATGACACAAATATGACACCCATGTTAACCAAATGTTACAGATGCCTAAGACCAACACCATACCACAAATATGACACCCATATTAACCAATTGTTACAGACACCAAAGACCAATACCATGACACAAATCTGACACCCATATTAACCAATTGTTACAGACACCAAAGACCAACACCATGACACAAATCTGACACCCATATTAACCAATTGTTACAGACACCGAAGACCAACACCATGACACAAATATGACACCCATATTAAGCAATTGTTACAGACACCGAAGACCAACACCATGACACAAATCTGACACCCATTTTAACCAATTGTTACAGACGCCGAAGACCAACACCATGACACAAATATGACACACCCATATTACCAATTGTTACAGACGCCAAAGACCAACACCATGACACAAAAATGACACACCCATATCAACCAATTGTTACAGACACCGAAGACCAACAGCATGACACACCCATATTAACCAATTGTTACAGACGCCAAAGACCAACACCATGACACAAATATGACACGCATATTAACCAATTGTTACAGATGCCGAAGACCAACATCATGCCACAAATCTGACACGCATATTAATCAATTGTTACAGATGCCGAAGACCAACACCTGAACACCATGCCACAAATCTGACACCCGTATTAACCAATTGTTACAGATGCTGAAGACCAACACCATGACACAAATATGACACACCCATATTAACCAATTGTTACAAATGCCGAAGACCAACACCATGCCACAAATATGACACACCCATATTAACCAATTGTTACAAATGCCGAATACCAACACCATGCCTAAAATATGACACCCATATTAACCAATTGTTGCAGATGCCGAAGACCAACACCATGACACAAATATGACACACCCATATTAACCAATTGTTACAGATGCCAAAGACCAACACCATGACACACCCATATTAACAATGTCGACACTCATTGGTGGTCATATGAAAATAAGAAAAATGTGAATTTAAATTACTAGCCAAAAATAGACATTACCACAGGAGCTGTATCAGGAACAATCTGATGTTTACAGGAACACTTCTGAGAAGCTATGGTACTTGTGCTTTTGTTTAATGAAGTATTTTGACAGGTCATGTTTTATTTGCTAGATAAAAAATTAGGTTAACACAGTAGAGTGAAACATGTATATCCGAACCCCTCTCTAATTCAAATACCTCTCAATGTGAACACTTTGCTCTGTCCCAAATGTCTTACCTACCAATACCAAAAACCATTGACTTACATGTTTATAAAATCTTGAAATATACGTGAACACCTGCTAATCCTAACATTTATGGCCGGACCCAGAGATGTTTGGACATGAGAGGTTTTACTGTACATTGATTTAGGAAGAACATAGGTTGAGGGCATTATTGCCCCACCCCTCACCTACTTCCAAGTAGTACCCCGGCCAGTGGTAGAAGTCGAGATGAAATGATTGTACATGTCAATTGCCAATGCTCACATGTTCATATATAGCCCTATGGCACCATTGTGGCAGACGGTGGGCAAAACAAATAGTTTTGCAGCAAGATATTCCCCATGGCCCTAAATATTAATCAAATATTAATTATTTGATTAAAAACGTAATGCCCAAAATAAGTCAAACGGTGGTGAACGGAGAGCCCGGCGGCTTATGTGACAGCTACTTCAAATAATAAATAAATGAACTTTTAACTTTTTTTAACATTGTGTCAACGAAGATTTTGCCAGACCCTTTTAAAGAAATCTTGAAAATTAAACAATTATGCAAATCAAAGTTATTTTAAAAGAAAATTACACTTAAAGAATTCAGATATGCCATCAAATAGAGGAAGATGTTGGTTAAAATACAGTTCTTCTAAAATCTCATTAACAACGAGACTTTCGTTACGCGGTATATGGCGGTATATTCTCATGAACTTAAAGCTATTTAGCCGACATTCTACTTGAAATGCTTGAGAATTTTAATGATTTGGGAAACATTTTATATTAGAATTTGTATATTGTAAAAGCTGTAATTTTCTACTGAAGCTGAATTACTAGTGTACAAATAGTGAATGTCGTTGAACAAGTGGTGCAAAGTATGTCAGTGGCGGAGTCAGTGGACTGCAAGGTATTCCCGAGCCCGAAGGGAAAATGTTTACACTATGTGGCAGTCACTATTTGTTTTATTATATACCCCATATGAAATCTGTAAACAAAAACAAATTGAGAAGTCTTAATTTCAACATTTAATGCTTACAAGCTCTTATGGGCATTAAAGGCATTTTGCCATTCAACTCCTATAATCCTAGCTAGCAGGGAAGATGAAAAGTACTAATGACTTGTCACATGGCCTAACTGTTCATCTTCCCTCTTAGCAGGGATTTAGGACTTTACATGGAATTACTTCACCTATTTCATATCACGTGACTATGAATAAGCCAATGAGCATCTAGAATACATATGGGGTATATAATAATACTCTAGTTAGTCTAGTACCCTCTTATTCACCTTCTGCCTTGAGAATTAAATCGAACTGTATTTAGTTGAGTAACATAATAACATAACAAAGAAAAGATATTCAGTTTTGATTATTCATTTCAAATTATGATAATCTGAAGGCAAATCCAAAAAGTATTTATCCAAGTATAATACATACAGGGTGTTCCAAAAGCAACAGGACTGGTGCTGGTATTTTGTTAAATATGCACCAATTGTCTTCAAATTTTTACATAATGTACTTTCTTGTATTGTAACTAAAACTGCAACGTTTCGACTAAAAATATGAAGCTCGGGTATAGTTATGGTTGCTATGGTAACATGACATCACAATACCCGGGGCAACATTCCATGCAGAAAGTTTCTCGGACTTTAAGTATTTTGTACATCCCATATCAAAGTTGAAATGCAACTGGTGGGAATTACATTTGCTTTACATCATTTGATATTCCTATGTACCCCCTACTTTGAAAAGTAGGTTCCTCTTTGGTCAGTACAAGGGTAACACTCTGTATCCATAACTGAAACACACGAGTGAGCCCATTTGAGGACATCGCAGGGTCGCTTGGACAACTTGGAGAAGGTCATTCTCATCTTTAAAGGTCTTACCACACTGATAATCATTCTATTTTCCATATAAGTAAAACTTAGATATTGCATTATCAGAAGAGTATATGGTCCATGTTCTTAGACCTTAGACCTTGAGAACTAGCTCTTCTATAGGTGCAATGGTATTTAATGCTGCATGAATTCCTATAGCAGGCCCGTTATCAAGGTGGATGACTGGCTTCAAATTGGGTCTTTTCATAAAACTCAACCGTGAATTGTGCGGTTAAAGAAAGTGATATTCCAAGAAATTAAATAAATATTTATCTTGTGAAATCATACTTGAATCTGAGTTATATTGCATAATTGCAACAAATCAACTAATAAAACATACAAGAAATGTTATACTGTAATAGGTGAATTAGATACTTTATTGAAGTTATACAAATATGTTAGATAGCACATTTTCATGAAAAAAGTTGCCCCGGGTATTGTGATATCATGTTACTATAGTAACCATAACTCTACCCATATTTTATCATTTTTTCTGAAACTATAGAATTATAGTTGCAATACTTCGAAGTACAACTTGTGAAAATTTGGAGATCCTCGGTGCAGAATTGGCAAAATGCCAGCACCAGTCCTGTTACTTTTGGAACACCCTGTATACCTAAAAGACAGAATCGCTTGCATCAATGAGAACTATACTGCTACACACTAATGTGTTCAAATGTTTCACAGTACACAGTCTCCAATTTATCTTTATATCAACCACTGCAGCTAACACCAACATCTTCATCATGGCCGCAGTCTTCATCTCCCCAATCATTGTGGTTACACGCAAACAATGTTCTCTCAGTTCCAACACAATTCGAATCATCCAACCATATGGGACCCGAACCATCAGTGACATTAGAACTTTGTATTACAGTCGCCCTCTCAGACTCAAAACCTAAAAAGGATAATCAGGATACGATGAACCATCCCACATAGTATTTACTCTTTAACCTGTTTTGATATTTCAAAAAGGGTCCGTACCTAAATGTCTACAGGCAACCTTGGCGTCATTTGTATCGAACGAATCGTCACACACAGTGCCCCAACTACCATTATAGAACACTTCAAGTCTTCCCGATGCAACACCACCAATCAAGCGAAGTCCTCCATTGCAACTAACACCAACATCTTCATTATGGTTGCAGTTCTCAACTCCCCAACCTCTGTGTCTACATTCAAACAATGTTTTCTCAGTCCCGATACAATCCATATCATCCAACCATGTGGGATCCGAACCATCAGGAACATTAGGACTTGCTACGACAGTTGCCCCCTCAGACCCCAAACCTAAAAACGATTATTGAGAATACGATAAACCATTCCACATGGTATCATTGTGTAACTTGTTTTAATCTTATGGATCAAAAAGGTCACATACCTAAATGTCTACACGCAACCTTAGCGTCATTCAAATCGAACCCATCGTTACACACAGTGCCCCAACTACCATTATAGAACACTTCAAGTCTTCCAGATGCATCACCACCAACCAAGCGAAGACCTCCATTCTTGCAATTAACACCAACATCTTCGTTATGGGCGCAGTTCTCAATTCCCCAACCGCTGTGTTTACATTCAAACAATGTTTTTTCAGTGCCATTACATTTCATATCATCCAACCACGTGGGACCCGAACCATCAGGAACATGAGAACTTGCTATGACAGTTGCCCTCTCAGACCCAAAACCTAAAAACGATTTTTGAGAATACGATAAACCATTCCACATAGTATTGTTACAGTAGTGAGCTACATGTTTATTATATTCTACTATATTCACCTATAGTTTAATTTGTAATCTATGCTTGCTGTATATGTTGAGCTATTCTTCATTAGAGATCTTAGGTCAAGGTCAGGGGCGGATCTGGGAACCAACAAGGGGGGGGGCCCAAACTTTTTGTCTGATAAAAAAATGTCCGCGCTTGCGCGGAAAAAATTTTTAGGCCCCTAAAACCAAAATGTGGGCCCAAATTTTGAAATTTTGAGGCCCATTTTCTTCAAAATTTGGCCTAAAATGAAAAAATAAGGCCTTAGAAGGCCCATTTATGACCAAAAAGGCCCACTTTTTGGGGCCACAAGGCCTTTTTTTGCTCAAAAATTTTTTTGGGCCCAATTTTTTTTTCTGGGCCCACCCGAGGGGGGGGGCCCGGGCCCCTGGGCCCCCCCCCCATATCCGCCAGTGAAGGTCACAATGACATTATACACTGTATCTTGTAAACAAAACTGAACTGAATGACTCATTAACCCTTGACAAACCAGAGAGTTCTAGAAATTATAACCATTCATTAAAATTTAATCATGTCACTAAAGATGTCCAATCAAGATGTAGTTCCAGAAGATTCATTTCTGGATAATTCTTTCACATTATAAAAGGAACTGCACAGTGGCTCTCATCAGCAGATAATTAAAGTCATCAACTGGACATCTTAAAGGAACTAATAAAGACACCTACTGTGGGAACATTTATAACACAACATACAACCTGAGGACTTTATATGGACATACAGGGTGATCCAGAAGTAACGTCAAAGATGTTGTAATTTCAAAAGTATTCATCAGATCTTCATGAAATTTGGTATACATGTACCCACAACATTTCTGAGTTACCATCTCAAAGATTGGAATTCAATCATTTCATTGGTTGAAATTATGGTTGCTATAGTAACCCGATATCGCGTAACCCGGGGCAAATTACTTAACGTGTAATGCGTAATCTCAAAATATCAACAAGATCTGAAATTGTTATATCCTCAACATTTTATTTCACAACAATATAAATCATACTATTGCACAGTTACTAATAATAGTTCATTCTACATAATTGCCACCATTTGCAACACATTTCTCATGTCTGGATACCCATTCCTTGAACACAGAATTAAATCCATTATAACTCATTCCTTGTAGGGCTAGTACTACGGCATTTTTCAATTCCTCACAGGATTGAAAATTATTTCCACTAAGGTTTCTTTTTAGTTCCCCATACAAATAAAAGTCACTGGGGGCAAGATCAGGTGAATAAGGGGCATGTTCAAGTTGTTGAAATCCAAGTGTTTGGACTGTGTTGCTGGTCAGGATTGCAGTGTGCGTAGGGGCATTGTCCCAATGCAAGATAAACTGCTGCAGATGTCCGGGACGCTTTTTCCTCAGGGAACGTTGAAGATCACGCTTCAGAACCTGAAAAACAAATGTTTAATGGTTGTTAAACCAGTTGTTTCATTGATTGGATTTGGATTTGAATCATGGCCATGGAGTTATAATTATATTGACAGTGAACAACATTTAAATACTTTAATTTAAAAATAAAATTCACAGTATGATGTATTATTAGAACAAATGATATCTTACCTTTGCAATGTAAACGGCATTAATTCTCTGGCCAATGGGAACAAAATGGGTTAACACCATTCCTCTAATGTCAAAGAATGTCACAACCATTTGTTTCTTTTGTGGAATTCCTGGTACTATTTTAGGCTTGGTTGGTGTTGGGGAGTTGTCATGTTTCCACGATGAACTTTGTTGCGTGGTCTCTGGGATGTAGAATGATAGCAATGATTCGTCACTCGTAATGATCTTGTTAAGAAAGTCATCTCCATCTCTCTGATATTTTGCAAGAAAGTCCCTTGAAGCCTTAACACGCCGGTCTTTCTGCTCCTGTGTCAAGTCATGCGGCACCCATTTAGCAGACACCTTCTTTAACAGACAGTTCTTTGTCAGTATCCGTTGCACAGTCCCATAGCTCAGATCGTGTTTTTCAGCCAATTCTCTGATAGAAATTTGCCTATTGTCCATAACATCAGCTTCAATTGCTTTGATGGTTTGATCATCGAATGACGACACTGGCCTGCCTCCTCGCTGCTTGTCTACCACTTCATCATATCCACTGGAATACTTGTTAAACCACCTGTAAATGTTTCTCTCAGCAATGGCAGCTTTACCATATGCCTTCTTTATCTGTCTTATAGTCTCTTTTACACCTTTCCCCAACTTTACACAGAACTTAATGTTTGTTCTTTGCTCTATTTTACTCTGACTTGGCGCCATCTTGAATTGGGTGGGTTAGTGTCCTTGGTCATGTTAGTATTTGTCATGGATGATGGAAGCAATTCAAAGAAATTGAAAGCTTTTTATGAATGCCTATTGTGACATCACAACTATTACATATTTCTTACCATGGCAACAAATATAAAAATCATAGAAAACAAACAATGAACATTTTCAAATGTTACTGACTTTTTAAATTAGAGAAATTCACAAAAACGTTATGGTTTCTCTTCAATTTGCCCCGGGTTACGCGATATCGGGTTACTATAGCAACCATAATTTCAACCAATGAAATGATTGAATTCCAATCTTTGAGATGGTAACTCAGAAATGTTGTGGGTACATGTATACTAAATTTCATGAAGATCTGATGAATACTTTTGAAATTACAATGTCTTTGACGTTACTTCTGGATCACCCTGTATATTACAACACACACTATATACGGATTATCATATACATTCGTGGATTATCATAAACATTTGTGGATTATCATCAAACATTTGTGGATTATCATCAAACATTATTGGATACGAACATTATAGGATTACGACGAACATTATTGGATTATTACAAACATTGGAGAACTATTAACGATTATTGAAACTTTCGTGATCTGGAACATTCTCAAGGATCGTCAAGGATATTTATCGACATCAAGAATAAGCTGTATCATTGATTGGACATCACTTAAGTATTAAACCTCCTTTATATTATTGTTATATTATTTAGTTTTCAAAATATAAATATATTGTTACCATATTTTAATTGCTGTTTTTACTTTCTGTTATTTTCGAACGTAACAGAAATTGGGGGCTCGTCCGGGATACAACTACAACAAGCTAAAATTCATAAATCTTAAAATTCAAAATTCCAAAATTGTATATTTAAATTGTGAAGACAGCAATTATTGAAAATGAGTTTTGAGGTTGAGACATTTTTAGAAGCGCCCTCTTTGGAGGAATTTGACGATTTAAAGAAAACTGAACTTCTGGCAATTGCAAAACATGTTGGCATGTCAGTCAAAAGCTCATACAATAAAGGTACAATTAAAAACTTTGTACTTCAATATTTGGTCGCAGAATCACTTCTGCCTGAGCAGCCAGCCCAGCATGTTGAGCATGTTGATCCTATTAGGCTCAAAGAACTTGAATTAAGAGAGCTTGAAATTAGAACACAACAACAAAATGAAAGAGAAATTAGAGAATTGAGAGAGAAAGAATTGCAAAATGAAATCAGAGAGAAAGAAATGCAAAATGAAAAAGAAATACGATTGAGAGAACAAGAAATTCAAAAAGAAAAAGAAGTTGAATTAAAACGACTTGAATTAGAAGCTCAATCAAAAACTGATGAACATGCTACTATGCATCAACATTTTGAAAATAGGTTTGACGCTTCAAAATTTCTCAAATTTGTACCTAAATTTCAAGAGAAAAATGTTGATAAATACTTTACACATTTTGAAAAAGTCGCTCAGAGCCTAGACTGGCCTAAATCAGCATGGCCAGTTATGCTTCAAAGTGTATTCATTGGTAAAGCAAGTGAAATATTTGCCTCTCTCTCAGGAGAAGTATGCTCTAATTATGACCTAGTTAAAAATGCAATTCTTAAAGCTTACGAACTAGTGCCAGAAGCTTACAGACAAAAATTTAGAAATGCCCACAAACAGAGTGACCAAACCCATGTTGAGTTTGCTCGAGAGCAAGAGCAGCTTTTTGACCGGTGGCTTGTCTCTAAAGAAGTATCTGAAGAGTTTAAGAAGCTCAGAGAGCTAATGCTTATAGAACAATTTAAAAACTGTGTTCAGTATCACATTAGAACTTACTTAGATGAACACAAGGTAGAAACTTTAAGTCAAGCTGCCACCCTGTCTGATGATTATGCTCTTACTCACAAGGGTAGTTTTATCAAAGGTAATCCTAACTTTAGAGGTTATCAAGGTAACAAACCTTCATATGATTCAAAATCAAATCAGTCCTCATCATCAAATACATCAAACAAAGCAAAGGACCAGTCTCATTCAACACCGCGTTCTAGCTCAAAATCAGATCAATCACATTCTTCAGGTCCAAAATCAAATGTCACCTGTAATTATTGTAAAAAGCCTGGTCATCTTATTTCTGAATGCTATAGGATTAAGAATAGAAGAGAGATGTCTGGTTCTGCTCATTCAAATGGTTGTGCTACAGTTCCCATTTCAAGAAAGCCCATTGTTTGGGATTCATATACTCATACTGAAAAATCTACTCATAGTGATATTATGGAGGATTATAAGCCTTTCATGTCGGAAGGATCTGTGTCACTGTCAAGTGATGGTACCAATTCAAAGCCAATTAAGATTCTTAGAGACACGGGTGCATCTCAGACTTTGTTGTTAGAAGGTGTCCTTCCTTTATCTGAGGAGTCATTCACAGGTACCCATATTTTGATGCAAGGCATTGAATTAGGTTTTACTAAAGTTCCCCTCCATCGTATTCATATCACATCGGAGTTAGTCAAAGGGCCAGTTATTGTTGGTGTTAGGCCACAACTTCCTGTTGAAGGAGTCGCATTGCTTTTAGGCAATGATTTAGCTGGGGGTAAGGTATCTTTAGACCCCATTGTTTCTGATCAGCCTTGTTCTATTGAGAACAGGATCTTAAGAGGTTCTGGACAAATTATTTGATTCTGGACTTGTCATATTTTTTTTCAACGAAATCACATCCAAGGGTTGAATTTTTATTAGCTATTTAGAGAGTGAGTCCTGCCTAGTATTAATTTCAATAAAAAAGTTAAAATAGAACCCTATTTGAGAGTCAATCTAATACTTACATTACATTGATAAATTAAGGCAAATCCTGAAATATTTTTAAAGTGCGTTTTTTAATGAAATATTATCCAGCAAGTATTTAAATGAAACGGTCTTATTTAAATACAAATCATAACATGATATTTTTCATGAAACATTTTTCAATGAAATTCAATTGAAGGGTCAAGATAAAACGAGCTAATTTAGGTGAAAACCCTTACATGATGATGTGTTTTCATAACTTCTTTCATAAAATTCCATCAAGGGGTGAAGATAAAATGATCGAATTTAAGTGATTTAAGGATCACGAGAATATGTTTTCTTTGATATTTTCTATGAAATCCCATCCAATGGTCAAGGTAAAATTTTGATTTTGATTTTGATTTGGTCACGTGTTCGAAAGATCCATATAAGGCCCATAGAACTATATAGGAACGTCATTTTGAATGTCACGTGATAGATCCATATAAGGCTTTTAGAACCATTTATGGAAAGATGAGGGAAGCCCCTGACACCTGTTTCACGATTTTTATGCACTTCATTATTGTACCGAAGTTTGCCGATTCGATTCGTCGTATTTCGGAATCCTGGTGACAATTTTATACTCCATTGGAGTATTTTTGACCTACTTCTTATGACGGAAATTCCCGAACCTTGTTCGGATTAATCCGGATTTTCTGACCTACTTTATCTACCGAGATTTCACGAGTTAACATTCGTCTCATTCCGGAATCCTGGTGACAATTTTATACTCCATTGGAGTATTTTTGATCTACTTTTTCTGGATTTTGCCCTACTTATTATATCTTGACAACAAGCAAATCAAAAAGTTCGACATGAACGGGTCTCGATCAACTAACCTAGACTATGGAAGCCAGGCACGCTAACCATGAGGCCAACGAGCTTCCGATATGAAAGAACAAAAGTATTATATATTTATACCAAGCGTCAATTCAAAAGGATCCTCACTTTTGCCTCCACTTAAATACGACTCGTCAGTTGTATCCAGAATAGTAGAACGCCTATGGCGCTAGTGAATAACCAAGTCCCAGGTGAGTGGTTCGTATCCCTCCGTGATATACTATTTTTGTTTTATCAAATACGACAGAAAGGAGCAAGGTGTAGGTTGAAAACAAGACGTTAGTTTGTTTCAAAACAGTTTGGAAACATTAATCTCTGGAACATTATTTTTTCAACACTGATACAAATTTCCCTGACATTTCCCTGACATGTCTACCGTTTCAAAATTCCCGGTCATCTTTGGCCCTTTTGACCTAATTTTAAAATTACCTGACATTTCCAGCACTTGGAAAATCAAGTCAATTTCCCTGACATTTCCAGGTGTGTATGAACCCTGGAAATATCCCACTGGCTCGCCCTATGAATCGCTAGCACAGATTGGATTGATTAGTGTTTCAAAATGGTGGACGAAGTGTTTGATTAGATAATTTACATAGGGGCAACAAGGCCTGTACATAGAAAATTCGAAATTTTTTACATTTTCTGAATTTTTAGGGCAACATTTGGCTTTAACATCTTTTTTTATACATTTTTTCTTAAAATGTATGGATAAACAATAAAATTTCAGCATTAAGCAGTGCAAATTCAGTTCAAAGCTTCTATAAAGGGAGTCCAACTTACATGACTTATAGATTTTGAAAATCCGACTCGTTTAAAGAAGAATATCAGCAGCTTAAATCACGCCTTGTGATCATACAAAATAGATGGAGGGGGGGGGGGTAGGCGATTTCTGCAAGAAAACTCAACAAATTTGGAAGATTTATTTTTTTCAAGATAAAATTTACAACTGAATTGCCAAATGAATAGGCGCAGTGCATGGCAAAATATGTAAGGTCTTCTAGTATTTTTTGAACTGATACGCTTCTAAGATATGAGATCTATTATAAAAGGCGCATCATCATCATTATCATCATCATCAACGTGCAAAAGTCAATGTTTTTGCTATAAATCAGGCAACAATGGTCTACACGACCTGTAATAAATAGGTATGAGGGGCGTTATTAGAGAATTTTCGTTATAAGTTTTTTAAAAACTTATACGTATACTTATACTTATAAACCCAATAAACAAGGTGTTTCATAATTTCCTAATTCGTCGGGAAATATCTCCTAGGACGGTAGTTCAACGTCGTTAAACTCAATAACGGCGTTCTTTATTATTAGGAATTTTTTGGGGCCGTTATTGAGTTTAACCTCCTTACTATTCTTTCCTTTGATGCAAGTTCTGAATCCATCGAAACCATTTTTCCGCGATAACGTGCAACTGATACTTGACAATAATATAAAAACACATAACATCAAGCGATTTAGCACAATATTTTTGTGTTAAATGTTCATTTATACGAGTAAAATGAGGCTACACTTACCAATCTCTAAAGTGACATTCCGCATGTCCGTCATTGTGTCTGTTCGTCTGAGTGTCCCGGATCGTAAAATTAAAGTACCAGCGAAACGAAATTGTTGTCAAATAGATTGATAATTATTATCGCGATTACTCGGGATAAAAAGATCAATTTTGAGGATAACAGGTATCTTTGATTAATTTATATAGCGCGTGTATACACGCAAAACAGTTATTAATTGCAAACTCACTGTTCGTTAATGCAGTGCCGTGATGACGGTTAATTCCTGAAACGATTTGCAATTTCGATGTTACCGAAACTGACCGACATTTTCGTCATTTCCAAACCTGTCTCCAATATTTTCGTAATTATGCATCAATAGGGTCTAAGGGGGATACGGGACGGGGTGTATGTGTTTATAAGGTATGTATGCATGTTTGAATCACATTCTTTGTGTAATATTGCCATGTTTTCAGGGTTTAATTTGTTCCGCTTGTCGAAACCTGCTGAACGATTAAATTAACGCATCAAAGGCAAAATGGTCATGGAGGTTAGACCTAGCCGGGCCATAACACATGTCAGATAAGAAACGAGGCCCGGGCTAGGTCTAATGTTGTTGGACTACTAGGACGGTAATAAAAAGGGCCAATGGCATACCATCCGTACCCCCTTGATGTAAAGCATGTTTAGTTGTGGCATATGTGTTTTCTAGAATCAAATAGGCTGATATAGCACACGGGTTTTACAGATTTATCTACTCTCAAATATATTTTTTGTAGATGATCGTTTTGAATCACCTTTGTAGAAATAACGAAGGGAGAATTAGTTCAGCTAATGAATGAGTCGAGCTATTTGATTGGATACTATGCCTATTCAGCCGATTAATTTTAATAAGCCATTCTGGTCAGTAGGTCCACACATATACTATGCGGAGATCCAACTCTGTAAGTTTATAATCTGCGTATAAAGGCCCTTTTATACGTAAAAACTTAAAAATTGACCTTATAATTTCATGAGAACTTTGAAATGATCGACTCGTTCGTGTAGTGATTCACTTTAAAGGGTCTTGTTTATCGTACACTACAAGGACCCGTCAACTAGAATTTAGTTTATCGTGTTCATAATTGACACTAGCAAAGGACATTGTATTCGCAGTCCCTAGTTGATGATGAAGCTTGACTATATCGGGAATAGTTATGCCCCACTTGGTACAGATTATGAAAATCAATTTGAATTGATTTTAGTTCGACAAGACCCTTTAAACTCTAAGTATACGTATAAGTTTTTGAAACAACTTATAACGAAAATTCTCTATTATCACAACACTGACATTGCTCACTTTTTAAAGTTGTTTCAAAGCGTTATATGTAAATGGGCGTGTGGAAGGCCCGTGGGTGGCAATAAAATAACTCGAACTTCAAATTAAAATATATATAAAATAGTATATTTCAAACTTCAATGTTTAAAATACAATGCTCTGTAATGTACAACATGAACTCTTACAGCAACTACTGACAAGCCAACACCCAATGCAAACTCAGCTACATGTGAGTGAGAAAGACCATATAGGGGAACAATAGATATATAAAACTGACACAGTTTGCATAGTTGAATAACTCAAGGTGAAAAGTGAACATGGTATTAAAAGAGTAAAACTGCAAACAACCTACTTAGGGACCTGTTATATTGAGATGAATAGGGATTGATTAATATGAACAGTAATAATATAAAATGTGAAAATGACCATGTTACATATACAAAAAATAACCCCATTGTTACAAAATCACAAAAAGTGAAATATCTATTCTTGTATTGCATTTTCGTTCACTGGACATATTTTAATTGTTATGCTATTAGATACATTTTAAGGGTGATATGAAAATTGAACCACGAAAACAGATGTACTTTAAGTTAAAGGGAACTTTCTACCATACCCGCCATGCTATCTGACCCGAACGAGCCACCTTGTGGTGAGATTGGTAACTACCTGCTCGCATCTGCGTTATTACGCAGAGACATAAACGTACACACAAGGAAACGATATGAGATAACCTATTTTATCTCTTTATACATTTTAACTTTAATACATCGTTGAATCGAATTTGTCCAAAGGTCTTGAAACGTAAAATACCTAAATATTTATCTTAGACCTTGGGATGACCTTGTCCAAGAAACATTAATGTTGACCTCGATTCATCTAATCATAATTCGCCAAGGGCCATAGTATCATCAAACGCCAAATACCTAGACATTGATCGTTTACTTGGATTTAAATAAGGAGTATGATTTTAAAATTGGCTAGGTCGTGGTTAAGCAACAATAGTATGTTCGAAATACCGCTGTGTAATGCCTGGATCACATTTGCTGCGAGTATTTTGTTCAAAATTGAATACATTTCTGAACACAATACTCAATCGGCCGGGCGCCGTAGTGAAAATCGGAGCAAATGTGACCAAGACATAAAACAATTGAATAATACTGTATCAGTTTCACATTTACAGCGGTCAAAAGCATTTACAAAAAAACCGCCAGAGTTGGCAATCATATAAAATGAAACCAATCCCGCTGTGATTCATAGAAATAACTAATTTACTGCATTGAGTTCAATGTTATAACCATGTCGATTTACATGAGTGTCCGATTCATTGTACCAAATTTAAACCTTGACTGTTCTCCAGAAAGCAATAAGCTGACATATATCATATTTTACATTTTAATACAACTGAAAAGATAATAAATGTTTTAATATAAAGTTGACGTAGTTATAAATGTTTTTAGCGTAAAATCAAAGCACAACCATATAATTAAAAACATTACGCTGGGATTCCAACTGGATACAACACACTACTATACCTTGCATTTGCTGTTCATGAGCAACCCATTTGGCTTATTAGTAATGATTATGTATTTGTTTTTATTTGTCTGTTCCTTATGAATGGTTTATCGGTTGAAAATTAGATGCTAGTAAGGCACTTTCAAAAATATATTAAACAATTCAATTAGACAAACAAAGTATCTTATGCATTTCTAGGTGTTAGGTATAGTAGTGTGACAACTGACGAGTTGTATTTAGGTGGCCTAAAGTGCTGCTTATTTTTTCGTGAAGCCACTCAGTAAAATTACGATTTCTCTCAACCCTGATGTTCAATCAACATCATTCGAGTATCTATATGTTCCTGACAAGTTCGGGCATCCGGTTATGACAACGTCTACCCAATGTTTGCACGAGAAATTGTCGTAATTCATGACTGAAATCGGGAAGACAAAAATATGTGATATTCTTTCAGAATTGTTTATAATAACTATTTACAAAAACGTTCCCGAGACACAATCCATTTAGGTAGGGTTTGTTTTAAAGTCGAAAAGCCCCAATAAGACAATACAAACCCAGATTAAACCCAGAAGAATGCAGATTTCATGTAATGATTTACGTTCATGTAAACAAGGAAAGTACATATAATCCCCATATAAAACACTGGCCTACGTGACATGTAGGGGAACATGGGGCAAAACGGCCCTCTGGGGCAAAGTGGCCCATCGAAATATCTTTTGAACTATAAAAAGATGGTTCTTCAAAAGTCACATAATCGAATTTTGAAATTTCTGCCACCTTCTCGACCGCCCATTTTTAACCAAGCAGCGTCTCGCTTTACGTAAGAGGTAATTCTACTTTTCACCCTCTTTTTGTAAATAACCCCTCCCACGAGAATCTCTAAAAAATCCGGCAACAAAAGAATATCGTTCTGATTTAACATTTAAGAAAGAGTATGCACATTTATTCTTTATTTGTAAAAATTTCGAGCTTCAAATATTAGGCAAATTAAAATGACGTATATTTGAAAATTCACATGTCTTTGGGGCAAAACGGCCCACACATGTTATAACATACAAAAATCTTATTGTGCAAGAACAATTGGTTTTCAAATATAACGATTTTAACATTTGGCTTGTACCTTATTTCCTTCCGACACATATCGAATGACTAGAATTATGGTAGGGGTTAAGAATACTTTATCTGTCAAAGGTTTGAACGTCTGAGATATTATGTGTGTGGCCGAGTCTTGTAATTGATTAATTTTGGTTTTAAAACCCATGTAACAGAGGGTGGGCCGTTTTGCCCCACCCATGGGCCGTTTTGCCCCAGTCTTGACAATATTTTTGACCATTGAAAAATCACAGAAGGTAGTCCTAGGAAAGTATAAAACACTCGGAAAATGTAAACCACAAACCATTAATAAAGTTGAACATCAAAGTGCGCGATGATTGACAGATAAGAAAATTCCCCGTACAGAACAACTTAAAATTAAATTTTTAGGGCCGTTTTGCCCCATGTTCCCTTAAACACAGGTTCAAATTGAAATATAGAAAATTTTCAACATAGCATTTGCTTCTGTGTTCTGTATGCCCCTCTACCTGCTAATAAGGCAATGTATCTTCAAATAAAACCTTAGCCAAGTAGATAAGGGTCTCTGGAACACTTTTGTAAATAGTTTTCACAAGCATTCCCGGACGCCCAAACGTGTCAGGAACACATATATATTTGAATGATCTTGATTGGACATCAGGTTGCAGAGAAATCGTATTTTTACTGAGTGAATTATTGAATTTCATAGATCTAGAGGCCCTTCAGGAGTGGAAAACCTTAAATTATCAGAGATTAATGTTTCCAAACTGTTTTGAAACAAACTAACGTCTTGTTTTCAACCTACACCTTGCTCCTTTCTGTCGTATTTAATAAAACAAAAATAGTATATCACGGAGGGATACGAACCACTCACCTGGGACTTGGTTATTCACTAGCGCCATAGGCGTTCTACTATTCTGGATACAACTGACGAGTCGTATTTAAGTGGAGACAAAAGTGAGGATCATTTTGAATTGACGCTCGGTATAAATATATAATACTTTTGTTCTTTCATATCGATAGCTCGTTGGCCTAATGGTTAGCGTGCCTGGCTTCCATAGTCTAGGTTAGTTGATCGAGACCCGTTCATGTCGAACTTTTTGATTTGCTTGTTGTCAAGATATAATAAGTTGGGCAAAATCCAGAAAAAGTAGATCAAAAATACTCCAATGGAGTATAAAATTGTCACCAGGATTCCGGAATGAGACGAATGTTAACTCGTGAAATCTCGGTAGATAAGGTAGGTCAGAAAATCCGGATTAATCCGAACAAGGTTCGGGAATTTCCGTCATAAGAAGTAGGTCAAAAATACTCCAATGGAGTATAAAATTGTCACCAGGATTCCGAAATACGACGAATCGAATCGGCAAACTTCGGTACAATAATGAAGTGCATAAAAATCGTGAAACAGGTGTCAGGGGCTTCCCCTCATCTTTCCATAAATGGTTCTAAAAGCCTTATATGGATCTATCACGTGACATTCAAAATGACGTTCCTATATGGTTCTATGGGCCTTACATGGATCTTTCGAACACGTGACCAAATCAAAATCAAAATCAAAATTTTACCTTGACCATTGGATGGGATTTCATAGAAAATATCAAAGAAAACATATTCTCGTGATCCTTAAATCACTTAAATTCGATCATTTTATCTTCACCCCTTGATGGAATTTTATGAAAGAAGTTATGAAAACACATCATCATGTAAGGGTTTTCACCTAAATTAGCTCGTTTTATCTTGACCCTTCAATTGAATTTCATTGAAAAATGTTTCATGAAAAATATCATGTTATGATTTGTATTTAAATAAGACCGTTTCATTTAAATACTTGCTGGATAATATTTCATAAAAAAATGCACTTTAAAAATATTTCAGGATTTGCCTTAATTTATCAATGTAATGTAAGTATTAGATTGACTCTCAAATAGGGTTCTATTTTAACTTTTTTATTGAAATTAATACTAGGCAGGACTCACTCTCTAAATAGCTAATAAAAATTCAACCCTTGGATGTGATTTCGTTGAAAAAAAAATATGACAAGTCCAGAATCAAATAATTTGTCCAGAACCTCTTAAGATCCTGTTTGAGGATTCTGTCCAAGAGGACTCTGATATATATCCTGCTTGTGCTGTTACTAGGGCTACGGCTAAAAGGTTAGCTGATAGCGGGGATTCGTCTGTGGGAGATGACTTTGATAGTGGGTTTTTAAGCTCCTTGTTTGATGATGAATGTCACTCACCACTTGTTAAAGATGGTCCTTATCCTATTGTAAAGGCAAATTCTTCATTGAAACAGCCTTCTGTTCGAGCCAAGCAGTCATCTATTGAGGCATATTCTTCATTGAAAAAGCCTATTGCCAGAGGTGATTCACCTTCTGAGCAGGATCACTATTTTAATGCGGTTTCGCCCGCTCTTGCTAGTCTTGATGAAGTTTCATCTTCTTCTGCTAGTGTTCATGAGGTTTCATCCCCTCCTTGTTCCGAGGTTTCATCCTCTTCTAGTTCTGAGGTTTCATCCTCTATTTCTGATAGTGATTCTTTGAAAAATGATCCTCATTCTAAAAACATGTTAATTTATGAACAAGAGCATGATCCATCACTCATTGATCTTCATAAAAGATGTCTTACTATTGATGAAGCTGACAAGGTCCCTGTTTGTTTCTACCAAAAGGATGGCATATTAATGCGAAAGTGGAGACCTCCTGAAGCTTCCCCTGAAGATGATTGGGCAATTGTGCATCAAATTGTTGTCCCAAAATCATATCATAAGGAAATCTTGAGTCTAGCTCATGATTCTCCCATGGCAGGTCATTTAGGAGTAACTAAAACATACCATAAAATACTCAATCATTTCTATTGGCCCACATTAAAACAAGATGTCCAAGAGTATTGTAGGTCTTGTCATACATGTCAAATGGTAGGGAAACCTAACCAGAAAATTCCAGTTGCTCCTTTACACCCTATACCTGCATTTGATGAACCATTTAGTAAGGTTCTTATTGACTGTGTTGGTCCATTACCAAAAACAAAATCTGATAATCAATATCTGCTCACTATTCTGCCTATGGCCACACAGTTTCTAGAAATAAAATCACATCTTATGCTTAGGAATAGCAAAACCAAGTATATTGTGAAATCACAAATCAACAATTTCACATTAGTGGAGCTACCAAAGGAGCTCATATCTGACTTACAATCTGACTCAGTGCTGAATGATTTCTTTTGCATTGATGAAATACCCCTGTGAGGTGCAGAGAGCTACACATGATGAAAAAGTATGTTGAGCGTGATAAATTTCTTACTCAGCATGACCTTGTGCTCTTAGCTCTCAGACCAAACTTGTATGTACATGGCAACTATATGTTATTCAAGATTTAGATATTGTAAATTATCATGATTAACTCATGAAGACTATATTATATGATAGGCAAATTAGAGATTTGTGATAACTGTCACTTTATTTTAACAATATATAAAACATTTGCCTAAATAGTGAAATTGATATTATGTGAACCATAAGATTGTATTAGATTATGTGAGCATCATAGGTGATCATTAAATAGTGTCACAAGATTACTTGATAACATCAGAGTGTACTATTAAAAAATACTTACATAAGATCATGTGATAATTTAAAACATTGTACTAGATTAGTGTTTGTCAGACTCAAAAAGGTATGCTATTGTACATGTTATATGATCTATTGCGTGTATTGTATTTATGACTTAATGCATAACTTATGTAGATATTATTGTAGTATGGGATTATAAGAACATTATATGTTATTAGATTGTACTCACACTGTAACGATAGAAAGTATTATATACTTGTAAATATACTGCATATAAAAACACTATTGTAAACAAATGTCATGTACGTCTCAACCTCACTTTTAGAAATTGTAACGCTCGCTACTCAAGATATTATTGTAAAAGTTTTTCATTGCATTCAAAACTTTTCTTTTAAGGAGGGAGGTGTTACAGTAGTGAGCTACATGTTTATTATATTCTACTATATTCACCTATAGTTTAATTTGTAATCTATGCTTGCTGTATATGTTGAGCTATTCTTCATTAGAGATCTTAGGTCAAGGTCACAATGACATTATACACTGTATCTTGTAAACAAAACTGAACTGAATGACTCATTAACCCTTGACAAACCAGAGAGTTCTAGAAATTATAACCATTCATTAAAATTTAATCATGTCACTAAAGATGTCCAATCAAGATGTAGTTCCAGAAGATTCATTTCTGGATAATTCTTTCACATTATAAAAGGAACTGCACAGTGGCTCTCATCAGCAGATAATTAAAGTCATCAACTGGACATCTTAAAGGAACTAATAAAGACACCTACTGTGGGAACATTTATAACACAACATACAACCTGAGGACTTTATATGGACATATATTACAACACACACTATATACGGATTATCATATACATTCGTGGATTATCATAAACATTTGTGGATTATCATCAAACATTTGTGGATTATCATCAAACATTATTGGATACGAACATTATAGGATTACGACGAACATTATTGGATTATTACAAACATTGGAGAACTATTAACGATTATTGAAACTTTCGTGATCTGGAACATTCTCAAGGATCGTCAAGGATATTTATCGACATCAAGAATAAGCTGTATCATTGATTGGACATCACTTAAGTATTAAACCTCCTTTATATTATTGTTATATTATTTAGTTTTCAAAATATAAATATATTGTTACCATATTTTAATTGCTGTTTTTACTTTCTGTTATTTTCGAACGTAACAGTATTACTGTTTAACTTGTTTTAGCCCTATGGGTCAAAAAGCTACATATACCTAAATGTCTACATGCAACCTGAGCGTCCTTAGTATCGAAGGAATCGTCGCACACAGTGCCCCATCTTCCATTACGGTACACTTCAAGTCTTCCCGATGTAACACCACCGATCAAGCGAATTCCTCCATGGCAACTTACACCAACATCTTCATGATGGCCGCAGTTTTCAACTCCCCAACCTCCGTGACTACATTCAAACAATGTTTTTTCAGTGCCATTACATTTCATATCATCCAACCATGTGGGACCCGAACCATCAGGAACATGAGAACTTGCTATGACAGTTGCCTCCTCAAAGTTCCAACCTAAAAAGGATTAATCAGGATACGATAAACCATTCCACATAGTATTACTGTTTAACTTGTTGTAGCCTTATGGGTCAAAAAGCTACATATACCTAAATGTCTACATGCAACCCGAGCGTCCTTAGTATCGAAGGAATCGTCGCACACAGTGCCCCATCTTCCATTACGGTACACTTCAAGTCTTCCCGATGTAACACCACCTACCAAGCGAAGTCCGCCATTGCAACTAACACCAACATCTTCAGTATGGTTGCAGTTCTCAACTCCCCAACCCCTGTGACTACATTCAAACAATGTTTTTTCAGTGCCACTACATTTCATATCATCCAACCATGTGGGACCCGAACCATCAGGAACATGAGAACTTGCTATGACAGTTGCCTCCTCAAAGTTCCAACCTAAAAAGGATTGGGTTTATGTAAAAAACCGGGTGACCGGGTAGCCGGGTGGCCGGGTAACTGGGTACTTAACATTCCTTGCAGGGTTACCAACTTTTAAAGTTGCACTTAGTAGACTACCCTTCAATATTTTTACGTTATCATTTTACCAAGAACCTGTAAGAGACTGAATTTCGGAAGTCCTAGGTAGTTATTTACACAGTTTACACGTACAATGACGTTAGTTTCTTGATTTATTGTCTGAGTGATTGACAGGATATCGATGATTGTTTTCTATGATGGCAATTTCTACTAGATATTAAACAAATCTGGAAGATTTACGTACGCGTAAATTGAAACGAAGTTATTTGCCGTTTTTATCTGTTAATTAGTGTACGATGTACAATACAACGTTAGTTGCTTGATTTCGGTTGATTTATCGGTAAATAAATGTTATTGCTTGTTTGGTTGTTTGCTTGATTGGTTGTGTCACTGGTACGTTGATTGGGATGTCAGTTGGGCGTTTTGAGGCATAAAATGAAAAAATCAAATTCCTAACCCTGGTAGGAAGGTAGGGTACCCGGTCACCCAGCTACCTGGTTACCCGGTCACCCGTGTTTTACACAAACCCAAAAGGGATACGATAAACCATTTCACATAGTATTATTGTGTAACTTGTTTTAACCTTATGGGTCAAAAAGATCACATACCTAAATGCTTACAGGCAACCTTGGCGTCATTAGTATCGAACAAATCGTCACACACAGTGCCCCATCTACCATTATAGAACACTTCAAGTCTTCCTGATGCATCACCACCAACCAAGCGGAGTCCTCCGTTGCAACTAACACCAACATCTTCATTATGGTTGCAGTTCTGAACTCCCCAACCTCTGTGACTACATTCAAACAATGTTTTCTCGGTTCCAGTACAATCAATATCATCCAACCAGATGGGGCCGTTACCATCAGTGACATTAGAACTTTGTATTACAGTCGCCCTCTCAGACTCCAAACCTTAAAAAGATAAAGCAGGATACAACGAACCATTCCACACATGGGGCGGATCTGAAACGAACATGGGGGGGGACGATACAAGTCTGAAAAAATATGGCGGCCCCTAAAACCAAAAATTGGGCCTATATTTTAAAAATCTAAGGCCTATTTTTACAAGTAAATTAAATAATAAGGTCCAGTAATTCCCAAAAAGGCCCACTAATTTGGGCCCTTAAAAACTTTGTACATAAACTTTTTTGGCTAGATCCGCCATTTCACATAGTATTCATATACTGTTTAACTAGTTTCAACATTACGAGTCAAAAGGGTCCCATACCTAAGTGCCTACACGCAACCTTAGCGTCATTAGTATCGAACGAATCTTCACACACAGAGCCCCAACTACCATTATAGAACACTTCAAGTCTTCCTGATGTAACACCACCTACCAAACGAAGTTCCATGTTTTCTGAAATGATGAATTGTCAACATGTGTAATTTCGGACGTTGTAACCTTGGGGAATAGTCTCAATACCTTGCAAAATGGGTATTCATAAGGATGATTTGTCCACGTGTGTGTTTTGGATGTTGTAACCTTGGGGAATAGTCTCAATACCTTGCAAAACGGATATTCATAGCGTTGATTTGTCCATGCGTGTGTTTTGGACATTGTAACATAGGGGAAAAGGTTTAAAGTCTTGCAAAATGGATATTCATAAGGATGATTTGTCAGCGTGTGTATTTTGGACGTTGCCACCTGGAGGAAAAGTCTCCGTGTCAAAAATGTCACAAGGTATTAACATGACAAAATCTCACCACCTAGTTGCTAACAATATTATTTCTCAGAACTTGTGGATGATTGAAAAAATTGGTCAATTTGAAGAAAGTTGAAAAAAGACCTTTTTTACCTTGAGAAGGTCACTGAAGGTCAAACCTTTCGATAACTTGTAGATGATTTTGAAAAAATTGGTCAATCTGAAGCAAGTTGAAAACAGACCTTTTTAACCTTTTTTTGACCTTGAAAATGTCCTTAAAGGCCAAGTCTTAAATAGAAAGTCAGATATGAACTTCTGAAACCTGTAGAGTGATTAAAAAAATGAAACGAGTCTAAACAGTATTTGCGAAGTTATTGGAAGTTGTAAGAATTTGTTTTAGACGCCAACCGCCACCCGCCGATCGCCAACCACCAACCGCCGCCACAAAAAACGGAGATCATAACAATTAATATGTCACCACTTTTGGATGGTGACATAATAAATATGATTTGAACCACGCGTGTGTTTTGGACGTTGGAATCTGGGGGAAAAGTCTCAATGATTTCAAAATGGATATCCATAAAGATAATTTTGTGTGTGTTTTCGGATATTGTAACCTGGGGAAAAGCCTCCATGACTTCCAAAATGGATAATAAGGGTGATTTGTCCACGTGTGTTTTGGACGTTGGAATCTGGGGGAAAAGTCTCCATGATTTCAAAATGGATATCCATAAAGATAATTTTGTGTGTGTTTTCGGATATTGTAACCTGGGGAAAAGCCTCCATGACTTCCAAAATGGATAATAAGGGTGATTTGTCCACGTGTGTTTTGGACGTTGTAACCTGGGGGAAAAGTCTCCATGATTTCAAAATGGATATCCACAAACATAATTGTGTGTGTGTTTTCGGATATTGTAACCTGGGGAAAAATCTCCAAGACTTCCAAAACGTATATTCATCAAGATGGTTTGTCCACGTGTGTGTGTTTTCGGATATTGTAACCTGGGGAAAAGTCTCCGAGTTTTGGACGTTGTTACCCGGGGGAAATCTCCGAGAAATGGATATCCATAGAGATGATTCGTCCATGTGTGTGTGTATTCGGATCTTGTAACCTGGGGGTTAACTGGTTAGTGCAATACATGTATTTATTGTAATATTTGTCTTCAACCGTATGCATTGTGTATTTCATATTTAGTGCAATATTCATATTTATTGTAATATTTGACAATAGTGCAACATGCTACTCACATTAAGTGCAATATATGAATTTATTGTAATATCAGTCTTCGACCATATGCATGATACAATTCACATTTAGTGCGATATTTGTATTTATTGTAATTTTTGACCATATGCAACATGCTACTCTCATTTAGTACAATATATGTATTTATTATGCAATATCCATATCACATTAGGTGCAATATATGTATTTAATATAATGATTGACAATATCATTCCATGAACTGCTTATTTATGCCAAACTGATTAATCAGACTGAATTTATATCATTATAAATTTTTACCAGGGACATTTTTTGTCTCTGTCTTTACGAATGTTGACCCAAGCTGCCCATTGGGGGTAGTAATGGGTGACACTCAGATATAATGTATACTGTGTCTCATAAGTCGGCACCGGCTGGGGATGTTACAAAATGTTGTTTTTATTATGTATTTTATATGTATATTGTAATATCAGTGACACAAAAATAAACTATTTTAAACTTAAAACTTAAACTGAATTTTTCAGCAAAAACTCCTGTAAAATTGCGTACCGTATTTCTACTAAAATCTACCGTAATTCTTTGAAAAATATCCATTTTCCTGTGAAAATGGCCAACCCATCATAACATGATCAGGCACAACCAAATACACAACTGCGAACTCCCATGCAGTGTCTCGGTATATATATCACTGCACGGGAGTTCGACACAACTGATAAAACCAAAGCATTACAGCACAATCAGGAACAACCTATAAAACACAAACTGTGACCAACCAACATAGCACAACCGGGTACAAACTAATGAACGACCACAGAAACACAATCGACTGTCAAGCTAACACAACCCAATAATTAGCCAACACAACACAGCCAACAAAACCAAACTCAACACAAACAAAAAACATGAATATACCGTTCCTTGAAAAATATACCCTAAAAACTAGTTTTTGAGAAATCTACCAAAACACTTCAGTTTTTGCAAAAAATTTACTGGAAATCCTAGTTTTTTTAATAAGGCTTTCAGGCTTTAGAACCCTCTATCCCCAGGTATGCAATTGTTATCTGTAGAAAGTAATAGCAATTCCAGATCCCTAGAGACTGATCAGAAATGATCAGTTATATTCCGTTGTAATGTAAACAAAGCCAGTGCCGCTGATTAGGTCACTCGATGAAGGTGTCAATTTGCAGAAGTCGACTTTATTTCATTTTTTTATATTTAAAGGAAAAAAGACCGAGATTTTATGATTCATGGCGTGATATATGACCGAAAAGTTGATTGTGAAAAGACCGAAATCGCGTAGCGATAGACCACGGTGCCCATGTCAAGCTGCGCGCCTACTTAGGCGCGCAGTTTGTTTCGATCACAAACTTCGTGCCTAAGAACATTGCATCATTTAAGTTGGAGTCTGTATTTTGAAACGTAATTTAAAGACATTTATCCTGCATTGTTTTCTTGTTCAATGCGTTCATTCTGTGGCGAATATACGAATCTTGCAAATACTAGCAAAAACTATGTGCAAATGAATCTAAGTTTTAAAACATAAGCAGATTAATGGCATTTTCGTCACAGATTTAACGGGAATTTATACGTAAATCGATCTAGCACTTTAAACATAAATGACAAATACTTTAGACTCGTTTTATATTTAATTCCTTTCACATTTATCATGTATAATTCAAAATATTTCGAGATAAAACAGATAATCAGAAGATTAAAAAGAAATAAATCACAAACTGCGCGCCTATTTTAGCCAGAAATTACAAACTGTGCGCATACACTATTAAAACTACATATTATCATTGGAATTTCTACAGAGGCACGTGTAGGTGTTTTTCATGTAGCTTTGGAAATTTTGCTTTATCGTCAGATTTTATGAGATTTTCATATTGAAAGTCAAAATGTATAATAGAAGTGACAATTAAGTTGGGAACGAAAAAAACTTTTATTTTCATATCACCATCTTGGTGGATGGACTCTCATAGTGTTTCAATTATGGGGTTCTACTATTAGACACATATGTGCCTTGTATGGCGCTTATGTTTTCTAATAATACAAAACAAGCTTGGATAGGCAAGCAGTTTGGAAATATTAGGCACGCAGTTTGGGAAATACATGTGAATATAGGCGCGCAGTTTGACAAGAAAAATGTTTAAATCACGTTTATGGCGTATTATCGTTTTGAACACAAACTTTGCTGCTTTAATCAGATGGAGTGATCCTATATATTCTAGCATACACAGACACAATGGCTGAATAAACGGCAAATGACGATAAAAAGACATAGATATAACTTTACACTGTAAATTTTGAACACAGAAGTTACTTAAGATCCTTATATTGAGATAATTAGGTTTACATCGGGAAAAACATTGAGTACTATGAGTAAATTAAGTTCATCTTCACAGAATGGTACTATCTTTAGAACGAGACTAACCTTGTATTTTTCGTATTTTGGCTCTTTTTGGGAGTCGTGTCCTCCCCGTCTCACATTTTGAAATATGCGCGCAGTTTGTCAGAGTTACAAACTACGTGCCTAGTAGGCACGCTGCTTGACATGGGCATCGTGTAGACGTCTTTTGCAATGGTCAGAATAAAATTTGAGGTCATATATTTGACATACTAGTAAATCATTAAATCGAGGTCTGTGTTACGATTCCAATATGATAAACAAACAAGAATCACAACTCTGTGCATTTATGAATTTTAGCGGTCATACTAGTACTCCAATAAAGACCAGTAAATCGTAATTGTGACGTAATTGTATCTTCAATAATTTTATACTCTCTAGATATTGACCTATTTTTAAGTTGTTCACATGTTCTGTACCTTGATCACTTGATCCTGTCTGACACGTCTCTACTAGTTTCTTCATTTGTTGCTTAATCATCATTTCAAGATCTTCCTTCAATGTTTCTGTTACCAACGTCAAATTGTTGCACTTTCCTATGAGATAAGGAAACATTTACAATATGAAAGTTTAAGATATATTTGTCTTTTTTCACTTCAAGTTTAAAATTAAATTCACAAAATTGATATGTAAGTTTAAAGATATATTTGTCTTTTTTCCACTTCAAGTTTAAAATTAAATTCACAAAATTGATATGAAAGCCTAGTGAGATATATTTTTCTTTTTTTAAAATTAGATTCACAAAATTGATATCATTCGATACATCTTAATTATTTATTGCGTACTTCTAAATTTAGTCTGGGTTATTTTTTTCTAAAATTCCGAAATTTGCGGACTGTAGCAATAAATAAATGAAAAGTCGATTTTCTATTTCCATTTCCAAACAATGGTGGTTTGACATGGCCCAGTTTCAAAGGTTGTCCAGATACACATCCCCTTTCTTAACATCGTAATATTGCCAATACAACAATACATAATTACTCGTGATTTTGTAGGTTTTTTATCTGTGCTTGATTTTGCCAACTGTTGATTTGGTTAAAAGAAGTCACTCATAAGCTCCCCGAACGAATTGTGCTAGCTATACTTACCTTCAGAATTGGCGGAAACATTGATATGATTTCCACTTGTTAATTCATTATGTTTGAAGCCTTTCAGCTGATCTTTAATTTCTTGAAACATCGTGGAGGACTTGTTACAAACTGCAAATAAATTAAACATAAATAAATTAAGCAATAAATTAATGAAAAGTCGATTTTCTATTTCCATTTCCAAACAATGGTGGTTTGACATAGCCCAGTTTCAAAGATTGTCTAGATACACATCCCCTTTTTTAACATCGTAATTGCCAATACAACAATACATAATTACTCGTGATTTTGTAGGTTTATATCTGTTCTTGACTTTGTCAACTGTTGATTTGTTTAAAAACAATCACTCATAAGCTCCTCGAACGAATTGTGCTAGCTATTCTTACCTTCAGAATTGGCGGAAACATTGATATGATTTTCATTTGTTAATTCATTATGTTGGAAGCCTTTCAGCTGATCTTTAATTTCTTGAAACATCGTGGAGGACTTGTTACAAACTGCAAATAAAGGATAATAAATTAAACATACAAGGTGCGTTGAATTACTTAAATATTACAATGAAAAAGAATGACGCAAGAGCTGATTAATTACTTTCTTAGTTGAGTACACGGTAAACGTTGTAATCTCACCTTCAGAGTGAAACAGTTGTACATCAGTCTCAGTGTCAGCTTTCTCAGTGTTGTCTTTTAATTGTCCACTCAACTGTTTCTTTATTTCTACCATCGATTCTTTCAGTTCCACAAGATTATCACGAACATCGGATTCATCCACTCTTAGATTGGACAACTCGTCTCTAATACTCGAAATTTTATCAGATTCGCCATCTCGCAAAGTGGACAAATCATCTCTTAGATTGGACACATCATCCCTCAGATTTGACACCTCATCTCTTATACTATCAATATCATCGGATTCATCATCTCGTAAAGTGGACACGTCGTCTCTCAGATTGGACACGTCATCCCTCAGATTTGAGACCTCAACTCTTGTACTTGCAGAATCTTCTTTTAGATCTATTTTCAGTTTTTCGATCATGAGTTGCATTGCTTCTTCAAGGTTCCCGAATTCAGCCAGAATGACTCCCTGTCCATTACCCTGGCCACCACCGCCACTTGGTTTCTTTCCTTTAGATTCAACAGCAGTTAAACAGCTGAGGCAAAAAATTGCCCAACCGTATGCTATGGCGCAATGCATGCTTATGATGAAACGAAATATTTTGAGATTAATCAGACAGAAGAATAATTCAAATTAACCATAATTACCAAATGTTCTTATCATTTACATACCGTTATGGCCCATTACTGAGAAAAGGGAATAACAAAAGTCTGTGGCAAAGTATTGTCAATGTTACCTTTGTTAAAAAATGAAATATTGTTATTGCAAACATTGAATTGATAACTTAAGCAAATGAGAAATCCTAATGAATCCAACTTCAAATCAACAATGGTTGTAAAACCCATTAAAGGTCCAACACAGCGACCCTCGATTTACAAATCGCACACCAGCTTGCATAGGCTATGGCATTGCATGAATCAGCATCACATTTTCTCATAGGTACACACTGTACTGTACTGTACATCGTATGATCTCTTTATTTTATTATCTTTAATTTATTCTAGATCTCTATATTAACTATCTGCATTATCCTTAGATGTTTGTAGTGACTCTTAGTGAACATCCCGGGGTGAACACATGACTGAAGGCAGATTTGCATGATGTCTTGGTGAAGAACATAGCTTCTTATCTAGTATGGGGACTTCTAAGGCCGAGACATAAAAATGGCAAACATATAATGGATACAGCGATGGTCATATAACTTGTCATTATTGTACATGTCCATCTGGAGCCAAAATCATGGGTGTGGGATGCTGCACTCATATATCTGGGGTTATGTGGTACCTTGGTGTTGGTAGACATAACAATTATGACCCAAATGTAAAGTGCCTAGGCCAGGGAAATACCCTTTGCATTCGTTTGACTTCACTTCTTAAAAGAGAGCTTCGTCTTCGTGTAGTTTAACTAGACTCTGCACGCAGGGTACCAGAGAAACGTCATTGACGCTGAAGATGTTCCACAATATGACATGGCTGATATTGATGATGACACCGATGACAATGAATATGACGATGATACTGTTGATAGTATCAAGGATGATATGGAAGATAGTGATGTCATTGGCAGCAGTGATGACAGTATTTAAAATATTAGACAAAATGTCATATCGATGATTCAAATAACCACATTAGCTACATTATTAGCAAAAATCTATGGATAACTTTTTAAATTTACACTTTTGATTGAGATGATTTACACAGTATACCATATATTTATTTGTAATACTCGTATATGTTATTATGTACAATGAGGTCACTAATTTTCATAGTTGTTCAATTTTTATTTATTTTTTACTTGAAACAAGTTGGATAGGATATATTACACTATGTTACTTAGACTTTAATTTTACATGAATGTTGTTCAATAATGTGCATTAAATATATCTTAAATATATTAATAAGAAAATAAAACATAGCAAATTCATTTATGTTATAATTGTTTGATTTAATTTTATACTTTGTAAAGATATTTTATAATATTTGAGATTTTAGAGCCTTGTGCTACACCCTCATTTTTGGAATTTGAAAGACACATTACAGGGTTACACATTTCGTGTGATATTATACTTATAGTGTTATATTTTAATGTACTTGAAATGATGAGATCAAAACAGATAATTAATGAATGACTTTGTGACTATGTAATCAATATATAGGGGTTATTTACTGGGAGGGATTCAATAATGGGTTTTATTTTAAGGGACGATATTTCTTTTTATGGTACATTTCACCACCATTAAACTGATTGTTATTATTAGCATTTCTGATTGAAAAAGGATAAAGATATAAAGATTTCTTGAAAACAATATTTCTAGGACAGTATTTTGTGACATTAATAAGTTTTTACTAAAGCAACTATATATTAGCATATCATATGACTGTCTCGACAATATCTCCTGAATTATTGCCTCTGTTTCTGAACCTTCTGAAATGTTCAGTGAGTTCATTGCTTTGGTTGTCATGGGAATGTAATACATTTGAGCCATGGTTTCTGCTCTGGCCACTAGATGACTCTGCTTGTCGTTGTTCAGTGATGAAGTCATCCACATCATTGCTTTGTGTGCTTTGACCCCTTCCAGTGGGTGAGTTCATTCTTGACATGTACTCTGGGACGGTATCATTTTCAATATATGGGGGTGGCTCTGAGAAATATGGAGGAGGAGGTTCAGGGTACCCATAATTCATCATAATAGCATTCATTGAAGTATGATTGGTTGGCATGGGATAATACCCAGAGTAACCACCAAACATATGCATCATGGGTAAAGGGGTGGGGTAGATTTCAGGAACAGGGTAGCTTTGGGAAATGTTTCTCTGAAGGGCAGTGCCTCCTCTAGTCTGTGACCTTGTAACAGGCATAAAAGGGAGGTCGACTACACCCATACTGCTTCCTCTCTGTAAAGGTTGAGGAGGTAGCCTCCTCTGAGCATTATATGGACGTGAAAGAGGGACGGGTGGTAGCTCATTGCTACTGTTTCTTTGAAGTGGTCGCCGTGGCAACACATTCACAGAAGAATGCCTTTGAATCCGATGTTGAACACCGTTGGGAGATCTTTCATCAGGACTAGGTGAGAAATCAGCCTGCACAATACTGGGAAGGGATCCCCAGGAAGCTGCTGTGCTGCGCCTATTCCCAATGAGGGCCTGGGTGTGGAGACGAGGCATTTGCAGCAAAGGGTTAACACTGAACCATTGTGATGTCCTGGGAACTGGTTGTCCATGGGGGGCACTCTCAGCTACACTTTCATAGATATGGTTCGTCACTGCTGGAGAGTCATTCTCATTTTCATTATTAACTCTTCCATTCCCAGGTGGATGTTCACTATCTGGGACAAATGAGGGGTTAACCTGTGGCTGTCCAGTATTGCCCACATTGTCTGTTGAATTGCTGGACAATCTTGGTAAGCTTCCTCTTCTCCTCACCCTTACAAGTCTGAAATGAGCACATATTACTATGTTTCTATTCTGATTTGTACATGAAGTATTGGGACCCTAAACAAAAACAAAAATATTGCTTTGATGTGAATATAGTTATGATTTTAATGAAACCTTACCTAATGGTATGTGATATAGCATTTAAACTGCACATACCATAAATTTTAAATAAAGGATATAACTGTTATTTGGTGATTAATTTATCTAAAGGGTTATTCTGTCTTAAAATTCAAGGGTTAAATCAACTTTTGTTAGGCAAATAATAGTGTAATATTGTATTCTATCTGGACATGTAAGAGTTAACTTGCCTTGTATCTGACGTTTCACCCTGTGATATTGTATTTTAAATGGACATGTGAGGGTTAACTTGCCTTGTATCTGGCGTTTCATCGTGTGGTAATTGTATTTTGACTAGACATGTAAGGGTGAACTTGCCTTGTGTCTAGCGCTTCATCCTGTGGTATTGTATTTTGACTAGACACGTAAGGGTTAAATTGCCTTGTGTCTGGCCTTTCATCCTGTGGTATAGTATTTTGACTAGACATGTAAGGGTTAACTTGCCTTGTGTCTGGTGCTTCATCCTGTGGTATAGTATTTTGACTAGACATGTAAAGGTTAACTTGCCTTGTGTCTGGCGCTTCATCCTGTGGTATAGTATTTTGACTAGACATGTAAGGGTTAACTTACCTTGTGTCTGGCGCTTCATCCTGTGGTATTGTATTTTGACTAGACATGTAAGGGTTAACTTGCCTTGTGTCTGGCGCTTCATCCTGTGGTATAGTATTTTGACTAGACATGTAAGGGTTAACTTGCCTTGTGTCTGGCGTTTCATCCTGTGGTATTGTATTTTGACTAGACATGTAAGGGTTAACTTGCCTTGTGTCTGGCGTTTCATCCTGTGGTATTGTATTTTGACTAGACATTTAAGGGTTAACTTGCCTTGTGTCTGGCGTTTCATCCTGTGGTATTGTATTTTGACTAGACATATAAGGGTTAAGTTGCCTTGTGTGTGGCGTTTCTTCCTGTGGTATTGTATTTTGACTAGACATGTAAGGGTTAACTTGCCTTGTGTCTGGCGCTTCATCCTGTGGTATTGTATTTTGACTAGATTTACTCCGTTGACTAGAACTTTTATAATGTAAACCTCCAGCTGCTTCTTGTAAGTGTATGTCATCCTACAATGCATTGGAAACATTTCTAAGCAAAAAGCAAAGCAATGCAACCAGTAAATTATCCAGTAAATAGTATAATCAGATTTGAAAATGTAATTTTTTTAATGTAGACATGACCCCTTAAGTAGTGTGAAATACATACATTTAAATATAAACATACATATGGTGTTTTAAAAATTGCAAGACCATACATGTACTATCTTTATTCACACATTCTGAATATCTTAATCAGTGGACCATATCATTATGATATAAAGTATAAAACAGATGAGTTAATTAAGGAATATAGAAAAATGATTTACTTGAGTATGCTCAAATCCAAAAGAAGTTGCAAGACCATCTTTATCTTAAACCCACATTCTGCATAACTTAACCAGTGGATCATATCAATACATTATGACATATAGTATACAACAGAAGAGTTAATGAAGGAATATATAGAAAAATGATTTACTTGGGTATGCTCTAATACAAAAGATTGATCCTTTTCATTTTTACAGACAATCATGCCGAGGCCAGAGGTAACCATAGTGATGATGATGCCACCACCGTAGAGAACGCAGAGGGCGTACATGAAGTCAACAAGGTTGTTCTGGATCACTTCACAGCTGTTGCTCTTGTGAAAAATGTATTCTTTGTGCTCTGAAAGAACACATGGTAGACACATTTTTTTATTTTAATTCATTTCATATACAGGGTGACCCAAAAAGCTATCCAAAATGCTACAGGTACAATATAAATAGGAGTGATTGGGGATGGGATTTAAAAAGGTATAATATGAAGAGTGATATGTGTAAAAATGCTCAAAATATAAAGCATATCCGGTCTAAAAAGGCTTGAAATTTAACGTTAACTACCAGCAATACAAGGATTCTAGACACCTTTAACATTTCAAAGTACCATAGATTGTTCTTTTACATTAGACATTTCAATGAGGCAGGCACAGATGGATATCAATTTTCGGCAACCACAAATATTATATACAGTAAAACCTGTTACGTGGAACACATTTGGTTCCTTTCAAAAGTGTTCCACTTGAGGTTGTTCCACTTATAGAGGTTCATTTAACATTAAGTCAATTGGTCTTGGGACTCTGAAAAGTGTTCCACTAACAGAGGCATTCCACTTCTAGGTGTTAGACTTTACAGGTTTCACTGTAATTATATTATCAATATCCTGCACCTCATATAGAATAAACTCAATATCCTTACCTGAGATGTAAATGCCTGGAGGTAAAGCGTTCAACCCAGATGTATAGCACCTACATGTATGGTCATCGTTGTCATAGTCACAAGTTGAGAATCTATGGAATGTCTGCATGATACGCAACATAGTCAGCACCCCTGCCGCTGCACAAAGGACTGAACTGACAATACACAAGATTATGGCAGATATAATCTGAAACAAAATTTTTTTATTTACAGTACTATTTTTTCATTTTTATTTGTTTATTATATTTTATTTATCATTTATTCTGTATGATGTGTCTTATCTGTTGATTGATAATACGTAATTTGATGCATAGTTTATCGCCTCCTATAATCTACAATTATGTAAAATCAACTTAAAGCATGAAAATATTAAAAGGGAGCTCAGCAACAGACACCACCTCCACTGTAAAAACACAGAGAAGTGATAAGTCCGAGATGGAGATTTATATTATGATGAACTTTAAATAGCTCAAGTGGAACTATATTTTTATATGTGCAACTCAAAATCCTCATATTATTTTTATTTTTAAGGGTAAATATAAAGGAGCAGGGAAAGTATCGCAACAGACTTTTGATAATTTTGACAGTTGATAATTTTTTTGTGAGTAGTTTCTGGCTGTAAAAAGTAAATGCTTGGGAAAGGCGAATCTATAATCTTCAAGAAAAGTTCAAAGAATAGTTTCCAGATCAATTGGATTATCTTATAATCCATGTTTAATCCACCCATCAACAAGCTTTTTCAAAATACATTCGTCATTTTCACCATCGTCCCTCATTTTTTTTACAATTTTTCATGCAAAGTTACATTGTACTTGAACACATGTTTCATCAAGTAAAATATGTAAGGAACTCCATGAAGTTTGTTTTTGAGTTTTTTTTGAAAAAATGAACCTCTTAAAATGCATGCTTACAAAAATAATTTAGGAGTGATGTAAAAGATGGCAATGTTTTTCAATAATAACATGCATAGGTGGGTGAATTACTCATGTGTGTTGTATTTTAATCCTGCATTCACTGACTGAGTAAGCCTATTGAAAAATCATAGAGATTAATAATACAAACAGTAATACTATGAATTCGTCTACTTCAAGCTTTCAGGGTCCTGTGTTGAAATACTAGATCACCTTATGTGCATGAATTTTCAAGAGAAACCATCAGTGCAAGCAATTAAATGAAAGCATCATCCGAACATCACTTGAAAAGTACTAAAGTGGTGAAAAATTGCAGGATGTTGACAGAAAATGTGCCTAGGGGAGAGGGTCGTCTCTCAACCCCCCTCCTCCCCCTCCCTGGTCACGGGACTAATACATGTGATATGGCAAAGTCCAATTCATAGATTAAGTTTCCCTTGCAGTCTTGTTGGCATTTTTATTAGAGTTCATGTTTTGTTTATGTTAATGGGTGAGTGGAAGACCCTTGGGTGGGAATCAAATATAAAATGTTTTCTAAAATATATATTTGAAATACTTTGTGTATGTACAGTCACAAACTCTAGGCAACATTAACTAGTAATGGGGCAACACCCCAACTCAACTGAGTGAATGTGTAAACCATATAAGGAACAAAAAACATTACATAAAACAAACTCAGCAAGCAAACATGTAAAACTGGCATGGCAAAACAATAGATTGTGAAACTGAATAATAAAAGCACATACGACTAGAAAACAAGGGATTAAGGACGTGTTAAAATGACATTAATGGGGATTGGTCAATATGAATAGTAGAAATATGAAAAATGTGAAAATTTTACATTTAGTATTGATCATGAACATTGGAGAGATTAAGTACACAGGCTCGTAGGCAGGTAGAGGGGAGAGATAAAGGGAGCTGCTGCTCCCCCAAGAGATTCTTTCAAAATGATGCAGTTTCTCACCAATCTGAGCACTTCGCATGATTTTTTAGCCAAAACTGTCAAAAAGTTCATCCCTAGGCAAAAGCTTTGCCCTTGGTAAAACTGCTCCTACCCCTTGGTAAAAGCTGGCTACAGACTGTGTAAAACACTTGTGTGAGAACTTGAACATGAACGAGTACTGTTATGACCCCCAGTAATGTTGTCCATCTCTCAACTGGTTTAACTGGGGACCATTACATCAATTGGCATTATATCAATCAGGCAAAAAGAGGCCAGTGATGTGAAAATAGTCAATAGCACGGTGTTATAGCATGACGGTACGCCACCTCTGAAAATGAAGTTGGACAGCTACGTTCACTGATTTATCCAATAAAATGGCCGCGATGGAAGAGAAAACTAAGGTTGGCGCATTATTTTCTACTTCTGTGTATCAATGAAAGGATGAACGATTTATGTAAGAATCGCATTCGGTGATACTTTCAGTAATGTATATTTTGAACGTAGCCTTTGCAAATTGATGCCCGGGGATAACATGAAATAAGAGAAAAACTGTCGAGTTTGAAATTCAAAATTACACAAAAACTTAGTAATTTGTTTTTTATTTTTGTTTTTGTTGTTAGGGCATGGTCTACATTGCCTAAAAACCTTGTGGTATATAGATGTAACCTACATACGATCATACAAAGCCAATTGAGCATTGGAAACCACCTAATATGTTCTACTCAAGCCATAATAATGTATTTTGAATTTGCAGTAGTTATACATAGTTTACTTATACTTACAGTTAATATTTTGAGTGGCTCATGTACTGAGACAACACGAGAATGGATCAAAACTTATAAACTTTGATATCTCAGTCGGTAGGTTTACAGATTATATTCTGTTTCTTGTAGAACACCTGGCAGATTTGACCCAGTCTTTATAACCATCCATATATACGTCACCGAATGGAACTAGTTTAAAAGGAAATCGTATCTGTGAATATTGCCTACAGGCGAGAAAGAGGACATGCTGCCTTTCCCATCCGCCATTTTTTGTTATCGTTACCGCAAAATTTTGCAAATCGCCTTGACGTAACCGTCATGCTATAACACCGTGAATAGGGGACCATAAGTTTACACATTCCATGTGTACGTTCATCAAAATAGTGCGATCTTAACCTCCCTAATAACTGAAATTGTTGACTCAACCAATAGAATCATTCTATGTTTGTTTATATTTGTTCACATTAATATGGAAGAAAATCGGACATTTTGCTAAAAAGATGTTATTGTAAATCTTAGAAATAATGATAAAGGTAGTATACACCACACACTCAATGGTATTGATTGTGGTTTTCAGAGACTCTCAATAGGGACTTTAAGCTTGCAATGTTTTTCACAACCTAAATGTGAATGGAAAATATTTAGCGATGCATTTGTATGGGCGATTGGTCATAGGTTGGCGTTTCGATTTTATATGCAAGCTTAATCTCCCTAATGTTAACATTAAGGTAAGAGTGTCTGTTACTCATAACATTTTCTTAGGATAACATTTCTTGAATTGATGAATATGCAAAAATTATTCTTAGCATATCATCCTTCATTTCATTATTTGAATAATCAATCTGGAGATAAACTCAAATAAGGAAGTGTGTTATAACACATCATCATATAGAAACATGTTCAATGTTTTTTCAGAAGCTGGATCAAAATATTTGTCTTACTAAAATTATTGGCAAAGGTATGATGTACTAAATTCTTGTACTGTATTTATGATTTTAACAGCACTGTACCTCGTGAATCATTACTGATAAACAAGATACAGAAAACCTGTTCAAAGTAAATACAATAATAAGGCATCATAGAAATTATCATAAAGAGAGGTATTTAGAATTTCTTAGCAACTTACACACACACACAGGTTTAACTGCACTCAAACATTAAACAGTCAACTTGACAGGTATTCAGAATTCTTTGGGAAATGCTGCGGTTATGCTCCATTGATTAAACAGGGGATCAAACAGCAGGGGATCAAACAAGTCAAACCATTCATTTATGAAAACATTTTGAACTAACTTTATGGCACACTAATGACATCTTATATGAGTGTGCTGTACTAAAAGCATAGCCCCATTGGATCCCCTTATATTGGATTATCATAATCCTAATCCACGAGGAGTTCCTTATATATTTTAAGTGATGAAACATGTGTTCAAGTACAATGTAACTTTGCATGAAAATTGTAAAAAAATGAGGGACGATGGTGAAAATGACGATTGTATTTTGAAAAAAAAGCTTGTTGATGGGTGGATTAAACATGGCTTATGAGATAATCCAATTGATCTTGAAACCATTCTTTGAATTTTTCTTAAAGATTATACATTGGCCTTTCATATGCATTCATTTTTGTACAGCCAGAAACTACTAGAAAAAAATTATTTACTGTCAAAAATCTGTTGCGATACTTTCCCTCGCTCTTTGAATAACTTGAGTAATACGTAAGGAAAGAGCAAAGGAAGGTTTTTTGCAATTTATCAGATTCCTCACATTTTCTGTTGCTTATAATTGTAAATAATTTTAGTTATATGTACCAGAGCAACAAGAATACATATAGAAAACATTAATTAGAGTCTACCCCTTTTCTAACTAATGTTCGTCTGAGATAAATCAATACAGTGTTGTAAATATTTCATGTAATTAGCAAAGGTATAACACTCAGATGAATCTATTATTGATAATGATCACCAAATTGTCTGGTGATTAATTAGGTGTTCATGTATATATAGACACTTATCATGCACATAAAAAGATGATCTTATTTACTCAAATGGATACATGTTTTTTGTGAAATAACAAGAAATAAAATAACTTACAATAATTTTGTCTCTTCTTTTGTATAAACAAAGCACTAAGACTCCAGAGCAAATAATCTGAAAATAGAGACAGAAAATGTGATTGTTTTATATCTTGCCATGAAAGTCACATTCGTACACCCCTCTTAATAAGTTTGGCAATTAGAAGCAATCAGACTGAGCATATAATCATTCTTTTGATTTTAATTTGTTCCTTACTGAAAATGGTCTGGAAATTTATGACTTTTTTTAGATCGCACAACAGAAACAAGCTTACAATCCCGCTTCGATAGATAATATGATGTAATGGATGGGTCAATATGCAAATAGGTTATACAGAATCAAAAGTTTATAATATATAAGCATATTGTATCATAAGAAATACTGTTTATATCAATTTTACATATTGATTCAATTTGTAATTACCAGTATAGCGTTAGCATAGGTTGGAATGACTTCTATATACTCAAGAGATGTGGTAAGTGCCCGGATGCTGAAATAAATCACTGCAAGCAGAAACCCGATGACAATCTGCACCACACCAAAGCCAAGGAACACCCATAGGGTTTTTGTATTGGTATGGGTCTTCACCACATCATTGTTTTGCCTGACATCAACTTGCGACTCAATTTGATTTGAAGATCTGTAGGTTTCGCTAGAAACTGTAGTTCGTGCCATTATATTCTGTGATGTGGATGTTGCTGTTCTTGAACAAAATGGTAATATACTGCTCAGAGGGACCAGCTGAACATGTTAGTCTCATCAGCTGTATTTTAACATTTCATAATTGTCGTATGGCAACTTCATATCTTCATCTCTTTGATTTTTATAATCCATTCTGTCACCATGCAATCCAGACATGTACTGTACATATTGTATTCACACTGCACAGGGGTGCAGTGTAGACTTATATCAAAATGTTTGAATACGTTACAATTAACATGCTAGATCTTTATCTTGCTTGATCATCTTGATACAGTGAGAAATATCGAATTCTTGCACTCGTAGCATGCTAGCAGTCTCACTATACACTGATCTAAATCAAGCCGGGAATGAACTGAACATCTATTATTTATTGAATTTAGGTCACAACCATACACAGACTTCACATATTTACTGCTAATTTATCTAAAGATAGAAATCTGATTTCAAATCTAATGTTTTTATTTAGAGAGCAAACGAATGCACATTTCCCGCATAATGATGTTATTGATTTTGAACCAGATGTTGCATAAATCAATCGTTAATTCGCATCTTTGAAATTTCAGTATAGATTTGTTTACAAATATGGCTACTTCCGTCTTAAGTGGAATCGCAACTTAAAAGGCAAACGAAAGTTAAATAGATTCAAAATATTGAAAGATACATGAGCTAAAAATTATATTTTATTTTTATTCATAATTTTATTTATTGATTTATTTTCTAAAATTAATCTTGTAATAGGGGACTATCTAAATAGAATATTTTTTGGATATGATTTCGTTATAAAAAGTTTGACATTTAGTAATACTCATAACAAAAAGGTAAGAAGTTTTCAACTTTTGTGTCCTCAATTAAACTAAGTTATCTATCCTGAATAATGAACATACATAGTGATAACGACTATCATATTGTAGAGTGATATCTCAAGGTAAAATTGGCATATTGTTTACCATTATTAGACCATAATATGTATTTCAAAATAGTAATGTAATCTAGGCCAACTGAAAAAAAAATGATCATGTGATGTATTTTATTCTATTGAAAACAGCAGCTCAGCTCCTCAGTGAGTCACTTGTGATTTCAGAGTTAAGAGTCTTGGGATTGTTTTTGTTTCATTTCAGTTCTATATTATCAAAGTTTGTGTATTCTTGAGAGGATACATTTATAATTGGACATTTATATTATAAACTGGTAAGTTACTCAGTGTAGAATGGAAACCAACTTCAAAATCAATGCGAAAGCTTCAAACAGAATGTTTCTGCAGATTCTACCAACTTATGCTTTATCAAATAGTTTTCTTGCCATTGCTTACTTCACAAGTTTATATCACATTCAAGAAATGTTTTTATTCGACAATTTGATTTCAGGATAATGCAGCTGTTATTTTCCATATTATCAGCTGTGACAGCTGTAGTTGTTTCTGGCCAGCTGTTTGATAAGAATCTCAATGGACACTGGGGCCAGTTCAAAGATGTATTTAGAAAACAGTACAAGACCGATGAAGAATTCAAAAGGTAATATTTGTGTGGATCTGAGAATCTTTAAGGGATAAGGGGGGGGGGGATATTGAGAAATGCAAATAAATTATTTTGGGCTGTTTTCCCGAAAGCTGAAAAAAGGCTTTTTGTTAAGAATTTAAAAAAGTCCAGAGTTCTGAAAACAATATATACTAGACTTGACAAAGACCTTTTTTAACCAAGATTTCTAAAAGGACATACACTATCCATACTGATATGATATCTGATTTTTGTATTATATCTAACAAAAGTGAACTTTTAGATGCTGAATGGCATCTATCTTTCATATCAGTCTAATTTCACATAACTGCCAAAAGGAGTTGACTTTTCATTATCTTATACTTATAGTTAGTTGATCCTAATCTCACTTTTATTATGATAAACTCATGGATCGATCCTGGGAAAGGTTTACAGCAAACCTAAATTGATAGTTTTGAACAAAATAATGAGTAATTGTGCTGAGATAAGTAACTTTACACTCGTTATTTCATCTCCAGGAGATTGGTTTGGGAGAGCAATGTTCGGGAGATAGAGAGGCACAACCGAGAGTTCGACTTGGGCATGCATAGCTATACACTGGGCCTCAATGAGTATGCTGACTGGGTAAGTTCAGTTAAACAATCCATGGGACATGTCGTCACATATCGTATGTCATATGCCCAAATTAAACCTTCACCAAGAGGTCTTGGGGGTCATCACTTCCAATTGTGCTAATATTTCAAAATTTTGCTGGACATTTAAGAATTTTGCCTGTAACATTCCAATTTTGACTAGAAATAACTAATCCATTATTTTCAGGCTCTAATATCTCACATTTTGAACAAGGGCTTGTGCTTAATATCAGTAAAATAAAAATTTATGAAAACTTTTACCATATGAAAGCACCATGTTTTGGTCTCTTACACATCTACATCTTAAACAGAAAACTTGATTCAGATTTCTATAATTCTTTTCAAAATTAGAGGATTTTAGTATTGTTTATAAGGTTTTAAATATTAATCATGCAAGAGTTATGTCTAGGATACAAACATTCTTGAATGAGAAATTCAGTATTTTGAGGACATGAAATGAATCGAGGTCAATAATCTCATAGCCTTATTCAGGCCTGTCAACTGTCCCGCAATTTGCGTATTTGTCACGCATTTGCTGAAGAATTTGAAGTCACGCCAGTTATTTTTGCGTGACAGAAAATGTTCAACATTTCCAAGTCACTCATGTTAGGTGTTCCCAAGTTGACAGGCCTGCCTTATTGCATGTTTATTCAATGGTATTTGTATATCTCACTTTATTTATTTATGTTTATATCTGCTTTTAGTCAGGTGAAAAATTTGAGGTGTTCAAAATTTGGCAAGATGTAATAAAATTTAAACCAAGGTGTTCAAAATTTGGATCAAGGTGTTCAGATTTGGACCAAGGTGTCCGCATTTTGAGGAGAGGTGTTCAACATTTTCAAGTCACTCATGTTAGGTGTTCCCAAGTTGACAGGCCTGCCTTATTGCATGTTTATTCAATGGTATTTGTATATCTCACTTTATTTATTTATGTTTATATCTGCTTTTAGTCAGGTGAGGAATTTCAGAGATATCTTCTCGGGGCCAAACGAGGCAACGCAAGTGAGATAACGTACAAGAGAACATTTGTCCCCAGAGTACGGTCACAATTACCTAAGGACATAGACTGGAGGTCAAAGGGGGTAATAAGCCCAGTGAAAAATCAGGTCAGTGAATCATCTTAATACCTTGAGAAATCTTAGTACTTCTGGCTAAATGGACCGTTCTGATTGGTTAACCAGAGGTTAACAATATATTCAATGTATTTGTTGACTTTAAGGGTCAACAGAAGTGAAAATACCACAATGGAATTATTAATCCATTGTTGTTTGTTTCTAGGGCCAATGTGGCAGTTGTTGGGCATTCTCAACTACAGGGGCACTAGAGGCCTACCACGCCATGGCAACAGGATACATCACCCCCCTATCTGAGCAGAACCTCATAGATTGTTCCCGTAGTGAAGGTAATTTAGCGATTCAAATTTTCCTCATTCACAAACATGTTATTATGTCATGATAAGAATTGTACATTGTGAGCTTCATAGATAGATAGATGACTTAGATAGACATTTTAATTATTTCCATCATTGCTTATTTTTGTTGCTAGGAAACAATGGTTGCCATGGTGGTTGGCCTGCGAGAGCAATGATGTATGTTGCTAAGAACAAAGGCATTGATAAAGAATCCGCATACCCTTATCTCATGAAGGTAGGAGATTTAAATTTTAATATTTGAACATTTTTAGAGACTAATCTGTGAAAAGCCATAACAAATAAGATGAAACACCATAGGGGTCTAGAAGCTAGTTTTAATTCAACTCAATTCATGTTATTACGGATTATTTTTGTGAATATATTTGTGTTACCAAAATGCTTTCTCCCGAAAGATGCTAAAAAGTGGGGTTTGTAGAAAAAAACGGGTACCGGGTAGTAAATCCTCCATATTGGGTTCAACTGTTTTGCTTCTACCAAAAATGAAGAGCTGTCTCCGTATTAATTAACATATTAGCCACTTTTCAGGGTTTATAGAAAAATGCTTTTTATTTGAAGCTTCTAGCTCAATTTTGAAGGAAATTATATACACGGTGTATAACCCAAACGCTCCTACATGCACGACGGAGCGTTTCATTTACGCGGAAACGCTCCGGAGCGAAATAAAATGGCGGCTAATGAAGATTCCACTATGACCGTAAGTATTGTTCCTCTCGTTTCTATTACATATCATATGTTATGGTGAAATATTATGTACCATTCGATGAACAATACCGTAAGCAAAGATCTGATTTATTCAACTTCTGGTGGTAAACTGTAATTTGCTTGATCAAAGCTCCGTAGTGTAGATCGAACGAATCTGAAGATGAAGATTTGACCACAAATTACGAATTAAACTAGTATTTCTATGAAAACGTTAATCTTTCTGTTAAAGTAGTAGATCACAAACTCGTATATTCTCATTTCCTAAAATCCCAGTCCAAATCCATTACTTGTTCTCGAGGAATCACTTGTTTTCCTCGAAACGCTCCGTCGATTTAGAACACAATTTTAGAAACGCTCTTACCATTTTCTTTTGATATAATTTTCAGATTATTAGAGAAGAGTTTCGAATCGAATCTATCTCTCAAAAACGTGTTGTACTTGTTAGGCAAATTGAAACATCTGAACCTGGTGGTGCTAAACGTGCAACTAGCTGATTTAAGCCTACATTAGATGATGTCATGCCTACATATGTGCTAAATCATAAAACTATAGAAAAAAACGAAAAATTTATATGTGAATTAATCTTTCTTCTATTGATGCCAAGGGGTATAATAGATCTTTTCTTTCTCTTCCTGAAAAGAAAAGGCAAGCTATATATTTCCTAAACTGATCTAGACTACCGGAGCGTTTCCAATTCACTGTGTTAACCAGATCGGAGCATTTCTTGAATATGAGAATGTCATCATTTTTAAGACTGGATTTTCGGTCATCAAATCACTATTACGATAATGTATGGTGCGTTGAAGCATTGGAATTTGACTAAAATATACGTTGGTGCTCTAATCTTAGCTCAACTAATCACATGTATCGCCAAAGGGGGTTTTGACCGGTAGAATGACAAATACGTTTTTGAATTTTGATAACTATACTGCTTCGTACAGCTCTTCCTAATTGCTTCAAACGTCAACAGCCAGCCAAGTACAACATGAATATCACACCCATCGAATGGTATACTCGAAATATGTAACTCATACCTCTTATTCCCATTATTGGGGAAATCGTCAGACGGCTCATCATTCCCGCCAGTCAGTTTTCCTACTCCGGAGCGTTTCTTTGTTTAATTTCAGTAATGAAACGCTCCTTCGTGCATGTAGGAGCGTTTGGGTTATACACCGTGATATAGTAATTTTTGTAAATTCAAAACAAATCTTACACATTTTCTAATGATCTTATTATGTTATGGGGGGGGTGTATAGAGATATTGTATATCGTATAAGAGGCTGAAAATTTATTGTATATTGTATAATAGGGGGCAAAATTTATCGTATATGGTATAAGAGCTGTAAAAAATATGGTATATGGTATAATAGAAAATATATGGTATATGGTATCTAGAATTAAAAAAGGCTAATTATGAAGAAACTGTACCCTAAAGTTCCCCATTGTGCCAACTCTCTTACTGTAACCGTGTTGGAAAAACATGGAAAAGTAGTCTCTCTAATTGGTTCCACATTCCAGGTCAATCAATACTGTAAGGGTTTGTGTAAAAAACCGGGTGACCGAGTAACCGGGTACCAAGTCGACCGGGTACCTAACGTTCCTAGCAGGGTTACCAACTTTCAAAGTTCAGGGTTACCGGGTGACCGGGTACTTAACGTTCCTAGCAGCAGGGTTAGGATTTTTTTTATTTATAACAATGGATCTGGACGATACATGTACGTTATTTTCGACGTCACGTTTTTAGGTTATTTCACATCGTAAGAACGTTTTGACAACGTTAACTTTTAACGTTAAAATAATGTCGGTAATGAACCGATTTAGTGAAAACATATTGACGTCTTTGTAACGTTTCCTTAACTCACAAATATTTTGAAGCCATTTCCACAATGTTGAAATTCAACCATCCATCGATGTTTTGCTGAATATATAAATAACGTCAGATCAATAAGGTCCATGAACGTCATTATTGACGTCACATTTTGAGGTAATTTCAAATCGAAAAAAAACGTTTCGACAACGTTAAATTTTAACGTTAACAATACGTCGGAAATGAACCGACTTAGTGAGAACACAAAGTTTTTGTCATGTTTTTTTCCACCAACAAATATTTTGATATTAAAAGCCTGTTTTGACAACGTTGAATTTTAACGTTTGAGTTACGTCACATGTTTACGTTGCCTCGATGTGCAAAGAACGAAAATGTGCAACGTCTTCTAGGAACTTATATGCTACTTATGAGCAACGTGACATGGACGTCACTGTTTGCTGGATCGATTATTTTAAAAAGTGTTCTGTCTCGTATAGGGTAAAAGTATCGAACAGCAGTGCACTCGGAAGGCTAAGTCTGTCAAGTCAATTCGCTACTATATATCGGCGGAAATTAGGAACTTTGAAAGTTGGTAACCCTGCTAGGAACGTTAGGTACCCGGTCGACCGGGTACCCGGTTACCTGGTCACCCGGTTTTTTACACAAACCCATACTGTAACTTTAGAAAAAATCCTTCTCAAACTAAGAGTTTTGTGCCCTTTTCATTCAAATTTTCACAGGAGGCGTTAAATATAGTCTCAAATAAGAATCACGGCGGATGATCAGAAGAAATGAACGGAGGGGGGCTAGATCTAGCTGATTTTTGGTAGAAAATTCAACAAATCTTGAAGATTTATTTTTTCAAGAGAAAGTTTACAATTGAATGGCTAAATGAATAGACGCAGTGGACGGGGGAATATGTTAGGTCTTCTTGGATTTTTTTGAACTGTGGAGTTTTAAAATAAAAGATCTATTAAAAAAGTGCAGGGTCGACAATGTGCAAATGCCAATTTTTTGCTATAAATCAACCAACAGGGGTCTACACGACCTGTAATAAATACTTGTAAGTGAAGTAATTATCACAAAACTATTGTCATCATTGGTTTTGTAAAACATGTTACCATACGTTATATAAAAAGTAATCTAACGTTATTAAAATTGAACGGAGGGGGGAGTAATATGTCTATAAGACATATGAAAACTTCCATTAACTCCATATGTCCCCATTTTTCACTTTTCAGAGTTGTAACATCAAGTTTCTGAGTAAGTGAGTTCATTTTTCAAGTACACGAATTTGTGGAAATTTCTTCCACCTTAAAGACATATTACTCCACCCCCCCTCCGTTCACTCCCCCCTCCTCCGTTCAATTATTCGATTATTTTTTATCTATCATTTGGAAAATTATTTAAAAAAACCGGCAAAGAATTTTGTGATAAAAACGTTGCTTATATATTTATTACAGGTCGTACAGACCATTGTTGCTTGATTTATAGCAAAAACATTGGCATTTGCACGTTGGCGACGTTGACTCATCTTAACTTTGATGAAAAATATGGTCAGTATGGCTACTCGTGTTTCGGGGTATGTGGGATAAATCATTAAAATATTTGAGAATAAAGTGTTCATACAGCGCATGTTTTAATACAAGCATCACAATGCTAATATAGCATTATATAGCAAAAGGTTTTTATTTGGTCTTCAAACTGTCATATGTTGGATTTCGGCTATTTATTGGGGATTTGAACAGGACCTGGTGCATATGTTAGGCCAATGCATTAACTCCAGATCAAGCAATTTGATTGTGCAATTGATGATAATTTGGACTTTGAGACAGGGAAGGTTTTTCTGAAATTTTGTTCTGATTTTTAGCCCTTTCCACATATGTTTTTTCAATGTTTGATGCACCAATATGTTGCACTTTGAGACACAGTTTTGAGACACAGTTAACCTCTAAAATATGATTTATTTGGGATAAAGTGGAAAACTGTACATGTATTTCCCATAGGGAAAACTCATGTGATCCATTGTTTTCAGCTAAATTTTGGTCATTCAAAATTGATATCTTTAAAACCCCTGCATGAATCATATTTTCATTTAAAACGCAACAGAGTGATCGATGCAACAAACATTGAAAAACAGGTGTGGAAAGGGCTGGAAATCAGGACAACATTACAGAAAAAACATGTTGATGGGGTGCAAATTTGCACCTTCCCTGACTTAAAGTCCAAATTATTTTATAATCTCTATGATTGCTTGTCCTGGAGTTAATGCATTGGCCTAACATATGCACCTGTTCAAATCCTCAGAAAATAGCCAAAATCCAATATATGACTGAAATCTGTTGCAATAGCGTCTGTGGTCCTTTAAAAGAAAGTTATTTCTAGTTGCATAGAGTAGTTTTCATTCTCATCAATACATCTTTGCCTTGAAATCATTCGTGAAACATGTGGTTTGAACTTTATGGAAATTTGCTTTATTTTGACACACCTTTATTTAACTTATACTGTCTTTAAGGCTGCCTTGTCTGAAACCCCGAAGTGTCTCTTGTTTCAAATGTTTAAACAATCAAGTCTCGTCTTGCCTTTATTTCAAACTCTAATTTCCAGACTCGAGTCCAATCAAAAATGAATTATCTACATGGAAGTTTGTGAAGTCCTTTATTTCTGAAACTGTTTTCAATACTTAATATTTTCAGGTAACTGCTTTACAAAATCATTGTGCATTGTGAATCTTCATTACCTATCTGATACATATTTTCCTCAGCAAACTTTATTTTCATAGAACACATGATGAATCTTTTATTCCACATTCTCAATTTTGCATCAATTATGTTTCAAGGATTTTTTTCCCTGGCTCACTATGAATGATTCCATTGACATTAAAATATGTCATGGGAAAGTAGGTCATAAGAAAGAGGAACATTGAGTTCCACCCATTCTAATGATGCAGGTTTTGTGCTAATTTTGAATATCTTTATGGTACTTTTACAGGTAATGGGCTAATGGCTTTAGCAAATTGCAGAAATGTTAAAGTTAGTTTTTTGGTCAAAGTAGGTTGTGAAATCACTAAAGATAAGTCATGAATCTTATATCATAAATGTGTTTTAAATCAACTTGTTTACCTGAAAATAACATGTGGTCACAGCTTTTCTGAACATGCGGATGTACCCGAATGGTGTCTTATTCATAATGTAATAAATGAAATCATTGTGGTATGTATGTGGAGTTGATTTCCCTTATAATAATACATTTACTTTAGTACATGGATTCTCTCCTAATATTATTTGCTTATAAATATCCAAACTTTAATCAAAAGCAGTTTCAAAATTATCGTATATTGTATTTCACCTAAAATATCGTATATGGTATAAGAGCTGTGAAAAATATTGTATATGGTATAAAAGGGGTGAAAAAATATTGTATATGGTATAAGAGAGCTGAAAAATATTGTATATGCATTTCCAAGACCCTCTATACACCCCCCCCTGTTATGTATTCGTATTTTTCGTTTTTTGGGTACTTGTTTTTTTCGATCTGGGTGCCGGGTACCAAGTTTGAACCTAGCATGGAGGATTTACTAGCCGGTACCCATTTTTTTTCTACAAACCCTGAAAAGTGGCTAATATGTTAATTAATACTGAGACAGCTCTTCATTTTTGGTAGAAACAAAACAGTTGAGCAGTATACCATTTTAAAGCCAGCATGCTGAAATACATGTGCCTTTTGCAAAATTAACCTCAAAATGAACCAACATTGCCTAATTTCACGTATAAACATCTCATTATATTTTCCACTTACCTTCATTCCAACATCTGCATTTTCAGGATGGCTACAGCTGTAGGTTCAGCAAATCAGCTGTATCAGGCATAGACTTTGGTGCTGTAAGGGTTAAAGCTGATAGTGAAGATGACCTTCAGGCAGCTGTAGCAACAGCTGGTCCAGTCACTGTGTGTATTGACGCAACCCTCAAGTCTTGGCACCTTTACAAGTCAGGTAAGTTGTTTACAATTCAGGTAAGTTGTTTACAATTCAGGTTAGTTGTTCACAAGTCAGATAAGTTGTTTACAAGTCATCAAACAGCAATCATGGATTTCATAAAACTATAAAATAGCGAGGGATCATGGGTTCAATCCCCTGACTTTTTCACATCAGCCCTTAGCGCAGGATTTATTTTTGTGTTTTCATTAATCAATACTGCCATTTACAGTAAAATCTGTCTTATCCAAATACAACTTTGGCCAGCACAAAGTGTTTAAATTGGCAGGTACTTGTTCACATTTTGAGGTTTTCAAAATTATTTTCAAAATTGTAATCTTTGGTAGATTTAAAATGTGGGATCAAGAGGAAATACAGAGAGGATGTACCGGTTTTACTGTATGAGGAAATTGTTTGCATCAGAGGTCCAGAGATGGGTGACACCACATGATAAGCACAGTGTTCCAAAGTTTTAAGGAAAACATTTTTTATAGGTGTTTATGACAACTCAACATGCCACAATACTATGGCCAAGTTGGACCATGCAGTGTTGGTTGTGGGATATGGGAACGAAAATGGGAAAGACTACTGGCTTGTTAAAAACAGGTAAGATGGTTAGGCATGGCGTTCAATAATCAACAGTTCTTGAAGAGCGAAATTGATTTCATCAGGGGAGGGGGTGAAATTATTGATCAGTTATTTTATACCATATTGTAAGATGGCCTAAATAACTGGCTTTCAGTCTACAGCTGGTGCTTATTATGTCGTACTCTGTTTGTACTACATGTAGGTGGCAAATTTGGCCACTTTTCCTGAATGGAGCTAACAAAAGTATTTTTGGCCCACCCTGTTTTTCAGTTTGTACCAAAATAATTTTTGATGAATTACAAAGTTCACCTGAACTTACTGGGTGCAAAAGGACCACAGAGAAAGTTGACATTTTTTCCAAAAATTTGTGCAAGGGGTATGCAAAAGTTGAAAAACAGAAAACATTATTAAGTTACACCAAAAAATCTGCTAGATTGGAGTCATAAAATCATTTTTTTTAAATACATTTTTTTTTTGATTATGATTTCAAGTGGTCTTAATTCATGTAAGATAGATGTTGACAAAAAAGTGGCTGGAGTGTAAAAGATGTGGTTAGTTGCACTATTTTGCACAACCAAAAGATATTGGAAGTTGTCACATGCAACTTTCCCTGGCCTTGGTAATACTGAATATTTTGCTATGTTTCAGTTGGGGTGGTAGCTGGGGAGACAATGGGTACATCAAGATGGTGCGTAACAAAAATAACCAGTGTGGAATAGCATGCGATGCTTCCTTTCCCGAGGAGTAATGTTTGGTACCATCTGTGCAGTAATATGTCATGACAGTTAAGGTCATCCTCAAAAGTTCTTCATCACAAAAGAGAAAATTATTTTAAAAGTGTCTAAGAAGCCTAATAGTCTATAAAAAGAGAAAGCAAGAAGACATATTATAAAAGACTTTAGAAAGATGACACACTAAATTGACTAGAACATTGAGTGACCCTTGCTTAATGAGTAGCACAATGTACTTCGATATTTTAAAGAAAATTAGAAAAATTGATTGTTCCAGAGTAACATGAACAAGTGCTTAGAACCAGTCTGTTTGCCACATATTTTTCTTGGATTTATATTAATAGTCCTCTGGGGCATCTTGTATATTAAACAGACTCTAAAGATTAAATTGCAGGGTTTCCATATGATAGTACATGTGCATCAGGTATATAACATAAACAAAAAATGACTGAAATTCGCAGTCGTAGACATAGCATAATAGTTGAAAGCCTTCTCCAACATATATGCAGTAAATTATATGCTTCTTCAGAGTCAGTTTGAAATTGCCATTGCCATTTTATTTATCAACATTTTATTGAAAGAAGAAGAAGAACAACCATAGACATGTTTTCTTATTCGGGCTGCTTTCATACATCCAAGCTATTGAATTTGATACACATTAATGCCAAATTTTGCAGTATCTATTTGAAAATATTTCGAGTATACATGTATATATTCAAAAACCTAGGGTATATCATTTTGTGACTAGTTATTGGTTTGTATCTATTTTATATTTGTAAGTCTTGTACTTGTAGCTCCTTTTGGTCATTTTAAATGCATATTTTACAATTTTTTGACACCCTGTAGCGTATGCATGCAATATATTCAAGAACTAAATACTTTCTGGGCACCCTACATGTACTGCCATCTTTCTATCAACTTAGTGGCTATGATGCCCATGGCCACTTGTCCTTGTAATGTATATTTGCAGTGTGCACAATAGTATGTGATATTAACTCTCATGTATTTGCTCTAGAAAACACAGTTTCCATACCTTTGCAGGCTCAAAGGGAATAATGTACTATACGCTGAGATTTAATGTTTTCACTGGTAAAATCAATCTGTCTATTCTGACATGTCTGAACACTACCAAGACTGGCCAATATGTTTTGATTTGCAAGTGGTCATATTTCAAGGTATTTTATCATGGAAGTCTATGCCGATAAATTTTGGTATCTAAAAAACGTTCATATTTAGAAGTATTTAGATAAGATGGGTATTCCGATATACAGGTTTTATACTGTATATACTGCTGATAGTAAAGAAGTAGCCGATTCATTTATAGGCCTAATGTTTTTTGGTAGTTATTTAAAGTATTTGTTTTATTGTGTTGATATTTGATAGTTTGATTAAAGTTTGTTGTTTAAATGTTAATACGTTTAGAATTATGAATACAAAACAAAAAATTGGGGGAATCTCATGATTTGATTCTCATTAGTGATGTAATAGAACGCAATGACATACAATGCAATACTTTACAGTGACATTTGAGGGTTGTCCAAAAAGTTCTTGGAGAGTGATTATCTTTGTTTGAATGCTCTTTAGTGAGTGCATGGTGAAAATAATCAGTCTTGTTTCTATTATATAATAATTCTTTATAACAAAGCAATCCCTAGCTTGACTTAGACTAGTTTTGAATAGACAACATTTTGTACTCTTTTCACTTTTATACAAATAAAACTATTTTATACATGATGATAATTGTTTGTTTTGTTGTACAATGTAGTAGACTATTTGCTCGAGTCTAGAAGTAGAAACCCATCAGGAAAGATATATTATAATTGTAAAGATTTCAACAGTATCTTGTGTCATCCTAAATTGGAAATATTAAAACAGGAGTCCATGTAATAAGTAACCCATTCAATGTTAGTATGCGAATGCACAATCCAAATGTATTTCATGTATTGGTGTATTCAAAATGCTTTTATTTTTCCAATATGAATATCACAGGATTATTTATTGCTATGTCAGCATAATTTCCAATTAAACTCAAATAACAATTTGTGATAATGTACTAAAAATGAAAACCATGCAACGATATTTATTCACACATTGCCAGGCAAGGTTTGTCCAATTCCAGCCAATCAGAACATGCTATTTCACATAGCTGCATTCCGTTATATAACCAATAACGAACTCCAGGTCACTAGATATACGGTTGTCATAATGACACAAATTAACACTCAATGCTTCCCATCTCATGCAAATTTTGGAAAGCAACGCATTCAAGGAATGGTCATTCTATATTGCACGATTAAATCTTTACTTGAAATTACCTGTGTAATACACTGTGTAAAGCACTCAAGTACCGAAATCTGATTGGCTGAGACGCATTTGGTTTCATTTAGATTTAATGATGAAATAATGTTTGCTTCAGCATGACATCGGCTCAATCTTTTTAGAGTTTGCATGTCAAGTGGTTATATATGACAATGCTTTTATCTCCGCTCTTCAATTACACTGAAGGAGTTCAAGTAACTCTCCAAGAGATGTTTCTTGCCTTTATTCAAACTAAATTGACCTTTATTTCTTCAGATATTGTTATATTGGTTTCTGTGCTTGGCAACTTTGGTTATTACAAAGGGAGTTCAATAAATCGTGATTCAGCAATCGTATTTCAATTAAAAGTTCATTATTTTAGATATTGAACGAAAATTTTAAAAGGAAAATATGATATCCAAATAGTCCACTGAGTTCAGTAGGTTTATGTTATTCTGAATTATCCTGAACTACAAAAAGAAAGTTTCCAACACAAAGTATATTATTACAAAATGGAATACATTAAAATACATTAAAGAAATGAGCGAAGTTCTGTTGACATAATTCACTTATACGAAAGAAAAACAATCCCATTCCTTATGCACATGACCTATCAGGATGATACCGAAGTGTCATTATAATGCTCTAGATCCCAGTGCATCATGCATCAGAAACAATGAAGGACGTCCATTCCCATCAGCCTCAGCTTTATAAAGCTCATCTGGCCAATAAGCATTAGATCCAGCTAATACTGGGCAATACAAAGTGACCGTCTAGTTTATTTCATTTTGAAAAATGTGCGTGGTTTTTGTTTGTTTGTATTCCAAGAGAGTAAGCCACCCCTCCCGCTAGAAATCTAGAAATTCTTTGTTAAGACATGACATTATTCAAAAGATCTACTCACTCCCTATAGTTCACAATAGAGTGGTATCTAATCTAGTACTTAACTATCTCAAGTCCTCTTGTAATTTCGATTGTTTTTTGTGGCATATGATGGTCACATGCCTTGACTTTCAAGATCCTCTGCCCACTGGAACCCAACAATTTACGTATATTTAAAACGACGCATTGTCGCAACATTACAATCGCAGTGAATTTCTACAGGATAGCATTGCATTTTAGGCGACCAAAGTGAGTATGAACTTACAAATGTTCTATATGTTGAATATTTGAATCAATCACTGGTAACAAACCAGAGGTATAATATGCCCTCTAATTTCACATAGTGTTACAAAGACAGCATATTAATTCAATTTAATATTACTGGAAACTTATGGGGATTTAATTGTGTTTTTGGTTGTGATCGAATTCTACATTTCCTCCATCGGTATTCGATAACCATTTTCATATTGAGTCACTTTGGATCAAGTAACATTGTAGAGCACACTGACATTGCCTTATAGTTTATGTACCGTCAATCCGTCATTATTTTAGAAAATACCATCACCACTCTTGGTGTATGTTTTTAGATGATGAAATTAGCGATTGTGCTCGGGCTTGTGGCATGCGCCTTTGCGGATCCTAACCTAGATGCTCAATGGAATCTGTTCAAGAAGACCCACAACAAGGTCTACACACAGATTGAGGAAACCATGAGGTGAGAGCATGAACCAATGTCAATGACTTTATTGTATTTGTATCACATCCTTGGTGCTTTATTGTGTTCAGCTTGCTGGACGATGGGAGGACATCCCGATTGATCATGCCACTCGTTTCTAAGCCACCTTTGAGAGACTCACGTCAGAGTTTATTTTTTGGTCATTAATTATGTCATTTAGTCGTTTAATTATAAAAACTTCAGTATAAATTGAAAAATTATTAATTGATTCAAACAGTTACTTCAGTTGCTATGGCTATGCAAGGTATAAGATAAATACACAGGCTATACTCTTGAAATCGTGCTTAGGCTACTATTATCTTTCATTGGGATCAAAAGATTTAGGCAAGAGAAAATTCTGGATTAAATTGTCCCCAGATACATTCATGGACAAAAATAAAGTCTTAAAGCAATATATAGGGATTTCAGATGTATCATATTATAGTCTAACTATAATACCATTTCAGGCATATCATATCATAATACTACTCTGATTTCATTTCAGGCGTATCATCTTCGAGAGGAATGTCCAGCGTATTCAAAGTCACAACCTTGAGGCAGACATGGGACTCCATACTTACAGACTTGGCATGAACAAATATGGAGATCTGGTAGGACCCACATTCACTTCCAAATAAAAGCATTACTCCGAAATATAAACAATACCACCAATATATAGTGCAATAAGCGCGCGCCACCAAAATTCAGTAACCTGGTTTTTGGAACATTTAGAGGCACGAGCTCTATAAAATTTTCTAAAGTTCATGAATAAGTCTTCGCAGTCAAATTCTATTAAGAAACTCGAACATTTCAGGCAACTGCAACTATTTCGGCAGGAAAATATTTGAGAAAAATCAAAACAACATATGTATAGTGACAGGAGCGAAATTGGGTACTGATCTTAATTATATCATTACCAGTATTTTTTTTATCAAAATCATTTTTTCAGACTGATGAAGAATACCGCACCCTTCTAGGATACCGAATGACGAACACAACCCGTAGCTCATCTGGCACTTTCATGGCCCCCTCAAACATGGTCCTCCCCGACAGCGTTGACTGGAGACCTAAGGGCTACGTCACCCCAATCAAGGATCAGAAACAGTGTGGATCTTGCTGGGCCTTCAGCGCAACTGGCTCTTTGGAGGGACAAACCTTTAAGAAGACTGGCAAACTCCCAAGCCTCTCCGAACAAAATCTGGTTGATTGCTCCACGAAAGAAGGTATATACATAGCAGTAGAACCCCGGGACAGTCAAAGAGTTTTAATTTTACTGTGGTCAGCTTTGAGAGATTTAAAATAACGTGGTAAAGTATGGTTAAAAGTGTTCACGTTACGGAAGTATTCTTGTTACAAAGGCTTTCAAATTGAGAGTTTTACTGTAATTGTAAAATATGTCTATGCAGAAATGCAGAAAGAGAAAACCTCTAATTTGAAAAGCTTAAGATGCGAACAGCTTTTACCACTGGTATAATATTTCAGAAACGAGCATACAAGTATAAGTACAGCAAACCTAGTCAATCCAAAACGTAACGCCACTGGGACTGGCCAAAAGTGTTCTGATTGGTAAGTGTTCACATCAACCTATAAATGTGAACACGACTACAGTCTTCTCAAAACGCAGTCATTACTTCATTATATCTCCTACTGAATGCCTAGTGAACGAATCCTAAATCTGAACACCTGCTATACTGAACACTTTCGCCGCAAAATGGCGTTCAGATGAGATGGTATTCACTGCAGGTGAATCATTCGTAACATGTGTGGCTAATCGTATATACAATTTGAAAGCACATGTAATACGATTGCTGTACTTATACTTGCTGAAAGCGTAATTCATTGCAGGTAACCATGGTTGCGGTGGTGGGCTGATGGACCTCGCCTTCAAATATATCAAGGTCAATGACGGAATTGACACCGAGATGTCATACCCTTATGAAGCTAAGGTAAATATAGATGGCAGTTGTGTTCTAAAATGATAAATGATTAGTGTGATAGAAAGACTAAAAGATGATTAAATTCAAAGTTTCAGAAAATGCAATGTTTCAATTTACATACCGGTATGTCAATCGTGTTTCAAAATCATAAATGCAAACTGTTTTTCAAAATTACAAATACTGGTTGTGTTTCAAAATCATGATTTCCAATTTTGTTTTAAAATCATAAATGCAAACTGTTTTTTAAATTCATTTTATGCCAGATGTATTTCAAAATCATAGATAATAATTTTGTCTCCATTGTATTTCAACATGTCAATTTTTCAGAATGACAAATGTCGATACAAGAGTGCAGACAAGGGAGGAGAGGACACAGGGTTCATGGACATCAAGAGAGGAAGTGAGAAGGATCTGCAATCAGCCGTAGCAACTGTTGGACCAATCTCTGTAGCTATTGATGCAGGTAAAGTGGAGGACATTACCCAGAATTCAAATGTCAATCTATCTTCATGAGAAAATGATGTCTCACATGAAGATAGGTCCATCCAGGAATGCTGGGTATTTCCCCTTTTCAGCACGTACATTCTGGGGCACATTTTACAAATTTGTGTAAATATCTCATTGTAGTCGTACCTTAGTAGAAAAAGTTTTGTGGATTATGCGAATGATATCCTAATGTTGAATCAGAGGTAAAGATTGATATAATTTGATTATCAGTTTTCAAATCAGGTGTTGGATAAGTTAGCTTTATTTTCATTGGTCCCCTTCATTTGATTGACTAATGGAACTAAAGTATATTCCTTAACTGTAGACCTCTGGATGGGTCAATAATTCTATTCTGTAGTTATTTGCACAGATATGGCTGGGTGCCATTGACAGAAACTTAATAAAATCATTAATTCCTAAATCAATTGTTGTATCTATGTATATAGTGATGTCGGAGGAAGGGAACAATGGACTTTAGGAATTCTTAATTTGACAAAATTTCTATAAATTGCCCCCTTTTACTTGTTTTCTAGGCCACTTTAGTTTCCGTATGTACAAGACAGGAGTGTACTATGAGCCTAAATGTAGCTCAGTGAGATTGGACCATGGTGTATTGGCAGTAGGATACGGGTCAGAGAATATGCAGGATTACTGGATTGTCAAGAACAGGTAATGGGGAAACTAGGACGAGTCCTCCTTTAAATCCGCATTCAGTTAAACCAGTATATCCCAACACCCCTCAGAGTGAACACTTCAGCTGTCTCCATTTTTGTCTTCTCCCACTTACTAACATGTAACAAAAACTAGAATGTGAATACCTGGCCATATGAACAACTGTGGCTTGTACCAGTGATCTTTATATTATACTCATGTTAAAGCTCAGCATTAGGATAACTAATAATGATGAAGAATTGACATTAGCAGACAACATGTACAGTAAAACATGTCTATTAAATACTGCTCTATTGTAAAAATTTCTAAATGTAAATGCTTTTTGAGTTCAATATTCTCACATTCAAAGTTATATTTGACAGGTTTAACTGTACTCTAGTTTGTTTAAAATCTCTTAATTTACCAAATTAAAGTGTAAATTTTTCAAGTCGAAGAAAGTTCTTTTTCGCAAAAACCAAATTGAGGAGAATATAATAAACATCATTATAAATAATAAAACTGATTAAACGGCCAAAAACTCATGGTAAGCCTTGGTAAAATATTGTTGTGCAAACTTGTCTTTCAAACTGAAAAATATAAATTTCATCTTCATTTTTTCAGTTGGGGAAAAAGCTGGGGAAGTGAAGGATACATCAAGATGGCCCGTAACCGTGACAACCAGTGTGGCATAGCAACACAATCCAGCTACCCTCTCGTCTAATTCATTTCAGAGGACATTATACTGAAATCAAAATGTTTTATGAATAAATCTACCTAAGTAACAAATCTGACAATGAAGTAGAAAAATAAAAATTTCCAAGACACCTGTAGAATTGTGTTTGAATTTTCAATAAAACAATAAAACATCAATATTTTATTTCCATTTATTTAATATTGAACAACACAAACTTTGACAGTGTTGATTTGAGCTTCTCACATAATTAAGTAAAGGCACAACGCACAACTAAAGATATAAGTAAATATGTCAGAGATTCTTATACGATTGATACAATGTATATTACACTAATACCATCTATATATCATTTAAACAGCCATCGGTAGAAAAACTATGGAAAGTCTATTGAGATATCTTAAAAGGCCCTACAACATTAAAGGAATATTCCTGGCCAGACCATTTCTCTCCTAATATGGTAGCTATAACCATATATATACTTTCCATATTTAGCAAAACAGGGAAAAACGTTTTGATATGGTCAATATTGATCACTTGAAGTGCTGAATTCCAGTAGGCTGCCATCTTTTAATATTTCACTCAGGAAGTGATGTCATCGACTCTCAACTTTGCATATAACATTATAAGGAGCTATTAAGAATTACAAAACCAGCTGAATATTCTTTTTCAATTTTGTCTATGCTTTAATCCTTCTAAAAGTCTCTTCTTTTATTTTAAGCTGACAAGCTCTGAACATATTTTTGCGCATAAAGTAAGGATCACTCGTCTAGAAGTGATATTGTGCTATTTTCCTATACTGTTATATGCAAGGTCATGAAAGTTGAGAGTCGATGACGACATCACTTCCTGAGTAAAATCTTAAAAGATGGCAGCTTACTGGAAATGAGCACTACATTTTTAAATTATCAATATTGACTATATTAAAACACTTCCCCATGTTTTGCTAAATATGTAAAGTATATATATGATTATAGCTATCACATCAGGATAGAAAAGGTTTGGCCAGGAATGTTCCTTTAAGTGTATGTATATGTATATGAATACTTCATCTTACAAGGCACAAGGTCTCCAAAAATACAATGAATAAGATCCCCAAATAATAGCCTAAAAATAAGGTGGGAGAATTAAGGACATCTGATAGACTCCCAATTACATATCTACATGGTGTTTTTGTGATACAAACCAAAGGAATCATCAATAAACAAACATATTGTAACTTAAATAATATATGCATGTAAAATGATGTTCAGAGCATTGACGTGATAAAAGGTCACCACCTGGTCGCACAGAGTATTTAAGTATGAGTTTTAAGAATATCTCACAACAAATTATATTCACATTACCATGGTAACATAAACTGCCTAAATGTGAGGACTGCTATGAATTTGTATTCACTGTGCGAATCTTAAGTGCACCTGACCATTACTTTTATTTCCAAGTGTCTTCAGGTTTCTGATATCTTCAGAATTTGGTCAGGTAATATAAAAATCATAATAGAGCAGCAATTTATATCATCTATAGTTTCCATAGAAACAATAACAGCTTGAAAAATTCTTCACTTTTTTAAATAATCATTTTCCAAACTGCAACATTTATGTAAAATAAGGCAATTGAGCTTAGTCTATTTATGGTCCAAATATGGGATAATTGGTTTGAATTTTCTTAATTTTGGTGTATTTTAGAGTCCAAGATTAACATATTGAAACAGTTCAGGTTATTTTGAACGGATATTGACACTGAGCCACATACACTCCCCCCATAAGTTTGGCAAATGGAAGTTCTAATTGAACAGCAAATCAACATCAAAACTGGCCAAAGTTTGAATCTTTATTTTGTGTTTAAATTACAATAGATTATCACAAATATAGATCTGTAGATGGGGAACAGGGAAATACCAAAATATGTTAAAAAGCAGGAAAATGAAACATTCACAAGTACAAACAGTCAAAAGGAAAGCAAAGCCCAAATATCCCAAACTATAATCTACCATGGAAAGAACCAATGTATAATACCCTTCTATTAAGGAATCATTAACAAAATCCAAGACCATGGGACAAAAACCGCAAAACAAAAACAGACTTTGATATGCGATCGAAAAAGAGACTTCAAATTGCCAAACTTGTTGAGGGGAGTGTAAAAATACATGTACTAACTAAGATTTGTTTAACACAAACATTCACTAAAATAACCAAAATAAATTTGATTTAATATTTCAAGACCATTGAACTCTATGAGCCATATGTTACATTCTCTGTTATGCTTTACTTATATTTAATGTAATTTTATGTAGTTTTCAATAATTTACAACTGGTAAATTACCATCTGAATGCCTGTCAATATTAACAAACCATTAATTTCTTTCTCTATGTATTTGTTAATGTCTGATGTCAGGCTCCATATTTTCAGAACATGATATTGTGAATGTGTTATGGAATATCCTGCTCTTCATTAGAATAAGGGATCGTATCAATATATAAGTTTTTGATAAACAAAAAACATAATTTATATGTATTATGATATCCCAAAAACTTAAATGCCGGTTTGCTGTATCATACAATTATTGAAAGTTTTATTCTAAACCTTGAGGTTTTCTGGCTCTTCATGCGGTATTCAAATGTGCGGAGAAGTTATATAGTGGAATCAATTGGTGCAAGGCCCCCATAGGGACCTTGTGTTTTCATACTAAAGTTTGTTTTGGAGTTTTTTTTATTGTTCTATGTATTTTAAGACATTTTAGAGACAGGGTCCTTTTTCTAAAACCCTTTTTAGAAAAACAATTGAGATTACAGATGATACCAATTATTACTGCTTTTTAACAGTGTTAACAGAAAATTCAAATTTCAATCTCCTTATCTCACTATAATTTACCAATGGAGAATGGAAGTTGAGCAACCAAACTTGGCACAAAGTTGGACCCTAAGATAAGCTCTAATCTGAGGGGTTTGATATTTTGTGAAATCATATATTTGCCTAGCAACCACATAGCAACCATCTATAATAACATATTTTACAATATAAATCCACTTAAGATATGCTAGGATGCTATAAGGCCATTACAAAAGTCTTCTTATCCTAAAATATAACAATTCAAACATATTTACAAAAGTGACATTACCATGTTGCATAGCAACAACATGGCAACAGGTTACAATGCCCATTTTGACATTTGCACACCATATTCCTATTATATGCTCACTTGTATGCTTTTAGATCCCTTCCAAATGATTTCTTAACATACAGAAATTGTATTTAAGCATGAATGATGCAGTTATGCCTGACCCTTTTACCTAGCAACTTCCTAGCAACGGCTTGAAATAATGGTTAAATTTGCCTAGCAATGACCTAGCAACAGCTTAGAATAGCAATGTTTCTCATAAAAATCTCCCTACTGTATATATATCCACTATGTATACTTGAACAAAATCAATATGTATGTCTTTTAATTGATAAAGCTTTATGGGACATTTCTTGTCTTATTTCTTATCAAATTGCAAAAGTAGGGCAATTCGTAAACACAAAATATTCATCATATTTATCCTTGTTACATTTTCAGCATTGATACCCACAAGATAATATTATTTGGGTTAATTGCTACAATTTCCTTTGCAGGTGCATAGTTTGATGCAGTAGAATGCACCATGGCATTTGCAGTTCCCTTTGCAGTCACATTTGGTGCATCCACATTAAGTTATAACTTTACATGCCTCGGATGCTTGCGACAGTATTGTCCGTCTGGGTACCCACAATCCAGATGTGCTCCTAAACCATCCCCATAGGTTTGGTGAAGGAAGAACTGGATCCACTATGTACCATTGCCCCCATACATGTGCTCATCAGGATTGTGTGCCCAGATGGACAATATTGCCAAAGCATCCAAAGCATGTAAAGTCATAATTAAATGTGGATGTACCAAATGTGACTACAAAGGGAATTGCAAATGCTGTGGTGCATTCTACTGCATCAAACTATGCACCTGCAAAGGAAATTGAAGCAATTCACCAAAATAAAGCATTATCTTGGGGGTATCAATCCTGAAAATGTATCAAGTATTAATGTGATAAATATTTCGTGTTTACTTTATCTCAGAACTGAAACATGAATTGCAATTTGATATACATAAGACAAGAAATGTCCCATTATGCTTTATACAAGAGACTAAAGATTTTTAAGAGAGCAACTAAGCTTTATAAATTAGAAAGACATATATATTGATTTTCTTCAAGTACATATAATGGATATATAGTGAAATTCTTATGAGAAACATTGCTATTTTAAGATGTTGCTAGGTTGTTGCTAGGCAAATTTAACCTTTATTTCAAGCCGTTGCTAGGGAGAATGGTCAGACATAACTACATCAATACATTTGCTATATGTTAAGAAATAATGTGGAAGAGATCCAAACGCAGTGAACATATAATAGGAATATGGTCTGCAAATGTCAAAATGGACTTTGTAACCTGTTGCCATGTTGTTGCTATGCAACATGGTGATGCCACTTCTGTAAATATGTTAAAATTGTTGTATTTTAGGATAAGAAGACTTTTTGTAATGGTCTTATAGCATCCTAGCATATATTAAGTGGATTTATATTGGAAAATATGTTATTTTAGGTGGTTGCTATGTTGTTGCTAGGCAAATATATGATATCACAAAAAATCAAAGCCCTAAGATTAGAGTTTATCCTAGGATCTAACTTTGTGCCAAGTTTGGTTGCTCAATTCCCATTCTCCATTGGTAATTAATAGTGAGATAATAAGTTTGGAATTTGAATTTTCTATTAAAATTGTGTTAAAAAGCAGAAATAACAGGTATTCTGTGTAATCTCAATTATTTTTATAAAAAGGGCTTTAGAAAAAGGGCCCTGTCTCTTAAATAACTTGAAATACATAAAACTATAAGAAAAAACTCAAAAACAAACTTTAGTATGAAAACGCAAGATCATTCACCAATTGATTCCGCTAATACTTTGAGTATTGTTGATATATTGATACGTTCACTTAGTTAACATAGCAAAATCTACATGTTCTGACATTAATCGGTCATTAACATGACATACTGTAAATTGCTTTCATTGGCGCTATGTGAGATTGAGAAAATTAAAAATTTGCCTGCTATTTAATCATGGCGGACTGACCATCATCAATCATGTTAGTCACTTAACAGCTTGCCAATAGACAACTTTATCTCACTTTTTAACGTCTTTTTCCCAAAATTGGTGGAGACATAATGTGGCGTTTTTTTAGTCCGCCAAATTGAAGCAGCCATCAAATTAAAGCAATTCACAGTAATTAAGTTTTTTTCAATTCTGTTTCCTTAACAGTAATAACAGATTATGTGTTTGAGTATTTCTGTTTAGGGACACAAAAAATGTTTGAACGAAAAACATCCTCCAAAACAGGCTTCTATACCTCCCATAAAGAGAAAGAAGGTATTCTGGGTACCTTGCAATTGTAGGATGAGAAAAAGGCACAGTGGTTCTCCATTAGACTCTATAACATACCCTTGTATCAGTTATTATCACACTGTTGCAATTAAACAATGTTACAACATGTTATGCTACATACGCAGCCTCCAAAATATGAAATAAAATAAAAGGCGGGTGTGCCGTCTTTTTCAACCTCCAACAACTTCATTTTGAAATCATCTTAAACTTAAATACTTGAAGCATTCTGAATATCATACTTTTCTGACATAAAAACCATAAAACATATATGAACTATAATAAAAAATACATAAAACTACTTATTCTATAATATGTTTTGATTTTAGAGCCCATTGTGATAAGGTCAAAATATGCCTAAATGCCATAAATTCATCATTGATTAAGAAAAAGAAATGACATAAATCTCCATAACAAAAAATAGACAATTACGGCAAAAATTATAGAGGTAGAATACAGAAGTAAAATAGCACTTTCCAACTCAAAGTGACACCCCTACAAATGTTATGTTGAAAATGAGACTTTTGTAGAAATGTTGTTTGCAGAACATGGGATGAAAATAGCAAGAACAGCAAGTGAGATGTTCATATTACCAATGCCATGTGATCTGAAGGTAAAATAAGTTGAAAAACTCATCAAATGGTATGTTGAGATGCAGACTTTTGTGGAAATGATGATTGCATAAAATATATTATGAATATAAGTTATAAAGTTTAAATACAGCTGAATAGATAAAATGCTATAAACCTTGAATTTCCACATTTTCAAAAATTATCAAACGAATATATTGAACAAGTTGTATCTGATTCATACAAATTACACACCTTTCAAAAATTGGAATTAGGTATTGCCAAATACCCATTCTGTGACTCTTATTCAATTCAATTTATTGAATATTATATTTAAAGTTATCATATAACTTTTCTTTTTCAGTTTCCATAGTACGTTACGTATAAGGTCATACAGGGTGTCCATTTACTTACATAGACTGTGTTTTTTAATTGTAAAGACATTTTATGAACACTCTGTATATCTTCAGATCTAATCTCTTACCAGTTAAAAAAATATTGGTAAATCAGATCACTCCAATAAGATAGAAAAAACAATAAGAAAACACCCAAGCATGCCTATATATAAAAAACACCAGTGTACAAATATCATGCAACATTATGAGAAAAAAAAACATCTACAGGGTGTCAAAAAACAATAGCACCCCCCTCTACAGCAAAATATACTTAATGTTACATAGTGTGTCATATCCCATTTTAAAGACAATTTAATTCTGGAGTTACTTGAGAAATGTCAGCTCAGTTTGCCTTTTAAGTAATATTTCCAAAAATTTTTAACGCGTCATATATGATTTAATATTCAAACATGTGTCATCTAACAATCTTTTGTATCAGAACCAATCCGAGTTTTTACCTGGGCATGACACTCAGAAACAACTTGTATCTATTGTAAATATGATTACTTCAAATTTTGACCATAATATTTCGACTAGAGGGATCTTTCTTGATATTGAGGGTGCGTTTGACGGCGTCCCCCACTACTTACTTCTCCATAAGCTAAAATCATACGGTATCTGTGAGAACATTATTAATCTGATAGGGTCCTACCTTAATAACAGAAAATTAAAAGTTAGGGTGAATGGTACAACTTCAATAAATTCAGATACTCTATATGACAATATTGATGGGACAATGGAAGGGATTCTAGGGACAGGAGGAAGGGATTTAGGGGGGTTTGACAAAGGAGTAATAAATTGTGGGGTTCCTCAAGGGTCAATATTAGGTCCCCTGTTTTTCTTACTTTATATCAATGACCTAGGCGATGCAGTTTTAAATAGCACTCTGTACCTTTATGCTGATGATAGCTCAATTTTTCTACCTGTCAAAAAGGAGGACTCAGTTCATGAAACTTATCTAAAACTCCAAAGCGATGTTAATACAATAGAGATCTGGTCAAAGACTTGGAAATTAAAATTTAAGACAAGTAAAAGTAAGGAAGTGTTTTTCCAGTCCAAAACTAGAACTCCAATTGCTCAAATTCCTATTGTGTTAAATGGTGACTCTATCCCTTTCACCAATAGTCACAAACATCTTGGACTTATTTTAGACAAGGCTTTAAACTTTGAAGAACACATTAACAGTATAATTGTTAAATGTAACAGGATGTTGAACCCACTTATGGCACTAAAACATAACTTAAGATCACAACATCTAGAGCAGATTTATATGGCATTTATACTACCTCACTTAGAATATGGGAATATCATTTTTGATTGTGCAAACTTAAATTTACTTTCTAAATTGGATAGTATTCAGTATAGGGCAGCATTGATTGTCAGTGGATGTACCCAAGGTACAAATGCAACCAAAGTCACCTCATGCTTAGATTGGAGGTCCCTAGGGGCCAGGAGGGATGAAAAGAAACTATTGTTTACTTATGACGTCATAAATAACAACAAAATGCCTTCCTATGTAAACCAGGCCTTTTCTTTAAATAGAAATCATAATGTAATGAATAATGGAAATCGGTTACGCAGAGTCAGATCTTTCAGAATACCAGCTCACTGTAAGGCCAAGATCAGCAAGGGTACAGTGATATCTTGTATAACAGCATGGGAGAAACTGCCTGGTGATTTGAAAGCTATCCAATCTAGAAATTTTTTTAAGTTTAACCTGAGGAAACATATTCAAAATTCTAAAATAAAGCTACCTACTCCAAAATTGCATCTTGATAGGAAGACAGAATCAACTTTGAATAAGACTCGATGTGACTTTATTTTTAGGCAGCATTTATTCACACATAATTTTAGAAACATTGATATTCCAAGTTGTAATTGTGGCTTTAGATCACAGTCTACAATGCACCTATTATTACACTGCCCAGGGGCGGATCTGGGAACCAACAAGGGGGGGCCCCAATTTCAGGTCAGAGAAAAAAACTTCCTAAAACCCTAAAGTGGGCCCAAATTTTGAAATTTTGAGGCCCATTTTCTTCAAAATTTGGCCTGAAATTAAAAAATAAGGCCTTAAAAGGCCCAGTTATGACCAAAAAGGCCCACTTTTTGGGGCCTTAAGGCTTTATTTGGCCCAAAATTTTTTTGGGCCCAATTTTTTTTTTCTGGGCCCACCCAAGGGGGGGGGGGGCCCGGGCCCCCCCCCCTAATCCGCCAGTGCTGCCCTCTATTCATTGTTCAGCGAAACTTGTTTTTGGAAGAACTTGGGGAACTGTCATCCTTTGATTTAACCGTGTTTGGTCAACTCAGACAGCAAGACAGGGTAAATTATTTGTTATATGGTGATTGCTCATTATCGTATCTGACAAATCAGAAAATTGTTGAAATGACTGCAGGTTTTCTGCAGTTAATTGTTACTATTTTAAATGAGTAAGTTTTTATTTTTATATACTGTTCTGCATTACCGAGTTGATCCTTAAATCTCATTGCAACTTCACTTTACATTATATAAATTCTTGACTACCAGGGCCAATAATGCATTGCTTCGGCCCTTGCTGTGTTTGTAATTTGTTTTGTTTAAATGATAATAAAAAAACTTTAAACCTAAAAATGTCAGCTCCGTATGATATAATTTTGCAGATTTACAGCTGATTATAAGTAGTTGGTATGGCCATCACTTGCCGCTCGAAAAGCAGCTAAGCTGGATGGATATGACTTCAGTGAAGATTCAAAGAGAGGCTCAGCATTGCATAATCCTTAAAGCACTTTCCTCATATTCTTCAGAAATACATCCTTACTGTATCTATTTTCAAGAGGCCCCCTCTCCATCAATCATTTCCAAGATTTAACCTTAAACCAATAATAAAATAGCAATCAAAGTACTGATGTACATGTAGCAAACTTCGAAACAATATAGCTTTTTTAATTTAAAGTTTTATTAAATGAAATTTGATGAGTAACTCCAGAATTAAATTATCTTTCAAATGAGATATGACATGCCATGTAACATTTAGGAGTTTTTGCTGTAGAGGGGGGTGCTGTTGTTTTTTGACACCCTGTAGATACATATTTTTGTAAAGATTTTCTCCATATTTCATCAGTTTCGGTGGATCCTCTTAACAACTTTGAACCATATCGCATATTTCTTGAACTGCAAATAATATCATTAAACAATGTCCTGAACTTGCTTCTCATGCTCGTTCTCGACAGACGCAACCCTCAACCTCCGCTCATTCTTATCCTTCATACTTTTCTTTGAACTCCCACAACACTTTTCAAAATGGAACAAATGTCCTCGAACTTTTCTGGAATAGATGGCGTAGCTCACTGCACCAAGGCAGATAAAAAGAACGGAGAGAATAATGAGGATCCCGAAGGTGTGAGGACTGGGAAGGATTATGACTAGAGTAAATTTGATTAAATCAAACAGGCTATTCAGGGAGTTTTGCACACCATTTACAGCCCCACGGTCCGATTCATGCACATTTTCTTGAATGAGTTGGGTCACAGTTAGATCTGCCATCCACAGTCCTGGAACATGAGAAGCAATTTTGTTATTATGTTCAGTAATTTCAAATTTCGTATTTCTGTTTGAGCTTTAAATGCAATCCAATGGAAGAATATTTGTTACTGTAATCATTTTTATGCTATATGAAGTATAATGCCACAAGATTAAAAATCGTAAATTTTGAGCCTATATTATATAACACCTTATCTACATTATAAGTCTGATTCTATTAGAATGTTTCAGATCAAGACACGAAGGCAAATGGAATGGCAAATTATCAATGATAAGTTTGGTTTGAATTTGTTATATTGTACTTACCAAACCTAGATAATACTACGCTGGTCATGAACACTACAACTGATATATAGTTATAGGAAGGGGCACCTCCAGTTTCTAGTAGACATTCAGGGTTCTGATTCGAACTATTACCAATGTACACTGGTCCTTCATCTGTACTAGCAGGACCTTCAGTGCTAGTATTGTTTGTCCCAGGATTTGAGGTCCCGTTTTTTGCTACTTCAGCCCCCGTTTCATTTTGTAATTGTCTCTTGACAATTTTTCTCAAGTTTTCAATTTGAAACTCCTTTTTAGGCTGATAAAAACCATTAATATCTAATGGATCATTGTTTGAGTACCACTTTAATTCACCGGGTGTTAATTCTTCAAATGTTGTATAAATATCATCCATATTTGAAATCCTTCGTTTGAAGCGTGTAATATTTGTAGAAACATCTAATATTGTTACGTTCCCAGGGTGTGAAGTGCAATTCAACGACGGTGCATGAGTTTTAGGATCGTAACTCAAATCGAACGGAGAACCAGGTAGCCATATTGAAATCAATGCTGGGATGAGGAGACCTATTTCAAGACTGAATGAAATTAAACCGGTTCTCTCCAGGCCTATTTTCTTGCGTATCCGAGTGAAGCTGAATGCTCCCAGAATTCCTAGGAGGCTACCAAGCCCCATGAAGATTCCTGCCCCATATTCTGGGATACCCTGTGAGTAGATATACCCTGTAACAAAGAAAGTAGATATTCTACGCTTATAAATGTTCACAGTACAGTAAAACCTGTATGCCCAAACATTTCTGTATATTTAGTATATTTTCATGTCAACTAACATGTGTACTGACCCATATTTCACTTAAAGTCTTATTCTTACTTTTCTTAAGCTACATGCAACATATTATATCTTTAACCGAAGCTACCTATAATGCCACCTGGCAACTAGTGGGCTTTCATGTATGAATTGTTTTTTTTGTTCTTGAAAAGTGTAATAAAAAACGTTAGTAATTATGATTTATAATAGTGCCTACCAATACTGATGCTATCAAAGCCCATGACTGTCATATAGAGGAAGGCAAGACCAATTCCCGCAGCTACAATCTTCTGGCGAATGTATGTATGCCACCCACCAACAAAAATTATACACCTAGAATATGTAACATATTGTAACATATATATTTCATTCTGTTGAGGAAGGGTTTATATGAGAACTTAACACAAGATGAGTTATTATGAAATTGTGCAGAATTGTTCAGATTTCATTAAAAGGAATTGATTGATTAAAAATTGATTAAAATGGACTAAGATCAGCTTCACTTTTGGTTCTAAAATTTAACATGCAAGCAAAAACTGAACTACATCTGCCAATTATTTTTCAATCTACAATGTAGTTAAACCTGAGTAATGAACACCTCTCTTAGTGAATACCTGTCTCTAGTGGACACCCTTCCTCCGGACATACCCTATTGACTTCTGTATAAATTACCCTCTCTGTAGTTAACACCTACCACCACTGAACGTTTTTTATACACAGGTTTTACTGTACATGTATATAGCAAGTGGCTTATCGCATACCTGTCACATAACAGTCTTCCAACGCCTTTTCGTCTCTTGTCCTTTGGTAGTTTCTCAACTGTATCTTTATAGACTCTTTCCCTCTGCTGATCACGGGTCAAAATGGCCACCTCTGCCCGGCCGTCACGATTATGAGGATGATATTCCACATCTGATTGGTCAGCTTCTACTTGAGTCACCTGTGTAGTCTCAGCCTCGGATTGTAATTGAGATTCATCCAAATCTTCCGTATCTGAATAAAATAAAAGTGTATTAGCAGTTCTCACCAAATAAAAAAAATTGAAATGAGTTCAAATCTTGTTTAAAAATATTCTCAAAAACTGAAACCATGTAATGATAATTGAACATTGATGATGCTTGTACATTGCGTTGCATTGCATGAACTATACCTTTACTTAAATTGATCACCCTGTACACATGTGCCGTATCTTTTCGTAAATGGAACACCCTGTATGCATGCAATGTACCTTTACTTAAATTGATCACTCTGTATGCATGAACTGTATCTTTACTTAACTTGAACACTCTGTATGCATGTACTGAACCATTACTTAAATTGAACACCCTGTATGAATGTACTGAACCATTACTAAAATCAAACACCCTGTATGAAGGAATGAACTGTACATGTACCTTTACTTAAATTGAACTTAAATTGCATGAATGTATTGTAGTGTTACTTAAAGCATACTTAAATCTAACACCCAGTATGCATGTACAGTACAGTTACTTCAATATGCATGTACTGTATCTTTTTCTAAATCGAACAACCTGTATGCATGCACTTTTGCACTGTACCATTACTGATCACCCTGTATGTATGAACTGTACCTTTAGTCTTCTTATGTTCAAGTTCAGGTACTCTGATGTAAACTTTCCACAACAGGTAGTACTCAATAAACACAGAAACTATATTCCATACTGCGATAAATACTGCACCAATCAGCATTGAGCCAAAGGTCATGACCTGTCCAGCAACTATAGGTGCCAGGATGTTGGATGTTAGATCTATGGCCCGCACAGCTGCATTAAGAGCTGAAATGAAATATTTGTTTATAATTATCATTCTATTAATACATGTTCTGTTATTTGTTTTTTTTATCAGTATGATATAGAAATAGTAGTACAGGGTGGTCAAAAAATAGAAACCCTCATATATTTGGCACATTTGTACATCATTCAATTTCCTACCAGCCTACAATATTTCATGATCATTTGGCTGACAGTCACAATGTAAGAGCACTTTGAACAATATGCTCCAGGTGTGGCCATCATACGATGTAGGGAAATCTGCACACATTGTAAATGACCCAACTGCATTACTCAGCAGATATGGCCCGAATGACACAGTTGATCTCCGTTTTGAGGTGTACAATTGTCCTGAGGTCATTCCCGTACACTCTGTCTTTGGTGTATCCCCACAGGTAGAAGTCAGGTAGGGACATTTTGGAAAATGTGTGCAGGTTTGCCTTTAGCGCAACAGTGGCTACTGGAGTATATATTATCAAAAGTGTGGTAACAGAGACAATCAGGCTGATGGTCATAACATAATTGGTAGGCTGGTAGGAAATTCAATGCTGTACAAATGTGCCAAATATTAGGGAGTAATTTCCTAAAAGGACAAAGATATGAGGAAAATGGTGGCATGATTTGTAATTTGTTGTGGCGATTGTGGTAATTGTTTTGTCCTTTTGAACATTGTTGAATGATATATTCAAATTTGGGAATTTCACTTGCATCTTTAAAGTTAAAAAAAGGTAAGAATACGAAGTTGAATTTACAATTTTAAACAAAATAGACCAAAGAAGATGTAGATGCATACATGCTAAATGTTCTTTATCACCCTTAGCAACGACAACAATCCAATCATGTTCCACAGAAATCTTATAAGCGAGACTGGCGAGTTGTGCCGCTACTGCTAAAATGATCACAATAGCACGACAGAAGCCCATCAAGTGGGTACCCTGCCCTATAGTGGATTGGTAAGATATTGTCATGTATAACACAATGGCACACACAGTTACTGCCAAATTCTGGAGGATCAATGACGTCTGCGCAACTGGAATAACACAATAAAGTCCAGCTTACATATACATGTACAGTGAAACATGTTAAATCAGAGCACCACTAAGACTGACTACAGTGTTCTGATTGGCAGATAGTATTACATTTCAAAGCTTTTAAATTCCAAGTCAATTGTAGATTTAAACAAGCCACTAACACGACAACATGACAAAATGTCACGACCAGTTATTGAAAGTTGTAAGATTTGTTGCAGATGCCAAACACTGATTGTCGAACACCATCCACAAAAAAGTCGGAGACTATAACAATATGCCGTCACTTCTGGTGGTGACATAAAATTGGGAAATTTAAAACAAAACAGGGACGTAAAAATATCACATTGAGAGCTGTTCAGAATTGAGAAGTGTTCCGATGTACAGGTTTTACTGTAGATATTTACTGTACTTAGAGTATATACTGTATATTATGCCCATTTCATTGTCATTTTGAATGATCTTCTAAATAATGAATCAAACTTAATTTACAAGGCTCCTAAGTCTACATAATGTGAATTACCTTTAAGTCTGGGGGTTCTATCCACCCAGGCCCCAATTAAGGCACCGAAGATCAATCTACAAGCGCAGGTAGTGAATCCATAAACAGCTGGCAGCAAGAGTGAGTCCTTTTCTAGGAATACCAGATACAGGCCAACTGCAAACCTCCACATGCGGTCTCCCTATAACATCAAAGAGGAACAATCACCCATTATGAAATTGTCCAAAAATGTTCAAAAATACAATTTTCCCTTCTGCCAAAAAGCGTTCCACTTACAGAGGTTTTGGGTTCGCAGGGATTTAAAGAACATACAAGATAAAATATAGGGTTTATATGTATCACTGGAAATATGATTTTCCGTTCATTGAAGGACAGCTATATACTATTAATTATCCATTTGTTTTACTCAAAAAGGTATCTGACATTTTTAATCCTCCTCATTCCGCCAAAAAATGTTTTCTGACATTCTTAATCCTCCTCATTTTGCCAAAAATGTTTTCTGACATTCTTAATCCTTTTCATTCTGTAAGTCTCAGCCACTACAAAGATTTGGCAATTAAGTTTTAAAGACTAGTCCCTACTGCTTATAATTTGTTTTTAACTGACATTCTTAATCTTACTTATCAAGTCAACAAACAGCAAGGGGTATTAATTAGTAGTATAATCACATGTCCATCTCTACAGGAGGTTAATCCAATTTGATGAATGATAATCTTATGAAATCCTAATTTACTAATTATCAAATTAATTAGTGGTAGCATCAAATGTTGATCTCTACAGGGGGTTAATCCAATAGTCTAGTTTCCATATAGCTTTTGAAATCTCGCTAAACCTCGTTTTTCGTGAGATTTTAAGAGATTTGCATATTAAACCTCTAATGACTTCCATTACATGCTTTTAAATGGCATATTTGAATTCAGTGAAATGTTTTCTCCTATAATAGCTTTGATTTACACAGTTATGTAATTTGAATAATCTTCTTTGACAATTTAAAAAACTTGGGCCAAATCTCCATAGATGAAATGCTAAAATTCTTTAAAACCTATGATTATTTGTATGTCAACCAACATTTGCATGTTTAATCACAACATGTACATAAACAGGGTCATCATGTGGTATATCACTCAAGTTTTATACAGATTCAACCAACACTCTTTGATAAATCATGAAATTAAGCCACTTTTCCAAGATTTTAGCATGTAAGTGAATGGAACGCTAGCCCAAATTAAAAGCTGAATAAAAGATGGCAGCACTCGATTTTTTGCTATTTAGAAACTATACTATTTGTTATATGGTAATCCGTTAAAATCCTAATTTGCAAATTATCACATTATTACCTGTTTTCATACCCAGATGAGTATCAATATTGAAATTTATGGAAAATTGACTGTTCCACTTAGCAGGTTAATTTTTCAATGTGGGGTGTTCACTGTTCAAGTTTGGAGGTGTTCAACTAATAGAGGTGTTCCACTTAGCAGGTTCTACTGTAATTGGGATTTCAGTCTTAGCCATTCTTTGAGAAAAATCACTTCTAAATTGCTTCAACTCATATTATCAACGCTATGTCATTTTTCTAAAATAATTTTGTCATAAACCTACCCAGGCACTGAGCGCATGTGATGTGCAGATGAGGCAGGCTGTGCTTTGACACCATTTTTTAACAGCAGCTAAAACGAGATAATTATGACAAATACAGAAAGATGAGACATATTGTATTCAGTACTTCGATATCAACAAACTGATAATAAGTTCAAATTCTATATCTTTTGTTTTCTTGCCCTTTTCTTCATGAAATTTTCACAACATAAGAAACATATATCTGACCTTATTCTATTAAAACTTCCTGACAATCAACTCAGTATTGACAAAGTGATGGTTACTATGGTAACCATTGTCATGGGTATAGTTTAAGTTATATTTACTTTTATATGAGACACCTTTAGCCTTCATAAAACATGAATGTTTGAAACAAATCCATACATCAATTAGCCAACTGATCAAAATATAGAATCCAAGGTGTGATAATATAAACCTGATCTTGACGACTCTGTTTCAGTTTTTGGAATATCCATGCTTAAAACTTTCCAAGGAATCACTGGTTCCAAATGCTAGTTGTTCCCTCCTTCAATAATTCTATTCTCTTGATGGACATCAGTCCCCTCCAAAGCTTTGATGTGAACCCTGCAAAGATGATTCAGTCTTTTTCAATTCTTAATTCAAATCACACACACCAGTATTAAATGTGAGGGAATACCTGTAGCTACTTAGCAAACTGATTGTACATATACTTGCACACTTATCAGAGCCACCAGTGGAAGAAACCAGTCAAAATTTCAAGAGCTTTGGGTGTGTGGAAAAAGTATGTTGGGTGTGGGATGTATAACTATATTTGTATTTAGTGCTCTTTATATACACTTTGTAATTACAAATCTTACTTACAAATCACTGAAAAGGTGGATTTTTTAGTCAGTTTAACAATATTTCGGGAAAAGTCCTAATAAACTCCAGAGGAATATAACATGGACATATCTATGAAGTTAAGAGAAATAAAAGAGACTTCTATTAGTCCGAGAGGAATCAATTAAACATGGAAACCTTCAATCTTGAGAGGAAATTGTCACGGAAAACTTTAGATCCAAGGGTCCTAGGTTTGATTCCCACACAGGGAATTTAGCACACTTTCTTTCAATTTCGTTAGTTTGTCATTCCTCTGAGGCTCCCTCTAGTCTATATCCAATAGACTGAATATCTTGAGAATTCAGTCTCTTGATCGTGAAAAAAGGAAATTTTCTGCACTTTCTGCAAATTATCAATTTTAGGAAGCTTTGCCTCCCAAAACTAAACATAACAATTCAATTAAGTTGTAAGGTACAATTAAATGCTTTAAAAAGTAACACAGTGCACAGACATGGGAACAAGAGTTCATCTCCCTCCCACTCACTATGTATTTACATTATACAGTGAGTGGGGGGGGGGGTTAAATGTTCTTCGGCTGGGCCTGTGACACAGTGTATTGTCAAATGGAAATAAAGCTAGGGGAAGAAACAAATATGCAAATTAATTTACTCCATTGGCCATTTTGAATGGCACTTCCTATGTAAACAAATAATTTTCAATCCCAAACTTTAACATATGTGAAAATAGACTATAGGCTCAAGGATATAGTCTAGGATGCCTTTGGGTCATTATACGAGGTATATTGGAGTGAAATACCCTGGAAATTGAAATGTATACCTACATAATTTGAGACAGCAGCAACTTTTTGGGCTTTGAGGGAAAGTTCAGGCTGGCGTTCAATTTTTATTGCTGTACCAAACAAGTAAGTATGTTGATTTTGACCTAGCCTTGCCCAAGTCGGTATTTTTTTAATTATCTGATCTTGAATTATTACCGCCTTGTACAATCCAATACACCTGCGCTGATATTATGCAGAGTTATTCAACGGTTTCGAGATTTCCACAATACCTACGCTATCAGGGGTATCGCGAAACCTTATTGATACGCATGGACACGACGTGTGACTTCAGGCTGATTGACCAATCAAAAACGTTATCAGGTTGACCTGCATAAGCAAAGCAATCTTCCCGATTTGAAATTCAATGGTCTGATCGATCGTTTCTTTAGAGTTGCAATATATTATGTAATTAAATGTACATAGGGAATGTAAGAGTCATTAATATAAATTAAATCATGCAATAGATTTAAAACTGATTTCGCGATGAAAATGCAAGACCGAGTCCAATGTAGCGGGTCATGTAGTCGATCAGTGATTGAATCTCAGCCTACATGTTCATTTGAATTCAGCGATCGTTTCAACGTTTATTGTTGAAATCTTCTCACCTCCGGTTACCGATCGATGCTCCGGCATCCACTAAACTCTGATTGATATTTATCTGATAAAATATTTGTATTTTCATGATGAATTCATGCAAGATTTGTTCGTGAAAAGTCCCGGCGAAAAGTAAAAAGTGTACTTGTTTTTGAGCGTGCATAATAATGAGCTAACGCTGCAGGGCCGTCGTTGATTGGTCAAATTTTACCGACATAAACATTGAGTCGGTAAAGCACGTGGCTTTCTTTTTGGTACAAGGCGGTCATAATAGAAATCAAGATAGTAAAAGAGACCGACTTGGGCAAGGCTAATTTTGACCAACAGCAACATTTTTCTCCTTTGTACATTAGAGACCACGGGAAGCTGTATCAAGACCTTTTTGGGGTTTAATGGGCTTTCCCCCCACATCTCAGAACAGATGAATTCATCTGTTCTGATATTGGGGAAAGGCAAAAGGCTCCGTTCCAAAAAGGTCTTGATACAACCATGGGCTTTCAACTCTAATTGAAAGCCCATGATACAACTTCCTGTGTTAGAGACATATGTTTTATATGTTTTTGATTAGATGTAATATAAGCTTATGTCTAGCTATGGGCTAGCCTACCGTGTAATACATTTCTTATGAAACCAGCTTATGAAATAGGTAGAGTCTTAGTCTAGCCAGTGAAAATTTCAAAAATGATTCTCCAAGGTCCTTGCTTCTAAGTATAACTGATTCATACTTGCCTAGCCTTAGGTGATGCCTCATCTATAAGCCTTCGTAATATCGAATTATAATACCACAAGCTCTAACGATTTATTAATATTGATGATGAGAAATCATCCACAAATCAACCAAAAAAGTGGTTGTTTTTATTTTTTTAATTTTGCAAATCACAGACGAAGTTACATGAATCACGAAATAAATATTTGACTTCATAGCATTCACGAAATATTGCGCGCACGTCTAAATGTCAATAATCTGCAAAAGGCTAATATAAATAATAAGCCCATATACACTGTTGCTCATAAATATGGAATATTTTATACATACGAACTGTTCGATGGAATTTCTACAAAATGATAGGATTTTGATGAAAATCTGTAATGTGTTCTCATTCCCTCATCAGTTTGGCATATAAAACTGATTGGTATGAAAAGTTAAAACATTTATGGTTGATTAAACTTGTATTGATATTGGTGAACTTGAAAGAGGTGTCCAAATCTTAGTTGTAATCATTGCGCACATTTCATAAAAATCTAATTTAGAGTTGGAAGAGTTTTTAGAAGGCATGCCTCATAGAATAAGCGAAAAAAGAGCATGGCAGGTCATAGGGATGGCGCTCTCTGGCATGAAACAAACTGTCATTGCCAGGACCCTATCTAGGGGTGTGTCAGGAACAGTCTCTAAAATTCTGCAGTGGTACCAAAGGCACTGGAAATGGAATGTGACTCCAGGTCACAGCAATAGTAGCCCTAAAGAGAAAAACTCGGAAAGAAAAAAGCATCACCTGCAGGCCCGTAGCCAGAGGGGGAGCTGGGAGAGCGGAAGCTCCCCCCTGGCCAGAAATTCTTTCAAAATCATGCAGTTTTGCACCAATCTGAGAATTTTTCGCATGATTTTTAGCCAAAATTTTGAAAAAGCTCCCCCCTGGAAAAAAGCTCCTCCTCCTGGTAAAAGCTGGCTACGGGCAAGACCTGCTGTATTTATGTCATCAAAATCGCTTTATGTCAACCAGTAGTCTACGAGATGCATGACTGTCTCACCTTAAAACCCGTGTTCCAGAGCTATAGACAACCAGTGATTTCTTTATAACAGATGCAAGGCCATGAAATCTTTAAAGAGACCACAGCTGACTGATCATAACAAAGAAAGGTGCCTTCAATGTGCAGGAAAGCAGCAAAACGTTGGACCTAATCTTTAGTGTCATATGACAGCATGTGAAGAAATAAGATGTTTCCTCCACAAAGTTGATAATTGTGTTCGTTTCTGTCGTAGACCAGGGGAAAGAGACAATAAGGACACTTACTGATGTGGCAGTCCATAATTATGTTTGGAGCAGTATTACAGAGGTTGTCTGGAGCAGTACTACACAAGTTGCACCCCCTTGGTGATTCCCAAACATAATTTCAGAGTAAATTGACCTTTTGGACCTCTATCAAGTACCACATGTAAACAGGGTGCTTTGGGGGCATCATTAAACTGCAAAACGGTCATGATGTTGCATAGGCTAGTGGCACCATGTTGGATTACATCAGGGCAGGCAATGTGGACCAGCTACCATGGGCACAAAAGTCAGCCAATTAGGCTGGGCAAAATCGCGATGACAAGATTTATCTAAAAAACGTCCAAGATGGCAGTCAGAATCCAAGATGACCAGCGAAAAGTAAATCACCTTTAGAACTTTTTACCATGTAACATGTGTGAAAATTCGAAGTAAATCCATCAAGTGGTTTTCCTTGAGTTGCGATGACAAGATTTATCTAAAAACTTCCAATATGGCTGCCAGAATGCAAGATGGCTGCCGAAAAGTTAATCAGCTCTAGAACTTCTTACCATGTAACATGTGTGAAAATTTAAAGCAAATCCGTAAAGTGGTTTTCCTGGAATCACGATGACAAGATTTATCTAAAAACTTCCAAGATGGCCGCCAGAATGCAAAATGACCACCGAAAAGTTAATCAGCTCTAGAACTTCTTATTATGTAACATGTGTATAAAGGTTTGGTATCGATATGGTGAACTGTATTCAACAATGTTTTTCTCTTAAACCAATGATTGAAAACATTCTGTAAAAAACACGGTCCTTATGTAATTTTGACTGATTGACAACAATTTAATGCGAAAATTATTTATGTATATTTTAGATAATTGTTTTTGTTTTTTAGTGCAATTGCTCTTTGTTCCTTTTTACCAATTCTTGAGAATGAAATAAAATATCTTTCCGAAGCTAGCATATACAACATTATCTTAGAAATGTTGGTTGATTTAACAAAAAGTATCCAAAAAGATTTTTTTTTAAAATAGATAAAAATTAAGACAAACCTTTTATTTCATTTATAAGATACTTTTTTTTAAATCAACCAAACTTTCCTCTGTAAAGGTTGCGCCTGAGAAATCAGAGCACCTCATTGGCTTTGGATACAATAGTTTGTATATGTGTAGTCCAGCGTAAGTTATTTGTGATGTCAATACCTAGGTATGGGATGTTTGTTTCCTCTAGCATGGTGTATTTGTGAATGATAGGGGAATGGGATTTACCTTTGTGAATATTTAGCACATAGCATTTTGATGGATGGAATTTCATTTGCCATGTTGATGCCCAGGAGACCAGTTTATTAAGATTCTCCTGTAGTGTTAATGCATCGTGTTCGCTTTCGACTGTCATGAATAAAAGACTGTCGTCAGCAAATAGTTTAAGACTGGCTGAGGATGATAGGTTATTGCCCAAATCATTGATATAAACAAGGAAATAGAGTGGTCCAAGAACTGTTTCTTGAGGAGTTTTTGAACTTTATTCATCATCGAATACTACCTATGATCTTCCCACAAGCCAGGATCTGAACCAGTTCAAGTTGTTATTGCGAATTCCATAGTGGTCGAGTTTGAGCAAGAGGCGTTCGTGAGCCACCGTGTCAAACGCTTTGGAAAAGTCTAATACCAACACGTCTGTTTGTTTATTGTTGTCGAGGGTCCGAGCTATATCCTCTATTATATTAACAAGTTAGTTCACAATTCACATAGTGCTTTGACCTGAATCCATGTTGGAAGTTTACTGGAATTTCATCAAGGTCAAAGTGGGCCAAAACATGATGGAATAGAGCCCATGGACAAGGTAATAGCCTCATCATTATACTGGTCTTTCCGTAAACCCCAAGTATTATTCATTTTCAAATGAGTTGGTCAGAAAAACTTAGGCTAAGAGCATTTACGAATTCAAGCTAACATACCTTCAAAACGTCGTCGAACTGGTTTTAAACTGTGTTACAACGGAATCAAGGTAGCTGCAACTTTCTTACGATGTTACAAACATCACGGACGTCCTCAGACGGGAAGGTGATATAGAATTTTGAATCACTTCAAAATTCAATGACGACCACTATGGCGGATCCGGGGGGGGGGGGCCCATGGGGCCCGGCCCCCCCCCCCCCTAAGGTTGGCCCAGAAAAAAAAGTTAGGCCCAAAAAAATTCTAGGCCAAAAAAGGCCTTAAGGCCCCAAAAAGTGGGCCTTTTGGTGATTATTGGGCCTTCTAAGGCCTTATTTGTTTAATTTAAGGCCAAATTTTGAAGAAAATGGGCCTCAAATTTTCCAAATTTGGGCCCACTTTTCGGTTTTAGGGGCCCAAAATTTTTTTCCGCTCAAGCGCGGAGGTTTTTTCTCTGACCTCAAATTTGGGCCCCCCCCCTGTTGGTTCCTGGATCCGCCACTGGACCATACCGTTCTTTGATTAGATCCTCTTTTTTAGAAAATAAGCCTAACATTTTCTAAAAAGTGCCAAAGTGGGGTCCTAATCCATAATTTTTCAGATAGTTGGATTGATATTTTACTATCATGGGGATTTCACCCGAAAGAAAGCATATTGCTTTGATAAAAGCCACCGTATTCAGTAGCGTAGAATGGATATTTTGTGGGTGAACACCACGAGTGGACGAAGCGATCGTGCTCTGATTGAGAACCCATCCCCACCCAAGAAAATTTGAAAATGAGATTGCATTTGAAGAGTTTACTAGCGTTTTAAAATACGAAATTCTGACTAATAGTGACTCATGTAAATTATTTGCCATTTTTCTGAATATCCAGTATTTTTAAAGTGTGGAAATTCAATACTAAAATCAACTTTTCTCTTTTTGAGAGTACGCCATGGCGTTTTTTATGGTAAAAGATATGACCATACTGCAAATGAACCTTTAAGCCTTTTACGACTTTTTTCTAGGACTGGGAAGGACTGAGAACTAGTTTACTTTGACAGGGGAGGGAGGGGGCAACAAGGACCATGGAGTCACGTGTTCAGGGAATGAGGACAATGATTAGAAAATTACTAAAATGTTTGTGAAAAACAGAGCAAATAAGTTATGGAATTGAAAAAATACGATTTCATAATTTTTGAAAGTTATGCTGATATATGAACCAACTGTTGCAATTTCCCAAACACGTTCACAATAGCTCTTTTAAAAAGTAATTAAGTTTGCAATATAAATTCACATTCCATTACAGTTTGAACTGTAAAAGATTTAATTTGAAATCAGTTTTCCATTTCGTGATAGTTTCTTTGAATTTCCAATACCATCCGCTACACATCAATTAAAATAAGTATAGCTGACGCAAATTATATTGCAAATATACCAAAGACATGTTTTTAATGAAATTCTATTGGTTTTGATGATTTTCAAAACATGTGTTACTGGTTTTTAATTATACAAAAGCAATGTGGTAGCATATTATATTGATTAGACTCCTCTTTAATTGAAACGCAATCAAAAACATCTTACCTCAGCATATTCTAGATTTTAAGTACATTAAATATGAGATAAGATAAAAGCAGTTGCCTAAACGCCAGAGTCAGTCTAGTGTCGAAAAAGACACCAGCGAACAACTGCGGACTACGATTATTATTTCTAACGAGGAATAACGAAATATACCGAAGTCTGACTGTCATCCAAGATATCTCCCCGTGGCCCTAAGTTTGGGATGGTGGGCTCTTCAAGCTTGCCTCCATTGGCCGGACTGATACTATGGATTTTGACCACCGCTCCTTCTTTTACTACGGCGTAAGTTAACCAACACAACGTTTATTTTTGGCGATTTCTGACTTGTGTTATCGTTTTTTTTGTATGTGACATATAACAAGCACATGTGCCAAATACGGTTTTGAATATAAGTAAGAAATATGGATATTCACATTTATCGAAGATTAATTAAATTGAAATTTTATGGAATTACAGTAAATGTTGAGTTAGTTAGAGTTTGAGAAAATGCACTACACGAAATGACGAGTCCAAGATGAGCTCAAATTAACAGGGTCTAAGTACACGATGCCTGTCGTTTTCTATATCTTCAGTTTACGATTTTATTAATTTTACTTATCCCTCGTCACTAGATCATAATTTTAGATTGCGTTTTTCTAATTTTCATTTACGTTATTATCCTCATTTAAATTCTTAGTTGAATGACTTGTGATTGGCTAAGTTGATTATCATGATTTTAAACAATTGTCTTCGAAGTTATATTCCACATACAGCTACTTTTTTACGTCAGTACTAAACTTGCAGTTATCGTTTCTGAGATCTGAGAAGGGTTTTAAAATTTGAAAATATTTTCATTGTCTGATCCACTTTCTCTTCTATCCCTCACACGCTTTAAATAAAGAGAAACTCTAATAGAATAGAATATTTTGATTATCCTTGAAACTCGTTACTATTAATGCCAAACTTGTTATGACTATTGTCATGGCGTTTACATTATTTTCGAAATGTTTTTTTTGTACTACGAGGTACTGTATATCTAAAACTGATTTATTTTAAAAGTAGGATAATAAATATTCTTATTCTAAATTTTCGATAAATAAAGTCTCGGTGATTAAAACATCTTCGATAACTTTTAACCGTTGTAAGTAATCCAACAATCGAAAACTATGATTTTTAACAATTTCGAAGTCTTTCGTGGATACATGGACAATTTATGTTATATTCGAATTTTCGAACTGGTCAAATTTTCAATTTCATAAAAATGGATTAAACTTATTCATAATTAGTAATGCGTATATTGACATTATAACAAGATTACTTAGAAATCAAGTTAACCCAGAGAATATATAAACAGAGGATTATGCGGCTATAAAAGACACGTGTTACATTCTAATAACGGACGTATATTCCCCTAGATGATTTATCGAATGATTATTGTCTATTGTATTCAAATGATTGAGATTCAGTAAATGTACAATCGAGTCCTTCCAGGAATTAACAAATAATTGGTGATTTGGTCCCTTAAAATTAAAACCGTAATACTTTGGAGTCAGGTCCCTATATATTTCACGTTCACTATACGGCCTATTGAACTGCCCATTTCAGTCAAACACATACACAGGAACAGTTTAATATTGTGTTTAATTTGATCTATATAGATAAAGGATGTCATTTTAATATATATGAAAGTATGGTACAGCCAGTATGGTACAGCCATTGAAATAAGTGTATAAAAAATATATATTTCACGTCACGTACACGTCCTCTATAATATTTCAGAAACTTTTGCACGCTTAAAGAGACAACAGAAGTGAATAAGACCTCCCCATGTAAATACTACTTGGAAGACTCCATTCTCGGATGGACGTTCATTCCGTCCCGACAGCCCCCTCCGTTGTCGTTGTTGTCCAAGAAAGATATGATGGACGTCATCTTCAAAGGAATGTCAACAGGTGAGCGTAGCGAGGGAAATTGAAATGGGACGCGAGGCTAATACAAAAATGTGTGAGACAAATTAATGGAATTTTAAGAGTGAAATAGTGCTATTAGTGGACATTATTTTCCCAGTGTCAGTTAAAAATCTAACATTAGGATAAATGAAATAAATAATGGAAAATGAGCCCCTGTTACATCGGGGCCTTGCTTTGATCTGTCTCAAATTAGTTCTACATAAGTTCAATAAATTACAATAATAAAAAATTATTATAAAAGTGAACATTTGCATTTTTCAGGCGACGACGATCTTCAATGTTTCTTCATTAAACAGGAAACAAAGGAGGTCACTAAATGTTGCATTGGTTACCAAGGAGATGATTGCACAGAAGGTAAGTGGAAATTCAAATGGCAGTTAAAATATCTCCCGAAACATACGTTACGCCACTTAAACGTTGCTTCTCAGAAGACAAACGTTAGCAGTGACTTCAGTCAAGACAAATAGAAATCTATTTTTCATGATTCTCGATTTGACAAAAATTGACAACTTGACACGTTGAAGATTGTAACGCTGAATGTTCTTGTTATTGTTTCAATAGTCTTATTGAAATGAAGAGCATATAGAAACAATTCAATTTATGAATTCAATTCAAAGCTAATTTGAGAATAATTCTATGAAACAAAAGTTTGATAAGGACAGTTTAGTGAAGGATTAATAATAATTTAGCCGTTGTACCTTTCCAACGGTGTACCTCAACTTTTCACTTTTTGACGGTACGCGGTGTATCACGATCTGAGTACAAAATGGTCCTTTCGAAGACCAAACACTTGCCAATCTGAATCTTTCTGGTTGGTCCCAACCAAAAAGTTCGAAGTTAACACTGGTTACTGCACAGTTCTTGCAATGACCACTTTACTTTTTGTTTGCAGCAATATGTACGCCACCTTGCGAGAATGGCGGAATTTGCGCAGACCCGCAATCATGTGAATGTCCCTCAGATGGTCGCTACACTGGTTGGCGTTGTGATAACGACCAAACTCGTAAGTAGAGTTGATTCCAAATGAGCACAATTATAATTCGTGCGAATCACAGTTCCGGAACAGATAGGAAAATTGCAAAATTTCTCGCTACATTGTACATAATCCTGCGACAAATCGCCTTTTGGCATTTTATGCCCGCATTCAATATATATAGGACATGTTACATTTATTGTTTGCTGATTGGAACCTGCTACAAACATAGTATTACTAAACACTATTACCTCACCCCAATTCTTGTTTACCGAACACTCTTTACTCATTCTCATTTTTGTTTACTGAACATTATTTACTTATTTTCATTCTTGTTTACAGAACGTGTTTAGTCATTCCCATTCTTGTTTGCTGAACATTGTTTACTCATTCCCATTCTTACACTCAAACGTTCTCAAACACTATTCATTCAAGTTCTTTTTTACTGAACACTATTTACTCATTCCCATTCTTGTTTACTAAACACTATATACCCATCTTGGTTAAACACTAACATCTTTTGCCTTCTTATACAACTAGTTTAAAAGCCTGAGTTAAACTTAAACACATGATTTTGTCTTTTAGTGACTGGAACAAATCTTGGATTTTGTTTCACAAGTGATAACTGCTACGGGAGAAAATCCAACGCAACAAGTGATGGCGGTGTGATATCTTCAGAGGACTGCTTTGCTTCTTCCGATGCTAAGTCCTGGGGAAATGGTACAAATCCTGAAGAATGTATCTCCAAAAGTAAGTAATTGAATAATCATCAATTAAAACGCTACTTTTACCGAGTTTAGGCTTCATGTAAGACTATCTATTTTGATAACGAGGTCGTAATAAAAGTGTCCGAGCAACAACGGCACAAGAAATGCAGAACTACCTGTCGAATAGCGGTATCCCCGCTGCTCCACCTAAAATGCATCAATGTTGTATTGATTTAGTTGTTTTCGTTGAAATAAGAAATAATAATAGTTTAGCAAATGTAATGAGATTCATGTTGGATTCGCAAATCAAGCTCTACCTTAAGATTAATGTCAATGAGAGCAAAGGTTAAATGTCAAAAAAGCCACTGAAACTTTGTAGATGAGATCAGGTCTTTGGAATTGGCTTAATTAATGATTATGCAATTCGAAAACTTGTGAAAAAACGTTATGTTGTTCTTTATACATTATTGCATGGAGCAAAAATATAACAATATTTATTTTCCTTTTTCCAGATCAAACTATTCACGAATATGGTAAGCCTTTCTTAATTTTTTTAATAAACAGATAATACAATTTCCAATTATGACATTTTATTAGGAAGTCTCGTAAATAATGTTTCTGATTCATTAGACGAATCCTGATATTAAAAGAGTATCTCTTTTCTACTATGGGGTACTGGTTTTCATTATTTTAAATATGTAATTCGTATTGGCACGAAATACCTTTATACACGGCACAATAAACAAATTACTATATAGCCTGGTGCACATTTCGATAAACATCTTTATTTCCTCATTTTTGGACTACCATTTAAAGTACCATATTTGGTATCTTTTCAGAACATGTCGTGCATACGGCAAACCTCAATTACAGAACTTGCGTCAGCTCAGGACCCCATTACTGGAGAACATTGGATGGAGCACAGTATGAGTTCAGTGGCCAGTGTGAATATTTCATGTTCAGGAACGCCGACAGTACCATATTTGTTAGCGTTGACATGTCCCAATGTACTGGCTTCGTGTCATGCTCCAAGGTATGTATGCATCAATTTTGTTCCATTTGCATCAAGCATCCATGTGAATCTCTTTCCCATTCATCTTTTGGTTAGAGGAAATGGATCATATACAATTGGTGGTGGAGGTGGGGGGGGGGCTGGAGACCTGATACAATGCTGTTTTTTACAGTTCATTATTTTCGGCTTCCATATTTTGTCAATCTGAGAGATATTTAGAAGACCAGACCAGGTACAAAATTTAATTTCTGAAAAGTTTTTACTTAATTTGCACTTTAGTATAGTTCAATGTACAAGGTGACCCAAAAGATGCAACCCCTCCGATTTTGGAGGGTTGTATCTTTTTTAGTTCAATCTGTATTTGAGAAATGTTGTTCAGCGACATGTCTTCTAGCTACATGTACGTATGAAATCTAAAACATCAGACGAGCCAAAACGTATTAATAGACAAAACAAATTCGGGCGCAAAGATAAATAATTCTACCTTTAACTTAATTCCCACAATTTGAGTTGATGAGATTTTTCTGGAAAATTTTGCACTTGCATCATGTCTAGTAACTTCCATAGTGAAATCAATCTTTTTCACATTTGAACGTATTTTTGAATTTTGTTTGTGGTATCCCTTCTGTTAATGCATGTAAAATAAAATTGCATTTTGTAGACTGTTAAAATGAGCTTCTCCGAGATCGAATACGAGGCTGTTGGAGACAATGTCGTGATGATAGACAGTCAGCAAGTCAGGACGACCCTTGAGCTACCAGCTAGCCCAGAAAGTAAGGATACTATACCCCGGAATACATACAATACATACATACTCCGATATAACCTAGAAAATCACCTTCCTAGCCTTGATATATCCTTTACTCACACCTAGCCTTGATATATCCTTTACTCACACCTAGCCTTGATATATCCTTTACTCACACCTAGCCTTGATATATCCTTTACTCACACCTAGCCTTGATATATCCTTTACTCACACCTAGCCTTGATATATCCTTTACTCACACCTAGACTTGAAATATTCATAACGTACAGTCGTCCACCTTTCACTCCCATCTAGCCTAGAAATACATTTTTCTACCACCTAGCCGAGAAGTACTTTTTACTCTCAAATAGCCTAGAAACACCTTTTCTCCTGACCAAGAAAAACTCACAACTCCCACTTAGCCTAGAAATATCTTTTACTCCCACCTCGTCTAAAAAGTGTAGCTGTTTTGACTTAAATTTAATATTATCAATATATTTTGGAAAACAAATTAAAAATACCCTTTATCTACTGACCCAGAGGATGAAGTGCTATCATATCATTAAATCCCTAGGCAGAATTTATACAGTTTTTTAGTTTAGATTTTATTTCTACCCACACCTGTGAGTATAAATACATACAATATACATGTAATACAAAATTGATACAATATCTAATGGCAGTTATTTAGTTTAATCCTTTCAAAATGCTTTGTAAAAATAGTTCAGTTAATTTATACATATTTAGCCTATAAAGTATAAAAGCTATGTCATTGGTTATATCAATTGACTTTTCTAGACGGGGTTTCCTTTACCGAAAAGAACGGCTACGTCTACGTGAACGGAAAGGGTATTCGAGTAAAGTGGTCCGTAGATGGCAGCAAAGACATCAAGCTGACAATCCAACAAACCTACATTCACTTGGATGAAAACGACAACGAACCACTCGGCCTCTGTGGTAGCTACAATCAAGATCCATCAGGTGCGTGTCAATGTTACGTTTTATTCATAGCTTTAGAGCGATAGAGAAATAATTTTCACAAAAATTAAAGATGTCATAAATGGCAGTCAGAGTTCGATTGTACTTAGCACACAAGACAACTCTTTTGTTATTTTAATTACAAAGCTAGTGATATTTTCCCCACAAAACACAATTTCTAAACACGAAACTATCATTGTCCACACATGTTTTGTTTCATTGATTTTTGGTTTAACATTGTAGAGACAATCTGGCGGTAATTTCAAAGGCTTTTTACACAATTGAAATATGTAATTAAAAGGTCCCGTGTATTTTGTTTTCAGATGACTTCAAAACAGAAGTGGACTCAGAACCCGAAAAATCGCCATCCCTCTTTGCAACTCATTTCAAAAGGCGTAATATTTTAAACCCTGTAAGTAAGCTTTAATTCATGTAATACTGAACAGTGCAAATACGCTTTTATGAATGTAATATTGAACAATGTAAATAAGCTTTAATGAATGTAATACTGAACAATGTAAATAAGCTTTAATGAATGTAATACTGAACAATGTATGTATATAAGCTTTTATGAATGTGATGCTGAACGGTGTAAGCAAGCTTTTAAAAAAATATAACTTTGAAAAGTGTATGTACGTTTTAATGACGGTTTGTTAATTTGGTCTAATTTTAGCCTTTGCACAGATTTCACCAGGCTTTGTCTATTCCCTCGAACGTTCTCCTTTAATCAGATATACAATGATATAGAAATTGTTGTTTTATTTTAGAAATGTAAAACGGGACCGTATAATCCATCTTGCTCAAGTTCTCCAGTGATACAGAGAGATGCTAGGCGGTATTGTAATTACATCAGCACTAGCATGTTCGCAGAATGCCATTCTAAGGTAACAACATCTTACGTGGTCAGTTTTCAAAACGATAATACAGTAACAAGTTAAGATTTGTCCTTTAATGCTGACGTCATGATCATGTGATCCCTGTTTGAATTGATCGTCGTTACCAATTTTGACCTACTTTGGACCCTGTTGTATTAATTTCTCACTCTCAATGACAAACTTTTTGAATAAATTGAATTGAATGAATCTTGAATATGCATCATCTAATAACGGTTATTTTATACTATTGTTTTGAGATACACAACTCATTGCGACGAGAATACCCTTTCTTTTCCCTTTCTTGCTTGTATGGAAATATTTCAAATTATTCTAAAGAAAGCATTTTGACAGTTGAAACATTCCTTATGTACGCGCGATTTCCAGGTAGCTTGGTATGCGCACTTTGATCGTTGTGTGACAAATTTCTGCGGAATGAAACGAGACCAAGAGTTGGGCAAAGACGTCACCGATGACGATATTGCTGAAATGTTGTGCAACACATTTGCTCTCTACAGCTCGGAATGCTCCCAGTCTGGAGCTTGTACTCAATGGAGAAATGGATTCTTCTATAAGAACAGAACTTGTGGTTAGTAGATTCGTTTACTTAAATTACGATTTGGTTTAGTTCTCCCACACGTAAGATGATAGAATGCTCTGATAGGATGGCCTGTAATTGATGATAAGGAGGGCACCTGAGTTGTGGTTTGGTTTGCACCCCCGGGTTTGCACCATCCTTCTTTCTAAATATGTGAGACAGAGTACAATGGTGGCTACGGCCATGACAATCAATAAACGCTCGGAACAAATCGAAGATACACGTAATACAATTCTCAAAAAGTCTTTAAAAGCACTATATTTCACGGCGTATCCGTTTATTTTTTTAGAGCTGACATGTAAGCAGGACGAGATATACACTGAGTGTGGATCAAGTTGTCCCAAAACATGTACCACGATGTACCACATGATAGCTGAATCATGCTTTACCGAACCAGAGGCCGGTTGCCAGTGCGAACTGGGAAAATACCTCCAAGATGGTAAATGTGTAACCCCCGACGAATGTGGATGTTTCTATAACAACGAGCTTTACGCAGCCGGTAGTGTCGTCCCAAACGGATGCAACAAATGGTAAATGCCACAGATGTATACTAATAGGGAGGTTAAAGGCAGAATCTGATCTATAGGGGGTGACAAAATTACAAGCAACATGTATTATTGACCTCCAAATCTATTCCTTACAATATCAAATGCAATATCTCCCAAAAGATTCACAATATGTTATAAATTGGTGAAGTTATTAATGATTTAAAGGGAAAAAATGAGTGAAAATGTTTAAATTCTCCCTAATAATAAGAATTGTAACTATTCTTATAGAAAAATAATACATTATTGTTAAAATCTTTAGTTTTCCTGGAATAAAGTATGCACTTTTGTGATTTTTAGAAAATAGACATGACAAGGAATGACATGAGCCAAACATATTCTAAAATTGAAACAATTTTTTGTTTAGCCTGCTCGCTATATCTGATTCTCTCTTACAAGTTTTTAAGAGAACCTGTCAGTGAGCATGTAATATTTCGACCGCAATATTGATTACTGTTCCGCTCTCAATTCACTTCTCAGGGACCTAATTACAATTATTTCCCGTATACTGTATCAGATATATATATATATGTCTCTGACTGTATCTAGTACATTTATACTCAATCGGTCAAGTTTTAAAAAAAACGTGTATCCTAACCTGCCTTAAATGAAAAATTGAAAATCATCATGGATGCAGTTTAAATTTTTAACACACGAACTAAGAGTTTTATTCAATTCATCTTAACACCCAATTCTTTACCATTATTCTATATTCCTGCAAACAGTGGCTATAGTGAATCATTCGCTGCCCATACATTAAAAGTAGCCAAACATTTCAAGCGTCCTGTATATTTATCAACAGCACATGTGACAAAGCTAGATGGACATGTACCCAGGACCCTTGCCCGAAGACTTGTGCTATCATAGGATTTACGCACATCGTTACCTTTGACCAGACTTTCTTCTACACTTCTTCCAACACAGGCTGTCAGTACATCATGGCTGAGAGCGTAAGTATCATAATCTAATTAAAAATATTCTCCACTAGGTTTCATTTTGAAAACTAAAAATATGCATGGCAATCAATGAAATTGATGGATGGAGTCTACTTTTTGAATTTTGAGATCTGTCATTGGATCTTTTGCAATAATAGAGAAGTTTCGCACAACTGGTTATAGCTAAAACTCATCCGTAACCACAGTTCGTTTTATTTGAACTGACTACGCATAAATCTGGTGAATACGTTACGGATTTTAGATAAGTTGAGGTAGAGACGTTGTGCGAAAAAACTCTTTATTCTCTTGTTGAGCTAAAACAGTGTCACCGTACACATTTTAAAGCCTTACAGTTTGGTAGCAATCCATACTTTTATTGTCTATGTTCCTTTTGGATAGAATCTCATTCTGTTTTCAGACTGGAAACGAGGACAGCAGATTCAATATACAGATCGCAATCAAATTAGCCTCCTACAATACACTGAACGGAAAGACCTACCAGCGAGTTGGCGGGATAACCGTTACAGCCGGTGACTATTTATTTGAAGTTTCCGTGGAAAAGAATGGAGACACCATCGCGCTACCTGATAGCACTAATGGAAATATTGAATTCCGCGAAGCATCTGATCTATTCCATGAGATCTTTGGATACGGCTTCACTGTACTCATAGCCCGAAATCGAATCTACATTACCCTTGCACCGGGCTTCCAGGTATGGCTTTCATTCTTCAGCATAACAATGATCTGAACAAGGTCTGTTGTCTTTTAATGCAATATTATGGTCTATTGTCTTTAACATCGTATACACCAGTGCGCACTTTACATTATACCAAAGAGGGAACTTGCGGAACTTTGGTACCAAATTAATCATTGTATATCATAATGTATTTGTACCTTTTTAGACTAAAGGCTTGTGTGGAACACCGGATGGGCAAGCAACGAATGATATGACAAATAGGAATGGTATCCCAGAGAGCAATATGCAGGCTTTCATGTCTGGCTTCAGTAAAACCTGCGATGAAAATGCAGGCCATAATAATGATTTAGATGCTGTAAAGGATTCTGCTAATTGCCCAGTGAGTTATGGAGATCATCATTAAAATAAATATTTTCATGCATTTTCTGTCAAAGGCTCCTTAAATCACAAGGATGGGTGTCTGCAGATTTGGTCTCAGTAAAGTAAACTTCAAAATACACATTCCATGCTTTTGCATATGATGAGTCAATTATAACGACTTAAAGACCTACATGGACATCTAAATCTGGAAATTTTTAGTAAAAAACTGTATGGTATTTCTCTATATAATTCAGTTAACGTTCTCATATTTTCCCATTTCAGTCAAGTGTGAAGAGCATAGTTCTTTCCAACTGTACAGCTTACGTCAAAGAATTGCTCAACATCGAACCGGGCAAATGTGGCCTGAATGCTGAAATAATCAGAAAGCACGACCAAATGTGCGTCGCCGATGGATGCACTGCGCCTAACCTCGATGATATCAACGACGCGTTGTGCATGCACGCCCAGGCACTCGTATTTCAATGCTCCCTAAAGGGCCAGTACCTGGACATTCAAAATAACCCTAACTACGACAATTTGAAGGAACAGTGTCCAGAATTCGGTAATTCGATTTCTAATATAGCAAGCACAATACTCACTTAACCTTAATCTTACAGTATACTTTATTTTCAAGAATCTATTTTCTTACACATATTCCAAGTGTTATAGAGATAGTCATTATATGTTTTGAGTTGGTAGAATTCAATGGTTAGAGGATGATTCAGCACCGGTCATACCTTTTTGTTTTCTTTTTTTGTCAGATTGCGCAGATCTGATATACCGAACCGATTTACCATGTAAGAGGACCTGCAAAGATGTCACTATGCGTTCCCAGTGCTATCTTCACGAGACACAAATCTCTGGATGTGGATGCCCCGATGGTACCGTATTGGATCCAAACAATGAATGTATTGAACAGATGGATTGTCCCTGCTACGACCATAATGATGATTCCTACTATGAACCTGGTACTGAAAGGACAATGAATTGTAGAAACTGGTATGTTTAAACAAGTCCTTAATATATTTATATTTGTGGATTTCCCCAAATCTCATATAGCTAGCATCCAACGACATTTCCAAAGCTATAAATCAAACGAGACACTAAAGTTAAACGTCATAGCAAACCCTCAGCACACATTGTTGACCCAGTTGGACCTTTGAGCAGTAGTAAAAATTTAGTTGAAATTCAAAATTATGTTTCATTCAATATTTAAACTCCAGTCCAGTCAAATCCGACTACAGTTCATTCTAAAATAATATTCACTATTTACAGGGCGCCCCAAGACAAGGTGTAGGCGTCTTTTGACAACCACCTTGTATAGTTTAGTTTTAGCTTAGTTTAAAATGGTTTATTTAAGTATCACATGTATACAAATAGTATATATAAATATGTATAGTACACAAACTTGATAAAAGAAAAGCCAGACACCAAAAAAGATACATGCACATAATTCGTTTTTTCAGTGAATGTATCAATGGAGAATGGATTTGCGATGCCCAAGAATGTACTGATATACAATGCCCGAACAATCAGGAGTATATCAGCCCTGAATCTGGTGTCTGTCCCAAGACATGCTTGATTTACGATCGTGCGGATGAATGTGATTACTACGGATGTGGATGTCCCAATGGAACCGCCAAGAATGAGGAGGTATAGGATAGGAAACTAATCTAAAATTGTAAAAAGACCAAAAAGACGATCAATAGATTAAGATTAGACACGTATAGAAATATTTTTCCACTATGAAACATGTTGCTATCATTGAATACATATTTTGAAATGCTTATTTCTTTTAACCAGGGTGCATGTATCGCTCCCGAGGAGTGCCCTTGTTACCAGGGAGGTCAGGTGTTCCCCACGCATTCAACGACATCTATTGGTTGCCATAAATTGTAAGCTATATTCTAAACTTGAAGAAAACATTCTGTGACTTTGTAAACAGGGGGTTCAATCCAGACATCTTAATATTAGACATGTGTATGACCCGGAATTGTCTTTGTCATTCATATCGCATTCACCGAAATCAAATACCTTTTAACATCTACGCTGTTACATCTTTCAGATCAGTTTAAAGCTTTTTCTCAGGAGCCGGTCTTGAATCACATAAAAAGCAAATTCTTAAGTTGATACATATTTCCTTTAAGTGTTTGCGAGAATCGTGTCTGGATAAAAGATACATCTGCAGAGGTCGATTGCCCAGGTAAATATTGATGTAAATGAATTTATAAGGTAGAAATCTATATCACGAAATCATATATGGCTTTAAACACGTGATTTGAAAATATTTTTTAATATAGCTTCTAGACTAAGGTGTCAGTAGTATGATTGCAGCAATTGAATAGTGATATATACGTATGTATATATAAAATATTTAAAATAAAAATATTCTATAGCACTGAACCTTGAAACTTTCCGCTTTATATATTTGGGCGATATTGCAACAGTCTCCATAGTTGCAAATGAAATGCTCGATACGCTGAGAGATTCACTTAATATAGAAGTTTCGTAATTTCATTTTTATGAATCGATATTGTTAACAAGGAATTAGAAGGTAACTTCATACTGTCTGTTTTGTGCAATTCATACTCCCAATACGTAATATAGAATGTATGCTTCTCTATTTCAGCGGTGTGCATCATTTCTGGTGATCCTCATTACCAGACTTTTGATGGTACAAGATACGCGTTCCAAGGCACTTGTCAATATACGGCGTTCCGTATCAAGGAATCCGACATACAAGTGGATGTCGAGAACGTTGCTTGTGGGTCCGCAGGGGTCAGTTGTACCAAATCCGTTACCGCGACTTTAACAAACGGAAGGAAAGTCCATATGATCAGAGGACAGGGCGTTCGATTTACATCGACGATTTTTGAGGAATCCGAATCAGTAAGCGGTCCTTCTGAAACCGTGGATTTGTCAAGTGGAACTTGGACCGAGGGTGGCTCTAATGTAACCATTTCTCAGATGGGATTGTGGATTACCCTCAAGACACTCGAGTTTACCCTTTATTGGGACGAGGGTAAGCCTAAAAGGGGAATTTCAGGACCTCACATTTGAGGATTATGTAAAGTTTTGATCAATTAACTAATTAGTCTTGTGTCTACATCACATCACAAATGAACCAATTCAAACAAAACGTGTCTTATCATACAATTTCTAGTTAAAAATATTTTTTATTTTTGTTTTTATCATTCAAACAAAACGTGTCTTATCATACAATTTCTAGTTAAAAATATTTTTTTTAAATTTTTATCATAACATATTTAACACATAATTTCTTTCATCACAAAATTTCTAGTTTATAATATACTTAATACCTGAGTTTATATTCTGTTTTTAGAATTAAAAAAGTTCTTACACTTTCTATGATAGTAAACTCCACTTTTGATCGTTCAACAATATTCTGGTTTTGTCCCACTTTATATAATTTTCGGAGGCGGCTAAAATGCATACGAGCAGTGAACTAATATTTCCAAATCGTTCATACTTTTCAACAAGAATCAGTTCTTTAATCAAATATATATAATTAACTATAGATTATTATGTAACTATTCGCAGGGATGAGGTTAATGATTGAAGTTCACTCAAGCATGAAATACAGAACAGAGGGTTTGTGCGGTTCTTACAACGACAACAGCGACGATGACTTTAAGTCCCAGGCAGATATTGTTGAAACCGCCATTCAGTTTGCCGACACTTGGAAGGTTACGTCAGAGAACTGTCCACCAACTGAGGAAACAGAAAGCCAGTGTACCGTAAGATACATTGTATTTACGGTGATGGATAAACTATGAGAACTTGTTCTGAGGATAAATAATGGCAGAGGGCCTTGACCTAAGTGGGGTTTAAATGAAGTTGAATCTAAAGCAGCAAAAACCATACAATAACAACTAACCCATCGTTCGGAAATGATACCATTTTTGCTACTCTATTCTATCAATTTTTGGACAATATAGCATGAATCGTTTTCAAATGACAAAACCACTGTAACAAAAGTAAAAATGCTGTCACAGTTTGTTACATGATTTCCAAAGTTAAAAATTAGAAAAAGTTAGAAATTCTTTTGTGCAATGTATTTCAGGAGACTGGTGCCCTGTCTCATAGGTTACCATGGGCACAAGAAAGTTGTTCAGTTATCAAGACTGGTACACTGTTCGAGACCTGTCGACAAAAACTACAATCTGATGTTGTAAATGGCTATTATGAGGAATGTCTGCTTGATTCGTGCAGGTATGATCTTTTCATTTGCAGTTATTACAAAAAATGAAATGTAATAAATAAGAGAAAAGCATCGGTACATTTGCAAAAATATGAAAAAGAGGTACAGTAATTATGCCCCTATCAGACACTGCCTCTTCAAGGAAAGGTAAATGCTATTGTGCCTATGTTTCCAGCTGTGATAGCGGAGGTGATTGCGAGTGTTTGTGTACAGCGATTGCAAACTTTGGAGAGGAATGTAATAGAGTCGGTAGCCCTGTACGATGGCGATCACAACACATGTGCCGTAAGCAAATGCTTTCGATTCATACTTAGGATAAATAAGAAAGTATATATTTGAAAATTGCATTGATCAGAGCGACACTTTCGGAATTAGGGGGGGGGGGGGGGTCAATATAACATGATTTTAGCTCAAAACTACATTAAATTGTTTCAGTAGACCTTTTGGCATGAATAAATCATGTAAGACCGAATTATGCAATTCATTGAAGGATGAATTAAATCTCAATCAAAGACATACGGATGCATTTTGCATTTTGTTTCTTTTTTCTCATGCAAAATGTTTTGTTATCAGCGATCCAGTGCGACTATGGGCTCGTCTACCAAGCCTGTGCCATGCCTTGTGAGAGTACGTGCAAGGACCTGATGTTCGCGACGGATGAGGGGAAATGCCTAGAGACTATGTGCCTGGAAGGATGTTATTGTCCCGAAGGTGAAATGATGGAAGGTTAGTAGAAGGTCATTCTTCGTACTTGATAATCTACTTCTTTTGATAAATACCAACAGCACCACTCGCTGTTTGTTTTGTATGATCTGGTGATTAACAAATTGATATAATGCCTTTATGGAATTAAGAATGAGAAAAAATATTAAATGTTGTAGATGGTAAATGTATTCCTGTTACGGAATGCCCATGCTATATGGAAAATGGTGAGCGGTTTGAAGTTGGGTCTTCTTTTACAAGGACCTGCATGGATTGGTAAGTTTTCTAGAAAGAGTACTCCATTGATGCTAGGAATTTGCTGATAAATCATAGAACGTAATAGTAGTAGTGTCTCAAAATGAAAAAAATGTTTTTTTACATTCCTTAGTATGTTTATACTGAATGGTCTACATGATATGTGACTAACGATTGTACAATTTCCAAATCATGATGTTACCATACATTGCCTTTAAAACTTCGGATATCAGTTAGTCAGTCAGACATGATGAGAAATCAGCTTAGTCAGAATTATTCAAAATTATGAGAAATCAGCCAAAATTGAAACTTTATGAGAATCCAACCAAGTGTTTTTACATTTCAGTGTCTGTGTTTCTGGAAAGTTTGAATGCACTCCACAGCTCAACTGCAGCGAGTGTCTCGAAAGTGAGTTCTTCTGTAATATTTCCAAGCAGTGTGTCCACGATTACCAGGTTTGCGATGGCGAAAGTGATTGCGATTACAACGAAGATGAGGAAAATTGTGGTAAATAAACTTTTCAATACATTTCATTTTCAATCTGTGATTGGTCGAACATATGCCACGTGATATACAATATCCAGTTATATTTTCTGTGATAATGGCCGGACTCGTGGTATGTGCATTTGGCTTTTTGAACCACGGGGACTTTTACTCATGAAAGACGTACAGTTTTGTTTCAATATAATATTAGTGGTATAAGGTAGGCAATTAATCGGTGTTCAACTTGAATTGAACAGTTAAATATTTAAGCACAAGTGGCAAACAAGAAAAAAGATTAGGAACATTTTAAAGTGCATCCGGTTAAGCTTACAAGGAAGTTAATCCCTATAAATAATGATGTAACGCACACAAATGAAAAGCGTCCAATGCCCGTAGCATCCACATCATTTAGCGACCCCTTTATCATCACTACCCAAAACTTACAATTGATGTCGTTGTTGTCAGTTAAAACATAAATTGCAGAGTAGGAATCGTCATGCTATTTTCTTGATTTTAGAGAGAACGTGCGGCCCCAACGAATTCCAGTGTGACGATGGAAATTGCACCGATATCGCATTCAAGTGTGATTATTTCCCTGATTGTGCTGATAACAGTGACGAATCAAGTGAACTATGCAGTATGTAAAAATAAGTATTACTCATAAAAAGTATATAATAATTACGGATACTTATTAAACGCAGCCGTTTTAACCGTTAACCAAATCTACAGTTGATTAAGATCATCCACAAATATTTAAGGTTAAGTAAAATTGAATTTAATACTTTTAAAAATATTTCTCGATAAAGTACTTAATTGAAATGAATATCATGCGATTCTTCTTGGGAGTACTGTTAAAAATAACATTGAATTGTAGTTGAAACCTGTATTGGTGCAACCTGTGACAATGGCGATTGTATTGATCATCTATCGTACATTTGTGATGGAGTTCCCGATTGTTCTGATGACTCGGACGAAAAGAACTGTACAGAAGGTAGGTGTAAGCCACAATCGTTAAATTGACATCCCTTAAGTTTATAATGGATTAGTAACAATGTTGATATGTTTGATTGTATCACAAAGTTTTAAAACGGATTAATATTTAAAACAAAATCCTAAGATTCGAGTCAGTCACCTTTCTTTATACAGTATAACAAGACAGGGACATTGTTCTGATACACAGTACTTTAAAATAATAAAATGTTTTTACCTAACCTCACCATTTTTATATTAGAATGTTTGAGTCCAAACTTCCGGTGCAGTACTGGAAAATGTCTTGGGGAAGAGATGCTTTGTGATACGCACGATGACTGTGGAGACGGCGAAGACGAGGCCGGTTGCTGTAAGAAACCTTACTTTTTTAACCTAATTACGAAAGCTGTACTAAAAATGACAGCCTTTGAAGTTTCAGCTCATTTAAAATGATCTAGTTCTTTCAATTTACTACTTTAAGTTCATTTTGTGTTTGACATTCATCTGAAAAGGTTTGGTGAGAAAACTAGTTTTAATCGTATGCCAGTGAAACATTCATATAAAACATTTATTCTTGCATCGGCGAATTTGGTAAATATAATTGTTATGATTTTCATCTGGCGACTTAATAGGATCTGTGTAATATGACTAATTTTTATTTTATTTGTTTTATCAAGCTACTACAAGTGCACCAACTACAACAGGTAATAATTGTGAAACACAAACCCAAGTTTCAAGTTTTTGGGGGTAAAATTTACTGTAAGATGCATTTCAACATGTCCACCATATTTTGCGAATACTCAATCATTACATATTATAGGTTAACACTACTGCATAAGTAAATAAACTACTTAAGACCTCGAAAAAACGCTTATTTACATATTTTCATTCATTGATTTTTAATTTATTTGTATTCATTTTCTGATACAGTTGCAACAACACCCACGATGACTTCCACAGCGGGGACCAGTACACCTATACCATCAACCACACCTGAATTTACAAACACACCTGAATTTACAACCACACCTGCCACAACCACTCCAGCAACAACCACACCTGCCACAACCACACAAGGAACAACCACACCAGCAACATCTACACCTGCGACTACACCAGGTATTATTTTAGTTATTATGATTATAAGTCTAGTTTTGGCGTAAGATAATTGCATTTTGAGGAATTGGTGATGCCTGCATTGGTGTTAATTCAACAACCAACAAACGACAGTCACCAACCTTGAGGAATATGTTTTGTCACGGACGTTCAATTATGTATATCACAATGTATCTCAAGCAAAATGTGCTCACCCAGCCGAAACGACCTTGAACCCGGCAGGCATTCATCAATCAATGGGGGGTAAACAGAATTTGGAAAGTTTTTTCCATAAAGTCGAGTAACTTTAGCGTCTCATACGTTTTTCAAAACGTATTTTCTCAAAGAGAAATAAAGTAAGATGAAATAATAAAAAAAAGATTTACACGTCTGTTAAGCCCATAATATATGATGACAATGAAGGGAAATTACTAGATATAGTATAGCTCTTAGTATAGACCATATGATGTTGGTAGAGATTATAGTTCCTAGATTAGGCCACAATAACATGTGATACATGGTTTAGTATGAGGCATCTTTATTATCAAATTCTACTAGGGATTATATTCCTACTAATTCTGCTTTTGGCACATGACAATAATTCATTGGAACAGACTAAAGCTATTGGCAAACAGTACACAAATGTTTTCTAATCATGATGTTAAAGGCACCCAACAACTAATTTAGGGAAATTATTAATTTAATGAAGGTTGAAATGGGTGTATACCCAAAAGGGATATGAAAACGCATGTGTCAAAGGGAGAAGACCAGCAGTTGAAATGTAACCTACCAAATCAACTCTAAGTGTATACCAATCAGTAGAGAGGTTAAGCTACACGTATAAATGCAAACCGTGAACCTGAACGCGTAAGTCCACGCTCAAGTACACGTTTAAGAAAATTTTCTGTTAAGCTACACGTCTGAAACCATGTCAGTGGACGTGGACCTATATTCATATGGTGCCTGTTTCGAGGGTCATGTTTCTATGGTGTAATGGATAGCACTTCGGACTCGTGTCCGTTAGGCCTAGGTTCGAATCTAGTCGCATCAAAACATTTTGTTTTTTATTTTTGCTTTATTTCATATTCAACCACAATTAAATGATCTAGTGCGCCCTCCATTATAATCTCCCCATGAACAAAATAAATTCATCTGATTTTTCAAAAGAATATTCTGCTTTTATTGTTGATATGTACACTAGTATCTTGTTGACCTATATTCAGCACTGTATTGATGAATGGGCCACTTATTAGGGCCAATATTCAACCATAAAGTGTACAGGGGTAGAGATGCCACACCAGGAAGTCTTTGTGTGTCCGTCAAAATCCATTTGCATCCTACACATCCCTACATCTTATCCAAATACATTATTAATTAATGAAACATAACAGTATAATCTTTGGATTTACAAAGTTGTATGGGATTTCATAAGTGTAAAAGTTGCTTTTGAAGCATTTTTCTTTAGCCATTTTGTAGGAAAAAATGTACAATCTTTTAATTTTAAGTATGACCTGAATCGATTCATCGATACTTTATATTTGCACATCTGATGTGATATACCATTTTTGTCATATTAATTGTGACATTATTTAATTTGCAATCAATTCAGGCCATTCAGTCATTCAGATTCAGGCAAATCAAATGTAGTGATAAGGCAATCGTAGGCCCTGGTTGCCATTTCATTTCGTTTAGTATACATATTGTACCAAGCCCCGGGAATCAAATTAGCCCTGCCTATTTATATTGTACGGAATGAACAAACGATCACATTTGAAGTTGTCATTTAATCTCTAAAATGTATTCTTTATTTCCAATAAAGGATTTGGGGTTTACCGATATAACAAGCAATAGTGTTTGTATCAAATATGGGCCCCTGGGCCATCCTAAAACATAGCTAAAATCAATCACGTAATGAGCGACGTGTAATCACTCATCTACACGTAAAAACCTGTAACTTTCACGCTTACCTGTAGAAAGTAGACTAATCTGACGTCATTTTCCTGCGCGCGCATAGAAGTACACGTTCATGCTTTGTTGAATACGCGACTGTAAATTGCACGAATATGATAATCTCATGTAAAAACCTGTAAAATTCACGCTGGCCCACAGGAAATAAACAAATCTGACGTCATTTATATGCGCGCGCATTGAAGTTCACGTTCAAGTTTTGTCAAATACGTGTAGCTTAACCTCTCTATTAAGAAAAGCAAACCACATATATTCCAAAACAATGATCTAACGTGAGAAAAACAATAACTAATACCCATGTCCCTCACCATACAAGAACAAATATCACAATCCAAGACCAAAACCTCAAGAGACATAATAATTTTTATTTCAGAAATTTGTGTAAAAACAAATGGTATGGGCAATCCACAAAAAATTAATGCAGAAGAAATAGAAATCGATGACTCGCCAGTGAATGGAGAGGGACAAAACCTTATTCCTGGTAGTGACTCACCATATACGGCTAATCCAACATCTGGCACAGTTACAATAGATATTCCATTCGCACAAGACACTGACATCGAGATAGTGAAGATTGCCTTGGCCGATACATTCAATGTTAAAAACATAATTGATGTTGTTGTGTATACCACTGACGGTGAAACTAAAACAGTTACTGACATTGAATCTGCTTTGGAGGTAAGAACTAAAATCTTAAGTTTAATTGATTGCTATGATTCCATTCGACCCCTTCCTTTTGAAATATATTTTTGTTTGTCAAGGACATTTAGAATGCACTGTCTGGGGTTGAAGGAAAGTTCATTACATTCCATGAAATATACAGCTACATTTTACACGCACCATTAACATTTCTTTATTAATCGGGGATTATCGTTTTATTATACTAAACTATTACATTATTGCAAGTCATTATTAATCATTTTATTAGTTCAGTTTAAAATTAGGGAAAACTCCTTGTGTCAGTGAAAATCGTTTATCAGATGGGTAAAATTTTCCTAATTTATTGCAAATTTCCTGCCATTTGACCAATAATTGTTTATTGTACTGCTTTTATAAATATACAGCACATGACTCATGAAACGAGAACTTATGAAATGAACTCATGTATTTTGATACGAGTCACCTTCGAGAATTTAAGAACGCATGCATGACATAAACAACACCTTACTGATTCCCGTGTTTTAATCATTGGATACACGTTTACCAAGGATTTCTCAAACGACGAAACAATGTTAACCCAATCTAATTCTATCAACAGGTTACCAGTGAGGGAGATTTCAAAGATTTCACACTTGAATTCCTTGAGATTGGATCGTTTGTGTCCATTACCTTGGAAGTGGAGAATAGTGGGATTTACATGATCGGATCTCTTGACGTTGTTGCATGCTTCAAGTCAGGTAAAAAATCAGAAGAATTTTCAAGGATGAAAGGCAAATCAGATCTATAGGGCATGTCAAAATTAGGCAACACGTTCAGTTGACCTACCATTATATCCCTTACAATCTCAAATATAAAATCTCTCAAAAGACCCGGGTTAACTGTGGATTGATGAAGTTATTAATGATGCAAAGTGCGAAAATGGGGAAAATGTTGAAATTATCCCAAATAATAAAAATTGTAACCATGAAATAGAAATAAAAAAATGAATGTATTATTGTAAAAATCCTTAATTTTCATCAAATACAGCATATACTTTGAGTATTTGTAGAAAATGGATGTAAATGATATGAGCTTAAATATTCTAAAATGGAAACAAATGCTACTGAGTACTTTGCTAGATTTGATTCCACCCTTAATGTAACAATCAAGAAGTGGTGACATATTGTAATAGCACTAATTGTGTTACCCCTGTTTGGCATCAGCGTTTTGAGGTTGGTGTCGACGTTGTACTTTTTAAAATAATAAATAGAAGCAAGAAAATCATTTTAGTGTCGTCTATGAAATACAGTTATTTTTTGGTACTTCCAACTTCCAGCCTTATAATGCAACAGCTATGTGTTATTACCCATTTCAGAATCTCAAAATATATTTAAATATAAAGGAGGTTTGATACTTAAATGGTTGTCCGCATATTAAATCGGCTTAGTAGTAACTACCCATCATTTTATTCATATACATCCTAGATTAACCAATTTATCCTCAACTAGTTTAAGTGCGTATTTTGATAAGAATAACATTATAGACACCTACATACGTGTCATGATGTTTCGAGGATCTATAATAATTAATGATTATTCTCTATAGTGCAGAATTTTCTTTGTTATATGTTTATATCTGTTTAACAACACAGTTGAAACAACACCCACGATACCACCAACCACACCTGAAACAACCACACCGGCAACAACCACCCCTGCAACAACCGCACCAGCAACAACCGCACCAGCAACAACCACACCAGCAACAACCGCACCAGCAACAACCACACTTGCGACTACGCCAGGTAATTGTACTATTTCGAGAGTGGAGCTGCAGTAACCCTTTATTCCAACTGACAAATACAATATCATCTTTATCTTTCAACATTAATTAACATTATTACAATGCTATCTTTATCGATTATTATCTATTTAATTGGCGTCTACAAACTATTATGCAAAACATGCTCAAAATGCCAGTCTCTTCTCTAGACACAAACTTTAAAGCATCGGATGAAGTTATTATGACTTCTCGCTCACAGATACCTAGTGTATTGAGTCTTGTTTCCCTTCTTGATGGTTCTAGGGTTGTTAGTATTAGCATTAGTACATAATCTTTGAAATAGGCACAAAGATAAAAGTCTTGAGGTTCAATACGGCATAAGGGGCACATTTTGAAAATAGCCCTAAAATAATGACCAATGAGAATAGACCAATGAATGATGAAACAATGAATGATAGAGCATTGGACAATGTTCAATTTCGGAAAATATGACATTAAATTAGTTTCAACTTAAATGAGTTTTTAACATTTGTTTGGTAAAAATCCCTATTGGTTTTCATTCTGTGATGTCAATGCATCATCCGTACAACTGATTTTAAGATATGATCATATTTATCCAAATGAATGTGTTTGCTCCGATCCATCGACCGGCGCCCGCCCGGTTGAGTGTTTTTCAATATTGTATTCAATTTTGAACAAATTTCTCAATCGCCCGGGCGCTGTAGTGAAAATCGGAGCAAATGTGACCAAGGCATTAATATTCACATTTTCAAGGTATGGCATTCTTAAACATGTTTATCAGATTTGATTATTAAATCACTAAAACAATTTCCTTTTTTACACAACCTTTATTTCGAAAACACAGAACGTTTTGTAGCAGTTGATAAAGGATATAGATGTGATCCGAAACGTTCTGTGTTTTCAAAATAAAGGTTGTGTAAAGAAGAAAATTTCTTTAGGTATGACATGTTCTTACCGTGAGAATGCATTTAAGGTTCAGCCATTTGTCAATGGTAACAGATGTACGTGTTTTAAGCGATCATACGGTAACCACGATAGTGATCTACCTTCACCAATGAATCTTGTGTTTAACAATCAGACAAAAAATTAAAACTAGAATGTGATCTACCTTTATCTAACAGTTCCTTTTACCCTTTCATACATACAAACTATTAAAAATATCATTTTTATTTCAGAAATATGTGTAAAAACAAATGGTATGGGCGCTCCACAAAAAATTAATGCAGAAGAAATTGAAATCGATGACTCGCCAGTGAATGGAGAAGGACAAAACCTTATTCCCGGAAGTGACTCACCATATACGGCTAATCCAACATCTGGTACAGTTACAATAGATATTCCTTTCGCACAAGACACTGACATCGAGATAGTGAAGATTGCATTGGCCGATACATTCAATGTTAAAAACATAATTGATGTTGTTGTGTATACCACTGACGGTGAACCTAAAACAGTTACTGACATTGAATCTGCTTTGGAGGTAAGAACTAGTCTAAGTTTTATTGATTGCCAGTTTGTGTCTAGGACATTTAGTGTAGACTGTTGGGGTTTGAAAGAACGCTGATTTCATTCCATTAAATATACTGCTACAATATTAATTGACACACAATATCACCATTTTTTCATTAATAGGGGATGATGGTTTTATTATACTAAAGTGATACATTATTACAAGTTATTATTAACCATTAAATTAGTTCAGTGCTATTAAAATGACAGTGCTTTTCAAAATAACAAAACAATGTTTACCTAATCTGATTCAATCAACAGGTTACCAGTGAAGGAGATTTCAAAGATTTCACACTTGAATTCCTTGAGATTGGGTCGTTTGTGTCCATTACCTTGGAAGTGGAGAATAGTGGGATTTACATGATCGGATCCCTTGACGTTGTTGCATGCTTCAAGTCAGGTAAAAAATCAGAAGAATTTTCAAGGATTAATGTAACAATTTATCCATAAGTATATTTGATTAACCAATTCATCCTACAATGCATTACATTCATGATTATTCACAATACATGATTATGCTAATATCTATTTCATTTTATGTAACATAGTTGAAACAACACCCACGATACCACCGACAACACCTGAAACAACCACATCTGTAACTACAACAGGTTAGTGTTTTTTAAGTATGATGAGTAAAACAAGGTGTGATGAGTCGAGTAAAGGAAATACAGTTTCTAGACTAGACGTCACAACAATAACAATTTATTTGTTCTGGACAATGTTCCAAAATTCTTTACCTACGGGGTTTGCATTAACACCATGAAGTACACTTTAATGATGCAGAAAAACGTTTTTGAAGTATAATAAAATATAAATGCCTTTTTACACAAGAAAAATTTAACTAATACTAACTATTAATCAAATATTATTTATTTTTCAACATGTGAGCCCGATTTTACATTCTCACGAATGCAACTACTTGTAGTAAGGGTCATTGTAAAAGCTCACACTCCGTCAATATTTTATTAAATTCAGTTTCTTTTATATTGAGTAAAATATGAGTATACACTCCAGTTGTGTAAGTAAAATCAGAATTATGATTATACACAGCAACATGCACTATCGAAGCTTTGAAAAGGGGTGAAAATCACTTTAATAGTTATATGCAGCCTTTAACATGTTATTTTGCATAAATTATCCAATCATTTTGAAGTAAGACGACGAACAGTTGCCACTGTAAATACCAATTATGATAAATCTTGGTAGAATTAGCAAACAGATCTTAAATCATTATCCCCAGCTGCTTATATAGGCAGACTAACCTGTTATTAAGTTCAGCGTTTGGATTTGAGGTGATAGGTGGTAAGTACCGGGATGCACGGCCTATAGTACCCATATTCAGATGAGTTTGCCTAAAAATAGGGAATCAACCTAGTAGCCGGTAGCCAATAGTTGCATTTGCAATTGAAGCCCTACATCTACCTCCAAGTCAAAACTACCTCAACTTGTGTATGGCTTATTTGCAATCAAGTTGGTTATTCTCTAGTTATTTCATCATTACATATCAATCTGAAATCACCATGATCCCTTTTCAGTGGAATATACAACAGGAAGTACCGTTGTTACAACACAAGGTACTACCACCACAACTGTAGAACAATGTACAGATACAATTGGTATGGATGATTCAGAGAAGATTGATGAGAAAAATACCAAAATAACGAATGACAAAAATGATTTCGTTGACAATGTAAAACCACCACTAGATGACTTGAAAGATCCAAATACACCACTTGTGGTAGAGTTTAAACCATCGACGGATCCCAATAACTTGGAAATATCTACAAAGCTGAAAACAAACGTATCTGTTCCAATTACCACAGTGGAAACAAGAGACTTGAAAAATGTCTCAACAGTTACTGTCATCGTTAAGGATGAAAATGGTACAGTAGTAAAAGAGGTATGTATTAGACAGGTAAAATATACTAGACAGCAGAAGAGTAAAATATATTATGTTTCATATATTGATTTTAAAATTGATAGAAATAATTACATTTGTTTTACTCGAAACGATGTAATGGAGAATGTACTAGAATTGTGTAAATCATTGGGTTACTGGTTCTCTTTAGGTCTCAGTACCAGTTGATGACGATGGTTCTGCTATCGTGGATCTCGGGGATACTAAAGGGGTGGAGATTGTCATAATCTACACTTCGGAACCCAATAAAACTATTATAGAAATTGGAGACGTGGAAATAACTGCTTGTCTAGAAATACAAACCACAACGCCTGGAGCAACAACTGTTATATCTACAACACCCAAGGGTATGATTAAAATATTCCATTTGATCAAATCTGGCTATTGGAAGATAATATAATTTGTAATTTCTTTATCCATGGAATTTTGTACAAAGGGCTGCAGATAACATCTTTGACAGCATATTCATTGCTACAGTCAGGCTACAGTACCATAGGATATAATCAGGTTTACCAAGTTGACTTTTCCTGCAATTTCAGAGAAAATCAATAACTTAAAAGTTAAATCTTAAATATACCATCATAACATATGTATCATGTGTATGCTACACTCAAAAAACAAAATATGGGTTTAAACTGTTACCACCCTCAAAAGTGCCGTGCAACAACCTAAATTACATTCAACTTTAGTTAACCTAAAATTATTGCTTTGTTTACCAGTTTAACTCGAGTGTAAAATAAGCCTGAATGATTAAAGGACATAATCTTTCTTTTTTCCAGTAACTACTGTACCAAGTACAACCCAGCCTAGTACGTCAACACCAGCTCCTACAACCCCTCCATCCACAGGTATGAACGTGAAAGTATCATGATAAAGATCATATTAATATGTTATCTAAGATATGCAAATATATTTTTGAAATGGCCATGCTTTAAGTTTTTTCTTTTTGAATATGATATCAATATAATATTCTGTTTCCTGCATTTTTGTTTTTTAATTGAGAAAATAACCACGATCTCTTTTCAGTGGAATATACTACAGGAACTACCGTTGTTACGACGCAAGGAACTACCGCCACGACTGTAACACAATGTACAGATACAATTGGTATGGATGATTCAGAGAAGATTGATGAGAAAAATACCAAAATAACGAATGACAAAAATGATTTCGTTGACAATAAAAAACCACCACTAGATGACTTGAAAGATCCAAATACACCACTTGTGGTAGAGTTTAAACCATCGACGGATCCCAATAACTTGGAAATATCTACAAAGCTGAAAACAAACGTATCTGTTCCAATTACCACAGTGGAAACAAGAGACTTGAAAAATGTCTCAACAGTGACTGTCATAGTTAAAGATGAAAATGGTACAGTAGTAAAAGAGGTATGTATTAGACAGGTGAAATATACTAGACAGCAGAAGGGTAAAATATATTATGTTTCATATATTGATTTTAAAATTGATAGAAATAATTACATTTGTTTTACTCGAAACGATGTAATGGAGAATGTACTAGAATTGTGTAAATCATTGGGTTACTGGTTCTCTTTAGGTCTCAGTACCAGTTGATGACGATGGTTCTGCTATCGTGGATCTCGGGGATACTAAAGGGGTGGAGATTGTCATAATCTACACTTCGGAACCCAATAAAACTATTATAGAAATTGGAGACGTGGAAATAACTGCTTGTCTAGAAATACAAACCACAACGCCTGGAGCAACAACTGTTATATCTACAACATCCAAGGGTATGATTAAAATATTCCATTTGATCAAATCTGGCTATTGGAAGTAAATATGATTTGTAATTTCTTTATCCATGGAATTTTGTACAAAGGGCTGCAGACAACATCTTTGACAACATAATCATTGCTACAGTCATGCTACAGTACCATAGGATATAATCAGGTTTACCAAGTTGACTTTTCCTGCAATTTCAGAGAAAATCAATAACTTAAAAGTTAAATCTTTAATATACCATCATAACATATGTATCATGTGTATGCTACACTCAAAAAACAAAATATTGGTTTAAACTGTTACCACCCTCAAAGGTGCCGTGCAACAACCTAAATTACATTCAACTTTAGTTAACCTAAAATTATTGCTTTGTTTACCAGTTTAACTCGAGTGTAAAATAAGCCTGAATGATTAAAGGACATAATCTTTCTTTTTTCCAGTAACTACTGTGCCAAGTACAACCCAGCCTAGTACGTCAACACCAGCTCCTACAACCCCTCCATCCACAGGTATGAAGTGAAAGCATCATGATAAAGATCATATAAATATGTTATCTAAGATATGCAAATCTATTTTTGAAATGGCCACGCTTTAAGTTTTTTCTTTTTGAATTTGATATCAATATAATATTCTGTTTCCTGCATTTTTGTTTTTTAATTGAGAAAATAACCATGATCTCTTTTCAGTGGAATATACTACAGGAACTACCGTTGTTACAACGCAAGGAACTACTGCCACGACTGTAGCACAATGTACAGATACAATTGGTATGGATGATTCAGAGAAGATTGATGAGAAAAATACCAAAATAACGAATGACAAAAATGATTTCGTTGACAATGTAAAACCACCACTAGATGACTTGAAAGATCCAAATACACCACTTGTGGTAGAGTTTAAACCATCGACGGATCCCAATAACTTGGAAATATCTACAAAGCTGAAAACAAACGTATCTGTTCCAATTACCACAGTGGAAACAAGAGACTTGAAAAATGTCTCAACAGTGACTGTCATAGTTAAAGATGAAAATGGTACAGTAGTAAAAGAGGTATGTATTAGACAGGTAAAATATACTAGACAGCAGAAGGGTAAAATATATTATGTTTCATATATTCATTTTAAAATTGATAGAAATAATTACATTTGTTTTACTCGAAACATGTAATATAGAATGTACTAGAATTGTGTAAATCATTGGGTTACTGGTTCTCTTTAGGTCTCAGTACCAGTTGATGACGATGGTTCTGCTATCGTGGATCTCGGGGATACTAAAGGGGTGGAGATTGTTATAATCTACACTTCGGAACCCAATAAAACCATTATAGAAATTGGAGACGTGGAAATAACTGCTTGTCTAGAAATACAAACCACAACGCCTGGAGCAACAACTGTTATATCTACAACACCCAAGGGTATGATTAAAATATTCCATTTGATCAAATCTGGCTATTGGAAGTAAATATAATTTGTAATTTCTTTATCCATGGAATTTTGTACAAAGGGCTGCAGACAACATCTTTGACAACATAATCATTGCTACAGTCATGCTACAGTACCATAGGATATAATCAGGTTTACCGAGTTGACTTTTCCTGCAATTTCAGAGAAAATCAATAACTTAAAAGTTAAATCTTAAACATACCATCATAACATATGTATCATGTGTATGCTACACTCAAAAAACAAAATATGGGTTTAAACTGTTACCACCCTCAAAGGTGCCGTGCAACAACCTAAATTACATTCAACTTTAGTTCACCTAAAATTATTGCTTTGTTTACCAGTTTAACTCGAGTGTAAAATAAGCCTGGATGATTAAAGGACATAATCTTTCTTTTTTCCAGTAACTACTGTACCAAGTACAACCCAGCCTAGTACGTCAACACCAGCTCCTACAACCCCTCCATCCACAGGTATGAACGTGAAAGCATCATGATAAAGATCATATTAATATGTTATCTAAGATATGCAAATCTATTTTTGAAATGGCCACGCTTTAAGTTTTTTCTTTTTGAATTTGATATCAATATAATATTCTGTTTCTTGCATTTTTGTTTTTTAATTGAGAAAATAACCATGATCTCTTTTCAGTGGAATATACTACAGGAACTACCGTTGTTACAACGCAAGGAACTACCGCCACGACTGTAGCACAATGTACAGATACAATTGGTATGGATGATTCAGAGAAGATTGATGAGAAAAATACCAAAATAACGAATGACAAAAATGATTTCGTTGACAATGTAAAACCACCACTAGATGACTTGAAAGATCCAAATACACCACTTGTGGTAGAGTTTAAACCATCGACGGATCCCAATAACTTGGAAATATCTACAAAGCTGAAAACAAACGTATCTGTTCCAATTACCACAGTGGAAACAAGAGACTTGAAAAATGTCTCAACAGTGACTGTCATAGTTAAAGATGAAAATGGTACAGTAGTAAAAGAGGTATGTATTAGACAGGTAAAATATACTAGACAGCAGAAGGGTAAAATATATTATGTTTCATATATTGATTTTAAAATTGATAGAAATAATTACATTTGTTTTACTCGAAACGATGTAATGGAGAATGAACTAGAATTGTGTAAATCATTGGGTTACTGGTTCTCTTTAGGTCTCAGTACCAGTTGATGACGATGGTTCTGCTATCGTGGATCTCGGGGATACTAAAGGGGTGGAGATTGTTATAATCTACACTTCGGAACCCAATAAAACTATTATAGAAATTGGAGACGTGGAAATAACTGCTTGTCTAGAAATACAAACCACAACGCCTGGAGCAACAACTGTTATATCTACAACACCCAAGGGTATGATTAAAATATTCCATTTGATCAAATCTGGCTATTGGAAGTAAATATAATTTGTAATTTCTTTATCCATGGAATTTTGTACAAAGGGCTGCAGACAACATCTTTGACAACATAATCATTGCTACAGTCATGCTACAGTACCATAGGATATAATCAGGTTTACCGAGTTGACTTTTCCTGCAATTTCAGAGAAAATCAATAACTTAAAAGTTAAATCTTAAATATACCATCATAACATATGTATCATGTGTATGCTACACTCAAAAAACAAAATATGGGTTTAAACTGTTACCACCCTCAAAGGTGCCGTGCAACAACCTAAATTACATTCAACTTTAGTTAACCTAAAATTATTGCTTTGTTTACCAGTTTAACTCAAGTGTAAAATAAGCCTGAATGATTAAAGGACAATCTTTTTTTTCCAGTAACTACTGTACCAAGTACAACCCAGCCTAGTACGTCAACACCAGCTCCTACAACCCCTCCATCCACAGGTATGAACGTGAAAGCATCATGATAAAGATCATATTAATATGTTATCTAAGATATGCAAATATATTTTTAAAATGGCCACACTTTAAGTTTTTTCTTTTTGAATTTGATATCAATATAATATTCTGTTTCCTGCACTTTTGTTTTTTAATTGAGAAAATAACCATGATCTCTTTTCAGTGGAATATACTACAGGAACTACCGTTGTTACGACGCAAGGAACTACCGCCACGACTGTAGCACAATGTACAGATACAATTGGTATGGATGATTCAGAGAAGATTGATGAGAAAAATACCAAAATAACGAATGACAAAAATGATTTCGTTGACAATAAAAAACCACCACTAGATGACTTGAAAGATCCAAATACACCACTTGTGGTAGAGTTTAAACCATCGACGGATCCCAATAACTTGGAAATATCTACAAAGCTGCAAACAAACGTATCTGTTCCAATTACCACAGTGGAAACAAGAGACTTGAAAAATGTCTCAACAGTGACTGTCATAGTTAAAGATGAAAATGGTACAGTAGTAAAAGAGGTATGTATTAGACAGGTGAAATATACTAGACAGCAGAAGGGTAAAATATATTATGTTTCATATATTGATTTTAAAATTGATAGAAATAATTACATTTGTTTTACTCGAAACGATGTAATGGAGAATGTACTAGAATTGTGTAAATCATTGGGTTATGCCTTGGTGACATTTGCTCCGATCCATCGGCTTGCGCCCGGCCGATTGAGTGTTTTGTTCAATATTGTATTCAATTTTGAACAAAATACTCAATCCGATGGGCGCCGTAGTGAAAATTGGAGCAAAAGTGACCAAGGCATAACTGGTTCTCTTTAGGTCTCAGTACCAGTTGATGACGATGGTTCTGCTATCGTGGATCTCGGGGACACTAAAGGGGTGGAGATTGTCATAATCTACACTTCGGAACCCAATAAAACTATTATAGAAATTGGAGACGTGGAAATAACTGCCTGTCTAGAAATACAAACCACAACGCCTGGAGCAACAACTGTTATATCTACAACACCCAAGGGTATGATTAAAATATTCCATTTGATCAAATCTGGCTATTGGAAGTAAATATAATTTGTAATTTCTTTATCCATGGAATTTTGTACAAAGGGCTGCAGACAACATCTTTGACAACATAATCATTGCTACAGTCAGGCTACAGTACCATAGGATATAATCAGGTTTACCAAGTTGACTTTTCCTGCAATTTCAGAGAAAATCAATAACTTAAAAGTTAAATCTTAAATATACCATCATAACATATGTATCATGTGTATGCTACACTCAAAAAACAAATATGGGTTTAAACTGTTACCACCCTCAAAGGTGCCGTGCAACAACCTAAATTACATTCAACTTTAGTTAACCTAAAATTATTGCTTTGTTTACCATGGGGTCATTAACAGAACTTTCGCAAAGTTACGAATTCGTAATTCGTAACTTTATGAAATTCGTAAAAATTTAAAAATTTACGAATGACTTACGAATTCGTAAAGTTACGAATCGGCCATTAACAGAACACTTTTGTAAGTCATTCATAAGTTTTATCGTTCGGAAACGAATTTCAAATTGTGACGTCATCTTATATCATTATTTAGCACAAACAGAAATATGATGTCATTTGATATCATTGCGCGCTGTGATTAAACCTGTCTCTGCGATTTCAAAATTCCCACCTCAGGAACATATTTGCTTATCATGTAAGAATAGGTGGATATTTTAGCTTGAAACTTAGCATGCATATAAAGAACAATCTCCTTTTGTCAATCCGTATACCTTACATAAGAACTGGATGAGAAATATGCCATTCGCAAAGTTATGAAAGGGTCTTAGGTGCTATTAAAGGTACGAACGAAATCATATGTGACGTCATTTTTTCGTGTCTTTGCGAATTGTTCGTAACTTTACGAAAGTTCTGTTAATGCACATTTACCAAATTCGTAAAATTAACAATTGACTTGCAAATTCGTTACTTTGCGAAAGTTCTGTTAATGACCCCCAGTTTAACTCAAGTGTTAAATAAGCCTGAATGATTAAAGGACATAATCTTTCTTTTTTTCCAGTAACTACTGTACCAAGTACAACCCAGCCTAGTACGTCAACACCAGCTCCTACAACCCCTCCATCCACAGGTATGAACGTGAAAGCATCATGATAAAGATCATATAAATATGTTATCTAAGATATGCAAATATATTTTTGAAATGGCCATGCTTTAAGTTTTTTCTTTTTGAATTTGATATCAATGTAATATTCTGTTTCCTGCAGTTTTGTTTTTTAATTGAGAAAATAACCATGATCTCTTTTCAGTGGAATATACTACAGGAACTACCGTTGTTACAACACAAGGTACTACCACCACAACTGTAGAACAATGTACAGATACAATTGGTATGGATGATTCAGAGAAGATTGATGAGAAAAATACCAAAATAACGAACGACAAAAATGATTTCGTTGACAATGTAAAACCACCACTAGATGACTTGAAAGATCCAAATACACCACTTGTGGTAGAGTTTAAACCATCGACGGATCCCAATAACTTGGAAATATCTACAAAGCTGAAAACAAACGTATCTGTTCCAATTACCACAGTGGAAACAAGAGACTTGAAAAATGTCTCAACAGTGACTGTCATAGTTAAAGATGAAAATGGTACAGTAGTAAAAGAGGTATGTATTAGGCAGGTAAAATATACTAGACAGCAGAAGGGTAAAATATATTATGTTTCATATGTCGATTTTAAAATTGATAGAAATAATTACATTTGTTTTACTCGAAACGATGTAATGGAGAATGTACTAGAATTGTGTAAATCATTGGGTTACTGGTTCTCTTTAGGTCTCAGTACCAGTTGATGACGATGGTTCTGCTATCGTGGATCTCGGGGATACTAAAGGGGTGGAGATTGTCATAATCTACACTTCGGAACCCAATAAAACTATTATAGAAATTGGAGACGTGGAAATAACTGCTTGTCTAGAAATACAAACCACAACGCCTGGAGCAACAACTGTTATATCTACAACACCCAAGGGTATGATTAAAATATTCAATTTGATCAAATCTGACTATAGGTAGTAGAATACATTTTGTCATTTATTTATCTCTGGGACATGATACAATGAAATGCAAATGATTGATATCTATGACAAAATAATCATGAGAGAGTCCAACCCATTCATTTCATGTATTTTTGTTGACTCGATATTAGCTACCAACAAAACGTAACAAGCCAATTGACCCCATACGGAGTTACATGTGACTAATAAATTGGCTATCTAGCCACTAATATTATAACTATACAAATGCCTGTATCCTATTTGAAACCGAATTCCATGTTTTCCTTATTAAAATTCATCATTTTTTCAATTTCACTCCACATATTCTGTCACAAAGCTTCCGTTTTATCTAATAAGCCCCCTTATGTGCTTTGATTATATGGCCCACATGCCAAAATGTAACTCCCCTAAGAACCACTTTCATGAATAGTCCAACCTCTAAGGCCCTTATGCCTGAATCTTCCCATGTGCTAGTATCCTCAGGTACTGCATCCTTAAAGAACCTCATGCGGATATACATGTATAACACCCCTTGTGCCTATTATGCTCGTATAAATACTAATTATACATTCTCTTTTTTGCAATTTTAGTGCAAATCAAAATATAATCAAATTAGATATTAGATATTCATTCTATCATTACATGTACATCTCTGTATCAACTGTTTTATTGTATACACTTTAAAAACAAAATGTTTGTTTACACTGTTAACATTCTCAATGACGCCAAGCATAAATTTGTACATAATACTTTATATTCACAACAATAAAACTAAAGTATGAATTGATTCCAATTGAAGTTATCCTTACATTATCGTTACGTTCAACTGTTCATCTCAAGTTTAAAATCAACTCAGTTTTCGTTTTCCTTTTAAATTTGTTTTTATATTTAAGATTGGGAAGCATATACATATGTGTGTTTCCTTTTCTCCAGTAACTACTGTACCGAGTACCACTCTGCCCAGTACATCAACATTAGCTACAACAACACCTCCATCAACAGGTTAGTAGGTACAAGCACAACGGGAAAGGTCATATTAAAACTACATGTAGTATGTCATCTAAGATATGCAAGTAGTAATATTCAGCTGTAATATTTTAACGAGCGTACCTTAAATATTTTCCTTGAATTTAAGATCAGTATAAGATTTTATTTCGTGCATTTTTGTGTTATAATTGAGAAAATAACTATTATATCTTTTCAGTGGAATATACTACAGGAACTACCGTTGTTACGACGCAAGGAACTACCAGCACAACTGTAGCACAATGTACAGATACAATTGGTATGGACGATTCAGAGAAGATTGATGAGAAAAATACCAAAATAACGAATGACAAAGATGATTTCGTTGACAATGTAAAACCACCACTAGATGACTTGAAAGATCCGAATACACCACTTGTGGTAGAGTTTAAACCATCGACGGATCCAAATGAGTTGAAAATAACTACAAAGCTTAAAACGAACGTATCTGTTCCAATCACCAAAGTAAAAACAACAGGCTTGAAAAACATTACATTGGTGACTGTAACTGTTAAGGATGCCAATGGCACAGTGGTAAAACAGGTATGTAGCAGGTAAAATGTGATGAGTATATATGAGGATAACATTTTTTCACTGAAGTTAATTTTTTTGTGGAATTAAAAAGATGCAATCATTCACTTTCTAATTTTCAGAAACCTGTACTAGTTGTTGATGGTACTGCTATTGTGGAACTCGGGGATACTAACGGAGTTGAAATCATCATAACTTACGTTTCGAGTCCAAATAAGACAATTGAAATTGGAGACGTTGAAATAACTGCTTGTTTGGAAACACAAACCACAACGCCTGGAGCAACAACTGTTCCATCTACAACACCCCAGGGTATGTTTAAAATATTCCATTTGATCAAATCTGACTATAGGTAGTAGAATAAATTATGTCATTTCTTTATCTCTGGGACATGATACAATGGGATGCAAAGGATTGATATCTATGACAAAATAATCATGAGAGAGTCCAACCCATGTATTTCATCGACAAAACCAAATGAGTTAAAAATAACTTCAAGCTTAAAACGACATTTCTGAAATTTTAGTGTAAATTAAAATATAATCAAATTAGATATTAGTTATTCATTCTTTCATTACATGTGCATCTGTATCAACTGTTTTATTGTATATACTACACTTTAAAAACACTGTTAACATTCTCAATGACGCCATGTATCACTTTGTACATAATACTTTAAATTCACAACAATGAAACTAAAATATGAATTGATTTCAGTTGAAGTTAACCTTACATTAACGTTACGTTCACCTATTCATCTAAAGTTTAAAATCAACTCAGTTTCGTTTTCCCTTTAAAGGACGATTCTCGGTTTGGAGAACAGTCTCCTGGGTTAATAATTTTTTTAATGAAAAATATAGAAATATTACCCAAATTAAACTATGAATATTCAAAAGAGGACATTTAAATCTACAAGATGTAAAATTAACAAATTGGTCTGAAGCAGGGATAACGTTCAATTTGACAGATTCAATAAAATACAAGTCTCGATTTAAAGAAAGAAGTTCATCAGTGTACTGCGCTAATATTTTTTTGCGAAAAATCTAGAAATATTACCCAAATTAAATTAGGACAATTCAAAAGAGGACATTCAAATCTATATTATGTAAACATATCAAATTTGTCCGAAGCAGGGATAATGCTCATTTAGATTGATGAACTTCGTTCTCCAAACCGAGAATCATCCTTTGTTATTATATCCATATCCATGATTGAAAGCATTTACATATGTGTGTTTCCTTTTCTTCAGTAACTACTGTACCGAGTACCACTCTGCCCAGTACATCAACATTAGCCACAACAACACCTCCATCAACAGGTAAGTAGGTACAAGCACAACGATAAAGATCATATTAAAACTAGTATGTCATCTAAGATATGCAAGTAGTAATATTCAGCTGTAATATTCTAATGAGCGTACCTTAAATATTTTACTTCTTGAATTTAAGATCAGTATAAGATTTTGTTTCCTGCATTTTTTGTGGTATATTTGAGAAAATAACTTTGATCTATTTTCAGTGGAATATACTACAGGAACTACCGTTGTTACGACGCAAGGTACTACGAGCACAACTGTAGCACAATGTACAGATACAATTGGTATGGATGATTCAGAGAAGATTGATGAGAAAAATACCAAAATAACGAATGACAAAAATGAATTTGTTGACAATGTAAAACCACCACTAGATGACTTGAAAGATCCGAATACACCACTTGTGGTAGAGTTTAAACCATCGACAAATCCCAATGAGTTGAAAATAACTTCAAAGCTTAAAACGAACGTATCTGTTCCAATCACCAAAGTAATAACAACAGGCTTGAAAAACATTACATTGGTGACTGTAACTGTTAAGGATGCTAATGGCACAGTGGTAAAACAGGTATGTAGCAGGTAAAATGTGATGAGTATATGTGAGGATAACATTTTTTTCGCTGAAGTTAAGTCTTGCAATTGTGTTATTTATTGGCTTACTGGTGTCTTATTTTTTTGATTTTTTTGTGGAATTAAAATGATTCACTTTCTAATTTTCAGAAACCTGTACTAGTTGTTGATGGTACTGCTATTGTGGAACTCGGGGATACTAACGGAGTTGAGATCATCATAACTTACGTTTCGAGTCCAAATAAGACAATTGAAATTGGAGACGTTGAAATAACTGCTTGTTTGGAAATAGAAACCACAACACCAGTAGCAACAACTGTACCATCTACAACACCCCAGGGTACGATTGGTATAATTTTTTAACCAGATCTGACTATGCATAGTAGAACAAGGTGTTCTATTGCATAAACTTACAGAAATATCCATGCACAAGTGCGAAGGTGAAAGGACCAAAAGTTGTATTAGAACTTAGCAAGAAAAACTCTAAGTGCATACCAGTCAAGAAAAACAAACCCCATATGTCCCAAAACCATGATCTAACGTAAAAAGAAACAATGTCTAATACCCCCTTTCCCCCACCATTCAAGAATCGATATCACAATTCAAGACCAGAACACCAAGGGACATTTCATTCATACTGAAGTCATTACAATACATGTTGATAACAATACACAATGAAAAACAGTTAATTTGAAATTCGGATCGACCAGATGTTTGAAAATCAAGGATTGTGAATCTCATACTGCACCGTTTTTCTTTAAACATTTTCCATTAAAAGCAAAACGAAAGTTAAGTGTAAAGTAGTGTATACTCATTGATTCAAAACATAATTAGACTCACTCTTACACCAATAAAATAAAATAATTTTCAGAATACTGTACTCTTGAAAGCGGGATGACCGATGCTCTGTACATACTTGTTGACGACATAACATTAGAAGGGGTCTTAGACAGAAACCCATCGAATCTCAGTCCTGATAGTGAATCACCTTTCGTCGGTCTCCCAGACGGTAGTGGTCTTGTGACAATCACTATTCCTTTCACAAGTGACACTGATGTAGAGATTGGGAGAATAGTTATCAATGGAACTACAAATGTTGATAATGCAGAGGTTGTGATAAAGGATAGTTTTGACCAGGAAACAAACATTTCACCAGATGAAAATAATTTTATCGTGAGTGAAATTTCGTATTTGCACAATACAGTTTCACATTTTATAATGATTCATTTTTCGTAAACGATTACGATGTCTGATAATGTGAGGCATCCCAACATAACTGGGGTGAAAATGAACCATATGTTACGATTATTATATAATATAATCTTTTTGTCAATAGTTCCAGGATAACCCTGATGGCACAACTGATATCGTAGTCATTATAAGTCCAAGAACAACCGGAAAACAAGTCACAATAACATTAGATCCGATATCATCTGACGAGGCTGTTGAGATCCAAGATTTGGATGTCTTTGCATGTTTCATCCCAGGTGAATTATATAATAATTCTCTTTACTTGATATTATCTGGACAGTATTTATATCTTGCTGTAATACTCATAAATGCTATCCTCAATGGCCATCTTGTGACTGGTGTATAATGAGTCTATATTGCTTACAAGGTATTCAATGAGCTAAAATCACAGAAGGATAACATTTTATTTTTTATTTTTCTACAACCCCTAGAAACTCCAGGCTTGAATCATGCTTATAAGGGGTAAAAATTAAATTATGTTAAATGATTTTATTTTCACTTTGATTCAGATCAGGTGATGATTCATATCAAAATGTATTATTATATTTTACACAGTGGAGCCAATTGTTATTTGATGGTTATATTTATTATTAATTACATAAATGATATACAATCTTTGCTCAATTTTCAGTATCAACATCCACAACGTACACTACACCATCAACCGCAGCTTCTAATGAGCCAACAATGTCCACTCCCTCAACTAAACAGACACCTCCACCTTCTACCCCATCTCCAATATGTGATGAGATTAATGGAATGGAGAATAGCTTAATTATCCCAGATGAAAACATCCAGTTTGATGGAGACTTCATTCAAACTATAAGCCAATCACAAGTAGATGGCCTTAGACCAGGAGTAGAACTAGGTGTTTATCTCATTAACGGCAGTACTCCTGGCTTCAACATAACGATTGTTTTTAATGAATCCGAAAGTCAAATGCCTGTGCAACTGGGAAGTGTTGTATTGGAGCGTACCAACAAAATTAAATCTGCACAGATATATTATTTGTTGGGAGGAGAATATATACCATTCCAGGGTAGCACAGAGAAGGTGCGTAAATAAAAATATTACAAATAGTGTTGAAGTTGATTTCTAAAAACATTCTACACGTGAATGCTCATATATGATGTCGTTTCCATTTTATGAAATATTGTTTGTTGTACGAAGTCACTTGCAGAGCTTTTCTATACGCTATTGTAGTATATGTTGCGTTATTTAACCATATAGCTGGGTTTTACATACTGGATGGCACAACTATTATTTTCCAGGGAATCCTATCCGACATAACTGTTACATTTGGGGACGACGTATTTGCAGAGGGGATCCGTGTAGCGATTGAGGTCGATGGATATTATGCAACACTCTCTCAATTAGAAATATTTGGTTGCTTTGAGCCAGGTCTGTATATCTCCGAAACGTCTATATCTTTAGACAATTGTTTTCAGGTCTACTGATACAGGATTGTCAATTAATATGTAAATAATATTCAAGTAGGTCAATTCTTAATACATAATAAATGTAGTGCATAGTCCATTCCAAAAGAAATGGACAGAATACACGTGCGAGTATAATTATAGCATAAAGGCCATTAAGTCGTTTTACTCAAACCACAAAATACACAGAAATGTATTGCAAATTTTCCAAAAATGTATATGCCATGTAACTTCTGCAAGCTTTAAGACTTAGTGACTTTTATTGAACCAACAAAAACTGTAAACTTTGGGGTTCTTTATACTTAGAAAAACAATAGAAATTGTATGAAAGGCTTGTTTCGGCTATAGATGTTTAACTAGATCTTCTACTTTTTAGTGCTTACAACGACGCCCGAGGCCACAACTACTCCATCAACAACAGTGTCTTCAACAACACTAGGTAAAAGATTCAGGTGGAAATACATCTAAAAGCCCTAAAAGAGTTTAAAAGATAAAGTTTATGTTAAATTTCAAATTAAAATATTTATGCAATCATTATTTCCTCATACAGCTAAATGCGAGGGCCCGAAACCATTTCAATCTCAATTGTTCTGGTATAGGAGAGTATGGGAACTGAACGACATTTTGTCATTTTTGGACATTATATACCATGATAATTAAAGTTTCATAACGATTTTCACCAACCTTAAAAGTTATATTGCCAAGATAATTCAAAGATGAAATCACGAAGAGAATACATATCAATATCAAAATTACAATATGATATTTGTATATCAGCTAGCACTACGACACCAGGTTTCAGCACTACGACACCAGGAATCAGCACTACAACACCTGGTTTCAGCACTACGACATTGAGTACCACGACGGAAAAGTGTGACATGACATGTACAAATCTGAAAGGTTTTATGACATGCTTAAATGACGATGACATCTGTGACGGAATTACTTCTTGCTTTAATGCTGAAGACGAGAAGAACTGCAGTAAGTAAAGCTGTCGTAAAGTAGTCGAACAAATGGAAATTAACGACAATGCAAAGGCTAATTTCATACATCCCCTTTGACCATTTATGATGCACGAATATGCGGCTTGGAAATTCTTCAATAAGCTCAAACAAACACCGTATAAAACCATCTTGACAGAATTAAAAGATCAACGCAGTTATAGATGAAGATATGATAAGTAAATTAGCGGTGCTATGATTTACTATTCTAGGGTTTTACATAATGGGTTCCTATTTAAATGTGATACCATATTTTAGCGAAATGTAAGGGAAATGGCAAGGTTATAAACGGCTGTTACACAAACGACAATGGACCATCATGCATGTTGGAGGAGTACATATGTGACGGACAGAGAAACTGTGATACCGGCGTGGATGAATATATGTGTGGTAGGTGGACTGAAACCTCAACCCCTATAGTAATAGAGCACACATTAAAATGATGTTGAAGGAAATCCTAGAGAGGTAGGGTCCAACTAAATGGATGTTGTTGGGAACCCTAGAAAAGTAGAACACAACTAAATATGGATGTTGTTGGGAACCCTAGAAAAGTAGACCCCAACTAGATATGGCTGTTATTGGGAACCCTAGAAACATAGAACACAACTAAATATGGAAGTAATTGGGAACCCTAGAAAAGTATAGAACAATTAGATTGGGCATTGTTGGGAACCATAGAAAGGTAGAACACTGAATATGGATGTTGTTGGGAACCATGGAAAAGTAGAACACAACTAAATATTGATGTTGTTGGGTACCCTAGAAAAGTAGAGCACAACTATACATGGATGTTGTTGGGACCCTAGGAAAGTAAACCCCAACTAAATATGGATGCTGTTGGGAACCATAGAAAAATAGAACACAACTCATTATGGATGTTGTTAGGAACCCTAGAAAAGAAGAGCACAACTAAAGGAGAAGAGCTAATGAGGATGTAATAAATAAACAAGAAAATAGCTCAGATTTGGTCAAAAAGCACTATCATACAAACGAACTGAAAAGGTGGTTACGAAGCAAAATATAGAAAAATGTCATATGACTGATTTTATGATTTTGAGAAGTTTAAAGACTAGGCATATGACATCAGCCATATTTGCCACTTTCTACCTCAATCAATCATTATTACATCGCGCTAACTAACAAGATGTGACACTACAGTTTATTTCTTTATTACAGCAACAACAGTACCTAGTACCACCTTACCACCCACCACATCGCCACTGGCAACCACCTTACCTCCAACAACAGGTAAGTCTCTCTTTTCTTCGTGGGCTTCATTAATGTTGTAAGCGATTCAGCAAAGTCGTTATCAGCAAAAGGGACGATTTCAGTGAATGCTAAATGTGTGGAACACAGTTTTGTAAGAGGATGCAAGACCGGATATTCACGAGAGGAATCCCAATTTTCACTATTTTCCTCCGTGTCAGTTACGTGGTACGAACCAAAACATTTAAAAATGCCTTAGTTAAGCTAATGTCCTGTTTAAGAACCCCTATTTTAACTTTAGAAATGGATTCTAGCAATACTATCCAACAGGGATCTACTTGTTGAGATTTGATCAACTTGAGTTCTTATGAGAAAATGAGGATTTCAGCAAGTGTTCATTGACTGTTGACATGTTGATCCAATTTATAAGTTCACAATCATTGTGTATATGCCTTTTTTATTGAAAGCTCTCTAATAATTACTCGTTACATTTTGTAAACATTTGTTATAATTTAAGTTGCTTGGCAGGAAATATATGAATAAGTTGGAAAGGTAATATGTTAGTAGGGAACATTTATTAAGGGATATAGTGGACTATCCAGAATCTTTCATGGTTCTGTAGGTTGAGCTACGCGTTTTAAATAGAGAGGTTAAGCTACACGTATTTGACAAAACTTGAACGTGAACTTCAATGCGCGCGCATATAAATGACGTCAGATTTGTTTATTTCCTGTGGGCCAGCGTGAATTTTACAGGTTTTTACATGAGATTATCATATTCGTGCAATTTACAGTCGCGTATTCAACAAAGCATGAACGTGTACTTCTATGCGCGCGCAGGAAAATGACGTCAGATTAGTCTACTTTCTACAGGTAAGCGTGAAAGTTACAGGTTTTTACGTGTAGATGAGTGATTACACGTCGCTCATTACGTGATTGATTTTAGCTATGTTTTAGGATGGCCCAGGGGCCCATATTTGATACAAACACTATTGCTTGTTATATCGGTAAACCCCAAATCCTTTATTGGAAATAAAGAATACATTTTAGAGATTAAATGACAACTTCAAATGTGATCGTTTGTTCATTCCGTACAATATAAATAGGCAGGGCTAATTTGATTCCCGGGGCTTGGTACAATATGTATACTAAACGAAATGAAATGGCAACCAGGGCCTACGATTGCCTTATCACTACATTTGATTTGCCTGAATCTGAATGACTGAATGGCCTGAATTGATTGCAAATTAAATAATGTCACAATTAATATGACAAAAATGGTATATCACATCAGATGTGCAAATATAAAGTATCGATGAATCGATTCAGGTCATACTTAAAATTAAAAGATTGTACATTTTTTCCTACAAAATGGCTAAAGAAAAATGCTTCAAAAGCAACTTTTACACTTATGAAATCCCATACAACTTTGTAAATCCAAAGATTATACTGTTATGTTTCATTAATTAATAATGTATTTGGATAAGATGTAGGGATGTGTAGGATGCAAATGGATTTTGACGGACACACAAAGACTTCCTGGTGTGGCATCTCTACCCCTGTACACTTTATGGTTGAATATTGGCCCTAATAAGTGGCCCATTCATCAATACAGTGCTGAATATAGGTCAACAAGATACTAGTGTACATATCAACAATAAAAGCAGAATATTCTTTTGAAAAATCAGATGAATTTATTTTGTTCATGGGGAGATTATAATGGAGGGCGCACTAGATCATTTAATTGTGGTTGAATATGAAATAAAGCAAAAATAAAAAACAAAATGTTTTGATGCGACTAGATTCGAACCTAGGCCTAACGGACACGAGTCCGAAGTGCTATCCATTACACCATAGAAACATGACCCTCGAAACAGGCACCATATGAATATAGGTCCACGTCCACTGACATGGTTTCAGACGTGTAGCTTAACAGAAAATTTTCTTAAACGTGTACTTGAGCGTGGACTTACGCGTTCAGGTTCACGGTTTGCATTTATACGTGTAGCTTAACCTCTCTACTAACTTAAACGTGAACGTGTATAATAGTGTCGGATAAATGCCCCCCTCGTATTTGTTGAACAACTGAAGAAACGGGTTTTAATTAGGTCTTTGGAGAAAACAATTCAAACGAGACGGGAAAATTCTTAGGGGTAATATTATTACACGTACAATGAAGGCAGCTTCCGTTCTTTACAACGTGTTGCCCCACACACATATTATTTATTGTATTTTAAGATTATCATGTTCATATGTTCGAAGTCATTTTATTCCTATAAATGGTTACATCAATAAGGAGAAACGAACACAGATAATCATAGAATACAAATTGAATAAACATCAAACGCAAAGGATCATAATGCTATCTGTACTCCATTTACAGCTCCTACTACAAGCGGACAAGAAACGACTACTGGACCAAGTACAACAACTGGACCAGTAACGACTACTGGACCAGTAACAACTACTGGGCCACAAACAACAACTGGACCAGTTACGACAAGTGGACCACAAACAACAAGTGGACCAGGAACAACAACTGGACCCGAATCAACAACTGCACCCGGTACAACATCAGGACCAGGCACAACAACGGGACCAGTTACAACAACTGGACCAGAGACAACAAGTGGACCAGTTACAACAACTGCACCAGGTACAACAACTGGACCAGGCACAACAACTGCACCAGAAACGACAACTGCACCAGGAACAACAACTGGACCAGTAACAACAACAAGACCAGGTACAACAACTGGGCCACAAACAACAACTGGACCAGTCACAACAACTGGACCAGGTACTACAACTGGACCACAAACGACAACTGGACTAGCCACAACAACGGTATCAGGTACAACATCTGGACCAGGCACAACATCTGCACCAGGTACAACAACAGGACCTGGTACAACAACGGGTCCAGTAACAACAACTGCACCAGGAACAACAACTGGACCAGTTACAACAACTGGGCCACAAACAACATCTGGTCCAGGTACTACAACTGGACCAGAAACAACAACTGGACCAGGTTCAACAACTGCACCAGGTACAACAACTGGACCAGTAACAACTACTGGACCACAAACAACAACTGGACCAGTTACGACAAGTGGACCACAAACAACAAGTGGACCAGGCACAACAACGGGACCAGTTACAACAATTGGACCAGAGACAACAACTGGACCAGTTACAACAACTGCACCAGGTACAACAACTGGACCAGGCACAACAACTGCACCAGTTACAACAACTGCACCAGGTACAACAACTGCACCAGGTACAACAACAGGACCTGGTACAACAACAGGACCAGTAACAACAACTGCACCAGGAACAACAACTGGACCAGTAACTACAACAGGACCAGTTACAACAACTGGGCCACAAACAACAACTGGTCCAGGTACTACAACTGGACCAGAAACAACAACTGGATCAATCACAACAACTGGACTAGGTACAACAACAGGACCACAATCAACAACTGCAACAGGTAAATCAACTGTCTAATGTTCTATTATTGTGCACACTATTCTTACAAGTTACATATTATGTTAGGCATAGGTATCAGCCTTGGTATGACCTTGCAACACAAAATAGCGCAGCAAAATTTTAACCGATATTTAAGGAGCTTCATATGTCATATTCTTGCTTTAGGGTCGAAATATGTCTCATCACGAGGGGTAAAAAACTAAACTTCTGTTGGAATAGTTGCTCATGTTATAAGACCCAAGCCGTTAATCTAAGCACATTTACAATAGATTGGATCACTATATAATTATAATTTCAAAATTATTTTTACATAAATGTGTTTGTTACGTTTTGTTTAAACGGTAAAATACTGGTCAAGGAGAGATTTATATTAAAAAATATATGAAAAAATTCATAATTTCAAACATTTAAGGTTTTTACTATTTGAAGGTTGAATTTAAAGAATTCACCCCTATCACGGACAGGAGTAAAACAAGAAATAATTGCCAATGTTTTATAAAACAGTGAAAATTATGTAAAATACATATCTATATGAATGATATAGCTCTAGGTATTTGAACGCTTATATATCCAAAAGGCATGTTTATTAGTCTATAAGAGACATATGCAACCAAACGCCTTACATTTCTCTTTTGACGTTACTGCTAAACGTCATCACGTTTTCTGTTGTAATATCTTCTTAGTCATTTCTGCTGGTTTTCATCATATTTTAGGTGAAAATCAAAACCATTTTCCCAAAATTTAATGAATTCGACCAGGTTTCAAACAATTTTAGCCGAAGTGAGTCAAGGAAGAGCTATACCTCTTCCTTTATTGATAGGGATGGCCCCTGACGTTGACAGTCCATATCTCAAAACGTATTATGAAGATCTACTTTTCAAAAACTACCATAATTTCAGCAATAGTCATTCTCATATAAAACGATTCATTGACACCATTTACATCACCAAATTTGAAGAAATGATTCAAAATGCTGATGTGCTGATTACTTAATTTGTTTGACTTTTCCAAAAATAACGTAACATTTAAAGTTCATGAACAGAAAACATAAACTCAAAATTTATTTCCCATATTCCTGTATTCCAATTCTCCAAATTGTAAAAAGGGGATATAGTTTTTACTAATATTTTCGACCCCTGCCAATGACACGAATAATTAAACCAAAAAGCCTGAAGAATATTGACCGGCTATGATAAAAAACAATATTGGGCATGTGTAGGTATGTTAATATAAGGTAAAATATTGTTGCGCTATAATATGCTACTAGGATCTTTATTGGGCGTCCTAAGAATTTAATACCAAGGTCTGTATTATGTCCTTCATTTGTCGATCTTCGTCGTGTAAATGCATTATATATTTTAGCCATAGTTCAGGTACATATACCTATAATTACAGTAACCAAAATTAGTTTTGGTCATGATACAATGGCCAGAGAAATATAAGATAAGATTACGACTAAAAATAAAACCACAACAATTAAATATGAAAATGTGTTTTTGTAATTTATATTAGAATTTCAGATAAATGTATAGGTCTTATATTTAAATAATTATTTAAAATATTTTATCCACAGTTATCACCTGCGATCTGACGGAGGGTATGCAGAGTAATTTTATTACAAGCATCGAACTAGATACCACTGACAATTTTGCTGATGAAAATCCGCCAGCAGTAGAAAATTTGAGAAACGAAAGTGAAAGCTTCACTGCAAAACTCAAGAATAAAGGAGGAAACTTTACTATTACTATACCGTTTGATGTAGTTGAACCTGTACTAATTGCCGAGTTAACAATTAAGGAACCAGAAAATGTTGAGTCTGTAAAGATCACCATACCTCAGGAGGATGGCGATGACGAAATATATGTGGTAAGACCATAAAATAATATCATACACTGTAGACAGCTGTCTTTTAAAGCTGTACGTATGTACTTTTTATGGAATTCAATGTTTTCGTATACTCAATCTCTCATCCTCCGAACGCAGGGTTCCAGACATCATCCACAAAGTTCCTTCCTTAAGTACGAGGTACGAGTTCTGTAGGCCTGTGTTCGGAGGATGTCAATCTCTAGGATATATTATATGTAAAATTAGCAACAAGTGCTTGTTCAAACTTCATGACACCTTGGATACTGTGTAATAAAAAAGCACCTGAAGCAATATTGCACAAGGAAGTAAAATAAATATAAATTTTCATGCTTAAATGTTAAAGAAAAAAAGTTATACTTTAGAGGGATGTAGATAAATTGAGTCGTATCTTTTCTGGCATCCTCTATTAAATACTGGATTGTTTTCAGCATACAATTAAGCCTGATGAAGTTAATGCGACGATAAAGTTCCCAAATGGAACCGCGGGAATAAATGTAATTATCCAGTTCATCTTGAAAGACAACGAAAACGTCGTTACAATTGAAGAACTATACATCAAAGCTTGTTTTGAAGAAGGTAGGAAATTATTCTACATTTTGAAAACTCAAATTACACAAATATATTTTTGTTTGGCACTGATTAATCAAACCATTGACTTTGTAATCGCTCATTGTCATTTCCATTTTTGGTTTTTAAATATTTTTGAAATGATTCAAGCCAAAGGCAGACTCTATTTGATTTTGGAAAAATTTATTTAATCCTTGAGGAATCCCTAGAAAACCACAATCTTAATTCATTTCTCCGATCTCCCTATGTTTCCCAACCTAAATCATCAAGTATGCATATCATAACATGTTTTTAGGCACAATTTCCAGCTTGGCTGAAAACATTTGGACTCTTTCAATGTTTTGAAATATTAGTTTTTGAATTATTTTGGTGTTCTATAAATAATGCATAATGTGACGTTGATCTGATGTATACCTTGGTGTAAATGGTTGCTTATTTCTAAATAAACGAAAGGCCAGAATTCTTACAGAAGTTCATCCTATTCTTACTTGATCACACCATCGTTTTTTTGTTATCAAGAAACTAGGAAAACGATTCATTGGATTTTCTCAAGTTCGTATTCAATAGACATGATAAAGGATACAAAGTTCTAGTGCTGATTACGTTATGGCGGCCATCTTGTTTTTAGACCATCTTGGAAGTTTTAAGATAAACATTATCATTCCGATTTCAGGAAATTGCTCTTTGGATTTTTCTGAAATTCACATGCTAGAGATTATTTATTTTTTTATTAAATTACTTGAATAAATTTTGACGGCAAATTTTTACGGCGACCATTTTGGAAGTTTTCCGATTAATATTGTGGTCGCTGCTTTACTTCTAAATATTTCATGTACGTGTACATATGACAAGGTATTTAGCAGAAGTCGTGACTGATACCTTTTCTAATATATAGTTTGGGTGCTATGTTTAAAATTATTGTCTGATTGATACCAGATTTTAAAACCATATCCCTTAATCTAATTTTTTCAGAACTTCATATTCAATATTTCAATTATAAGTTGTTTTCACCCCTTGTACATGTGCTTTATACACCTTATGCCACAAAATGAAAGATATTGACAGCGTTTGAAATTTTCCAGGGCGCAAAGAACACACCCAGGGTACAACTCCATTTATAACTCCTCCACCTCCGCCAACTCCTCCAAGCACAACAACTGCACCAGGAACAACAACTGCACCAGTAACAACAACTGCACCAGGCACAACAACTGGACCAATAACAACAACTGGACCAGGCACAACAACAGCACCAGGTACAACAACTGGACCTGAAACAACAACTGGACCAGGCACAACAACTGGACCAGTAACAACAACTGGACCAGTTTCAACAACTGGGCCAGGTACAACAACAGGACCAGTAACAACAACTGGACCAGGTACAACAACTGGACCAGGTACTACAAGCGGACTACAAACAACAACTGGACCAAAAACAACAACTGGACCAGGCACAACAACAGCACCAGGCACAACAACTGGACCAGGAACAACAACTGGACCAGGAACAACAACTGGACCAGTTACAACAAGGGGACCAGTAACAACAACTGGACCAGGCACAACAACAGGACCAGGTACAACAACTGGGCCAGCAACAACAACAGGACAAGCTATAACAACTGGACAAGGCACAACAACTGGACCAGGCACAACAACTGGACCAGGCACAACAACTGGACCAGTAACAACAACTGGACCAGGCACAACAACTGGACCAGGCACAACATCTGCACCAGGTACAACAACAGGACCTGGTACAACAACGGGTCCAGTAACAACAACTGCACCAGGAACAACAACTGGACCAGTTACAACAACTGGGCCACAAACAACATCTGGTCCAGGTACTACAACTGGACCAGAAACAACAACTGGACCAGGTTCAACAACTGCACCAGGTACAACAACTGGACCAGTAACAACTACTGGACCACAAACAACAACTGGACCAGTCACAACAACTGGACCAGGTACTACAACTGGACCACAAACGACAACTGGACAAGCCACAACAACGGTATCAGGTACAACATCTGGACCAGGCACAACAACTGCACCAGGAACAACAACAGGACCTGGTACAACAACGGGACCAGTAACAACAACTGCACCAGGAACATCAACTGGACCAGTTACAACTACTGGGCCACAAACAACATCTGGTCCAGGTACTACAACTGGACCAGAAACAACAACTGGACCAGGTTCAACAACTGCACCAGGTACAACAACTGGACCAGTAACAACTACTGGACCACAAACAACAACTGGACCAGTTACGACAAGTGGACCACAAACAACAAGTGGACCAGGCACAACAACGGGACCAGTTACAACAACTGGACCAGAGACAACAACTGGACCAGTTACAACAACTGCACCAGGTACAACAACTGGACCAGGCACAACAACTGCACCAGTTACAACAACTGCACCAGGTACAACAACTGCACCAGGTACAACAACAGGACCTGGTACAACAACAGGACCAGTAACAACAACTGCACCAGGAACAACAACTGGACCAGTAACTGCAACAGGACCAGTTACAACAACTGGGCCACAAACAACAACTGGTCCAGGTACTACAACTGGACCAGAAACAACAACTGGACTAGAAACAACAACTGGATCAATCACAACAACTGGACTAGGTACAACAACAGGACCACAATCAACAACTGCAACAGGTAAATCAACTGTCTAATGTTCTATTATTGTGCACACTACTCTTACAAGTTACATATTATGTTAGGCATAGGTATCAGCCTTGGTATGACCTTGCAACACAAAATAGCGCAGCAAAATTTTAACCGATAATTAAGGAGCTTCATATGTCATATTCTTGCTTTAGGGTCGAAATATGTCTCATCACGAGGGGTAAAAAAACTAAACTTCTGTTGGAATAGTTACTCATGTTATAAGACCCAAGCCGTTAATCTAAGCACATTTACAATAGATTGGATCACTATGTAGAAATTTAATTATAATTTCAAAATTATTTTTACATAAATGTGTTTGTTACGTTTTGTTTAAACGGTAAAATACTGGTCAAGGAGAGATTTATATTCAAAAATATATGAAAAATTCATAATTTCAAACATTTAAGGTTTTTACTATTTGAAGGTTGAATTTAAAGAATTCACCCCTATCACTGACAGGAGTAAAACAAGAAATAATTGCCAATGTTTTATAAAACAGTGAAAATTATGTAAAATACATATCTATATGAATGATATAGCTCTAGGTATTTGAACGCTTATATATCCAAAAGGCATGTTTATTAGTCTATAAGAGACATATGCAACCAAACGCCTTACATTTCTCTTTTGACGTTACTGCTAAACGTCATCACGTTTTCTGATGTAATATCTTCTTAGTCATTTCTGCTGGTTTTCATCATATTTTAGGTGAAAATCAAAAGCATTTTCCCAAAATTTAATGAATTCGACCAGGTTTCAAACAATTTTAGCCGTAGTGAGTCAAGGAAGAGCTATACCTCTTCCTTTATTGATAGGAATGGGCCCTGACGTTGACAGTCCATATCTCAAAACGTATTATGAAGATCTACTTTTCAAAAACTACCATAATTTCAGCAATAGTCATTCTAATATAAAACGATTCATTGACACCATTTACATCACCAAATTTGAAGAAATGATTCAAAATGTTGATGTGCTGATTACTTAATTTGTTTGAATTTTCCAAAAATAACGTAACATTTAAAGTTCATGAACAGAAAACATAAACTCAAAATTTATTTCCCATATTCCTGTATTCCAATTCTCCAAATTGTAAAAAGGGGATATAGTTTTTACTAATATTTTCGACCCGTGCCAATGACACGCATAATTAAACCAAAAAGCCTGAAGAATATTGACCGGCTATGATAAAAAACAATATTTGGGCATGTGTAGGTATGTTAATGTAAGGTAAAACATTGTTCTTTATTGGGCGTCCTAAGAATTTAATACCAAGGTCTGTATTATGTCCTTCATTTGTCGATCTTCGTCGTGTAAATGCATTATATATTTTAGCCATAGTTCAGGTACATATACCTATAATTACAGTAACCAAAATTAGTTTTGGTCATGATACAATGGCCAGAGAAATATAAGATAAGATTACGACTGAAAATAAAACCACAACAATTAAATATGAAAATGTGTTTTTGTAATTTATATTAGTATTTCAGATAAATGTATAGGTCTTATATTTGAATAATTATTTAAAATATTTTATCCACAGTTATCACCTGCGATCTGACGGAGGGTATGCAGAGTAATTTTATTACAAGCATCGAACTAGATACCCCAGACAATTTTGCTGATGAAAATCCGCCACCAGTAGAAAATTTGAGAAACGAAAGTGAAAGCTTCACTGCAAAACTCAAGAATAAAGGAGGAAACTTTACTATTACTATACCGTTTGATGTAGTTGAACCTGTACTTATTGCCGAGTTAACAATTGAGGAACCAGAAAATGTTGAGTCTGTAAAGATCACCATACCTCAGGAGGATGGCGATGACGAAATATATGTGGTAAGACCATAAAATAATATCATACACTGTAGACAACTGTCTTTTAAAGCTGTACGTATGCACTTTTTATGGAATTCAATGTTTTCGTATACTCAATCTCTCATCCTCCGAACGCAGGGTTCCAGATATCATCCACAAAGTTCCTTCCTTAGGTACGAGGTACGAGTTCTGTAGGCCTGTGTTCGGAGGATGTCAATCTCTAGGATATATTATATGTAAAATTAGCAACAAGTGCTTGTTCAAACTTCATGACACCTTGGATACTGTGTAATAAAAAAGCACCTGAAGCAATATTGCACAAGGAAGTAAAATAAATATAAATTTTCATGCTTAAATGTTAAAGAAAAAAAGTTATACTTTAGAGGGATGTAGATAAATTGAGTCGTATCTTTTCTGGCATCCTCTATAAATACTGGAATGTTTTCAGCATACAATTAAGCCTGATGAAGTTAATGCGACGATAAAGTTCCCCAATGGAACCGCGGGAATAAATGTAACTATCCAGTTCATCTTGAAAGACAACGAAAACGTCGTTACAATTGAAGATCTATACATCAAAGCTTGTTTTGAAGAAGGTAGGAAATTATTCTACATTTTGAAAACTCAAATTACACAAATATATTTTTGTTTGGCACTGATTAAACAAAGCATTGACTTTGTCATCGCTCATTGTCATTTACATTTTTGGTGTTAAAATATTTTTGAAATGATTCAAGCCAAAGTCCGACTCTATTTGATTTTGGAAAAATTGATTTAATCCTTGAGGAATCCCTAGAAAACCACAATCTTAATGCATTTCTCCGATCTCCCTATGTTTCCCAACCTAAATCATCAAGTATGCATATCATAACATGTTTTTAGGCACAATTTCCAGCTTGGCTGAAAAAATTTGGACTCTTTCAATGTTTTGAAATATTAGTTTTTGAATTATTTTGGTGTTCTATAAATAATGCATAATGTGACGTTGATCTGATGTATACCTTGGTGTAAATGGTTGCTTATTTCTAAATAAACAAAAGGTCAGAATTCTTACAGAAGTTCATCCTATTCTTACTTGATCACACCATCGTTTTTTTAGTTATCAAGAAACTAGGAAAACGATTCATTGGATTTTCTCAAGTTCGTATTCAATAGACATGATAAAGGATACAAAGTTCTAGTGCTGATTACGTTATGGCGGCCATCTTGTTTTTAGGCCATCTTGGAAGTTTTAAGATAAACATTATCATTCCGATTTCAGGAAACTGCTCTTTGGATTTTTCTGAAATTCACATGCTAGAGATTATTTATTTTTTATTAAATTACTTGATTAAATTTTGACGGCAAATTTTTACGACGACCATTTTGGAAGTTTTCCGATTAATATTGTGGTCGCTACTTTACTTCTAAATATTTCATGTACGTGTACATATGACAAGGTATTTAGCAGAATTCGTGACTGATACCTTTTCTAATATATAGTTTGGGTGCTATGTTTAAAATTATTGACTGATTGATACCAGATTTTAAAACCATATCCCTTAATCTAATTTTTTCAGAACTTCATATTCAATATTTCAATTATAAGTTGTTTTCACCCCTTGTACATGTGCTTTATACACCTTATGCCACAAAATGAAAGATATCGACAGCGTTTGATATTTTCCAGGGCGCAAAGAACACACCCAGGGTACAACTCCATTTATAACTCCTCCACCTCCGCCAACTCCTCCAAGCACAACAACTGCACCAGGAACAACAACTGGACCAGTAACAACAACTGCACCAGGCACAACAACTGGACCAGTAACAACAACTGGACCAGGCACAACAACAGCACCAGGTACAACAACTGGACCTGAAACAACAACTGGACCAGGCACAACAACTGGACCAGGTACAACAACTGGACCAGTAACAACAACTGGACCAGTTTCAACAACTGGGCCAGGTACAACAACAGGACCAGTAACAACAACTGGACCAGGTACAACAACTGGACCAGGTACTACAAGCGGACCACAAACAACAACTGGACCAGAAACAACAACTGGACCAGGCACAACAACTGCACCAGGCACAACAACTGGACCAGGAACAACAACTGGACCAGGAACAACAACTGGACCAGTTACAACAACGGGACCAGTAACAACAACTGGACCAGGCACAACAACAGGACCAGGTACAACAACTGGGCCAGCAACAACAACAGGACCAGCTACAACAACTGGACAAGGCACAACAACTGGACCAGGCACAACAACTGGACCAGGCACAACAACTGGACAAGGCACAACTACTGGACCGGGTACCACAACTGGACCAATAACCACAACTGCACCAGTTACTACAACTGCACCAGGTACAACAACTGCACCAGTTACAACAACTGGACCAGTTACAACAACTGGACCTGAAACAACAACTGGGCCAGGAACAACAACTGCACCAGGCACAACAACTGCACCAGGTACAACAACAGGACCAGTAACTACAACAGGACCAGGTACAACAACAGGACCAGGTACAACAACTGGACCAGTTACAACAACTGGACAAGGCACAACAACTGGTCCAGGTACAACAACTGGGCCACAAACGACAACTGGGCCAGGTACAACAACAGGACCAGTAACTACAACCGGACCAGGCACAACAACTGGACCAGGTACAACAACTGGACCAGTAACTACAACCGGACCAGGCACGACAAGTGGACCAGTTACAACAACAGGGCCAGTAACAACAACTGGACCTGGCACAACAACTGGACAAGGGACAACAACTGGACCAGGCACAACAACAGGACAAGGGACAACAACTGGACCAGGCACGACAAGTGGACCAGTTACAACAACTGGACAAGGAACTACAAGTGGACCACAAACAACAACTGGACAAGGCACAACAACCGCACCAGGCACAACAACTGCACCAGGTACAACAACTGCACCTGAAACAACAACTGGGCCAGGAACAACAACTGGACCAGGCACAACAACTGCACCAGGTACAACAACAGGACCAGTAACAACAACTGGACCAGGCACAACAACTGGACCAGGCACAACAAGTGGACCAGGTTCAACAACTGGACCAGTAACTACAACCGGACCAGGCACAACAAGTGGACCAGTTACAACAACTGGACCAGTAACAACAACTGGACAAGGCACAACAAGTGGACCAGTTACAACAACTGGACCAGGCACAACAAGTGGACCAGGTACAACAACTGGACCAGTTACAACAACTGGACCAGGTACTACAACTGGACCACAAACAACAACTGGACCAGGCACAACAACTGGACCAGTAACAACAACTGGACCAGTTACAACAACTGGACCAGGCACAACAACTGTTCCAGGAACAACAACTGGACCACAAACAACAACTGCACCAGGTACAACAACTGAACAAGGAACAACAACTGGTCCACAAACGACAACTGGACCAGTCACAACAACTGGACCACAAACTACAACTGGACCAGAAACAACGACAGGACCAGGCACAACAACTGGTCCACAAACTACAACTGGACCAGAAACAACGACAGGACCAGGCACAACAAGTGCACCAGAAACAACAACTGGACCAGGTACAACAACTGCACCACTTACAACAAGTGCACCAGAAACAACAAGTGCGCCAGGTACAACAACAGGACCGCAAACAACAACGGCACCAGGTAAACTGACATACTCTTGGTGTGCACACTTCTATCATACTTTTCATATTATGTACTTCATAAATCGATATCCATCGTGTAAATGTAGAATCATCTTTAAGCCTGACCTTATATCATTGTATCTGTATTTATTGTGAATAACATTAGTTTTGGAAAGTATGATAGAACGGTCAAAGAAATGTAAGATAACGATTGAAAATAGAAGCACAACAATTAAACGTAAAAATACCTTATTTGTATTTAATATTAGTATTTCATACAAATGCATAGGGCGTTTTTGAACTAATTATTTATAATACTTTATCCACAGTTATAACCTGCGAGCTGACAGAGGGCATGCAGAGTAATTTTATTACAAGCATCGAACTAGATACCCCAGACAATTTTGCTCCTAATACAAATTCGCCAGTAGACAACTTGAGAAACGAGAGTGAAAGGTTCAATGCAGAACTCAAGAATAAAGGAGGAAACTTCACTATTACTATACCGTTTGATGTAATTGAACCTGTACTAATTGCCGAGTTAACAATTGAGGAACCAGAAAATGTTAAGTCTGTAAAGATCACCATACCTCAGGAAGATGGCGATGACGAAATATATGTGGTAAGACCATAACATAATAATATCATACATTGTAGACAACTGTCATTCAAAGCTGTACGTATGTACTTTTTATGGAATTCAATCATGTTGATGCATACTCAATCTCTAGGATATACATGTACAATTAGCAACAAGTGCTTGATTAAACTTCATGACACCTTGGATACCGTGTTATATGAAATCCCTTGAAGCAGTATCGTATAAGGAAGTAAAATGAATATAATTGTTCGTGTTTAAAAGAAAGGAAATTATACATTAAAGGGATGTAGATAAATTGTATCGTATCGTTTCTGGCATCCTCTTTGCAATAATGTTTTCAGCGTACGATTAAACCTGATGAAGTTAATGTGACAATAAAGTTCCCCAATGGCACCGAAGGAACGAATGTAACTATCCAGTTTATCTTGAAAGACAACGAAAACGTTGTTACAATTGAAGAACTATACATCAAAGCTTGTTTTGAAGAAGGTGGGTAATTATTCTATACTTGAAAAATTAGAATTCACAAATATTTAATTGTAATCTCTCATTGTCCTTTATATTTTTGGTTTTAAAATAGTTTAATGATTTAACGAAAAACTGACGTCCCAATTCATTTCAATATTTGAAATGTAGGAGAAACAAGAACACAAATGTGTACAAAATGTCCCCACCTATGGGTGATCCCGTCAAATGGTTATCCTAAAAATGAGTAGACAAGATTTTACCGACACAATTTGAGGACGGAAAATCCAAAATGGCCACGTTAAAATTTACCCAAATACCAAAAAAATTAGCCAGTTCTAGATTTTCATACTAAGAACCACCCCTGAAAATTTGAAATTGATCCGTCACACAGTTAACCAGAAAACATGTAAACAAGACTTTACAGACAAGATTTGAGGACAGAAAATCCAAAATGGCTGCCTTGACATTTATCCAGAATGCCCAAAAACTAATCAGATCTAGATTTTCATACTAAGAATCATCCCTGAAAATTTGAAATTGATCTACCAAACGGTTCACCTAAAAACGCGTAGACAAGACTTTATGGGCAAGATTTTAAGACGGAAAATCCAAAATGGCTGCCTTGACATTTATCCAGAATGCCAAAAAACTAATCAGATCTAGATTTTCATACTGAAAATCATCCCTGAAAATTTCAAATTGATCTACCAAACGGTTCACCTGGAAATGCGTAGACAAGACTTTACAGACAAGATTTTAGGACGGAAAATCCAAAATGGCTGCCTTGACATTTACCCAGAATGCCCAAAATCTAATCAGATCTAGATTTCCATACTGAGAATCATCCCTGAAAATTTGAAATTGATCTACAAAACGGTTGACCTGAAAACGCGTAGACGAGACTTTACAGACAAGTTTTAGGACGGAAAATCCAAAATGGCCGACAATAAAAAAGTGATTATGAGTTTTTGCTGATTTCTTTTTACAAAATTTTCACATATAACTACTGTTAACAATAACAAAGGCTTTTCAACAAAGTACACCTGAAATTATTTATAAAGCTACGAAATAGTTTAAGTATGAAAACTGAAAAACACCATTCAATATGATACAAAGTATTATCGTGCGCTAACTTTTCTTAAAACATTCAAAATGGCTGACATGACTGAGCTAACAGGTCCAAAACCTAATCAGATCTAGAATGAAGTGAGCTGAACAAGATATTAAAGTTTTAAAAGCAACTGTGAAGCCGTTTTTCTTAAAGTTTGCAGACAAGGATTTTAGCATTTGACTTCAAAATGGCCGACAGGAAGTAGGTATCGAGTTAATTTTTTTCATCCACATCTGTATGCACTCATAAGTTATCCCTGAAAATTTGAAGGTGATATCTGTAGCAGTTTTGGAGAAAACTGCCGGACGTACGGACGGACAGACAGACAGACAGACAGACAGACGGACGGACGGACGCGCCTAGGCCGACAATATGGCCCCACACTATGTGGTGGGGACATAAAAATGATAATAATGATAATAATTTTTGAAAAATTAATTAGATTCTTATGATATTCTTTGGGCAACCACAATCCAAATGCATTTCTCATATCACCCTATATGTTTCACAACCTTAATATATATAATATGTATGTTTTTAGGCACAATTTCCAGTTTGACTGAAAATTTTGGACACTTTCAATATTTTGAAATATTTGGTCTTGAATTTTTTAGGTGTTGTATCATTGATGCATAATATAATGGTGATCTGATGTGTACCTTAAGATGGTGGCTTATTTTTAACGTGAAAATATACAAAAGTCAAGAATTCATACAAAAATCTTCTGCGTATTTTCTTTTATTACATCACCGTTTTTTGTCATCAAGAATCTAGGAAAACCATTCTTTGACATTTTTTCAAATTCGTACACAAGGCATATGATTAAAAATACAAAGTTCAAGTGCGGATTACATTTTTGGCGGCCATCTTGTTTTTTGGGGCCATTTCGGCAGTTTTTTGATGAACCTTACGATTTCGACTTAAGGAAACTGCCTATGAAATTCGTTCCTGTAATTCGTACACATGATAGAGATTAATTCTAAATATTGATATTTTCCAGGGCGCAAAGAATACACTCAGGGTACAACTCCATTTATAACTCCACCAACTCCACCACCTCCTCCAAGCACAACAACTGCACCAGGTACAACAACTGCACCAGTAACAACAACTGCACCAGGTACAACGACTGGACCAGTAACAACAACTGCACCAGGTACTACAACTGGACCAGTAACAACGACAGGACCAGCTACAACAACTGGACCAGGAACAACAAATGGACCAGTAACAACAACTGGACCAGAAACAACAACTGGACCAGGTACAACAACTGGACCAGTAACAACGACAGGACCAGCTACAACAACTGGACCAGGTACAACGACTGGACCAGTAACAACAACTGCACCAGGTACAACAACTGGACCAGTAACAACAACTGGACCAGGCACAACAACTGGACCAGTAACAACAACTGTACCAGGCACAACAACTGGACCAATAACAACAACTGCACCAGGCACAACAACTGGACCAGTTACAACAACTGGACCAGGCACAACAACTGGACCAATAACAACAACTGGACCAGTAACAACAACTGGACCAGTTACAACAACTGGACCAGGCACAACAACTGGACCAGTAACAACAACTGGACCAGTTACAACAACTGGACCAGGCACAACAACAACTGGACCACAAACAACAACTGGAGAAGTAACAACAACTGGACCTGGAACAACAACTGGACCTGGAACAACAACTGTTCCAGGAACAACAACTGGACCAGGTACTACAACAAGACCAGGCACAACTGCACCAGGTACAACAACTGGACCTGAAACAACAACTGGACCAAGTACAACTGGTCCAGGTACTACAACTGGACCAGTAACAACAACTGGACCAGGCACTACAACCGGACCACAAACAACAACTGGACCAGGAACAACAACTGGACCACAAACAACAACTGGACCAGGCACAACAACTGGACCAGGCACAACAACTGAACCAGGCACAACAACTGGACCAGGCACAACAACTGGACCAGTAACAACAACTGGACCAGTAACAACAACTGGACCACAAACAACTACCGGACCAGGCACAACAACTGGACCAGGCACAACAACTGGACCAGTTACAACAACTGGACCAGGTACTACAACTGGACCACAAACAACAACTGGACCAGGCACAACAACTTCACCAGGTACAACAACTGGACCAGTAACAACAACTGGACCAGTTACAACAACTGGACCAGGCACAACAACTGTTCCAGGAACAACAACTGGACCACAAACAACAACTGGAGAAGTAACAACAACTGGACCTGGAACAACAACTGGACCACAAACAACAACTGGACCAGGTACTACAACTGGACCACAAACAACAACTGGACCAGGCACAACAACTGGACCAGTAACAACTGGACCAATTACAACAACTGGACCAGGCACAACAACTGGACCAGTAACAACAACTGGACCAGTTACAACAACTGGACCAGGCACAACAACTGTTCCAGGAACAACATCTGGACCACAAACAACAACTGGAGAAGTAACAACAACTGGACCTGGAACAACAACTGTTCCAGGAACAACAACTGGACCACAAACAACAACTGGACCACAAACAACAACTGGACCAGGCACAACAACAGGACCAGTAACAACAACTGGACCAGTAACAACAACTGGACCAGTTACAACTGTACCAGGCACAACAACTGCTCAAGGAACAACAACTGGACCTGGAACAACAACTGGACCTGGAACAACAACTGTTCCAGGAACAACAACTGTTCCAGGAACAACTGGACCACAAACAACAACTGCACCAGGTACAACAACTGGAACTGAAACAACAACAGGACCACAAACAACAACAGGACCACAAACAACAACGGCACCAGGTAACCCAACGTTCTATTGTTGTGCTCTCTACTATAACAAGTTACATACAGGGGGGTCAAAAAATGGAATCCCTGGATTTTCCTAATATCTTTGTAATTTTTTTAAAATATATCACACATTTATACACCATTTTTCTACCACTCTACTATATGTTATGATCATCATACTGATAGTCACAATTTTACAGCACGTTGCACAACATGCTTCAGATTTGGGCATTATCGCACTGTAGTCTTAACCTGCACAGTTGTCAATGACCCGCATGCATTTCTCAGCAGGTATGGCCTGAATGACATGGATGATCTCACTTTTGAGGTCTGCAATTGTCCCGATGCCATTCTCATACATTTTATCTTTGCCGTATCCCCAGGTAGGAACATTTTGGACTACGTGTACAGATTTGCCTAAAGTGCAATAGAGACCAATGGGGCTTATTCTCTAAAGTGCTGTTACATTGTGACAATCAATCTCATGGTCACAAAATATAGTAGGCTGCTATAAAATTGAATGTTGTAAAATATCATGGACTTGTTTTTTGAAATGACATATATATGAGGAAAATAGCGTAGGTGTTTCCATTTTCTGACCACCCTGTATTATGTTCTTCATTTGTAGATCTCCGTCGTGTAAATGTAGTGTCGATCGAGTTCATGAAAATTGATCGAGTTCAATGAAATGTGTCTGTTATTACAGTTAACAAAATTAGCTTCTGCAATTATAATCCAATGGAAATATGCAAATATATTGTCGTTCTATTTCCAGGTGTAATCTTGCATTTCTTGAGCCATTGGATTATAATTGCTAAAAGATCGATATTTATTGAATTAGTATCTCGATCAAATGCATACGTCGTTTAAATAACTATTATCATTTATAATATTTTATCCACAGTTCTCACCTGCGACCTGACAGAGGGCATGCATAGTAATTTTATTACAAACATCGAACTAGCTACCACTGACAATTTTGCTGATGAAATTCCACCAGTAGAAAATTTGAGAAACGAAAGTGAAAGCTTCACTGCAAAACTCAAGAATAAAGGAGGAAACGTTACCGTTAATATACCGTTTGATGTAATTGAACCTGTACTAATTGCCGAGTTAACAATCGAGGAACCAGAAAATGTTAGGTCTGTAAAGATCACCATACCTCAGGAGGATGGCGATGACAAAATATATGTGGTAAGTGAAAGTGTCATTTAAAGTGTCATTTTAAGAGCGAAAGTGTCATTTATAGCTGCATGAACCCTTCTTTTTTCAGGGGTTTCAATTATGTTCATGCACATCCAATAAAAATCTAGAATTAGCAACAAGTGCTTTATTAAACTTCTTGACTTCTTGGATATAAGAAGATCCTTGAAGAAATGATGTATAAGCAAGTGAGTTAAATATCATCTTCCTTGCTAAAATGTTAAGGAAAATATATTATACTAAGTTGGATTGCAATGATGTTTTCAGCGTACGATTAAGCCCGATGAAGTTAATGCGACGATAAAATTCCCTAATGGCACATCGGGAATGAGTGTAACTGTGCAGTTCATCTTGAAAGACAACGAAAACGTTGTTACAATTGAAGAACTATACATCAAAGCTTGTTTTGAACAAGGTAGGAAATTATTCTATATTTTGAAGACTTCACAATGCAAAAACATTTTTTGTGTTTTTGGTACATAATCAGACCATGGACTTATTGTAACTCATATTATTAGTTTCAAAAATTGATTTAAAGACAAATGGACGTCACAACTCTTTTGAATATTTCGCAGGTAGTAGAAAAAAAAGAATCATCATATTTTTGAAACATGTATTCAATCGCTGTGAAATCCCTTGGAAAAGCACAACCCAATGTATTTCCCTATCTTGTCATGTTTTCCAGCCTGAATTATCATTGAGTATGGATATTTCGGGTATGCCAAAAATGAGACACTCTTTGACAAGTATTTTCTCGACAACTGATGAAAATTTGTACAAAGCAGCCTAAGCGTCATCTTCCGATCACATGACTTCAAAGTCCAGAATACTTCTTTCTTTTTACCCTCTGCGATAAGCAGTTAGCATTTCCCCGATTAAGAACTCGCAATTTGATCTTTGGACATGCTATCTTGAATTTTTTAGTACTCACAGTACATTTACTTGATTTTATATACCAAATTTTAGAGATGATTAACTATTAGTAACAAATTTACTTTCTGGTGGCAATTTTCAAAGTTTACGATTAATCTTGCAATTCATGGGAAACCGCATGTTGTATTTTTTCAAATACATACACATTATAGAGGACAGAAAATTACTAGAGCTAATTAATGTTTTCGATGGTTATCTCGATTCCTTGCGACCATTTTGGAAATTTATCGATTAATCTTGTCATTGCAGTTTTAGAATTAGAAAAACGGCTCATTGAATCTTCTTTAAATTACATGGCAGCCATTTTGACTTTTTCCTATAAATTATTTTTTCCAATAAACCTTGTCTTTGCAGATGCTACATAACATTATCTGTTCAATTCAAAATTATTACTGATGGAAGAGGGGATATCTGGTAGACTTTCGGTATGCTTAATCAGTTACATGGAGCCAATTTGATTTTTTTTATAAACATAGCTTGTCAAAATTCCTGAAAATCACTGACACAAAATTTTCACAGATGCAAGAGCAGACAAGTCCCAATACCTGATAAGATTTTGGGCATGCTGGGTAAATTCCTTAGAAGCCATTTTGAATTATTTGTTAAATCTTGTCCAAACAAACTCAAGGAAAGTCCCTTATCCGTTGAACTTGAACATTTTACAGATGCAAGAAAAGTTAGACTAATGCTAACATCTACTAAGGTTTTTGACATGCTTGGTGAATAACTTGATGGCAATTTTTAAATTAATGGTAAATCTTAATATCGAAATTCCAGAAGTTTTGAGATAAAACATTTATCATTTCAACTAGAATTTTAACAGATACAACAGCAAACTTGGATAATATCTAATTAGTTTTGGCATGTTGGGAAAATTGCACGGTGACCATTTTGATTTTTTTATGAAATTTTTTTCTCAAAATTCCTCAAAAACATAGAAAGTGTAGTAAAACGTTTCCGTTAATAGTCTATGATTGTATGAGAAGATGAACCCACTGGTTTTGTTGGTTTCTCTGTACTCAAAAGTTTTTTAATCAAATTCCTTAATTTCTAATTTTTAATGGTGCATGTTTAACATTTCTATCATAACATATATTATCACATCTTGTACACGTGCTTTACACTTCTCATTATGCCATAAAATGAAAGAAATTGACAACGTTTGATATTTTCTAGGGGTCAAAGAACAAACTCAAGGTACAACTGCAGTTGTAACTCCACCACCTCCACCAACTCCATCAACAACTGGACCAGGAACAACCACAGCTCCAGGTACAACAACAGCACCAGGTACAACAACTGGACCAGTTACAACAACTGGACCAGGAACAACAACTGGACCACAAACAACAACTGGGCCGGAAACAACAACTGCACCAGGTACAACAACTGCTCCAGGTACAACAACAAAACCAGTCACAACAACTGGACCAGGTACAACAACTGGACCACAAACAACAACTGGACCAGGTACAACAACTGGACCAGAAACAACAACTGGACCAGAAACAACAACTGGACCAGGTACAACTACAGGACCAGTAACAACAACTGGACCAGGTACAACAACTGGACCACAAACAACAACTGGACCAGGTACAACAACAGGACCAGGTTCAACAACAGGACCAGTAACAACAACTGGACCGGTAACAACAACTGGACCAGGCACAACAACTGGACCAGTATCAACAACTGGGCCAGAAACAACAACTGCACCAGGTACAACAACTGCTCCAGGTACAACAACTGCTCCAGGTACAACGACAAAACCAGTAACAACAACTGGACCAGGTACAACAACTGGACCACAAACAACAACTGGACCAGGTACAACAACAGGACCAGAAACAACAACTGGACCAGGTACAACTACAGGACCAGTAACAACAACTGGACCAGAAACAACAACTGGACCAGGTACTACAACTGGGCCAGAAACAACAACTGCACCAGGTACAACAACTGCTCCAGGTACAACGACAAAACCGGTCACAACAACTGGACCAGGCACAACAACTGGACCAGTAACAACAACTGGACCAGGTACAACAACAGGACCAGTAACAACAACTGGACCAGAAACAACAACTGGACCAGGTACAACAACTGGACCAGTAACAACAACTGGACCAGTAACAACATCTGGGCCAGAAACAACAACTGCACCAGGTACAACAACTGCTCCAGGTACAACAACAAAACCAGTCACAACAACTGGACCAGGTACAACAACTGGACCAGGCACAACAACTGGACCAGTAACAACAACTGGACCACAAACAACAACTGGACCAGGAACAACAACAGGACCAGTAACAACAACTGGACCAGGAACAACAACAGGACCAGTAACAACAACTGGACCAGAAACAACAACTGGACCAGGTACTACAACTGGGCCAGAAACAACATCTGCACCAGGTACAACAACTGCTCCAGGTACAACGACAAACCCAGTCACAACAACTGGACCAGGTACAACAACTGGACCAGGTACTACAACTGGGCCAGAAACAACAACTGGACCAGGTACAACAACAGGACCACTTACAACAACTGGACCAGGTACAACAACTGGACCAGGCACAACAACTGGACCAGTAACAACAACTGGGCCAGAAACAACAACTGCACCAGGTACAACAACTGGACCAGGTACAACAACTGCTCCAGGTACAACAACAAAACCAGTCACAACAACTGGACCAGGTACAACAACTGGACCAGGTACAACAACTGGACCAGGTACAACAACTGGACCAGTAACAACAACTGGACCACAAACAACAACTGGACCAGGTACAACAACCGGACCAGTAACAACAACTGGACCAGAAACAACAACCGGACCAGGTACTACAACTGGGCCAGAAACAACATCTGCACCAGGTACAACAACTGCTCCAGGTACAACGACAAAACCAGTCACAACAACTGGACCAGGTACAACAACTGGACCAGGCACAACAACTGGACCAGTAACAACAACTGGACCACAAACAACAACTGGACCAGGTACAACAACTGGACCAGTAACAACAACTGGACCAGCCACAACAACTGCACCAGCCACAACAACTGGACCAGTAACAACAACTGGACCACAAACAACAACTGGACCAGGTACTACAACTGGACCGGTAACAACTGGGCCAGGTACAACAACAGGACCAGTAACAACAACTGGACCAGCCACAACAACTGCACCAGCCACAACAACTGGACCAGTAACAACAACTGGACCACAAACAACAACTGGACCAGGTACTACAACTGGACCAGTAACAACAACTGGACCAGTTTCAACAACTGTGCCAGGTACAACAACAGGACCAGTAACAACAACTGCACCAGCCACAACAACTGGGCCTTTAAGTACAACAGTGCCTTCAAGCACGACCACAATTCTTACAAGTGAGTGCATTTTCTTTCATATGGGATCTATGTAATTGATCATAGTATGAACTCTAAATCTCTTTTATTAATATTCAGGTTTGGCAAAAAATTACCATATCTTCATCATCTAGTAATAACTCGAAAAGTAATTGATTCCAATAAAATCTTGCATGTCTAATGTTTTATTTTCCGTCGTAAAGATTACTAAAGGATTAATCTGGGTTCTAAAGAAGTCAGTTGACACTTCTTTAATCTAGGACCTCATTTGTTTCGATCCCAACTGTATGGTGACTGACATTTTCGCATCAGCCTAGCTGTATGAAAGAATTCTGTGCTTTTAGTAAACTCTACCTGCAAAGGTCCATAATTATTTAACAACATTAATAACATTATTTAACAATTTAAGGTACAACCGCACCTTGCGAAACATTTGATGGAATGGTCGATGCTTCGTACATCAAACAGAGAGATGTTCTCATAAATAACCAGCGAGTTACTGAAGATGAAATAAATGGACTAAGACCAGATAATCAAGAATCATATACGGCTGAGTCGGGAGAGAACACCGTCGATATAACTATTGATATTCCTGGTGAAGCATCCGAGATGGGAAACGTGACCATCAAAGACTCTTCTTTGGTTGAATATTTTGAAGTGTTCTACAAAGGACCTAATGATGATAATTTCAAACCATTTAATCCTGATGAATCAAATCCAACTGAGCCAAAGGTAAACAATAATCAAGATCCGGGTTCATAAAGAATACACCAAACTGCCAAACAGGGCAATACGCATTAAACCCAAATAAGGATATACATGTATACCGTTTTGAGGGATATAGTTTAATTTTTGTTATTGATGAGTTGATATTTGATATCTACGAGGCGATAAATTGATATTCAGAGAAATGATTTGATATTTAGTTTATCCCATGATTACTGTACATTCCAAAAGTTAAAATCATCAAAAAATCGTTTGGCGTACGGATATATGAGGCTAGTAAAATTTAATGATTTCCTTTGCACGGATCTCCATAATATCAGAAATAGCGATGTCTGACATTGTACATATAACACAATAATCGTGGGGTAGTAAATTATTTAATCCCGAGGGGTTACTTTAATTTGAATAATTCCAAAACCTTGCAACAAAAATAATGTAAAACACAATTCCATTCTCCTTTTTTCAGAAATTTGGACCAAATGAACCAGCTTATTTTGATGGGTTGGAGATAAGCGTTCTAAAAGTAGTACTGCACAATACAACTCTTAGCCCCTCTGATGCCATGGCTGCCAAAATTTCCATTTTTGGCTGTTACGAAGGTAATAATATTATATTTAAGCGTACTTTAATACTACGTTTAAGCATACTTTCAGAATATGAAATTTGGACATGCGTCCTTCTATGATTTTATACTTAATTGTTGTATTTCTCATTCAGTGACGAGGAATTTGAAATAAATATCCCTCTGTGCCATCCTCGCACTTTCTGTGTTTCACAGTCAAATTTTGTTCCATTGAAACAAGGTTTTAAGAAACCATAGTTTTTATTTCTACATAAGCCTCATGTTCCACACACCACTTTCATTTGGAATTCATATAAAAAAAGCTAAAAAGTTTAGTTTTAATTTGAAATACCATATCAAAAACAGAGTTTCAATAAAACACTTTACAGGCTTAAATAACAATCACAATCAGTTTAATGAACTATTATGGAACAATCCTCGTATAGTTGTAAAGAAATTTTTGCAGAAATTGTTCAACTTCTAACATTGGTGTCAAAAACGTTTAAGATGTGAGATTGATTGGTACTTGACAGTGTAACTTTAGAACACTAGACAACTTTGATTTAAAGCAACGTAAGTCTTTGGGTTCGAAAATAGTTTCTGAGAGGCGGGGACCAGAAAATAAACTAAAGTATGATATAAAATTATTGTTTATATCTGTATTTGATATTACAGGCAATTTTTCATTACATATACTCTGCGAAGAATGGCTATCCTTAACTATCTTTACAGAAACTCAATGAAGAATCATTGCAGAAATGGCATCTTTGAAGTTTGTTTGAATGTTCTTTAAAGAAAAATACAGATTCAGTACAAAAACAAACAAAAAAATATTGAATCATTGAAAACTGAACCAAAAATAAGTCACTTTATGAATAAGTCACTTTGTGTAATGTAATCATTGCAAATTCTTATGAAGCCGTTTCTGTAACGGAGTGTAATGAATATGACTTACCATGTGAAATGAAAATACACTGTATTCAAATCTCACATCAACGAACCTCGAAATGTCAATTTCAATGTCCATATTTTTGATAGGTCGAACACGCCCAACAAGACCACCCGGAGATTGGGGTAAAAGATGTAGAATTATTAAAATTGTATATTTTAGCACTTATGTTTACATATTTACACGCAACAGTTAGTAGATAAAAGCTTATAATTGATTTATATGGAATAGATTAGACAGCCGGTAGATGAAATAATAGCTACTGTAGTTAGTAGATCAACTCCTTTTAGTTTAGTTTCATTTATTCTTAAATATATATTTAGGGTGCAAAGCGTTTAATTCCTAAAAGTGCATTTGTTCACAAGTATAAATGTTATAACAAATATCAAGTACATCTTTGTATAACATGCAGCCTTAAATAGCTGAATCCCATGCTATATATACACATACACCACCTCCAAAAGTTTGGCAATCTTAGCTCCCTCATTGAGCTAAGTGCTATAGTCTCTTTATGTTTGAATTTCTATTTACACAACCTGTGAGGAAAATGCTTATAATATAGATGGAAATGTAACTTGACTTCAATTTCTAATGCCTCCAAATTTTTTACCATTTTTTTCCTCAGTTACAATAGGTTGAAAATTGAAGATAAATCTGATGAAATTTTGAAAATCGACATTCCCATGTAAACCAATGGGAAACATTAAAAAGAGGCTTTAACACTTAGTTCAATGAGGGAGCTAAGGTTGCCAAACTTTTGGAGGGGAGGTATGCACGTTTTACAGTCAACTGAACTCATGTCACTTACCAACTGAACTCATATGCCAGTAGAGAACATGTACAATACTCAATCACTTATCAACTGAACTCATATGCCATTATACAACGTGTGCAATGCTCAATCATATATCAACTGAACTCAAATGCCATTATAGAACATGTGCAATGCTCAATCACTTATCAACTGAACTGATATGCCAGTATACAACATGTGCAATGCTCAATCACTTATCAACTGAACTGATATGCCATTATACAACATCTGCAATGCTCAATCACTTATCAACTGAACTGATATGCCAGTATACAACATGTGCAATGCTCAATCATTTATCATTTGAACTCATATGCCAGTATACAACATGTGCAATGCTCAATCATTTATCAACTGAACTAAAATGCCATTATACAACATGTGCAATGCTCAATCACTTATCAACTGAACTGATATGCCAGTATACAACATGTACAATGTTCAATCATTTATCAACTGAACTCAAATGCCATTATACAACATGTACAATGCTCAATCACTTATCAACTGAACTGATATGCCAGTATACAACATGTACAATGTTCAATCACTTATCAACTGAACTGAAATGCCATTATACAAAATGTGCAATGCTCAATCATTTATCAACTGAACTCAAATGCCATTATAGAACATGTGCAATAATAAATCACTTTTCAACTGAACTCATATGCAAGTATACAACATGCACAATGCTAAATCACTTATTATATGCTTGGCCCGTTCGAAATTAAAGTTAGAAAAATATGAAATCATTAGATGATCATCTTCGCCTGAAAACATATTCTGAATCAGAAATTGTACAAGTCTGGTATTTATAAATAAATATAAGTTACATGGATTGTCCTCGTGATGATAAATGGCTCAATTGAAATCAGCAAATAAGAAATAATGATATTATTTGGGTCTACATTTGGGTCTACAGGTAATTTACAGATAATTATCTATTATGTTTCTTTTTAATTTATGTCACTTCCGTTTCATACCATTCGAGGATTTAGAATTTCAATAAGCAATTGTGTGATTTTTGAACAAAGAATATTGTTCTGTTGATTCTGTAAAGTACAAATAATGAGTAACATTAAGATAGTTATACTTCAAGACCAACAATGAAAATAACAGTAAATAGAGACATTCTTTTTGGATTATGTGGTCTTTTAATTTTATATGGAAATGTACAGAATTGTTTCTTGGTATTTGGTGATACAAATTGAAACAATAGAACCGCGAATGGTATGAGGGATATTTTATCCATATAGTGTCGATATTGTAAGTTGCAGATCTGACATGACTTTGTTTGCAGTTTAGCAAGAACACTTTATATAATGCTGTCTGTTCTAAACCATAAATAGGACATGGTACCGTAAGGTCAAAAATGCTTTATATGATGTCTAAGAAAACGTAAATCCTTAATATTAAAAAAATGTGGCAATGTCCATTTTTGGAATAAACCAACCTAAATGTGAAATGACATGGCTTTAAAAGAAAAAAAGCGATGAAATGTGAAAAACATTAGCCTGACTGAGATATGAGATCAAAATTACTGAGATTAAATCTGAATCTATAATATTGCATTTGTTGAAATCTTGACCAATGATAAATCTTTCAAATTATAACATTTATGGAGGATTTCAAAGAAATGCATTCAAAGAATATTTCCGTCCGTATTTTCTCAAGTCAAGTATCGTAATGAAAACGATTGCTTCAACAAAATATGATTTGAAGCTTATCCATTCTTTGGAAATAGTTGTAATTCTGAAACTATACATTTACATCTGTTAGTTATCATGCCATAAACGTGAGAGACAACCACAGAATAAAGCTGATATCTGTATCTGAATTTGTATTTGTAGAGGCAAGCACTACGACCATATCACAAACAACAACGGAAGTAGCTACAACTACTGCACCAGGCACAACAACTGGACCACAAACAACTACTGGCAAGGAAACAACAACTGGACCACAAACGACAACTGGACCGGGCACAACAACTGGACCAGTTACAACAACTGGACCAGTAACAACAACTGGACCAGTTACAACAACTGGACCAGGTACAACAACTGGACCAGGAACGACAACGGGACCAGTGACAACAACTGGACCAGTTACAACAACAGCACCAGGAACGACAACCGCACCAGTTACAACAACTGGACCAGTAACAACAACTGGACCAGGTACAACAACTGGACCAGGATCGACAACGGGACCAGTGACAACAACTGGACCAGGAACAACAACTGGACCAGTTACAACAACTGGACCAGGAACGACAACGGGACCTCTTACGACAACAGCACCGGGAACGACAACGGTACCAGTGACAACAACTGGACCAGTAACGACAACTGGACCAGTTACAACAACTGGACCAGTTACAACAACTGGACCAGGAACGACAACGGGACCAGTTACAACAACTGGACCAGGAACGACAACGGGACCTGTTACGACAACAGCACCAGGTACGACAACAGCACCAGTTACAACAACTGGACCAGTCACAACAACAGGACCAGTTACAACAACTGGACCAGTCACAACAACAGGACCAGGTACAACAACTGGACCAGTTACAACAACTGCACCAGTTACAACAACTGGACCAGTAACGACAACCGGACCAGTTACAACAACAGCACCAGGTACGACAACAGCACCAGTTACAACAACGGGACCAGTTACAACAACTGGACCCGTAACAACAACTGGACCAGGAACGACAACGGGACCAGTTACAACAACCGGACCAGTTACAACAACTGGACCAGTAACAACAACTGGACCAGGAACGACAACGGGACCAGTTACAACAACAGCACCAGGTACGACAACAACACCAGGTACAACAACTGGACCAGTCACAACAACAGGACCAGGTACAACAACTGGACCAGTCACATCAACAGCACCAGGTACAACAACTGGACCAGTTACAACAACTGGGCCACAAACAACAACTGGACCAGGAACGACAACGGGACCAGTTACGACAACAGCACCAGGTACGACAACAGCACCAGTTACAACAACGGGACCAGTTACAACAACTGGACCAGTTACTACAACTGGACCAGGAACGACAACGGGACCAGTTACAACAACCGGACCAGTTACAACAACTGGACCAGTAACAACAACTGGACAAGGAACGACAACGGGACCAGTTACGACAACGGGACCAGGAACGACAACGGGACCAGTGACAACAACGGGACCAGTTACGACAACAGCACCAGGTACGACAACAGCACCAGGTACAACAACTGGACCAGTCACAACAACAGGACCAGGTACAACAACTGGACCAGTTACAACAACTGGGCCACAAACAACAACTGGACCAGGAACGACAACGGGACCAGTTACGACAACAGCACCAGGTACGACAACAGCACCAGTTACAACAACGGGACCAGTTACAACAACGGGACCAGTTACAACAACTGGACCAGTTACTACAACAGGACCAGCTACAACAACTGGACCAGCTACAACAACAGCACCAGGTACAACAACTGGACCAGTAACAACAACTGGACCAGGAACGACAACGGGACCAGTTACAACAACAGCACCAGGTACAACAACTGGACCAGTTACAACAACGGGACCAGTTACCACAACTGGACCAGTAACAACAACAGGACAAGTAACAACAACAGGACCAGTTACAACAACTGGACCAGTCACAACAACTGGACCAGGAACGACAACGGGACCAGTCACAACAACTGGACCAGTTACATCAACTGGACCAGGAACGACAACTGCACCAGGTACAACAACAGCACCAGGTACAACAACTGGACCAGTTACAACAACAACTAGACCACAAACAACCACTGCGCCTAGTACAACAACCACTGTGCCTAGTACAACAACCACAAGACCACGTAAGTTTTGTATAAAAATCCAGATTTCATCATTTCACATAAATGAAAGCTAAAATCGTGTAGTGATACGCCATTTGTAAACTAGGTTATATTTTTCTTTTCCGAGACTTAACGTAATTTATATGAAATAATTGTGATCGAATTGAAAATATTTATTCTTTCTGTAAAAATGATTTTACTTGAATTCCCGCAGTTTAAAGAATCAATTTGCAATTATTTGATTGCATATGCTGAATACTTTCAAATGCAGTCTTGTATTTTCATATGATATTGTTATTACATTCTGGTTTGAACAGAATTAAGTTCAGTGCTGTACTGCACTGTTTGAAGTCTTTCTCATTTTCACAAAATTTTGAAAAATACTGGTAGAATCAATTCATTTTCAGATTTATTGAATTCTGAAGTTGCAGATAATTAAAGTTTGTTGTGAAGTTACTAAATGAATTGTAGATTCTAACAGAAACCTAGTAAAGTTCATCGGTCAGCTGTTAAGTTAAACTTAGTTGTAAGAATAAAATGGTGTCGTAGTAAGAGATCAAGTGACTTCTTAACCTACAATTTCTGTTATTGAGCCTTGAACGTATTATTGTCATTTCGATAAAGACTCAAAGACTATGCTATGTGACAAATAATCTCAAATCTCAATGTTCATGTCATCGTCGCAAGTGGACGATGTCCGGCGGTTGGTGCCTATAACAAATGGCAGATGGTGACATCGTTTTGTATTTCAACGCCTTTATATTTCGTTTTCTCTTCTTATGCAGCGTTTAATGATGCATGTAATAAAACGGACGGAATGGAGAACAACTATATCCCACAAAGAAATATTGTTGTCTCATCGATGAGTGACGATAGCGAAGTTGATGACCTTAAACCAAGTGTTGGTGGAACAGTTTTCAAAGGAGCTCCTGGTGACAACAATATCACAATTACTATTTCATTTGACGATAAAACTGAATTGGGCAGTCTAAGATGGAACAACGCAATTGGCATTCCGGGTGCACCAGATGTAAACCTTAAGATATTTACCGTATCAGATGGCGTGACTACACAACTGGACGTTGACGGAGTAGATGTAAGTTAATGATGATAAAAGCGATAAAGCCCATCCTTATCATGGTTACCTAGTCACAAGAGTGATAGAATAAAGTCATCCCTATTTGAGTATATTCTACAAATACATACATGACATATGTACTAGTACATATCACGCCTGCAAAAACTCATTTCTACACCCATTCTATCTTCCTGAGCTAATATCATGAACTTGACCTAATGTTTAGCATTTATTCTGATTCTAACAGTTTGCCGTCAGGGGGCCTAATTAGTACAATTAAATGATAATTTAATTAGCCTAATTAAAGGGATTGTGTTTCATAACTTACTTAGAAACATCCCTTAATTAGCTTAATTAGGCTAATTATATATTGATTCTTATTAAATTAAGCTGGGACATACGCCCTAAAGATATTTTATTGTTTGGCTTACCTTATTATGTTCAGTTGTTATCTATTTTACCCTATATTTCTTGGTTCAAGGGTGGGTTGTTGGTTGTTTTCAGTAGTCATACTTCTTTGAAGTTCAGTGGAATAATGAAGTCCCAGTTACCTCGTGACCTTGACATCATTCATGTTTGATCTTTGTCCAGGGGATGGATCATTCTTACTTCATTTATTCTATACTTTCATATGGACTACTCCCCTCAACAAACTGTTTATAATTTCATAAATCCAATTATCGCATAATTATTATACTATAGTAATGTTTTACAATTTAAAATTGGATCAAATGTATCTCAATATCATATTGCTGCTTCTACAATATTGTATACTTATTTTGAGAGATTTGCATGATCACGATACTCTGTGATCAATGATCACTGACAATGATGCTATGGGGTCTTAAGATAGCAAATTGGCCACCTTGAAGGGGGTGGGTCGAAATAATATTGTTCAAGACGGTGATAATCAAAAAGCCTGAAATAACTAAGGTTCATTCTTTTAATAATAATCTTATTGTTCTGCTTTCCTTTAGACGTTTGATGATGGTAACCTAATTCAGTTCTTCAAAGATACTAAAGTGGATAAGATCGTCATCAATTTGATTGCATCTGATTTGGACGGTGAAGGAGCCATAGCTGGAACATTAAGCTTAGCTGCATGTTGGGAACCACAGGGTAAGTTAGGCAATCGATAGATTTATTAAGAGCTAATGTGCTTTTGGCCAAGTCTCTGATCATGAATGGATTTTCAAGATTGCTGCTAAATACTAAATGGCCACCGTGAAGGATGTATATTTTGCCAAAATGAACAAAATTTAGCATTTAAAGAGGACATCAGTGAGTACAATTATAAATAATTATGTTTTAAACCAGGCACTACTACAACTGGGCCAAGTACAACAACCGTACCAGTAACAACAACAGGACCCGTTAGAACAACCGGACCAGTAACAACAACAGGACCAGTTACAACAACAGGACCAGGAACAACAACAACTGGACCAGTTACAACAACCGCACCAGGAACAACAACTGCACCAGGTACAACGACCGGGCCAGTAACAACAACAGGACCAGGAACAACAACTGGACCAGTTACAACAACTGCACCAGGTACAACAACTGCACCAGTAACAACAACTGGACCAATTACAACAACCGGACCTGCAACAACAACTGGACCAGTAACAACTACTGCACCAGGTACAACAACTGGACCAGTTACAACAACTGGACCAGTTACAACATCTGGACCAGGAACAACAACTGGACCAGTTACAACAACTGCACCAGGTACAACAACTGCACCAGTAACAACAACTGGACCAATAACAACAACCGGACCTGCAACAACAACTGGACCAGTAACAACTACTGCACCAGGTACAACAACTGGACCAGTTACATCAACTGGACCAGTAACAACAACTGGACCAGTTACAACAAGCGGACCAGCAACGACAACTGGACCAGTTACAACAACTGCACCAGGTACAACAACCGGACCAGAAACAACAACTGGACCAGAAACAACAACTGGACCAATTACAACAACTGCACCAGGTACAACAACGGCACCAGTAACAACAACTGGACCAGTTACAACAAGCGGACCAGCAACAACAACTGGACCAGTTACAACAACTGCACCGGGTACAACAACCGGACCAGCAACAACAACAGGACCAGTTACAACAACTGGACCAGTTACAACAAGCGGACCAGCAACGACAACTGGACCAGTTACAACAACTGCACCAGGTACAACAACCGGACCAGAAACAACAACTGGACCAGTTACAACAACTGCACCAGGTACAACAACTGCACCAGTAACAACAACTGGACCAGTTACAACAAGCGGACCAGCAACTACAACTGGACCAGTTACAACAACTGCACCAGGTACAACAACCGGACCAGCAACAACAACAGGACCAGTTACAACAACTGGACCAGGAACAACAACTGCACCAGTTACAACAAGCGGACCAGCAACAACAACTGGACCAGTTACAACAACTGCACCAGGTACAACAACCGGCCAAGTAACAACAACAGGACCAGTTACAACAACCGGACCAGGAACAACAACTGGACCCGTAACAACAACTGCACCAGGTACAACAACTGGACCAGTTACAACAACTGGACCAGGAACAACAACTGGACCAGTTACAACAACTTCACCAGGAACATCAACTGGACCAGTAACAACAACTGCACCAGGTACAACAACTGGACCAGTAACAACAATAGGACCAGGAACAACAACTGGACCAGTAACAACAACTGCACCAGGTACAACAACTGCACCAGTAACAACAACTGGACCAGTTACAACAACCGGACCAGCAACAACAACTGGACCAGTTACAACAACTGCACCAGTAACAACAACCGGACCAGTTACAACAACTGCACCAGGTACAACAACTGGACCAGTTACAACAACTGGACCAGGAACAACAACTGGACCAGTAACAACAACTGCACCAGGTACAACAACTGGACCAGTTACAACAACTGCACCAGGTACAACAACTGCACCAGTAACAACAACTGGACCAGTTACAACAACCGGACCAGCAACAACAACTGGACCAGTTACAACAACTGCACCAGGTACAACAACTGCACCAGGTACAACTGCACCAGTAACAACAACTGGACCAGTTACAACAACCGGACCAGCAACAACAACTGGACCAGTAACAACAACTGCACCAGGTAGAACACCTGAATCACAAACAATAGCACAATTTTACGACAAACGTATCATTAATACAAATATTTAATTTACCGAAGTGGTCTTGAAAAGTGGCCCCAGTGGATTATAGCAGGCCTCAAATATATTGCACGTTTACATTAGGCCCTGTGTTTATTTATCAATGTTCAAAAGACCCCCGGAGAACCTTTTTCTTTGGCCTAGTTGAAAAGATTTTGAAAATTCACCATTGGCTGCCATTATAAACTGCTATCAATATGGCTTTACTTAAGTGTAACTTTCTCAAAAAGTTCACTATGAAAGTTTTAATATTGCAGATATGTATGACTATCTATATTTTGTTTTTGGGTCTTTCGTAGATTGGTAAATCAACTTCGTTAGATATAAAAAATGTACTATATATGTCAAGATACTCTACAGTAATGTAGTGTAGTTTAGTATGAGGTTAGTATATCAACACATTAATGTTTAATTCTCCTGGGTCAAAATTCTTGGTAAAATCCACTGGTCTAAGATACGCGAAATTAAGGGCACGCAGATTGATTCAAGGGTTCTTCAGTGCGAAAATTTTGGTCGGCGAATATTTGGGCTTTTACAGTATGTATTAATGATAATTTGGTCAAAAATGGTGCTTTATATGTAGAATGCGCAATTCAACTGCTAACTGACTCCACTATGGTTTAAATATATTATAGATCTTTTAACTAAAGTTCAGGTAAATGTTACTGTAATCACAGAGAACAAAATTAGTTTTGGCAATTATAATTCAAGGGCCAAATAAATGTAAGATGAGGACTAAAAACTGAGCCGCATCAACGAGATGGCAACTTTGTATTATAATTTCTAAAAGATCGATACTTATTGAATTAATATCTCAAATGCATACTTCGTTTAAATAGCTAATCATTTATAATATTTTATCCACAGTTATCACCTGCGACCTGACAGAGGGCATGCATAGTAATTTTATTACAAACATCGAACTAGATACCACTGACAATTTTGCTGGTACAATTCCGCCAGTAGAAAATTTGAGAAACGAAAGTGAAAGCTTCACTGCAAAACTCAAGAATAAAGGAGGAAACTTTACCGTTAATATACCGCTTGATGTAACAGTACCTGTACTCGTTGCCGAGTTAACAATAGAGGGACCAGAAAATGTTGAGTCTGTAAAGATCACCATACCCCAGGAGGATGGCGATGACGAAATATATGTGGTAAGACCATAAAATAATATCATACACAAGTGTCATACTTACGTAAACCTACTTTTTCAGGGAATGTATAATGAATTTTCTGCATATCCCATATCCTACATCTGTACATATACAATTAGCAACAAATACTTGATCAAACTTAATGAGACATTGAATACCATGCTATGAGAAGGCCCTTAGAACAATATTGCATACGCCATTAAAAATATCATTTTCATGTTTAAATGTTGAGGAATTTTTTTTTGAGATATACGGTAGCTGTACTGCAACCTATAGTTTATACCATCATCTGTTAAATGCTGGATTGCAATAATGTTTTCAGCGTACGATTAAACCTGATGAAGTTAATGTGACAATAAAGTTCCCCAATGGCACCGAAGGAACGAATGTGACAATACAGTTTATCTTGAAAGACAGCGAAGACGTCTTTACAATAGAGGAACTATACATCAAAGCTTGTTTCGAAGAAGGTAACAACTTTTTCTATATTTTTAAAACTTCGATTTTCCAAATGTTTTTATTAGCTCTGCTTATACAGCCCATACAGCCCATACACTACTGGTTTCACTCATATATTTTTTGTTGTAAAATCATTTGTTTATTTATTTTATATTTTTTATTCATTTTTTATTGTCTATACGTAATTATCTAGTATTAAGAAACTTTAAGAAACAATATATTTTTGGTATTTAGTATTGGTCCTCCTTAAACAGACCCTAGACTATTCAATCACTTATTGTTACTTATATTTTTTGGGTTCCGTATACTGTAGATGTGGAAAATTACACGTGGGTTTTAATTAGTAGTTTTCAAAATTGTCCTTTTAACAACTCTTATAGTTTTCAGTTTAAACGGCATCAACTTGGTCGAATTTGGTCGAATGTTTACATGTAACGGCATTGAGTGTTCCAAAATTCGATGGGTTTACAGCTATGAATTTATAAAAACTCAGTATTGATATGGTCTGTATTCAAAATATGAAAATTGCTTTTTCATGATAGTGTTCGAATTAAATAGCAGTAAACAAAAAATCCAAAAGGCCCTAGTTAAGCTTTATGTTTAAGAACCCCCATTCTTACAATTGAAAATGGATTAGAGCAATACTATCCAACATGAATTTACTTGTTAGGACTCGATTAACTTGAGGGTCGATGTATTGACTTTACATGGTGACATACCTGATGGTATTCCCGATCTAAGTGATCAACGGCGTATGTCTCCATGTTGAGTCAATACACCCTTGCTAAAATCCTCATTTTCTCAGAAGAACTCAAGCTGATCAAGTCTCAACAAGTAGACTCATAATGGATAGTATTGCTAGAATCCATTTCCGAAAGTTGGAAAAGGGGTTCTTAACAGGACATTGGGCTTTGCTTTTCGAAAATTTTTGTTCGTACGAGAAGCAATGGGGTGAGATTTAATTTGGGCTTACTACGTACATTATACAAACATTTATCAAGGCAATTCGTCTAGAGTTACCCACGCGCTCGCTACAATTAGCAGGAAACCCTAATGATATGTAGAATTTAGGCATACGAAGATCAATATATTGGCTTGCCTCACCTATACTCATGTGGTATTATTTCATTTCGGTCTTACATTTCTAATGGATGCTTTATGTACAGCTTTACAAAAGATTGATTTCAATAGCCAATGAGTGGAGACGTATATTTCCGAGTAAGCTAGATCACTTTGTTCAAAAGTTATTTAACTGATGTATCTCAACTTTTTTTCGATACTTCATATTCCACATTTCCATCATAGAAAGCTATTTTTACACCTTGTATCTCTGCCTTATACTTCACAAAATGAAAGGTATTGACAGCGTTTGATATTTTCCAGGGCGCAAAGAACACACTCAGGGTACAACTCCATTTATAACTCCACCAACTCCACCACCTCCTCCAAGCACAACTGCACCAGGTACAACAACTGCACCAGTAACAACAACTGCACCAGGTACAACGACTGGACCAGTAACAACAACTGCACCAGGTACTACAACTGGACCAGTAACAACGACAGGACCAGGTACTACAACTGGACCAGTAACAACAACGGGACCAGCTACAACAACGGGACCACAAACAACAACTGCACCAGGTACTACAACTGGACCAGTAACAACAACTGCACCAGGCACAACAACTGGACCAGTAACAACAACTGCACCAGGTACTACAACTGGACCAGTAACAACTGTACCAGGTACAACAACTGGACCAGTAACAACAACTGCACCAGGTACAACGACTGGACCAGTAACAACAACTGTACCAGGTACAACAACTGGACCAGTAACAACAACTGCACCAGGTACTACAACTGGACCGGTAACAACAACTGCACCAGGTACTACAACTGGACCAGTTACAACTGCACCAGGTACAACAACTGGACAAATAACAACAACTGCACCAGGTACAACGACTGGACCAGTAACAACAACTGCACCAGGTACTACAACTGGACCAGTAACAACAACTGCACCAGGCACAACAACTGGACCAGTAACAACAACTGCACCAGGTACTACAACTGGACCAGTAACAACTGCACCAGGTACAACAACTGGACCAGTAACAACAACTGGACCACAAACAACAACAGGACCACAAACAACAACTGCACCAGGTACAACAACTGGACCAGTAACAACAACTGCACCAGGCACAACAAGTGGACCAGTAACAACAACTGCACCAGGTACTACAACTGGACCAGTAACAACTGCACCAGGTACAACAACTGGACCAGTAACAACTGCACCAGGTACAACAACTGGACCAGTAACAACAACTGTACCAGGTACAACAACTGGACCAGTAACAACAACTGTACCAGGCACAACAACTGGACCAGTAACAACAACTGCACCAGGTACTACAACTGGACCAGTAACAACTGCACCAGGTACAACAACTGGACCAGTAACAACAACTGGACCACAAACAACAACAGGACCAGGTACAACAACTGGGCCAGTAACAACAACTGCACCAGGTACTACAACTGGACCAGTAACAACAACTGCACCAGGTACTACAACTGGACCAGTAACAACAACTGCACCAGGCACAACGACTGGACCAGTAACAACAAGTGCACCAGGTACTACAACTGGACCAGTAACAACTGCACCAGGTACAACAACTGGACCAGTAACAACAACTGGACCAGGTACAACAACTGCACCAGGTACAACAACTGGACCAGTAACAACTGCACCAGGTACAACAACTGGACCAGTAACAACAACTGCACCAGGTACAACAACTGGACCAGTTACAACAACTGGACCAGTAACAACAACTAGACCAGGAACGACAACTGGACCAGTAACAACAACTGCACCAGGCACAACAACTGGACCAGTAACAACAACTGGACCAGTAACAACAACTGCACCAGGTACTACAACTGGACCAGTAACAACTGCACCAGGTACGACAACTGGACCAGTAACAACTGCACCAGGTACAACAACTGGACCAGTAACAACAACTGTACCAGGTACAACAACTGGACCAGTAACAACAACTGCACCAGGCACAACAACTGGACCAGTAACAACAACTGCACCAGGTACAACAACTGGACCAGTAACAACAACTGCACCTGGTACAACAACGGTATCAGGTACAACAACTGGACCAGAGACAACAACTGCACCAGGTAACAAACGTGACTATAGTTCTTCTGTTTTTGCACAAAACTGTTTAAACAGTTTCATATGCTCTTCATTCTGGATGTTTCTCATGAACATTTTAGGCCAAGTTTAGATGAAATAGTTTGAATGCTAGGCGACAATTGAACATAGAACATCAACAATCATACTTGAAAATATATTTGTAAATCTATCAAAGCATCTTCATTTGTCATGATTTATTATTAAGAGTACCATCCTTATTATGACTTCAGAAGATGATATAGATGTGAAGTATACTTTAAGCTAAAAATCGATTGTGACCTACTTTGGTGTAAATAATGGTTCTATTGACATAACCATAAAAGCGTTTGATTACCATCTTCATTAGTTCTACAATGTAGAATGTCAAGATGCAGACCGTGAAAACTACAGCATGGTCATGGTCTCGAACTAATAATAAAGGCATGTCAGAAGTATTTTCTTTGCTAATCATTTATTTTATATTTTATCCACAGTTATCACCTGCGATCTGACAGAGGGCATGCAGGGTAATTTTATTACAAACATCGAACTAGATACCACTGACAATTTTGCTGGTACAATTCCGCCAGTAGACAATTTGAGAAACGAAAGTGAAAGCTTCACTGCAAAACTCAAGAATAAAGGAGGAAACTTTACTGTTAATATACCGTTTGATGTGGTAGTACCTGTACTAATTGCCGAGGTAACAATTGAGGAACCAGAGAATGTTGAGTCTGTAAAGATCACCATACCTCAGGAGGATGGCGATGACGAAATATATGTGGTAAGACTATAAAATAATATAGACAAGTGTCATTTTAAGCTGTACGTACACCCATATTTTTCAGGGAATTTAATGAATTTCCTGCATATCCCATAGAGATGTAATGTTTTCAGCGAGATTTAGTCCGTAATTTTAGATATTGTAGTGCAACGTATCGTTTCTACCATCATCTGTAAAATGCTGGATTACAATATTAATGTTTTCAGCGTACGATTAAACCTGATGAAGTTAATGTGACAATAAAGTTCCCCAATGGCACCGAAGGAACGAATGTGACAATACAGTTTATCTTGAAAGACAGCGAAGACGTCTTTACAATAGAGGAACTATACATTAAAGCTTGTTTCGAAGAAGGTAACAACTTATTCTATATTTTGAAAACTTACCTTATCCAAATGTTTTTAATGGCACTGTTTAGAAAATCCATACACTACCGGTTTCACTCATCTTATGATTTTTGTTATAAAATAGTTTCAACTATCTTTATTTTATTTTATTTATTTATTTATTTATTTATTTATTTATCTTCTGTAATTATCTAGTATAATTATCTTAAAATATGTAAAGAAACGATGCGACTTTCCACGGATTGCCACGACCTCCGTATAAAAAATAATGGTATAAATAGTATATGTATATGTTGTGATTTGTATGAAGTCGAGTCAGTCAGCCATTTTCAAATCACATGCACGAAATGACATGAAGAGCGCGCCAAATTAAGGCTGATAGCGCATAAATATATAAACATGCGCAAGACAATATAAACGAAATAGACGAAATTTGCCTACCCAAGCATTGACGTTTCACAGGATGACATGAAAGACATTGGTCAGAGTTGTATAACATGATGGTACACAAAACGGTCCAAAATAATATACTAACCAATACTAAAGGTTGATTAAAAAGCGCCATCTAACAATGTAAATAACCATTACATCGATGATATCTCACTGCTTTAACTCCATGTAAATGTTTTGCTGTTTGTAAGAAAATACTACTGTTTGACTACAGGCAAATAAAGTACCCAGAGGAATATATCAGTGCTAATTATCAAAGGGTGAAAAAACATCAAAAAATTACAATTTATATAAGATGAGTTGAGCAAGAAATTCAATTTATAAATAACGTGCCAATTCATGTTATAAGATATGAATATATTAAGAGAAATGTCTGCACTTGGAAAGGTCAAAAAGGGAATTCAAAACGTTATATTCGTTGTGGAAAAATAACATGGCTCAATAACAATGTATTATTTTTTGTTATTGTATATTACTGAACTTCATTTGTCTTGTGAGACGAGTCTGTCTGAAATCAAAAAACTGTTTGAATAAATGGGAAGGAAAAATTGGTTTACTCAAATTCTTAAGTTATTTCATCACGAATTAATTTCTACATTACTAAGTTTCAGAATTTTTTTTCGTTTATTTCGAATCTATTCCGACCCCACTACGCCTCCCCGTACATCTGATACTGTGCATAGATATTTATTGACAAGTACGTTGTTGTAACCAGATCAACACATTCGGTCGTTTGTTGATTTTTTACGTGAGTAATGCTTCAAAAATTTGAAGTAATCTAATTTTACTTTGAAAACCAATACGACCGATATTGATCCTGTGTACCGATATCGGCATATCGGCTCCTATCGGATGTTAATCGCCCAAGCAACCCAGCGCTCACTGAAATAAGCAGGCAATCCTATTGATATGTAGAGTTAAGGCAAACAAAGAACGAGATATTGCCTTCCACATTTCCATCATAGAAAGTTACTTTACACCTTGTATCTCTTTCTTATACTTCACATAATGAAAGGTATTGACAGCGTTTGATATTTTCCAGGGCGCAAAGAACACACTCAGGGTACAACTCCATTTATAACTCCACCAACTCCACCACCTCCTCCAAGCACAACAAGTGCAGCAGGTACAACAACTGGACCAGTAACAACAACTGCACCAGGTACAACAACCGGACCAGTAACAACAACTGCACCAGGTACAACAACTGGACCTGGCACAACAACTGGACAAGTTACAACAACTGGGCCTGGCACAACAACGGGACCAGTAACAACAACTGCACCAGGTACAACAACTGGACCAGTAACAACAACTGCACCAGGTACATCAACTGCACCAGGTACAACAACTGGACCAGTAACAACGACAGGACCAGCTACAACGACTGGACCAGTAACAACAACTGCACCAGGTACAACGACTGGACCAGTAACAACAACTGCACCAGGTACTACAACTGGACCAGTAACAACGACAGGACCAGCCACAACAACTGGACCAGCAACAACAACGGGACCACAAACAACAACAGGACCAGCTACAACAACGGGACCACAAACAACAACAGGACCAGCTACAACAACTGGACCAGCTACAACAACGGGACCACAAACAACAACTGGACCACAAACAACTACTGGACCAATTACAACAACTGCACCAGGTACAACGACTGGACCAGTAACAACAACTGCACCAGGTACTACAACTGGACCAGTAACAACGACAGGACCAGGTACAACAACTGGACCAGTAACAACAACTGGACCCGTAACAACAACTGCACCAGGTACAACAACTGGACCAGTTACAACAACTGGACCAGGAACAACAACTGGACCAGCTACAACAACGGGACCACAAACAACTACTGGACCAGTTACAACAACTGCACCAGGCACAACGACTGGACCAGTAACAACAACTGCACCAGGTACTACAACTGGACCAGTAACAACGACAGGACCAGCTACAACAACTGGACCTGCTACAACAACGGGACCACAAACAACTACTGGACCAGTTACAACAACTGCACCAGGTACAACGACTGGACCAGTAACAACAACTGCACCAGGTACTACAACTGCACCAGTAACAACAACTGCACCAGTAACAACAACTGGACCAGTAACAACAACTGGACCAGTAACAACAACTGCACCAGGTACTACAACTGGACCAGTAACAACAACAGGACCAGCTACAACAACTGGACCAGCAACAACAACTGGACCACAGACAACAACAGGACCACAAAGAACTACTGGACCAGTTACCACAACTGGACCAGGAACAACAACTGCACCTGGAACAACAACTGGACCACAAACAACTACTGGACCAGCTACAACAACTGGACCAGGTACAACAAGTGGGCCAGTTACAACAACTGGACCAATTACAACAACCGGACCAGGAACAACAACTGGACCACAAACAACAACTGGACCAGGTACTACAACTGGACCACAAACAACAACTGGACCAGCCACAACAACTGGACCAGTTACAACAACTGGACCAGTTACAACAACTGGACCAGGAACGACAACTGGACCAGTAACAACAACTGGACCAGGCACAACAACTGCACCTGGTACAACAACTGGACAAGTAACAACAACTGGACCAGGCACAACAACTGCACCTGGAACAACAACTGGACCACAAACAACTACTGGACCAGCTACAACAACTGGACCACAAACAACTACTGGACCAGCTACAACAACTGGACCACAAACAACAACAGGACCAGTAACAACAACAGGACCAGTAACAACAACTGGACCCGGCACAACAACTGGACCAGTAACAACAACTGGACCAGTAACAACAACTGGACCACAAACAACAACTGGACCAGGTACAACAACTGGACCAGTAACAACAACTGGACCAGGTACAACAACTGGACCAGGCACAACTGGACCAGGAACAACAACTGGACCAGGCACAACAACTGCACCTGGTACAACAACTGGACAAGTAACAACAACTGGACCAGGCACAACAACTGCGCCTGGAACAACAACTGGACCACAAACAACTACTGAACCAGCTACAACAACTGGACCACAAACAACAACAGGACAAGTAACAACAACTGGACCAGGCACAACAACTGGACCAGTAACAACAACTGGACCACAAACAACAACTGGACCACAAACAACAACTGGACCAGGGACAACAACTGGACAAGTAACAACTACTGGACCAGGCACAACAACTGCACCTGGAACAACAACTGGACCACAAACAACAACCGGACCAGCTACAACAACGGTATCAGGTACAACAACTGGACCAGAAACGACAACTGCACCAGGTAATAGACGTGACTATAGTTCTCCCGGTTTTGCACAAAACTGTTTAATCAGTTTCATGTGCTATTCATTATGAATGTTTTCTTGTGTAAATGAATGTTTTATGAACATTTCGGGCCAAGTTCAGATGAAATTTTAGTTTGAATGTTTGTTGACAACTGAACATAGAACATCAACAAGCATGCTTGAAAAAAAATATATTTGTAAATCTATCAAAGAGTCTTCATTTGTCATGGTATTATTATTAAGAGTACCATCCTAATTATTACTTCAGAAAATGATATAGATGTGACCTACTTTGGAGTAAATAAAGTTTCTATTGACACATAACCATTAAAACTGTCGATTATCAGTTCTATATTGCAAAGTGTTAAGATGCAGGCCATGAAAACAGAACAGTATGGTCTCTTGAACGCTTGTACTATCATTATAGGCATGTCAGAACTATTTCCTTTACTAATTATTTGAATTATATTTTATCCACAGTTATCACCTGCGACCTGACAGAGGGCATGCATAGTAATTTTATTACAAACATCGAACTAGATACCACTGACAATTTTGCTGGTACAATTCCGCCAGTAGAAAATTTGAGAAACGAAAGTGAAAGCTTCACTGCGAAACTCAAGAACAAAGGAGGAAACTTTACTATTACTTTACCGTTTGATGTAATTGAACAAGTACTAATTGCCGAGTTAACAATAGAGGAACCAGAAAATGTTGAGTCTGTAAAGATCACCATACCTCAGGAGGATGGCGATGACGAAATATATGTGGTAAGAGCATATAATTATATTAGAGACGAGTGTCATTTAAAGCTGTACGTACACTCACATTTTTCAGGGAATGTAATGAATTTTCTGCATATCCCAAAGATATATACAATAAGCAACAAGTACTTGATCAAACTTCATGACACATTGGATACCATGGAACCTTTATGTCCACGAACTAGCTCCTTGCATTGTGTGCAGCGTCTACCTTGTTCTTGTGTGTCTTGTAAAGCCATAATTTATGCTTTAAATGATAAGAAAAAGACTTTAGAGGGATATTGCATGGTACCCTTTCTGCCATCCTATATGCTCTGTTGCAAATGAAGTTATTGCTTAAATGTTAGTAAGAGTCAGACTTTTTAGATATACGGTAGCTGTATGCAACGTATAGTTTCTGCCATCATCTGTTAAATGCTGGATTCAATCATGTTTTCAGCGTACGATTAAACCCGATGAAGTTAATGTGACAATAAAGTTCCCCAATGGCACCGAAGGAACGAATGTAACTATCCAGTTCATCTTGAAAGACAGCGAAGACGTCTTTACAATAGAGGAACTATACATCAAAGCTTGTTTCGAAGAAGGTAACAACTTGTTCTATATTTTTAAAACTTCGATTTTCCAAATGTTTTTATTAGCTCTGCTTATACAGCCCATACACCCCATACACTACTGGTTTCACTCATATTCATATTTTTTGTTGTAAAATATATTTTCATTTATTTTATTTTTTCTATTCATTTATTTATCGTCTATACGTAATTATCTAGTATTACATTTACAGGAACGAGATACCTAGAGTATATAACATTAAAAATGTTCAATTTGTATCAGTTGAGTAAAGCAAGAAGTACAATTTATGAATAACATTCTAATTCATGTTATAAAATATGAAAATCTACAAAAAGTGCATGCACTCAGAACCTGAAAGGCCTAAAGTATAAAATGGCTTTTCAAACATTATACTATAAAGTTGAAAATAACAGTACATCAGCTTACACGGCTCAAGAACAATGTATTATTTTTTGTAATTGTATTTAAAGGAGTATAGAGACGGTAGAGATTGAAGGGAAGTTGACAGTTTATTAAATTTACTGAACAGTCTTGATTCGGAGTATTGAACTGTTTTTTGTTTGTTAAGAATTGATTTAAAGTTACATGGGATACTGTGTTGCATCTGAGACTAACATAGAATGTTATGTTAGTCTCAGGTTGCATTTGTCTTGTGAGAAGAGTATGTCTGAAATTAAGATACTGTTTGAATAAATGGGACGAAAAAGTTGTTTGTCGAGGCTTGTCTACAGGTTTCAATGGTGCTATTTTGTTCACCATTTGTCATGTTTATGCACAGTGTATCTAAATCTACCAATCAATTTATTATTATCAATTAATTAAAAACTTTACTTTGATCCTCTGATGCCTTATGTAAGTAAAATGCCTACCAGATAACAAACAGCCAATCAGCTGTCAGCATGGGATGTGGCTTAGCAGTAGTGGGGTATTTATATTTATTTAAAGTTTTCCTCTTTAAAAATTGATAATAATAGATTGATAGGTCGATTTAGATACACTGTATACTGTGTATTTATAAACACAAGCACAAGGCATCTTGCTGCTATGTTTACATGTTTTAACCTTTGACCTGAAAGAATTTTAGACTATTGGTCATTAAACCCACGCCCAACTGGTCATATTTAATGAGACCTTTAAAATATTCATTTTCAAGTTTGCTTGAAATATACTGTAAAACTTGAATATGATTTCATATTTGTATTCATTACGGTCGCATGCATGACTGTAGCTTTGGCCGGGCTTCCGATTCATTCCTAGAAATCATGATATAGGAAAAATCAAAATTAATTTACCGGTTTCAGTGATTCAAACATTTCCAACAGACATAATTGACTGTAATTGGCTGTTCCATCTTCCTTTTATACCTGGTTTCCCTTAAGACTTATCTAGTTTAGCAACGTTTCTCACTGTAATTTATTAATTTTTCTTTTCTCAGTATTTCATATTCAACGTTTATCACATTTCACTTTTCCAACATATTAATATTTTATTCTTGTACATACAATTCACACATCAAATCGAACCTGAAAACGAGGACTATTGAAAACGCTTGCTTTATATTTTCTAGGGGTCAAAGAAATAACTCAGGGTACAACTGCAGTCGCAACTCCACCACCTCCTCCAAGCACGACAACTGAATCAGCCACAACAACTGCACCAGGTACAACAACTGGGCCAGGCACAACAACTGCACCAGGTACAACAACTGGACCAGTAACAACAACTGGACCACAAACAACAACTGGACCAGCAACAACAACTGGACCACAAACAACAACTGGACCAGCAACAACAACTGGACCTGAAACAACAACTGGACCACAAACAACAACTGGACCAGTAACAACAACTGGACCACAAACAACAACTGGACCAGCCACAACAACTGGACCACAAACAACAACTGGACCAGTAACAACAACTGCACCAGGTACAACAACAGCACCAGTTACGACAACTGGACCAGTGACATCAACAGGACCAGGAACAACTGGACCAGTTACAACAACTGCACCAGGTACAACAACTGCACCAGTAACAACAACTGCACCAGTCACAACAACAGGACCAGGTACAACAACTGGACCAGTTACAACAACTGCACCAGGTACAACAACCGGACCAGTTACAACAACTGGACCACAAACAACAACTGGCCCACAAACAACAACTGGACCAGTCACAACAACTGGACCAGTCACAACAACTGGACCACAAACAACAACTGGACCAGCCACAACAACTGGACCGGAAACAACAACTGGACCAGCCACAACAACTGGACCACAAACTACAACTGGACCACAAACAACAACTGCACCAGGTACAACAACAGCACCAATTACGACAACTGGACCAGTGACAACAACAAGACCAGGAACAACTGGACCAGTTACAACAACTGCTCCAGGTACAACAACTGCACCAGTTACGACAACTGGACCAGTGACAACAACAGGACCACAAACAACAACTGGACCAGTTACAACAACTGGACCAGTTACAACAACTGGACCGGGTACAACAACTGGACCAGTCACAACAACTGGACCACAAACAACAACTGCACCAGGTACAACAACAGGACCAGGAACAACAACTGGACCACAAACAACAACTGGACCAGTTACAACAACTGGACCAGGTACAACAACTGGACCAGTCACAACAACTGGACCACAAACAACAACTGCACCAGGTACAACAACAGGACCAGTTACAACAACTGGCCCACAAACAACAACTGGACCAGGTACAACAACGGCACCAGTTACAACAACTGGACCAGTAACAACAACTGGACCAGTCACAACAACTGGACCAGCAACAACAACTGGACCAGCCACAACAACTGGACCATTTACAACAACTGCACCAGGCACAACAACCGCACCAGGTACAACAACCGGACCAGTTACAACAACTGGACCAGCCACAACAACTGCACCAGGTACAACAACTGGACCTGTAACAACAACTGGGCCAGTTACAACAACTGGACCACAAACAACCACTGGACCAGTTACAACAACTCTGCCTGAAACAACTGCACCAGGTACAAAAAAATATTTAATTCTGATTTTATATTTCCGTTTTGATTCTAATAATCCATTTTCACTTGCACTCATACAATTAAAATGCAAATAATTAATAAGTAATATTTCTACTTTGTAGGAACAACTGTTGTTACTACAGTAACTGTTACAGGTATGAGTTTCTTTTACTTACGATAATGTGTCCTTTGCTCTTAATAATTCAATCATATACAGCTAGACATGCACTTTCACTAATTTCACTTTCTTGCCAATCATAAAATAACAGGGAAACCCTCCATCCCGTGTCTCATCTTATATTCATACGCTTGGTAATTTATGTAGCCCTGTAACCATTTACCAGTCATTGCTTAATTCTAGTACACACACGTGGACGTTCATTATATATTTTCATTTTACAGTGTTGTGTTAAAGGGGGGGGGTAACTCTTCTGAACCACTCTGCGGCCATTCTGATTTATCAGACTCTCACTTTATCTGCTCCGAGACCCTCTACACCATTGTAAACTATACAAGAGAAACACCTTTCAATAAAGAAACAATAACCTAATAAAAAAGTAATGGAAGACATGAAGCTTTGTGGCATCTATAACTACATAACGGTAGCAAATCCCATGGCATGCTCATAAGAGTCCGACAAAGTCAAATATGAAATGAAATGACCACGATTATAATAAGTATTACTAACACATAAAAAAAACAAGGAAAGAACTATATGAATGGACAGTTCTAGTAATCCCTTGGCACATATTGTATTTGATATAATTGAACAGTTTCATTGCAAAATAGGAATGAATAATTGTTAACATCTCTTGGAATTTCTGTTACAAACATAGCAACGACGTCATTCTATAATTTTAAAAACAAAATATCACCATGCCATGTGTTTGTGTTGCAAATGAGGGCAGAGTTTATTGAAAAATGAATTGTAATTTGCGGACTTAATGCTTTGGTTTCTTCTTAAACATCACCATACCATACAATACCGTTGTGCTATAAATCACCTTCAACTGGTTAAGTGTTGGGCTTTGATCCTTTATCCTTATGCTTTGTTTTCTGCTAAAATGTATACGAGTTACTGTCATAAAACGTAAGCATGGAAAAACACTACCTAGTACCTACTAATGATAAATTGTGTATTTATACAAAAAGTCCATATACTGAAAATAATCTTCTTTAAAAGATAATAATGTCTGTTCAACGAAAACAACCCCAAATGTGTCGATCGCACATGCCCCATGTTTTAAGTTCGACTGCCCAAGAACCTGGCCATTCTCACCATTCTCTCTTTATAGACGAAGAGCAAATAATGATACTGGAGAGGTTAAGCTTTGCATATATAATCGAAACTGAACCTGTACGTATCACTCGACCATATACAAATTCATGTAGCCTTCTCATATAAATAGCCGTTCAAATCCAGTGTTTGTTAAGACTACACCATAGCGTGTAATGATTCTATAGTATGTCATTGATGCGGTTTTATAGCTGGTTTTCTAATACATATTTTAAACGAGCTCGTTTCGTAAGATTTTTGGCGCTAAATCATGCATGACATACATCTTCGTGCTCAGCAAGAATTCAACTGTGCATCGAAATCAAAATTGACAGCATAGTGTTCAATAGACAAGAGTAAAATGGTTCCCGTTGATCCAACGTCAAATTTCAAAATCTCCCGTTCTAAACCCGAAACTCTGAAGCTGAAAGAGTATCTGAAGTAGACTAAGCGCGCATAAAACTATGAGCGCTCGATATATTCCTTTGTTAATTTTTGTACTTTGCGTTCACGGTTACGTTGTGAAAAACATCGTTAGCTTAACCTCTCCACTAACTAATCTTCGGCCACACTGTATAATATGGTCATTTAATACTACTTTTTTGTTTTAAGGTTCAACAATTACGCTAATTCCAACAACTACGTCCCGCCCAACAACAAGTATGTATGATCTTTATTTATTTGGCTATATGTTTTGAGAATTTTAGAAAATAGCCATGTCAAAAAATTAGGCTATACAAGAGAAAGGGATACAATTTTACACAATTTTAGAATCTTTCTAAAGGTCTTTGATTCTTAACAAACTACAGTCAACAGTAACTACATTACAGTAATTATACACCTATGCTTGTGAAACGAAGTTGTAATTAAGGTGGCGCTATTCTTTAGGTGGCATTTAGGCTAAAAATATATCATTTCAATATTGTATCCTCAAACTCTTTTATGAATTTAATAAAAGTAATATATTTTCAATTTCCAGCGCCTGGCCAGTGTAGAGTGACCGTTGAAGACATAAAGACACAGGTTTGCAATTCCTGCTTTTCAAAAAACATTTATATAGCAGTATAAACCAAAACCATACATGAAATTAATCATATTCATTTAACTTCGAATATGTTCTACTAATGGGAAATATCAAGAATTTTAAAAATAAAAGAGAATGCTCAAACATTTGTACCAACCGAGTTGGCTGGTCAAGTCATTGTGGTGTAATATATTTGTAGCTCGCACTCAACGATTAAATATAGCTTGCACTCACGATCTATTGACATAGTGACGTTAAGTATGTATAGCTCGACCTCGACAATATATTGATTTTTTTACTTAATATATGTGTAGCTCGCACTCGACAATTATTGACATTGTGACGGAATATATTAGTAGCTCGCATTCCACTTGACATTTTGACGTAATATATTAGTAGCTCGCATTCCACTTGACATTTTGACGTAATATATTTGTAGCTTGCACTCGACAATATATTGACATTGTGACGTAATATATTAGTAGCTCACACTCCACGATGTATTGACTTTGTGACGTTTTATATTTGTAGCTCGCACTCGACGATATGTTCACAACTGGTACCTATATTGGACACATCAACAAAGATGATGATGACACGACAACTTCTAGTGATGAATGGGTCCAAGAAGGAGAAACGCTAGAAGAGGGCGTAGATGTCTTTATTAATAACACTTGCGGCGTATGGTAGGTCCCTTTCATGATATATAAAGACATATACATGTAAAGGTTTCCTTTATAAGCGAATAAAAACCAACCATTACAACAATGAATTTGATAGTGCGAAAGGCATTTGCGAAGTTGCAGCTCATTTTCAGGTTTTAGCTTAATTGTTTTCTGCTTGTCTTTGGTAACTGGAGACAGTTTCTCATATTGATCATTATTATATGCTTTCAATTAATGCAGCAAATGTATGGCAAACGGAGAACTAAACTGTACTTATGATAATACCTGTTCTGGTAAGGAAAGCACGTTTTCTTATTTCAGGTTTTATAAAATCTAATAGCTAGTACCTGTACAATTAGTATGTCATTGCTCATGTTTGTGATAAATGATTGCGAGTGAATGAATGATTGAATTAGTGCACCATACTTAAATGGTTGGTTGAATCTACATGTCGTGTGTTGTTGTTCTGTTAGTTGAATTAAAGTAAAGGTTTAAATACTTTAAATGATCTTTAAAGCTTCTTTTAGCCAACTCATTTTCTTCTCTAAATCTCAAATTAACCAAGTCCCGTTACCTTGTAACGAATTGGAGATATACTTCAATGAAAATACAAATATTTATATGAATGCCATAAACATTTAATGGAATCGTCAATATTTAGAGCATAAGAAGATACAGATTAACTTTTAATTTGCCTGATATTTTTTAAACTAAATGAAATGTGAACACAGCATTCTTGCCTGTATGAAGTCCGATATATATTAATATCTATAACATGTGGTACTATACTGACGTTTTTAAGAAATATGATTTCTGAGTCGATTTCCAGATATTGTGCAACTATCATCAAATCCTCAATTGAACAATTGTGAGCAATTCCTCAATTATTTCTTGTAGAGGATTGCGTATGGGGAACGTGGAGTCAATGGGACGAGTGCTCAAAGACGTGTGACGTTGGACAGAGAACACGCACAAGGCAAATTGCAAAAGAAGCTGGACCCAATGGTCAAGAGTGTGAAGGCAAATATACGGAAGTCGAAGATTGTAACACTAACAAATGTGAAAGTACGTTTTTAACAATGACCCTCTTTGTAGTTTAGCATTGAAACGATTTGGTTTTTAGTATGGAAATTTCGGAAAAGCGTACAATTTGACAAATATGTTAGAATTCTGGGGAAATTAAAGTGCTGATTAATGATTATACAGTACATAAATGTTTTTTTATCTGTTATACATTGAGTACATAATTATCAAGTCTAAACTAATGTTAAAACAACAACAGGGATAATGTATATTCTTCGTTGCTTTAGTTGATTGTACATGGTCCCAATGGTCCCAATATGGAGAATGTTCTCAAACATGTGGCGGAGTGAGAACAAGGACTCGATTTGTCGAAGTAGAAGCACAATATGGAGGAGTATGTGATGGAAAGGAGGTTGAACAAGACCCATGTGAAAACACATGTGAAGGTGAATTAGTTATAAATAATAACATCTTCTTCAAATCAAGATTAAAGTTCAACCAATTTTGTTTGAGCACATTACAAATATCATACAGCATTCATTTCTCAAAATTGAACAAATGAATTTTAATTTACTTTCAGAATGTGAGCCACCTTTCATTTATGATGACTGTAGCGATAATGTAACAAGAGCCAATATAGCAACGTGTGAGTGCATGGACACAGAGAAATGTGAACTTATAGCTTCAGATGAATGTACACCAGCATGTGTATGCCCAGTGGGTAAGTATAAGTTATTTTTCGTTCATCAGACCTTAAACAGTATAACTGATTTGATGTAAATGATGTGAGGGTAGAGTATTGAATCAAGGGACATTATTTGTCATGTGGGAACATAGGGTTAATAAAAGATATGGTATCTATCACTCATGAAAATTAGGTAATTAATACTTATATGTAAATAAATACATAACATGTACATAAATACAAAGTACTCACATAAGACCCGTATAAATCACAGAAACATTTTAAGCATATAAGAAATATATACATGTAATAATTAATGGCTTGATAACCTTACAAATAGAGACATTCTAGACATTTCCCAAAAATGAAAAAAGTGCAAGAATGTTTGGGCTCTATTGCCTATTTTACCCACTGGGTTGCATCCTAACTACAAAAAATGAGAAACGTAACAAAGTGTATTCTGCTCCAACACTAGGTATGGTTCTTATAAACGGCACTTGTGAAGACGCTGACCAGTGTGGATGTGTGGTTGGAAACATCACTTATAACCATGACGATGTATGGAACAACACTGCTGAATGCGAGGAATGGTAAGTGGATCGAAATGTTATAAGACGAAATGTTCACATCGTTACTCATGTAGATCCCCTGATAAATTCCGTGTTGATGTCTATGCTTGACACAAATCTGCTTTTCAAATTTACATTTCAATTATTCTAGTTTACCTAACTATTTTCATGATAAAATGGTAGACGAAATATTGAGTTAAACTTAGAATAAAAGTACACCCATTTCCATCATTCAACTGAAACACGTGTTTTATTTCAGTCGCTGTGAATATGGTGTTACTAAATGCACTCCCTACGAATGTGATGGTGAGTTTATCAATATTCATCAGATAACTGGACATTCTAGTGATCACGCATCTTCCTTTCCAACTGCGATAAAACATTACAATTGCGATCTCTTTGTGCCCTGTTGTATATGTAAACTCTGAAATCACTAATCTCGATGGCATAAAGGATAAAAAATTAGGCGAGGGAAATGAAAATATAGGCAAGGAAAAGATCCGAACGAGATATTAATACCATTAGATTTTATTTCAGTAGGAATTGTACGCCCATGGACATGTTATGCCAAATGTATCAATGCTGTTATTGTCATAATTACACTGAAATATCCATTCAATCATGTATATGCATCTTAATATCAAGCCTCATGTTATTTACTCACATAACCTCAAAATCATTTTAAAATCATTAACTCAAAACAAATTTCAATTATTTTCTAGTCGACTGTGTTTGGGGAGAGTGGACCGAGTATGGTGTTTGTGATGCAACATGTGGCGGAGGAGAACAGGAGAGATACAGGTACTATAGTATATGAACGTTCATTAGGCTCTTCAGTGGGGAGGAAGAGTGAAGGGCGTCTGCATACAGATAAATAAAGTTTTTTAAATTTGTCTCAATGCACTTACTGCAACCTTATTCCTCACTGAATAGCCTGTCACTAAGATTAGAAACTTTATATGTATAACTGCAATAAAGAGAGATTTGGTCAGTATGTTTTGTCTATCAACCAATATTCATTCATACTGGAATTAAAAATAACCAAATATAATTCTGGACACGAAATGATCAGAGGAATTGCACGGCTAATTAAAATGGTAAAGTTTATACATTTATATTTGAAATATCCAAGAAACAATTGTCTTCCGGACACACTCTAAACTAGAAAATCAATTGATGAGCAGAAAACAATCCTTAATTGCTCGTAAAAATATAAACTATGTAGAAAGTAGTTCTTCCAGACAAATTCAAGCTGGAGATCAATTTGCATTCGTTCGACTTCGCTTCTAAAGAGCGTTTCCTCTTCGATAGCTTTATGTGCAGGGTGGAGACCAGGCAATATACAAATGTAGGAAAAATATGGCACATTTTTGCTTAATTGACACAGCTCAGAAACATTACCATTTTCTTGCAGAGAGATTGTAGTTGAAAAACAAGGCAATGGCAAGCAATGTGTTGGAAACAATACTGAAGTACAGCCATGTAATACAGATTGTTGCGCCACGTGCACACACAGAGGCATTGACTATGCCGATGATGAAACTTGGACAGACAGTAACGACGCCTGCAAAATATGGTAATTTCCTTTTTCAAGAAAATGTCATTCATTCAAAGTTGATCATGATAAAACGGCCATAAAATATTAAAACCTAATATTTGATTTATGAAAAAATATTGAATAAAACATTATTAATTAGTGCCAGATATTGTAACGTCTTTGTAGCTACAAATAATAGTTTGAATAATATTGTTCATATAAGTATAAGATGTAGACAGTGACAATATGGTTTCGTATATGATACTTTTTATCTCCAGCTCATGTGGCTGCGATGGAACAGTTACCTGTGTTGATAAAGAAGGATGTAAGTTTTTAGTTTCCCTCTAGATTACTAAAGCATTTCTCCTAGAGTCAATAAAAATAAATGAACTATAGTAACACATGGCATCATCATGTATATTGATTTAGTTCACAATGTCATTATCATGAATATGGGTTTAGGTCACAATGTCATTATCATAAACATTTCTTCAGTCCAAGTATCATCACAATATGGATTATATTTACACGTCTTCATCATGAATATGGGTTCAGTGCAAATGAATATGATTTTAGTTCATATTCAATATCATCAGCCTCGTTACTATTATCACCTTACTCAATACCAATATCATCAGCTTTAATAAATATCAATATCGCCATTCGCCAGAGAGCCAACATGTGAGAAACACAATAAATATACTCTTATCATTTGAACTATATCCGAAGCCATCACCATTTTATCCCATATTTTCCAGGCGAGAAGCAATCCACATGTCAACTGAAAACTGAAACGAAGAACATCACTGTTGGGGACTGCGTATCCGTTGGTGAGGTGACACGCACTTTCTGCGGAGGAAGTTGTGCCAGTATGCAAAACCCATTCTTTGAGAATTTAGATGGTCAAGTCGTTACAGGAACAGGGGAACAAGACTGTAAATGTTGCACCGGTAATCCAGGCAGTATTGTAGAAGTAGAGTTCAAATGTGCTGAAACGCTAGTCCCAGTAATGATGAAGATGGTGAACTTTGCGTCTTGCGCATGCAACCAATGTATAGGTAATGTTTAGAATCATAGATATTTTCAAAATTAATGGTGCATAAAAGAACCCAGCATATGTTTGCCAGATTCATGTAATAGGTTGTAGGTTCCAATGTTACCAAAATATTGGACAGACTTATTGTTTATTTTGAAAATAAGCAAGGAAAAACTTCTGAAGAATTTTGTTTGGAACTCATTTACCAACAACATATGCATACCCAAGTTTCTCAAGTCAAAATGTAGCTAAAGCTAAGTTCACACCGACGGCGCTTTGATAGCTTTAATTTAATTCTATTTCACCAAAGGATGAGTCTGGGAATGAGTCTGGGTATCGACTTAGAAAATATTGAAAATTGTAATGTCTGAAAAACCAACTCAATCACACACATTATTATTCTTCAATATCTTATCCTTTTCTGAGATTACAAAAATATCAATTTGTATCACAATTGATGAAGAATATTGGCATCAAAGACAATGCATATCACTTTGCTAGAATTGAAAAAATCAATGGCAAATATTAAATGAATTGTTTATACAAAAAAATTGAAACATATCCTCCAAAACATTGCATACTTTCATTCTATAGACATTGAATGGCATTTCTGGATAAGTGAATTGGTGTTTATCTGGATAATCAAGGGATTATAGTCACTCAAAGTTACTGAGTATCCAGTTTTGACACTTCAATTGTGTTGGTGAAGTTACACATATTTCAGTCAAATTCATGCTGAATTTGGTTTCAATTTTATAATCTCTATACATGACCCTGGTGATGAAGAGTCAGAATCAGTCAAAAAACCTAAACCGGAAAACTGTGCTAATTGTGAAAACTAAGTCAAGCAACTTTTTTTCTGATATTTCTTACATCAAATGGCAGCCATCTTGTTTTTCCCCCTTCAAATTAAACTGGCGGGAAATTCAAAAATTTGAAAAAAAATTTAATCCTTGAATATATTTCAAAAATATGACTTTCTTTTTAATTCTTCATGGTTCTTAAGTTATTTTTTCTTTGTATGTCACACATGTTGCCATTGGTGTTTTTTACTATGATAATGACTATTTTTGTTGTTGTTAAGACTTATTCTGACTCTCAGCAGGGTGTTAATTATGCATCAAAACTCGTGAAAAAGTAAATATACTTATGAAATATAACTAGGACAGTAATAAAAACCATATTTTACATTCATTTGACTGAGGGACCAAAAGGGCATATACCCAGACACATCCTTTGGACATGGACATCTAACGCATGATTTTACAATTATAATGTATATTATTATAGAAATTATGAAATAAATAAATTGAATTTACGTGTTCAATATTACAATGTTTTAAATGTACAAGAAAGGAACTCTTATTATGAGTGAATAATGCAAAATACGTTCTACAACAATCTTTGAGGTTATGAGTATTGGCTATCAATTGGCTATCAATTTCTAATTTTTTCTTCAACATGTATTGTAATGACTTCAGTATGAATGAAATGTCCCTTGGTCTTCTGGTCTTGGATTGTGATATTGATTCTTGAATGGTGGGGGAAAGGGGGTATTAGACATTGTTTCTTTTCACGTTAGATCATGGTTTTGGGCTATATGGGGTTTGTTTTTCTTGACTGGTATGCACTTAGAGTTTGCTTTTTCTTGCTAAGTTCCATTACAACTTTTGGTCCTTTCACTTTGGCAATAGTGCTTATATATTTATTCTCTAATTCACTTATTCTCATATTTCAGGTTGAGCTGACTGATACACAAATACGGAAACTACCGACCAGCCGCGATCAAACAATGGACATTGAATTATGGACTAATAGTTTATATAGAAATCTTAAATATATATTTTATCATAAACAGTTGATCTGCTCAAAATTACATCAAGCCATTATTAACACACATATTACCATGACACAAGCGAGGTACTTATAATGCTCAGTTAATGATAATTCAAAAAAGTGATAATTCATGGTGACAAAGTGTGAATTCATGGTGACAACGTGTGAATTAGATTTTATTTTTAATACATTTATTTCAGGTTACAATTGTTAAAATATAATATATTTTCAATAAACAAACATGTACACATTCGCCTTTTAGTAAGTAGAATAAATCTATTGCAAATTAAATAAAAAATATGTTTCTGTATTTATTATCATTTATATATAAACATAATGATGATGGCACATAATACATGTTTAAGAACAACACACATGCATGTAAATATAATATTATCGAATTGAACATATCAGTCAATTTGAGAAACAGGGAAAATGGCCTGGTGCATGCTGGGACCCCTGAAATCAGTCCTCTATTATTTGACAATACTTTCTAAAGCAAATATGGTTAAACCAATTAATTCATGTTATATCACTAATAATGAACTTTGTTCATTTTGAAAATTATTGGAAATGACAATTTATCAGATTTTTTATTGCTTAATTACCCTGTTATCAAATTTTTGACAATTTCTGTCAAAATTTCCAAATATGTACTCTTTCATAAAATGAAGTGGGCCTCTTGATGGTTTGTATTAGCAACGTTATCATACATGTACAAAAAAGTCCATACATATTTAAACATACATACTTTAAGTAGATTGTGTAACTATTCAAAAAAACACTCTGAATAGAACAAGATGATGAATTAACAACTGAAAGGCCTAATTGCTTTAAACTATAATTAGTGAGTGTCACATTATTGACATAATTCCCTTTCGACATCTTTGTCATGGTAAAAATGATTCCATGATCTTTAACATATAAGTGCTCAATTACCCAGCAGAATGAAGCCAAACCCCTTGATATAAAATTACCATTTATGTCTTTGGTGTGATGTTGTTTTCATCATAAGGTGTTAGGATAACTTTGCCAATATTCTTCCTGTCGTGCATCTGTGCCATTGCATCGGCAATCTGAAAAGAAGGAACAAGTACTACAGGGTGTATCAAAAAAACACAACAAGTAGTTATCTCGTAAAATCACAAAACTAGTGATGACTACATCAATTTCATTTAATGTAAGATAAAGCCATGTCTCTCCTCTTTGCAATGATATGTCATTCATTCACATGTGGTAATGGTTGGACTTAGCCCTTGCACTGATTTTTTCAATATCTAAAACTTGGCGCAGAGCCGATTTTGACCCACTGTGCAAATGAGAAATCCTTCCATTTGCACAGTGGGTCAAAATCGGCTCTGCGCCAAGTTTTAGATATTGGAAAAATCAGTGCAAGGGCTAAGTGCCAATGGAAGTTCCCCTGACTTGAATTGTTGTGACTTTTTCTTTTGGAGCTATCTCAGGAGCATCTGTGCTCACAGTTCCTCCACCAGATATTGCAAAACCTCGAGAAAGATTTGCCTATGGGCTGCTTTTCTTTGCTTTAACCCACACATGATTCAGGGCTGAACCATGCATGACGTGGACAGATGAGCGCATCTTTATGTGAAAGGAAGTGGTGGCAATTTGGAGGGGATTTGCTTTTAAGTTTTTGTCCAATATTGCATTGGGCTCCATACACTGACTTTTGCAATGTATATAACTTGGCCCGAAGCTAATTTTGGCCCACTTTGGAAATGGAATGATTACTCACCCAACCATGACCAAATATCAATGAATGATCATTGTAAAGAGGAGACACATGGCTTTATGGTGCATTGAATGAAATCAATGATGTTATCACTGGTTTTGTGCTTTTTCAAGATAACAATCTATTGCATTTTTTTGATACGCACTGTATATACATATGCACATTTTACACAAATATTTTAATCTGACTGATTCATGTACAATAGCTGCAGTATATATGGTGAAAGACTTATGAAGCTGTATCTCTAGTTCTAAAACTGCTATTCACACATAGCTAGGCAAGGTGTGTCCGATTCCAGCCGATCAGAACACGGTATTTCATTATTTCATATAACTGCATGCATTGCATTATATAACAAATTAACACATCCAAGGTCATTCCTTGAATGGTTGTCAAGGTGACAACTTGACTCTTCAGACTAAAATGTTTTGCCAACTTGACCCTTGCAAAAATTTCCATTGAAAATATGTTCTTTTAGTGATTTTGTATCTTTTAAGTGACATGGAAAAAATATTTTGCAATGTGTGAAAAGAATTTAAGCCCAAGACTCAATGCATTGACGAATGACCATTCCTTTCAGGTGCCGTTTCCTAAAATTAACACTCGATGCTGTGCATCTCATGCTCATTTTGGAAACCAACACCTTCAAAGAGTGGTCATTCCAGATTGCACTGAGTCCAGGGCTTAAATCCTTAAATATACAATTTCCAAATAGTTGTATGACGAAGTGTATAGAACATGACAGAAGATACATGAAGATAAATAAATTTGATTCTGAATGCTACATGTATACCTGTTCATAAGACCATACTGAATCTATCCTTGGTTTGATCTTTCCCTCATTGTATAGGGCTATTAGATCAACCATGGCTTCTCTTATAGGCTCTTGTGGAAGATGTCCCATGTGGTAGCCAGCAACCACCCTACAAGTAGATATAATATATGTATAGAACTCTTAGTCCTACGATGGCCTCCCTGATTGGCTCCTGTGGCAGATGTCCCATGTGGTAGCCAGCAACCACCCTGTAAGTAGATATAATATATGTATAGAACTCTTAAGACCTACGATGGCCTCCCTGATTGGCTCCTGTGGCAGCTGTCCCATGTGGTAGCCAGCAACCACCCTACAAGTAGATATAATACATGTATAGAAGTCTTAGACCTACGATGGCCTCCCTGATTTATATTACTCAAATTTTGGAACCACTCCTAAAACAATTCCGATATGTATAAGTAATGCCCATATACAAAATATCAGTTATGGTCAGTAAGACGCGGACTTGGACTTTCAATTATACTACAAATAATATGCATGAATGATTAAATATGTACTGAATGCTTCCAAATATATATAGTGTATTTTGATTAGAAATAAAGTATAGGTTTGGAAATATTTTTCGCCTCATCGCTTTTTTCTTCCTGGCTACGACAATGTCATTAGAAAAGAAAGAACTGGCTTACTTGTTTGCAGGCATCATAGACAGGATTGCAGGTCTGTAGGTTTGCCACCATGTTTTGGCAATCTGGAAATAATTTGTTCCTGGTCCACTAACCATATTGGCAGCTCCTGTAAAATATTCTCTGTTGGTCAAATATATGGAATATTGGGTATTCCACAAAATATCAGTCTTTACTGTAAAAATGATGAAGGTTTTAACTTCATGAGGTATGCAAGAGTGGTTGTTCTGAAATGTCTAGTTACAAAATGTATTCCAGGAAACCTTTATTAGTCTTGCAGTGAAATTGTTCATTCAATTGCCTTTATTTTTATCAAGACTTACCAAAGTGGATCACTTTGCCAAGGGGTTTGAGTGTTGCATAAGCCTTTGTAGCGTCACTTCCAAGAAGGGGGTCTAATATGATATCAACACCTGAAAACCAATGGCAAAAGATTATGCAAATATTTCATTGTATTGTGTTAAACCTGTGCACCTTTCATGAGTAATATTAATGAGTCTATGTCTATACATCTGTTTATGCCAGCCAAAATTATGATTTTACGCACCACTATATATTAGATGAAATTTTCTTTGGAAATTCCTGAAGCAGTGAATACCAATTGCTTTCATGAGAATTTTTGCAGAATTCATGTTTCATACCATCAGGCGCCACTTTTGTGACCTCAGTCTGCCAGTCTTGTGTCCTGTAGTCAATGGGATGTGTAACACCAACTTCCCTTATAATCTTATGCTTTACAGCTGACGCTGTTCCAAACACTGTGACATTGGGAACTGTTTTACATAACTGTGTGGCAGCTATTCCTACCCCACCTGAAAGTTGTTCAAATGTTTACCCCATTTTCTATAGTGATAACGGTGTCATAATACAGTATGTTTGGCTAAATACATGTTCATTTTTCAAGTGCTTTACATTAACTAGAGGCATGAAGTTGTCTAAGTATGTTGTTTTTGTATGCTATATTCAATTCATGTAGTACTTATGGAGTACATTAGACTGGATACATGAAGTACTGTACCCAAGTCCGAATGCATGAAAAACTGTACATCAAATTGAGTGCATAAAGTACTGTACATCTGATTGAATGCATGAATGCATGAAGTACTGTACATTTGATTGAATGCATAAAGTACTGTACATTTGACTGAATGCATGAAGAACTGTACTTCAGATTGAATGCATGGACTACTGTACATTAGATTGAATGCATAAAGTACTGCACATCTGATGAAATGAATGAAGTACTGTACTTCAGATTGAATGCACGGACTACTGTATATTAGATTGAGTGCAATCAGATTGAAAGCATCAAGTACTGTACATAAGTCTGAATGCATGCGGTAAGTTGTAAATTGTATCTAATCCATAAAGTACTGTCCATTAGATTGCATGCATGAAGTACTATATATAAGTCTGAATGCATGTGGTAAGCATTCATAAAGTATGGTACATTAGATTGAATACATGAAGTACATTTTACTGTACCTGCAGCCATATGAATAACTACTTTCTTTCCCTTCCTTAGATTTCCTATATCAAACAACATGTGATACGCTGTCACATAGTTCACAGGGAGTGCTACCCCCTCCTCAAAGGTCATTGCATCAGGCATGGGAAAACATTGCTCTGCTGGAACTGTTGCAAACTCTTTCCATAAGCCAAACATTTTTATACAAATAACTCGGTCTCCAACCTGAAATCGTAACACAAATGGTACATGTAGCATTATTATAGGATATTAGATACATTAATCCAAGGTTTTGACCAGTGTAAAAATATGAAATTTTGCCATTTGCCATCAATGTGAATAATGACTTCATAAGCATTCTTGTTTCTTAGTACTTGTTTCAAATAATATGCGACGATGTTCTCTTAAACATTAACAAATGTTCTCTCCCAAAAACATAATTTCCACTTTAAATCGGAAAAATAGCTGAAAATGTATCTACAATTAGATCCAATCATATTTTATTTAACCTCTTGAATACCAGCTCTAAAAAGGGTTTGAAACCAGAGCATTTTTCATTTTCTGCTGGATATTTACATCTAAAAACACAATGTTTGATATTTGATTTCATAAGAATAGTAAACATAGACCGATTACATACATTCTAAAACATCATTTTTGGAAGATTGGATAAAAAATGCCAAAGTTGACAGATAAATCTGTCGCTCTGGGTTCCAAATGGATTTTATTTGTGACAGATATATCCATCATTCTGGGTATTCAAGAGGTAAATGATTATCATGAAGCAATAATACGGTCACTTACTTTTAAGTTGGTGACATCTTCACCAAGCTGAGTGACGATTCCTGCACCTTCCATTCCAAGGACACCAGGAAGTTTTGGGGAACCATCATATAGACCCTGTCGAGCCATTAATTCAGCAAAATTAATAGAATTCGTTCTCATGTTCACTAGGACCTCATCCTTTCCAGGTTTCATAATCGGCCACTCTTCAATCCTGAGCTTATCATAACCACCATAACCAGTTAAAACAATCGTCTTTGATGTTGATTTTTCCATTTTCAGTTGTGCTTTCTCACCTTCGATATTGGAATATTCAATGCTTGACCTGGTTAGATTAGATAATTTTGCATGTGTGCATGTGGGATAACCTGAAAATTGAAAGTGAAAGGTCAATGCATTACAGTATGTATTGCCTCTTTTGTCTGTGTCTATCAATCTCTAAAAGGCTAATAAACCCATTTAAACCAGATGGACATGTAAGATACACCAGAGACCATAGAACATGTATAAAAAAAATTGAGCCGAGTATTCGATGCAATCTTATTGACATCACACCTGCGAGCACTATCAATTTGAAGAAGCATTCGTTCAGAAAAATAACACTTCAACTAAGTAGTAAGATGCAATTAAATGCAATAAAAAGTAACACAGCATATTGTAGAATGGAAATAAAGCTAGTTGAAGCATGGGCTTTGCAGTACAGGCTTGTTGCGTTGCACTGGAGACATTCTAAATTGATAATGAATTGAGTGATGTGGGTAAAAAGAGATCTATGTTAAAAACACACCACTTTAGTTGAAGTAATCTAATTCTCATGCAATCTCTGACCAAAGTTCATTCATACATGTAGAGTCCATTTCACTGCTTCATTTCGTCAGTAGAACGGCAAAAATAAGAAATTGGGAGACCATTGTGCAATAATATATGGAAAAGTATATTCATAATGTACATGAATGATATTTGTATATCTTGGATTGCTTCTAGTTTGGCTTATAAAGTGTGTGGCCTCTTATATTTGGATGTTTCTCTGCCATGTTATTTTCAATAAGATTAACATGGCTGAAATTCTTCAAATTACAAGACGGCACAGGCTTATTGCACAAAAAACTAAAAAATCTGATGAAATATACAAATGTCATTCATGTACATTATGAATATACTTTTCCATATTTTATTGCACAATGGTCTCCCAATTTCTTATTTTTGCCGTTCTACTGACGAAATGAAGCAGTGAAATGGACTTTAGATGTAGCCTACTGTACACAGTGGGCTAACATTATGATTTATAAAAAAATCCCTAGGCCTGAAAGCCCATGGTACATACAATTACAATGTATACCAAATTTGCATATGAATCGATGCAGTGAATCCTCGCTAACAGATAGGCAGAGAGAACCACACATATACATGCCGTACAATGTTGTAAATAGAGATACTTACATGTACTTGTATTTAATTTTTCATTTTATAATTAGTACGATGAAAGTCCGAACGTAAAATTCACAATAAAAACGAACGTGATCAACTTACAATAACAAACGGTTCGATTTATTTTTGAATAGCCTAAATGTGCTGTTTTGTATTAGTCTGGTCATGGTCTGGTTGAGATTTTCTGAAAACAAAATGAAAGATCATCATCATCGTCAATCAGAGACATATGTCTCCGTGTCAATATGCAGTTATGATTTGGGACAAGAAGAATTGGTGGAATTCTAATACCAAGGAATGTATTGAGGCATGGGCTTTCAATTAGAAGGAGGTGTGGATTACTTCCTGCGAAAGCTACATTATGTGGATTTTGATATTTCAAAACCTAACATGGCTCTCGAAGTGAGTAAGGCGTGGATTATTCTCCCATCCTGTAGAAACACTGCTTGAACAATCTTTGGCGCGCAGGACTGTCCCAGTCGGAAATTGTGTTTCCGATTAACGCGATTTGACCTAAATATTCACCATATGTAAGCGATATCTTTTTAGAAATGAATAGTTCATTTATAAGTTTAACATTAACAAAATATATACAACGCCTAGACTTCTTGACTTTAGCAATATAGGCTAATGGCCATGGGTCTATGGTAAATTTTTTATGTCGGAATGCCAGTGCAAAGCAACAAGCCTGCACAACTCAGGTAAAGAAGAGCGATGTCAACGCGGTCACGGGCTGACAGGTCTGAAAGTCGTCTCGGTGTATTTCAACATAAAGGGACTTGCCTATGGTTACCCCAGTGAAAAAAGAAATCCCATACCTTAGAACGGCCACACTGGATCAAACCCCTATTACATGTTTCTCATGCAGAACACCCGGTGGCTATAGGGCTCTATAGGCATGGTCACCGTATGTACAGTAGTCGTCCATTATTACGAGTGCGTGAGTAATGACTCGACAAGATCGGCAAAATTGATATTGTAACGGTTATTTTTAAATGATTGTGTTGATATTACAGGCTACTGGTGATTAAATAAGGTTTTATAGGAACCAGAACTTTTTAGTTTTTTCGAAGTTTTTTAACTTCATTAGTAATGTTGCAATCCATTATGAATCAAATACAGAATACTTCAAACAAACTTCAAGTCTCAAACTTCATTAGTAATGTTTTAAGTTCTTAGTCCCAGGTACCCATTACACATGCCGAGTTGCAATCCACTATGAATCAAACCAGAATACAAACAAACTTCATTAATGTTTTTAAGTTCTTAGTCCCATGTACTTATTAAACATGCCGAGTTGCAATCCACTATGAATCAAACCAGAATACAAACAAACTTCATTAATGTTTTTAAGTTCTTAGTCCCAGGTACCCATTACACATGCCGAGTTGCAATCCAATATGAATTTTTGGGATCTTGTTTAAAAGTTTATAGTAATGAACCCGACAACTATTGATGTGCTCTTATCTATACTTATTTATTTATTTGCGCTATTATTATATTCAATTTATGTTTAAAGCAGTATATACACCTATTTTAGGTGTCCACTGTAAGTAATTTTATATTGATTTATTGTTATATGAAGGAAATAAGAAATAAATAAAATAAAAATTTAAAAATAGTTAAGAACATAGGTAATCTTTTGTTTTGAACCCTATGTGTATAATTCCGTTATTACTAAATATATTTTAGTACATAGATATATGATATATCACTCGTTGAAGGCTGAGATTAAAGTCTTGCTTAATTCCCTTTCACACATGGCAAAGCAGTTTTATAAAATAAAAAAGCAATTTTCAAAATTAAAGAACTCGTTTTACAATTTCAATTTTACGATACAAAATATAAAACAAAGAGTGATCACTTCTGAAATACCCCTCTTTACTGATTTACTTCTTCATAATGTTAAAATGATTCCCGATCCAATAATATTTTGCAGGATGGGCCAAAACAACCGTTTAAGTAAACTACATATTTATGTCTTTGGTACGATACTGTTTGCATCATAAGGTGTTAGGATAACTTTGCCAATATTCTTCCTGTCATGCATCTGTGCCATTGCATCAGCAATCTGAAAACAAGGAACAAGTACTATGTATGTACATTTACATCGAAGTAGGTTTTCATAACGCTGAACACCTCTTTATAACTCTCTAATGATAAGGCCACAAGAAGTAGATACTTTGTTTTGCGTCCCCTTGCTTTTACGATTTTGAAAAAATCAGAAAAAACAAACACATCCAAATAGCAATCACAAGGGTCTGAAAGTACCATCGCATCTTGTTCTATTAGAATCAGACGAAATGGCGGATAATTTGACGTGCGTCAAAATTGACAGTGTTATTAATTAGTTTGGCATACATTATGTATTTTCTTGAATAATAGCTATGTTTCAATATGTTGTATAAAATGTATAGATATGTGTTTGTAATCACTGCAAATTGGTATGCCATCCCTTTTATGCCCATAAAATGTATACGTTTCTCAGCAAGTTTGTGATTTTCTTGAGTTTGTGTTTGTTTTCCTAGTACCCTTGCATGATTTGGATTATGCCAGGACGCAAAACAGAGAATCTACTTCTTATGGCCTTAGCTCCATCACTCTATAGAACAGCTCTTTCTCTAGTTATTAGCTCTAATATCCCTCTATTGAACAGCTCTTTCTCTAGTGATTAGCTCTAATATCCCTCTATTGAACAGCTCTTTCTCTAGTTATTAGCTCTCATATCCCTCTATTGAACAGCTCTTTCTCTAGTGATTAGCTCTAATATCCCTCTATTGAACAGCTCTTTCTCTAGTGATTAGCTCTAATATCCCTCTATTGAACAGGTCTTTCTCTAGTTATTAGCTCTCATATCCCTCTATTGAACAGCTCTTTCTCTAGTTATTAGCTCTAATATCCCTCTATTGAACAGCTCTTTCTCTAGTTATTAGCTCTCATATCCCTCTATTGAACAGCTCTTTCTCTAGTGATTAGCTCTAATATCCCTCTATTGAACAGCTCTTTCTCTAGTTATTAGCTCTCATATCCCTCTATTGAACAGCTCTTTCTCTAGTTATTAGCTCTAATATCCCTCTATTGAACAGCTCTTTCTCTAGTTATTAGCTCTAATATCCCTCTATTGAACAGCTCTTTCTCTAGTTATTAGCTCTAATATCCCTCTATTGAACAGCTCTTTCTCTAGTGATTAGCTCTAATATCCCTCTATTGAACAGCTCTTTCTCTAGTTACTAGCCCTCATATCCCTCTATTGAACAGCTCTTTCTCTAGTTATTAGCTCTAATATCCCTCTATTGAACAGCTCTTTCTGTAGTGATTAGCTTTAATACCCCTCCATTAAACAGCTCTTTCTCTAGTTATTAGCTTTTATATCCCTCTATTGAACAGCTCTTTCTGTAGTGATTAGCTTTAACATCCCTCTATTGAACAGCTCTTTCTCTAGTTATTAGCTTTTATATCCCTCTATTGAACAGCTCTTTCTGTAGTGATTAGCTTTAATATCCCTCTATTGAACAGCTCTTTCTCTAGTGATTAGCTTTTATATCCCTCTATTGAACAGCTCTTTCTCTAGTGATTAGCTTTAATACCCCTCTATTGAACAGCTCTTTCTCTAGTGATTAGCTTTAATACCCCTCTATTGAACAGCTCTTTCTCTAGTTATTAGCTCTAATATCCCTCTATTGAACAGCTCTTTCTGTAGTGATTAGCTTTAATACCCCTCCATTAAACAGCTCTTTCTCTAGTTATTAGCTTTTATATCCCTCTATTGAACAGCTCTTTCTGTAGTGATTAGCTTTAACATCCCTCTATTGAACAGCTCTTTCTCTAGTTATTAGCTTTTATATCCCTCTATTGAACAGCTCTTTCTGTAGTGATTAGCTTTAATATCCCTCTATTGAACAGCTCTTTCTCTAGTGATTAGCTTTTATATCCCTCTATTGAACAGCTCTTTCTCTAGTGATTAGCTTTAATACCCCTCTATTGAACAGCTCTCTCTAGTGATTAGCTTTAATACCCCTCTATTGAACAGCTCTCTCTAGTGATTAGCTCTAATATCCCTCTATTGAACAGCTCTTTCTCTAGTGATTAGTTTTTCTATCCCTCTATTGAACAGCTCTTTCTCTAGTTATTAGCTCTAATATCCCTCTATTGAACAGCTCTTTCTGTAGTGATTAGCTTTTATATCCCTCTATTGAACAGCTCTTTCTCTAGTGATTAGGTCTTATATTCCTCTGTTATACAGCTCTTTAGCATTTATATATCTCTTATAATGAAAAACCTTTTATAACTAACTTTGTGATTACCTCTACTATATCTCTCTTGAACAACTCATTAGAACTCTCGAGTTACTAGCTCTCGTACTATACTAGTATTTTTATTGAAGGAAAAATTGGGAAATATGAAAAACTCAGGGTTTGGTCTAAGCGGTGAGGTACATGTATGTGTAAATGCTGATCTAATGAAAACATCAGAAAACATCACATTAACGATGGTATTATGTGAGCAACTTAACTAACTTAATTCTAAAACTACTAATATGATATTCTTAAATGTAAGAAGAGAGGTGTCTGGCATGAAAGAATATACCCAAAGATAAAAATTGTTGATTCTTGCTGTATCTTGAAAGGCTGTACCTGCTCATAAGACCAAACTGAATCTATTCTTGGTTTGATTTTCCCTTCATTGTATAGATCGATTAGATCAACCATGGCTTCATTAATATATTCCTGTGGAAGACGTCCCATGTCGTAGCCAGCAACCACTCTACAAGCAAAGAATTAACGTATATAGAGCTACGAATAACCTAAATGTTTTTGAACAACAACTGTGGCCATTTTGATAACGTAGCCAATAATGGCCTAGTCACATAGCCCGGCCGATGAGATTCCGATGAGCCAGCGATGCAATTTTCACCGAACTCGGCCGAACACCGGCCGGACACCGGCCGGACATCCGTGGCGTTTGTTGCTTAAAACCGCATCGGTGGCAGCTCGGTGAAATTTTAACTTCGGAGTTAAATTTCACCGGGCTCTCACAGAGCTCCCTCATCGCAGCCCCATCGTAACCAAATCAGAACACACGTCGGCCGGTGCACGGCCGAGTATCGGTCGGTGTCCCGTGCATCTGAGACAACCAGAGGACGAGGTTTTTTTAACGGACACCGGCC